AAATAACTAGATAGTTTATCTTAATACTTAGAAAGTAGTAAAAGTAGTAGTCTAGTATAAGCTATCTATAGAAGAGTCTAATACTTCTAACTATAACTTACCTATTATTAAAAGTGTAGCTTATCTTCTTCTAGTAGGAATCTTAGAGGCTTATAAAGCGCTTTTAGCTAAGAGACCTTTTAGTAATAAGTAGTTTAAGGCTAAAGTTCCTAAGGTAAAGAGGTCTAATTAAGAAGAAGTTAATAAGAATAAACTAGTTACTAGTATTAAGAGCCTAGCTTTTCTATTAATATAGAATAAGCTAAGTATTTTTAAATAACTTAAATTAATCTACTTAATAGCTTCTATAGTATAATTAGTAGTTATAGACCCTCTATATAGTTAGTTAATAGATTAGCTTCTTTATAATATTATACTAGATCTTAATCTAAATAATTCTATTATAATTAGTAATTAAGAAATAGCTAAGAATTCTAGCTCTAGAGGTGACCTATAGTCTTTATATTTAGAATTAAATAGAAGTTAGAAAGGTGCTTCTAGCTCTACTAAGGATTCTATAGAGATTATTTCTAGTAAGATTAGTAGACCTATAAAGGGTGTTTCTAAAAAGATAGGCGGACCTATAGAGAGTATTTCTAGAGGTATTAAGAGGCCTATTAAGAGTAGTTTTAAAGGTGTTAATTAGCCTAAGAATAGTACTTCTATTAATATTAATTAGACTAAGGATAGTGCTACTAGTATAATTAAAAAGTCTAAGGGATAGAGTCTACCTTCTCTAATAACTTTAGAGAAGGAGCTAATAGTTACTACTATATAGGAGCTTAAGAAGGTAAATTAGGAGGCTATCTATAAGACTATAGAGAAGTTAAATATATTAGAATAGATGCGTAATAAGCTAAACTACTATTAGTAAGAGAACTTACTAGTATTAAGTTATAGCTATAGAATTAGAGGCTTTATTCTTTAGTAATTTTAGTATTTTATTAATATTACTATTTAGAGAATTAGAGCAGCTATAGAATAGCTACTAGGTAAGAGAGGTATATAGTAGTATAGAACGTTTATTATATAGAAGCTAGTATAGGGTGCGTATATAGAGGTTTAAGGTTCTTTATTAAGATAACTAAGATAGTTAAGTATTAGTTATATTATAGTATTAAGGAATACTATACTTATTCTATATATTATCTAGTTTTATGTAATCTATCACCGCGGTTCTATTGCTACCTTAATAGTTCTACCTTAATATCTTACCTCTATAGATATACATAACCTACTTATCTAAGTTCTATACTTAAACCCCTTACCTATAATAGTGTTATTTATCTATAGAAACTATTAATAATAAAGAGAAAGTAAATAGTGTAGTAGATTATTATCTATAAAATATATAATATTTACTTAAGAATTCTTTTAGTATATAGAAAGTAATATAGCTTCTAAAATAAGTTAATACTTCACTTAAATAAGAGCCTAGTATTCTTTATAATAGTCTAATCTATTTTATAGAGAATTATTATTATTTATATCAACTATATTTTAGTAATATTTCCACTCTCCTTAATTAGAGTTCTAACTATATTATATAGTGGTACGAGAAGTATTATTACTAAAGTATTAGATATATACTATATTTAATTTATTATTCTAATCTACTCTACTTATTTATCTTATTTCTCTACTATCTTTCTTCTTTATATTATATATCTAGTTAAGATAGTAGATTAGAAAATTAAAACTCTATAATAATTATTAAATTAAACAAGATGTGCCCGTTTTATACTAAAATAGTTTAGAGTATTAGTAAAGAATAGTTAGTATATATAGACTTTTAAGAGTATATCTTTCCTTTGTATCTCTCTATTCTTCTGTTTCTTGAATATAAGGGGCATTCTCTCTCTTAAGCCCCCTCTAGCTTTCTTTGTCCTATATTTAAGAGATTCTTTTTAGATTTAGTTTTTTTTAGTTTATCTCTTAGTTTGTCTTTTAGTTTATCTCTTAGTTTATTCTTAGTTTACTATTTAGTTTACTATTTAGTTTACTATTTAGTTTACTATTTAGTTTACTATTTAGTTTACTATTTAGTTTACTATTTAGTTTACTATTTAGTTTACTATTTAGTTTACTATTTAGTTTACTATCTAGCTTGCTATATAGCTTACTATCTACTTTACTATATACTTTACTATTTACTTTACTATCTAGTTTACCTCTTAGCTTATTTCTTAGTATATTTTCTAGGTTATCTCTTAAGTAAACTTTTAGTTATCTTTTTACTAAGCTATTTTTAAAATTCTCTTTAGTTCTAAATACTATTGAATTCTTAAATATTTTTTTTAATATTTTAGTTTATCTCTAGTTTAATTTTTATCTCATTTATTTCTGAGTTTAGTCTCTAGTTTAGTTTAGAGTATAGTTATAAGTTTAGTCTTTAGCTTAGTTTATAATATACTATCTATTTTAGCTTCTAGTCTAGTTAGATGTCTTAATCTTTTTACTTAACTAGAGAATAGATTCTTATCTTCTAAGAGGAATTCTCCTCCTTAAACCCCTTCTTTTCTTTTTTAATATAAGGGGCGTTCCCCCTCTTAAACCCCCCCTAGTCTTCTTTATAATATATATAAGAGTTATTCTCTTTTTCTATTTAGATTCTAGATTTCTATTAGGTTTTTTATAATCTATTTCTAGATTATCTTCTAGTATAATTCTTAGTATATATCTTAATTTACTTCTTAGTTTATCTTCTATAGAATATTTTAGTCTATTTTTTATTAGATATTTAAGTTTATTTCTTAGGTTACTACTTGGATTACTACTTAGCCTACTACTTAGCTTACTACTTAATTTACTATTTAGTTTACTACTTAGCTTACTACTTAGCTTAGATTCTAGGTTACTTTTTAATTAATATCTTATTTTAGCTTCTAGTATACTTTATATTTATTCTACTTTTTATTTTAATATCTAGTTTAGTTTTTAGTTTAGTTTCTAGCTTAGATTCTAGTCTAGATTTTACTTCAGCTTATAGTCTAAATTAGTATTTAGTTTTAGTATAGCTTTTAGTTTTACTTATAGTTTAGTATTTAATTTAGTTTTTAATCTGCTATTTATTTAGATTTTAACTTAGTTTTAGCTTAATTAATAGAACAGTATCTGTTTTACCTTCTACTTTAGTTAAACTCCTTATAATACTTAGTATCTTATAGTTTTAATAGAAAATAGCTTACTTTATAGTTAACTAATTAGTAATTTATAAAAGCTCTAAATTTTCTATTAGAGCTTTAAGTCTTATAAAGTAGTTTTTTAGCTCTATAAGTACTCTTTTACCCCTTTATCTATTTTACTACTTTATTAATTCTTTTTTATATATATTAAGCTTTCTTCTACTCTAATAACTCTTTTTTTACTCTATTAAATCTTTTTTAGTTTATCTAGCACTTTCCTTACCTTGTTAGAGCTTTTTATACCCTACTAAGCGTTAATAGATAATAGAGCATCCTTAAGAATCTATATCTATCTTATAGCTAAAAAGAAAAAGTATAGTTCTACTAGGGGTTAAATTAACAACCTAAAGTATACACGCGTGTAATTAGTAGTCGGTATAACTAGCGCGGTTAGTAGTTAGTGTTTTTATAGCTAAGCTGTAGTACTAGCTACAGCTGCAGCGCACTAGCTGTAACTACTAGCTTACAGCTCTATAGTCGCAATTATTAAGCCTTAGCCAAAATTTTAAATCCCTAAGACTTTTATAGTAAGAGTCGTAGGACGCTATAAAGTGAATATATTGATAGAATAAAGTTAGGCTTAGAAAGTTAGAGACTAGATTTTTCGATTTCAACCTACAGCGTTTATTATTATATTGCAAGCATTTTTGCTATATAAATTTTAGATGCAATTGTAATTTTCGCTAAGACCGCGCACAGTAGAAAACTATATTTTATTAAGTATATTAATATACTTAGTTCGTCTAGAAAAGAAATATATAGAAGCTAATCTAGAATATTATATTAAGAGTGGATTATTTTTAAAGCTAGATAGTAGTCTATTAAATATTCTTTTTTATTATTTAAATACAAATATCTAGAATATTCTCAACGAGATTTATATCTTATAATTACCTAATTCAACAGACTATATATTAATAATAGCTATATTCTTCTAGCTAATTATTATTCAGATTACGTGCTATAGCCTATACTCTATTACTAAGCTATATTGTGAGAGTATATAATCGCCGCATTTATTAATTATTAGATATTAGATAATAACATAAGCGCGTATTATAATACAATACCTATATCCAGGCCTCGGGTTAAAGCTATATTAGTAGTAATTAACTAAAAAGTCATCCAGAAACGAGCTGGCTGAGTTTAGTGATAGAGTACGGGCTGCGGCACGTGATTCGAATAATAATCGGCCGGGAGAGTAGTCTCGGAAACTTGCTATTGGAGCTTGACGTTCGAATGACGTGCACAGTTAGCAACACTTGTGAGCCCATTTTGTGCAAAACCACAGCAGTAAATATTTCGGAACTTGCTCTTGTTGACGGCTACATATCAGGGTTTCAAAAGAAACGGCACCAGATAGCCATAGAGGCCACTTTATACTCGGTATCATATAGCCGATAGGGGCTCATTTCGTCAACCCGATCGTATGTCGGTTCATAACCCGCGGCTACTTCGGTTCTGGAATAACCGGTCAGCATAGGTGGTTGGTGCCCGCATCAGGATATCACAACCAAACCTTAGTCTATCGGCGTTATGCCGCCAGGCTATGTGATCGACTAGAAGATGATCGGAAGCAGTCTAATCGGTCCGGCAATAGCTGTTCTTGCTCTCGTCTTGGGGGCTGCGGGAAACATACTTAAACCTTGCCCTTGGCCTAATATAATTGAAATAACTACACTGAGTTGGGCCGTCGTTTCTATTACTCAACTTGCCACTTCCCTATTGCAGGTATCTTTAACAGACGCCAATTAGGATCAGCTGAGAACCAGAGCGATGCAGAGAAATTTCGACGCGATCGTTGTTGGTGCAGGCTTCGGGGGCATTTACATGTGCAAGAAATTGATCGACCAGGGCCTATCAGTCAAGGTGATTGAGGCAGCCTCCGATGTTGGAGGAACTTGGTATTGGAACCGATACCCCGGGGCTATGAGCGAGTTCGTTGAACTAATCCGTCCATACTCTCCCCGTCGCTGATGAGCAATAGTACCGGGTCCCACCTGTATCGCTATTCTTGGGACTTGGAAGACCTCCGCCAGTATCCATGGGGGCGCACCTATGTGCGTCAGGCGGAAGTCTTGGCATATCTACAGCACGTTGTCGAGCGCCATCGACTTCGACAATACATGCAATTTGACACGGAAGTCATCTCAGCCGACTGGGATGCCAGATGCAACCTGTGGGTGGTTCGGACCGATACTGGTCAAAAGCTAGAAGCCAAATATCTCGTCACCGCAGTCGGCCTTCTTTCTAGACAGAATTTCCCGAAGTACCCTGGCATCGACCGATTCAAAGGCGAGCTCTACCATACTGGCTCGTGGCCCAAAGCGCACGATTTCAAAGGAAAGCGGGTTGGAGTTCTTGGGAATGGCTCAACTGGCGTGCAGGTCATCACTGCGTTGGCCGATGAAGTCGAGCAATTACTGTGCTTCCAACGAACGCCTCAATATGTTGTGCCAGCCGGAGATGTCGTGGCGACGCCGGAATATCGCAAAGAGATCAATGACTCGTACGAGGACATCTGGAAGCAGGCCAAGAACAGCCAATTCGCTTTCGGTTTCGAGGAGAGTAAGAACCCTGCGATGAGTGTTGGCAGCGAAGAGCGTGAGAGGATTTTCGAGGAAGCATGGCAGCAAGGCAACGGTTTCCGATTCATGTTTGGCACGTTCTGCGACATTTCGTACGACGAAGAAGCGAACAAGGAAGCTGCAAACTTCATCAAGAAGAAAATACGGGCCACAGTCAGAGATCCGGTGAAGGCGAGCAAACTGATTCCTACCGATTACTATGCAAGAAGACCCCTATGTGATACAGGCTACTACGAGAAATTCAACCGGGACCATGTCGACATCGTTGACATCAAGGAAACGCCTATAACGCATTTCACGGAGAAAGGAATTAGAACCTCTGATGGCACTGAACATGAACTGGACGTGGTGATATGCGCAACAGGCTTCGAAGCTGTTGATGGCAACTACACCCGCATTCCTATCAGGGGCCGCAAAGGGGAGACGCTCAAGCGGCGATGGGCAGAAGGTCCAAGCTCATACCTGGGTGTTTCGGTTCCCGACTACCCCAATCTCTTCATGATACTAGGTCCGAAAGGGCCTTTCACCAACCTGCCACCGAGCATTGAGACACAGGTGGAATTTATCTCTGGCCTGATTTCACATACGAACAATCTAGCTCCAGCTCTTGTCAACGGCACCAGAAGGGCTGTGGTAGAGGCAACAGCTGAAGCGGAGGAGGAATGGAGTGACGTTTGTGACAAGCTGAGTGCGAATAGCCTCTTTCGGAAGAGTGATTCGTGGATCTTTGGGGCCAATGTTCCTGGAAAGCGTCCCACAGTTCTCTTCTACTTCGGAGGTTTACGAAACTACCGCACGGTTCTTGATGGTGTGATTAAGGCGGGATATAAGGGCTTTCTGGGTTGCTAGACTGTCATATGATTTTCTTACAGCGCTCGAAGATGGTTGATTGCCCTGACCTCATATTTAAGAGGTTGAGGTAATGATTATTCTGAGCTATCGATGACAACATCTTCGAATGCTTCTCTATGTGATATGTCTATCTGTCATCATCTCTCTAAACGGACAATCCGACCAGTATCCTCTCCGAAAACATTTTATGTGTGCTCAAACGCGCCTCATAGTTATAGATTGCCCCAGGAGCAATAACTAGTCTTGGACGTTTTACGGAGAGATTCGAGGGCCGAGAACGATACGGTTAAAACCATGTCCATATGCGCGGCCACCCGAGAGAATTGCGAGCAAGATGGTACACAAGCGCACCGAAACTGATTAATCTTTCAATCAAATCGTTCCTGTATCGGGGTTGAGGAGGTTTTGAATTTGCCGTGATTTGCGTGACGAGTAATTTAGCTATCAATATATATTGTAGAATCTTTCGTCCCTCAGAAGGTCTCTGGAAGATTCACTTGAACTCAAGCAGCAAGGTATCTCTTAAGTGACCAATGCCTTCAAGCTGGGCAACGGATAGCCTCCAATATCGGTGGAGAACCTTCCTGCTATAGACATCAGAAACATTCTCTCCAACCCAATAACCCAGCAAAGACCATCTCTTCTCCATCTTTCGCAAGATGGGTCCACAAGACTATGCAGTTGTCAGCAGGTTTAACGTCGCGCATCCTGAATTGGTTCCATGCCAGGCAACAAGCTCCGTGCTTGCTGTGCATTGCCAGATCTGATATTACCATGGCCACACCATGCGGGGGGTTTATCGGTAGGTTCTTATCTTACCACGCTTTGAAAAAGCTCTTTGATAGATCAGTTAGAGTCACAAGGGGAGCCATGCAGTTGGCTCTAATGTCGTTCGGTTCACGGACACTGAGACGCGCGCAGTAAGCTAGGAATACCATGCTTTGACGCAATATAAGCGGCAACGCCCGTAGCGCTGAAATACCTGGAGGCTGAGATGGTAAGAACAATGGAGCCCCGCGAGCCGTCATCGAAGCATGCCGCATTATCCTTCTTGTGATGCAGATCAAGTCGCAGCGCTTGTGGTGTGCTAGATATAGCATGAACACCGGTTAGAGTAGAACAAATTGCACGTACTGTTCAACACTCCCTTTAGGTTGATGTCAATTACTCTGGAAGCCTCTGCCGCTTCTAGCAGGTCACCATCCTTATCCAGAGTCTCCATGTCTAATGTTGGCCGACTTTCGGTGGCTCCTGCATATACCACGACAACGTTGATCTTCCCAAACATCCGGATAGTCGCTTGAACAAGTCCTTCATGCCACACCAGTCAAGGATGTTGGTCGGGATGCAGACTGCGTGTCCTGTTGCTGGCGGCGAGACAATGAGTTCTTCGGCAGCCTGGTGTGTACGCTCCGAATCAGCGATTACAACATTCGCGCCATGGGAGGTAGAAGATTCGAGCTATTCGGCTCCTATTCAACCTGCGACTCGAATTATGACAGTAGTTTTCGACGCAAGCTGCGGCAGCAAGCTAGAGTCTAGAGCTATGGAATGCATTTTAGTCTCAATGTGGATCAGTCAGGAGTCTCCTATGATGAGCATCCATGTGATCACCCATAACACATACCACCTTCGCCTACAGAGCTCCACGAGAATTAAGGTACATCCCCACGATTTGTCTTGCTTAGAGCAACATCCGGCGAATTAAAGTGTAAGCGGCATTTACGGAACACGATCGCAAGGCGCTTCCAACAGTACCCCGTAAGGCCTGTTCTAAACAGTAACCCAGCCAAGTCGAGCCTAGTAGCTAAAGTGCGCAGCTATCCTCGTACTGGCCCGCCGCCTCGGCTATATGCATGACTGGCAAATCTGTTTGAATAGCGGGGGCCACTTTCTTGGAGCCGTGCTGACTAAGCGAATCAGGTGATCCCGACACGTGTGGCTATGTAAGCAATACATCCGAGTGAGAACGTACTGAATTGACTGACTCCTATCCTACAGTGATATGTACCGTCTATATAGACTAAGGGACTATGCGTTTATACCAACACCCTTTGCAATTCATTCAGTCTATAGTGAGTTGAGCCTTAGGGTGAACTAGAGAAAGAAGACAAATGATATCTGATTCTACTCCGTTAGAAGCGTATATCTCGAACCTCTTAATTACAGGAAACTATAAGCACTACTAGCGCAATCCAATCAATCCTACTATGTGTCGATAATTGCTTGCTATAACAAAGTTTCTGGCACTTAGGAGTGAGGTGATCCGAGTCTTTTGAGAACTAGATGTAATAAGATTGGCTAAAACGACGCGCTGCCAGCTTTAGAGGGGGCGAGGCAAAGCTCAAGCAGTATATATACATCATGATACCACGCGTTATATAAAGTCATGACAATAATTTCTTCAGGCGTAACGCGATCTAGCGACATTAATCATCTATTTGCCAGCTTCAAAAATGATCTTCGGGGACTTCATCTGATTAAAGTCGTCATAACTGGGAATCCAAGTCACTGGAGATTCTTCTCTGGTATGGGAGCTGAGACTCACCTTTGAACAGCCTGCGATAATGGTCGAATGTCCGTAACCATGAAACTGGCGGAATATCAGCATGATTTCTCCAGAACGTCAACAGGAGAGCCTACTTCAACAAATCCTGTTTCTGAACCAACAGCTTCAGAGCATCCTCGAACATGGCTGTATCGGTAAAGGTCAATGAGAGCAAAGGGCTTTAATCGGCGCAGTAACGTACTTCGAACGGGACATCTGCCCATTTGGATTTGCAAATTCTTCCCGTACGCTTCATTTGCCGTCCATGGAATCTCGCCATTGTGCACGCCCACACTCGAGATTCGGCCCCATGGTCTCAGCAGGTCGAAGCCCATTCTCAAGGCGCTGCTATGGCCAACAACCTCGATGACTACATCCGCCCCTCGTCCATCGGTGAGCTCTTTCACCCTCTTTCTAAGGCCTTCTTTATCCTCCTGAAAATTCCATGATTCCGCTCCGAGATCCTCGGCCAGCTGGAGGCGAGACGGAACGCTATCAATAGCGATCAGATGTTTAGGACAATACGCTAATGCACTAATCAGAGAGCAGATGCCCACAGGCCCGCAACCAAAAAGCAATACTGTGCTGTTCTGGATGGTGGTTTCTGTCAGATCGTGAAATGCATTGGAGGCAGCAAAATATCCTGTCGGGAATATATCTGCCATCAAGACAAGCTTCTTCTCGTCGATTCCCGAGGGGGCATGCATTAAAGTCGAATCCGCCAGTGGAACGCGCACATATTCAGCCTGTCCACCGTCCAGCACGGCCGTGCCGAAGAGCTTGGAACTAACACAGCGAGAGGTGGCGCCCTGGCGGCAGTAGAAGCATGCCCCACAACTGACGGTGAAGGGTGCAACGATATGACCGCCTTTGTTAAAGTTCTGGATATTGGGTCCTATCTCAGATATCTCGCCTGTGAATTCATGGCCCATGATAAACCCCGTTCCTGAGGGCTGGTGGCCGCGAAACACATGGATTTCGCTAAGACGGATATTAGCAGGTGCTACTTCTGCTATTTCACCGTCGTTGCATTGAATTTCGGGATAGGCGTTACTTGCCTGCCACATAACGCCGTGTACCGTACTTTGACAATAACATCTGTTGGTTCTTGGATCTTGGGGATTGGGCGCTTCTCCAGCGCTACTTGCAGCGTGTCTTTGAACACTACAGCTTGCATATTGCCTTTTGATCACTCTTAGCGATAGGTGCAGCGGAAAACCTAATGTTTATCATTATTTGGACACGCTTTGCGCCGGCCATCGTTTAATATATGTACTGGCGGCGTAGTTCGGGGGAGAGCGCAATGCACTCCGAACACCGAATCCTAAACAGAGTTGCCACGGCTATAAGGGATAGAATAAAGCCGCAAATGGTTCTCGGTTATTAGCCTCTAAGTGACGTTCTGCTGCTAAAGCCATCTACATCTCATTGATAGTAGGAATTCTGTAATAAAGCAATTAGTATAAAATATAAAATAGAAGCTTAATTAGAATATTTAGTAAAAGAGATAGCGAAAGAATTCATAAGTAGCTTTTAATAGAAAGTAGAGGAATTTGGCTTCCAACTAGCTAAAAGACAAGAATACTAGCTCTGTCTATTATAGAAGTATAAGATATTCCTCTAATTAAACAGCAATATTAATATTCTCTTTTAGATACTTAGAGTTTCCAAGTAACTCTTACTACTCTAGAATAGCTTGCAAGCAAGCTAAAATACTCTAAGTATTCTAAGCGCTTAGAGCGCTTTAGATATCTAGAAGAACTTAAATTTATAGTCTATCTACAAGCGTACTTAGTATAGTTTAGTATGGTTTAGCGCTACTTAATTAGTAGCTAAATAATTAAAAAGAAGCTTCAAATCTAATTCAGCTAGTATAATAGAAAAAGAGTATAATAGAGCTAGTTTATAGGTAAGCTTTTAATAAAATAACTGTTAGCTACTTAATACCTTAAAAATAGATATTTTAATTCTTTCTGCTAGAAGGAAAAGCTAAGTAAAAAAGAAAACTCTAAAAGTTTTACTTATTAAGCCGCTTGCTAAGTAGCGCTTACTATTCTAAACATCTTAGATATTTCGAGTACTCTAGATATTTTCAACTAGTGTTTATCTTCCGAGTATTTGAATAATTACGTATATAAAGTACTCTTAATAATCTAATTAATATTTACACTTTCGAACTCTTAAATTATACGTCTAGTATTAAATTTATATCTAAATTTCAATATATTATAACTAATTACTATTAGATAAATATTATCGACTATTAAAGCTATATTCTAACTTTCTTTTATAGATTTATTAGTTATAGAAATAGAAAGAAAAACTTAAAAACTATCATAGCTTATAAGAAAATATAATTATAAATTATAAAAATAAAGTAGAGAGTATAGGAGAAAGTATCTTTATAGATTATAGAAATAACTATAAGATAAAAGTAAATAATAGTAAATTACAAGTTATAGTACTAGATACTTAGAATATTTACTCTATAAAAAGATTTAATAGGTACTAGAGTGTATACTAGATAAGATAAGAAGTAGAGAATAAAGCCTTAAGTAAAATAACTAAATAATTAATCTATTAAATATTAATATATAAAAGAGATTGTTGAAATGCTCTTAAAAGACAGATTAATAAAGTAACTCTCAAGATACTGGCTATAAAAGAAACTAATATAATAATTGTTTTAGTTATCTTAGTAATAGAAAGTAAATAATAAACTAAATAATAAGTAAGAAATATATTAAATAGTCTATCGGTTCTATATAAGTCCTTAAATATATAAATATAGTCTTAGTGTAAAACAAATACATCTAAATCGATTTGAAGTAGATGAAAATTAAACTTGAACTATATATAATAATAGCTATAAAAGTTGAATATAGAAATATATATTCCCGAAACCTACTAATATATATAGAAGCAGTTATAGTACAAGATAAGTATATCTAGAAAGATTGTAGTAGTAGTAGATTTATTATAGAAAAAAAACTTGTAAAGTTATAGTTTAATAAGTACTATTTATTAGCTTTGAAATCTTCTACTGTAGGTAAAAGCAATTTTAATGCAAAATAGATAAATCTAAATAGGTTTAAAAACAGTAAATAAGTATTTAAAGATTAGGTGTAATTGCAGCTTATACTATAGGAAACTAATATATACTAATTATAATTTCTTAGTTATACTACTATAAGTAAAATCGAATTTAATACTAAATAAATACAATTAGTTAATTATAATAGACTTCTTCTAGTATTCTAAATAGATTGACTAGACTATAGTCTATAGTTAATAAACTAGCTAGATAAGCTTTATATATAACTTATATATCTATATCATCTTAGAGCTATATATTTAGATTAGGAAATCTTTTTTTTCCTTAGAGCTTCTTAGAATACTCCAAGGATTCTCTAAGAACTCTAAGACTCTAAGTAACTCTTACTTCTACTAAGAGGCTCGCGAGTATATCTAACTACTCTAGATAGCTAAATTATCTAAACTATCTTAAATATCTAGAAATACTACTTAGTAGAGCTTAGTAGAGCTTAGTATACTTAGTTAGTAGCTATAAAAAAATAAAAAAGCTTTATATCTAATATTACTAGTTGGATAGAGAGAGTATATAATAGAGCTAGTTTAGAGGGTAAACCTCTAATAAAACAATTATTATTCGCTTATTATTAAATTCGTAGATATTATACTTCTTTTTACTAGAGGGTAAGAGTTAAGCGAAAATAGAAACTCTAAAAAATCTACTTGCTAAGCCACTTACTAAGTAGTGCTTACTATTTAGAATATTCTAGGTAATTTAGATAATTTAAATACTTTAAATATCTAGAGCGCTCGGAGCGCTTAAAGTGCTTTAGACAAGATAGCTTATTTGCAAGTAGCTTGCAAGTGTATTTAAGTACTCTAGGTATTCTAAGCTTTCTTAGAGCGCTTAGAGTGTATACTATTATAGTATATAAAATTTTATATTTATTAATAAAGATTAATTAATTTGTTATTTTGCTACTACTAGGAATGTTATCAAGTTTAGAGAATTAGTACTTTTAGCTTAATATATCTATATATTACTATAGTATCTATACTCCTAAATATTCCTTCTAATTCTAAGCTTATATATATCTAGAATTATAAAGAAAGATATAGTTCTATAACTTAATTATAAATATATATACTATCTAGCTTTCTAGTATATTAGGAAAGAATTCTAAACGCTTAGAGTTACTTAGAGTATAATCTAAATACTCTAAGTACTTAGAGTCTTTAAGCGACTCTTATCTTTCTAAAGTAGCTTGCAAATCGCTTAGAGCGCTTAGAGCGCTAAGTTTTACTTAGTAAGTAAAAGATTTTATAAAAACAGCTTGAAGTTCAATCTAATTAGTAGAATTGAGTAGAATTGAGTAGAATTGAGTAGAATTGAGTAGAATATAATAGAACTAGTTTAGAGGTAAACTTTTAATAACGATAATTATTATCTTCTTAACTCTCAAAAATATAGATACTATACCCTTTTTTACAGGCGAGATAAAGTTAAGTAAGTAAGAAAACTCTAAGATATTTTCGTAGTTTATATTCTTTATTACTTACTATATAATTTATAATTTTCTCTAAGTACTCTCTAGGCGCTCTAAGTACTTAGAATACTTAAATTCCTCGCAAGATACTCTAAATATCTTAGATAGTTTAAATGTTTTAAACTAAAACTTTTTTAGAAAGATTTACTAATATAGGCTAAGAAAGTATATAGCTTTTATCTATAAATATATAAAATCAAAGTACTTGCCTAGAAAGCTAGCTTATCTACTAGACTTAAAATTATTACTAATACTTTACTAGAAGAAGAACTCTATAGATGAGCTCTTCTAGTTTAATTATAGTTCTCTAAGCTATATTCTAGTTATTTAACCTAGTATATTTAGATTAGTACTATCTATAGTAAATTAAACTATCTATTACCTCTATCTAAATTAATACTATCTTGTTAGCTTCTATTTACTCTGAATATTAAGTAGCTTTTACTCTTAAGTATTGAATGTATTATTAACACACTATTGCTACAAAAGTTATATCTACTTAATAATAAGAAAACTATATATTATATTTTAAAAATCTTACTTTATAGTAGTATAAATACATTACTATCTGTAATTTCCTCTAATATACCTATACTACTATTAATAATACTAAAGAGAAAGCCACTTACTCTAATCCATAAAATCAAACCTTAGAATAATAGCTATTATAATACTTAATACTAAAAATAGAATGTTTAATCTCTCTAGTACTATATATACTTTAGAAGTTAAAGTATAAGAATATATAGTAACTTATCCGATTCTTGATCCATTTAATCTAGATAATACTTTTTTAAGCATTCTAGTATATTTAGTAAGCTCCGTGCTTATAGTATAAAAGTACTAAATATTATATAAAAACTTTTATTACAAGTTAAGTTAGTTAGAGATTATATTATTAGAAACTAAAACAGCTTATTAGTATATCTCAATAGTATTTGATTATATTTTTAATATTACTCAAATAATAATAAATTAAGTTATTCTATTGAGAATAATAATATGTTTGAGCACTAGATAGTTAATACTATAATATAAGGAGTTATTCAAGAGGCTTATTTAGTAGTAAAAGATTTAATATTATAGAAGAAATTGTTTTCAGTCACTTAAGCTACTACTAATAAGTACTCTAGAATAAAAATATACTTATAAGAAATATAGTTAAAATAAAATATGTTAATCTAATATTATTATAAAGCCTAAACTCTAATCTAATATAACACTTATCTATTTACTTTAGAAAAATTAGAAGTGCACTTTAAAATAAGCTTAGTACTATAGTTAAATATTTCTCTAAAGTATTATAAAATAGTTTCTACTAAATATAATTCTCAGCTAATTAGAATGTTATTCTACTATAGTTAAAGTAGTAAATATAATTTAAAATATAAGATTGAATCTAAATACTTCTTCTCTAGCTTAACTAATAGGCTGAAATTATAATCTCCTCTATAAATATATATCTACAAAATACTTTCTCTAATTATTTAGTAGAACATATTAATTAGATAAAAGCTAAGCTCTACTACTAGTTCTAGAACTTCTATTACTACTAAAAACTAAAGAGTTTGAGATATATAGTAGAAGGAACCCTTATAGTCTAGAGAATCTAGAATTTTATATATTAAAAAGTAAATTACTAAGCTAAAGTTTAGTGTATAAGAGTCTAATTCTAACACTTCCGGTTTCTTTTAGTAAGATATAGACTAAAAGAAACCGAGGTAGAAGAAGAGAAGTATTTATTATATATTAAAAGTTAGCTATAGATAGAGATATAGTAGTTATTTGCGTATTTAAATCTAGAGAGAACTATTCTATTTATTTATTGTTATCTTCTAAAGTCTACTATCTATCCTTTCTTCATACTAAGATTGAAATTAAATATAGTTTATATAATAAAGAGTATACTACTAATTAGTCTATAATAGAGAGTCTTTATTTAATATTTAAGATATTTATAAAAGAAAGCAATTTACTACACTAACGCTTATAAAATTTATCAATTTTACTTTTATTAGGAAATTGTAATAAATTACCTAAGAAGTATTTATAGCTATTTAATAATATATAGCTAGCTAGTAAGCTACAGCTCTTATAATTAAATCTATAGATTAATAATAAATTAAACTTCTAAGATACTTTCTAAGGTAAATAAGATACATATAGAGTATAACTAGAGCTTTTAGTATATAAGGTTAATATAAGTAGTATAGTACCTAGCTAAAAGTCTTTTTATACTACTATTTTCTTACTACAACTCGCTGTTAAAGTAATAAATTATTACTCTAGTAGGATAGAATACTTAAGATAACTAGAATTTACTTTATAAAAACTTAAAGGAGTATTTAATAGATAAATAGGTAAAGTATAGCTACTATCTTTAAATCTATATTAGTCTAAACTTAGTAATTTCAATAGTAAAAACTATCTTTTCTTCTTAAAGAGTAATTATATACTTTCTTAAGATAGAATTATATGTAAAATATAGAATATCTACTACTAGCCTTCTCTATATAATACTTAGTTATTAACTATATAGTTATATTCTCAAAAATTAATTTTAATTACTATATAAAACTTTACTTTTCTTTAAATCCTTTTATTACTAGTATATTAGTAATACCACTAAGAGCTTACTATAGTAATAGTAAGGTTAAATTATAATATTACTAGAAATATAGCTTCTTAGCTGACTAATAGTATTAAACTAGCTCTTTTAGCTTTTAAAATTTTAGCTAGCTAAAAGTAATATTTAGTATTTTAAGCTTAACTAAGTATAAGATAGTTATAATATACATATTATTATATAGCTAAAGTTAGCTAGTATTAGACTAATAATAGTCTAATTCTATAACCTTAGAAAGTAGCAATAAAAGCGTCGAGTTTTAATAAGAAAATAGTAGTATAGAAAGACTTTTAGCTAGATACTATATTTATACAAGTCTATATTACTAAGAAATCTTTATTATAGTTCTAGCCTAGTAATATTCTTCTAACTATATATTAGCTAGTTATACTACTACTTCTATATTTCTCTTTTATCTAACATACTCTCTATAACTCTATTCTCTCTTTATATTATATTTTATTAACTAGTATAGTAAATAAAGCGTGTTTATAACGCTTTCTATACTATTAACTTATATACAACTAGCTACTTAATATAAGTAGAAGAGATCTAGAGTATAGTAACTACTATACTTAAACTACTAGAATTATATAGCTTTATATTATAGTATTATCAGCTGACTATATACTAGTTTAGTAGTCACTTAGCAAAATAGACTCGTACGAATACTAATTGCACCAACCTCGTACTATAAAAGTTCCGATTCTAAGAAAAGTTTCAAGTATTTGTATTCTATAAACCAAGCGATTTTGATAGCCCGCAATTAATATTATTAGCCTTCTAAAAAAATTATGCTTGATATACTATACTGTATCCCTGAACGTTTATTAATGCTCACTCTAACACGAATTGAGAGTACCGAGTAGAGTGGATCGCTAGAGATCTTGACTAGAATCCTTCAGGTTGTATATCGAAATTGTGGGTTCTAAGGAGAATAATTAGCCTTGATCTATTGAAAAAGAAATAGTCCAAGGGGATTACTCACCTTCTTATCGGTGAGGTCGTCCTCATAAGCATGGTCGAAGCCTTCTGGAATACCAGACGCGTCGCGCTTCTTATTCTCCATGACTGCGAGATACCAGTAGACGGCGATGAGAACCATGGTAGCCAGCGCCGTTGCAAGCACAGCAATAAATGCAGGAGCATACGCAGGGGCATCCTTAGAATTGAAGACCCTATGTATCGAGCGGTCAGTATATTTCCGATATACCTGAATTAATTGGAGAGATAACACCTACAAGGGCCCAATGATATTGCCAACACAATAGCCAATGAACACACCAGCAGCGTTCAGGGTCCTCTTAGTATAGCCAGCAGCGTTTGCCATGACCACACCGAGGAGGACGCAATAAGTGCCTCCGAACGAAGCGAGGATATATGTAGCGAAGAGAAGGCCGCCTTTGTTGCTGCGCGGAAGTTGCCACTGCAGGATGGATGAAACAACTGTTGGAACCTGGCAACACAACATAATGATACATCTTTTGTTTTTGAATTTATAGGCGGCGTACGCAGCGCCTAGTTCAATGCAGCCAGTAACGAAGCCAGCTGGCATAGTGAGAAGCAGCGAATTCAAGGCGTTGAATCCGAATCCCTGCACGACGATAGGTGTGAAGGTCGAGTAAGCGCCGTTAGCAACACTCAGGAGGAGTGCGATGAAGAAGTGAAGCCAGAACCTAACGTCCAGGAGTGACTCGGCGACTTGAGATCCCTTCCAGTGTATATTGCGGACGCCGCTGTTGTTCTCCTGCATTCGGGCCACGGCGATATAGCGCTCTCGTGCTGTAAAGTCTTTGGCGCGGATTGGGTCGGCCGGAAGGCAAAAGAAGATCATGACGGCCCAGACGATTGTAATTGCGCCAGCAACCAGGTACATGTACTTCCACGGCGAAAGAGATCCTTTAATCTGCCCAAGACCGTAATTGATAAGTGGTGAGACGACGCCTGCGTAGCCTGTACAACAGTACCATGCCTACCAGGAACCTTGGTCAGCGACAAAGGTAGAGTGTGATGAAGAACTCGACAACTTACACCTATGCGAAGAGCTTGCTCCTCTAACGTTCAAAGCCAGTTAGTTTTCGACAAGCGGGCACGGTAGCTTGGCAGGCGGCACTTACGTTTACGATACCAGCCTCCGACCACAATCATAAAGATTGGTGAGATTCCACCTTCCAAGAAACCGAGACAGAAGCGCTGAGCCCAAAGACCTTGATAGTTCGTGCAGCCAGCCGTGGTCATGAGACTGACACCCCAGACGACAGTGAGACCAGCAGCAACGCGTTCAATTGGGTACTTTTGTGCGAGCAGAGAGCACGGATATGAGCCAAAGAGGAAGCCAATATAGAAGACTGAGGAGCTGAAACTGTCTGTCCCGTCCTGATCAGTCTCTTGGATAGCGCCTTTCGGGGACAAGCTGGCTCACATCGGTTTGCAACATTGAGATCCAGATCCTCTCTGATGCCAAAGATAGCCTTGAAAACATCAGTCTCCGCCCACCGGAATATACTAATGGTTCTTGAAAAGACTCACAGCTTGCGACAGCATGGCCTTATCATAATATTGTAGACCGTATCTGCCATTATCCGTAAGCGAAGTGTGCGAAGGCCTTGTAGAACAGAAACTGGCGCCTACGTGAAACATAGAAGGGGAAGTAGTCTCCAATCTAGCTTCCGGAGAAGTCTTTTCTCCTCTTGAGGAGACCAAGCATCGTCGCCGTGGTCCTGTGCAAAGACTCGCAGCGCCTCATCGTTGTGCAGAATGTCCACAGACAGTGCCTTCAAAGAATTCAGCTCTACATGATCCGCACTGACTTTGGTGGGGAAGGCCGAGGGCTTCTCGGTGTCCCCAATTTGGGAAGCCATTCTGTCAAAGTCGAAAAGCTGAAGAGAAACTCGTAAAAAAGGGAAGGAGTTGCGCAGAGGAGTTTTATAAAGACCTCTGCAGTATAGTCATTCCACAGATAGTTAGGAAAGGATCTCAAATCGGCTGCCATTGCTTCCTATATGTAGTCTAGTAGTCTTAAAGGGAAGGAGAGCAGCGAAAGCTTGTCATGGTCTGGGCAACAAGGTCTTGCGAACGGAGCGGCATATAGCCACGGACACAATGATGTTGTTGCAAACGCGGCAGGTGTATGTATCCCGCACCCGCATTCTCCATACGTTCAACCGGCCCGCACCCGCATCCTTCCTACGCTCAACCGTAATTCGAACCTCCCGTCCTTTTAGAGCAGCATATAGCCGCGCATGACGTCCACCTCGCTTTTTGTCCGTCGATCTGGAATGTGAACAAGTTCAGACGCATTCAGGCAAATGAGAAAACAAGGTTCAACACGTGCCAAGACCGTGAGCTTTTTGGATATAACCGTGGACTTAAGCTATAAACGGCTAGCCAGCTACTATAGCCGGTTAGCAGGTCACCTGACCGTCTATATCGTTGAACAGCGTGTCGAGCGAGTCCGACTACTAGACCCCCGCCCGTCCGACAGTCGAGCGATTTCGAACACTGTTGCTAAGAATGCCACTACAGATGAAGATGCGCCCAAAAATGTTGATATCGTGCCTCAGGCCTCAAAGGGGAAATGATCTGGTCTCTAGGATGTATGGGAGTACGAATTGGTGATGGAGCGGTGTATGTTTGGGCCCAAAGCAAAAGTCCTCTATTAGACATATATTAAGGCTACACAAGGGAAAGGCCTGAAGTTGAAAAGTGTCTACACAGCGACCAGGTAAACCCTGAGGGCCTAGACTTAGGGAGCAGTGAAATGACTTCCTGGATATTGCTAGCTATCATTAGTAGATAGCAACTTAAGAGATCAAGTCCTGTTAGTAGATCTACATTTTAGTAGGTCGCTGTAGGTCAGATTGCCGTCAGCATTACGTTGCATGTACTAGCTTGTCATCTGAATACTGTTTCTGCCACATTATTATCCCCATCGCACTTCCACTTGTCGGCTCTTATGCTGTAACTTCAATGAACTTATTGATGACCCGTCCACTTACTCGTCATCTCCCCAACCACCGAACTCCCTCACCATATTCTCGACATTGGCCCACTTCTCTAGCTTCGCTCTGCTAACAAACTCTTCCCCAACAAACTCCACCACGCTCATAACCGCCTGTCTTAGATTCATCAACTGACCCTTAACCCTCCTAATCTTCTCGCTCTCATCGTCCTTTCCCCTCGCACCCAGCAACCGTCCCATTCCCCTCAGGTGCCAGTTTCCTGGTCCGCCTAATCCCAAGCAGGAAATCGCAGAGTATACCACGGCTTCGGTCTCGAGTGGTGTCATAACCTCGAAGTCAGAGAGATAGAGGCCGTAGAAGACGAAGATCTCATTGAACTTCATATCCTCTTTGTGGCTGCCCCACGAGTCGAAGATCTTGGGTAAAAGAGTGACACCGTAGACTCTGTTGATTGTTTCGACGCCTCTATCGTATATCGTCTGTACGCTCATTTTTTCGGCTCGCCTATCACATCATGACTTGTCAGTAAGAAGAGATGGGTTGACCGGGACGAGAGCGAGGAGTATACGCACCATTTGTCATTCAGCGTGCTAGACCTAGATTTCGATTCGACATCTCCCTCAGCCTTCGCTAACGGCATCAACACACAAAGCACTTGCGGCCCCCCAACGAGTGAGATGAGTTTGAAGAGGACATCGCGTAATCTTAGGGAGAGGCGGCGTTTAGATTTCTCTGATGAGAACGATGGATCGTTTGTTGTGAGATGGGTGTAGAAGGACGCTAGGAGGCTGGTTGCTGGGGACGTAGCTAGGGTTGCTGCCTGATAGAGAACGATCGTTAGGAGGAATGATGGGAACTATGGTTGACGATCCTTACAATAATCAAGTACCATGCCTCCTCTCCAATCTCCACGGGTACTAAATTCTTCACCTTCTGGTAGAGGCCTGCCCATTCTTGTTCGCTACGTTCCATGGTGTTCTTCGTCATGACTAGACTTATAACAGATCTCTCGTGAATAGGCTTTCGGCGGTATCGGGTGTCAAAAGAATAATAGGCGTTGGGTTGGTCAATAATCTAACAAGGGCGTTGAGATAACAATAAGCTAAGTCCGAGCGGCACGCAATAGTATCAGACACCATGCAATTAATGAAAACGGGTTGAAGTTATAATCACAAAACGAAAAGCCAAAGAATCGCAAACGGTATGGAATTTATATTAGAACTAAAAATTTCTTCGACCAAAGTCCTCACTTAAAGGCTGTTGAACTGTATGATCTTCCCGGCTATTCTTTTTTATTATTCACTCATCGCTGAGGGATAAAGTCCGTCTCGCTTTCGGCTACTTAGCATATAGCCGCTTGTCACCCCATCTCTATCTTGGCGATCATGGGATATTTTCAGGAGAATTCGCTTCTCTTTCGGCTACTTCGCTGAGATCTGTACGTTAAAAGTCCCAGTTATTGTCCCGGTGATTACAGAAAAGTCACTGGAAAGTCCGTCTCTCCTCTGGCCACTTCCGCAACCCTCGGATGTTATTATTGCAGTACACATTCCGGTGATCATTTTCTAGCAAATCAAGCATTCAAATACTCGCGACCCGTTACTACGTACGTTTCTTGTCTAGTGTTTATCGTCTCGTTACATGTGGCTTATGACCAGCAACAATGAGCGACGCAACGTGGGGTTTCATTGGGTTGGGCCATATGGGTATGTTCTTACCTGACCTCTGGGATGAAGCGCTTTGAGCCCTTGCTAAAGTTCCGCCATGACGATAGGTTATCCCATGGCGAAGAACCTCCGCGCGAAGATGCCCGCCTCCAATACACTGATCATTTTGGATGTGAATAGCGATGCGATGAAGCGATTTGTTGAGGAGTCAAAGGCAGCGGCGAAGAGTAGTGGTGCGGGGGCCGATTCGATGAAGGTCGAGACTGCCCAGAACGCAAGGGAGGTTGCTGAGAAGTCGGTAAGTGAGAATAATATCCGGTCCTTTTTGTTCTCCTCAGTCGAGCTGCTTTCCCAAATTCCTCACTTTGGTTGTTAATGATTATCCATCTAGAGCGTGCTTGTCACCTGTCTCCCGTCGCCAGAAGTAGTCAAAACCCTCTACCACTCAGTTCTCAAACATGGCAAGCTTCCGCCGCTGGAACAGGAACGCCTGTTCGTTGATTCCTCAACGATTGACCTGCCCTCATCTAGACAGCTAGCCGATGCCGTCCACAAGACACTCGGCGGCCGGTTTGTGGATGCGCCCATGTCAGGCGGAGTGGTTGGCGCCCATGCAGGCACGTTGTCGTTCATGTTCGGTGCATCCTCGCAGCCAGGCGGGCATATTGAGCGAATCAAGTCTGTTCTCTTACTAATGGGGAAGAAGACCTGGCACATGGGGGAGCAGGGCGCTGGGGTCTCCAGCAAGCTGGCCAACAACTACATTCTAGCCATCAACAACATTGCCACAGCTGAGGCCATGAATATGGGAGTACAGTGGGGCCTTGATCCCAAGCTCCTGGCTGATCTGATCAACTCCTCTACTGGTCATTGCTGGCCGATGGCAGTCAATAACCCTGTTCCCGGCGTGGTCGACGGCGCGCCCGCGTCAAAGGGATATGAACCTGGAGGGTCAGTGAGCATCATAAACAAGGATCTGCGACTGGCTATGGCCGGGGCGGACGCGTCTGGCATTGCGTTGGTATTGGCCGGTACGGCTCGCGAGGTGTATAATGCCGTTGACGATGTCTACCGAGGTAAGGATCTCTCGGTCGTATATCAATGGCTGCAGGATAAGCCATCAAAATAGCGCTTAGGAATATTCGATAACGTATTATACAAGCGAGTGACCTAGCTAATACAAGAGCTCCAGGTGCTTTGAAAAAAGAACAAATTAAGCCTAATATAGATGCAGGTACTAAGTCAATCTAGTAATTACTCTATTTCTAGCTAGTATAAGAAGTTGAATACTTTTGGAACTAAGATAAAATGGATTCAATATAGATATAGATACTAAATTAAAGAGAAGATTTTCTATAGAATTATACTAAAAGATTAGAGATATTCAATATAATACTAATAATATAGTATAAGCTAAATATTAGTACTATTATAGTATTTATATATATTTAAGAAATATATCTATAGAGAATATAGTAATACTAACTAGTAGAAATTTTAAGATAGCTTAGTACTAGAATTATTTAGAGTTAGAATTATAGTTCTAACTATAGACTAGAATCTAAGTATAGAACTATAAGTTTTAATAAGTACTAGTATATACTATACTATACTACTAATAAGAAAATTAGAGAAAAATAAAAGAATAATAAAAGAATAGTAGAAGGATATTATCTACACTATATTAGGAAAAATTTAGGCGCTCGTGAAATTCGTATCGGTTCAAGACGTCCAAGGCGCTTCGAGCCCGCTCTGAGCGCTCCAATCGATTGGAGCGGGTATAAATTACTTAGTAAGTATAAAAACTATAAATTATATAAAAAATCTTAGAGTTCTCTTTCTCGCTTAACTTTTACTCTCCCGCAAAAATAGGTTATATATCCACGTTTTTAAAAGTTAAGCGGATAATAATTATTTTTATTAAAAGTTTACCTCTAAGCTAGATCTATTATATACTCCCTCTATTCTACTAGTTAAATTAGACTTAAAGCTTTTTCTAATTTTTTTTTAGTAATAACTAAGCGGGCTTGGCGCTAAGACCCGCCCTAAGCGCTCTGAGTATTTTAGTATACTCCAAGCCGCTCGCGAGTAGCTCGCGAGTGGGTAGAGTTGCTCGAAGACTCTAAGCTCCAAGCGCTCCGAGCGGCTCTGAGCGCCGAAATTTTTTTCCTAATATAAGAATATTACTAAAAGCTAGAGTTCTCTTAGTAATATCTACTAGATAGTAGATAGATATATATTCTCTATACTTATACTATTACTAAATTGCTTTTGAAACTAACCGAGACTTATATAAAGAAACCTATACTTCTAGCCTAATACTTACTCTAAATCTACTATCTTTATTACTAAGCTATTATATCTTATATTATAGTTATTTACTATATCTAGTATAACTACTATTAATAGACTTTATTAGCTCTACATAAATGTTAGAGTTCTTTTAGAGTAGTCTTAGATTTCTAGTTTTTTAGAGTGATGAGAACTTTTATGGTAAAAGAATAGGTTACGGGACCAGCTTACTATGCACCAAGATCCTCGCACAGCACTCATGGGTCATCGCCAACAATGTCTTAGCAGCACACATCGAACTCGCAAAGAAGCATGTTCCGAACGCCTTGTTGATTAAGGCTGAAATGATGATGCTGAACTTCCCACCGGGGACGTTCGACGCGGTAGTTGCTTTCTACTCGATCATCCATCTCCCCGCTTGACGCAACCGGTTCTCCTCAAGCGTGTCTCGGAGTGGCTTCGCCCTGGGAAGTGGTTCCTTCTGAACCTGGGAACGACGAATGATCCTGGTTCTGTTGAACTAGATTGGCTCGGAAGCGCAACGTTCTAGAGCAGCTACGATGCGCAGACGAATCAAGAAATGATTCGTGATGCAGGATTGAATATTCTTGCTGCAAAAGCTCTACACGACAACGAGGATAGGAAGGCCGTCCATTTCTCCGGGTACTTGCAAGAAAGACATGTGAGCGCCTAGGATAACACAATCTGTTGGTTTCAAGAGCATACGTGAGCGCTCTGCGAGCGATGTTAAGTGTTTATATAGTTGGAAAGTACCGCTGGTTGTCCTGAAGCCCGCACTACAGGTCTAATTCTGCGGGAAAATCCTAGGGTAAGGCTGAGCGCGCCGTGGCATGAGTCTCACCGAAGACTGACAGTACACGCCGCAATGGGTGACCAATGTGTGATCGTGGAGGACGCGCCATACAACGAGCCTTACCGATGTTTAAGAGACGTGCCACGAAGAAGCACCACTGTATACTTGACAGGACATACTGCGGAAGCAGCTCGTCAAGCGCTAGGTGTGACAGCCTTGCCTTCAGGCCTCACCTCATATAACAATGGCATTCATGTCGGAGCAGAAGACCCGTGCTTGTTATCTGTCTGTCCGTAGCACGCGCAGCTTCCTGCGCCTTGCCCTCAGAATGGTGAAATTGTATACGCTGTGAAAGTATGCCAAAATGCTCGCTTCAATGTCTTCTTCCTTATTATACACCACAGCTTTTCTTCTCAGAAACTCTCTAGACAGAGCACCACAATACAGATCTCCAGTTGCTGGCAGCGGAAATCTACATACAAGTGGTCTCGTAGCCTTCTGTCCCTTGGGCCTTGGAACGCACTTGAAGTCGCGCCGGTGGGACGCAGCAAGAGTTCTGCTTCACGAATCTCCTAGCTATCGCATCGCAGAGCCGGAAATGTGTTACATCCACCACGAGTCCAGCGCATGCGGCCACTCAACTCTGGTTGTGCGTCATATCTGCCCTTCGTACTACCGCTATAGTCGACTGTTCCATGGCGCAGAGCTTGATCACAATCGAAGACGGTGTCGATATTTGCGCGAAGAAGAGACCGTTGTCATTGTAGTCTGTCGTGATTGCTTTTCCCTCGAGAATGGTAGGACGCGCCCCAGCCTCGGCATCGGAAGCCTACGTAAAAGAATGGTGCCACAAGACCACATCGGACTGATAGAGAGCCGTCTACGAAGAATCAAGCGGACCGTGAGGGAGTTCATTGATGACGTGCAACGAACGGCGAGCAACATTGCCCAGGATGAAAGCTTCGCAAGGGCCCTTCCTGTGGTTGAGCGGGGCGTGAAGTTGGTCCAGAGACACTGCGATGCGGAGATGCTGGTGACCGCTAAAGCGCATGGAATGAGAAAGCTTAGCAGGTTAGCATGCAGGATCATGGAAAAACTGCTTGATCGAAGAAGGATTCAGCCGCGCTCTTACGACGGCATGGACTATCGGCGACGAAATGGCGACGACCTGCACAGATGCCAGCTGGCTTGATATGGCTGGCAGAAGGGCGAGATGGTGAAACTGACTGTGAGAAACATTCGAGACGAAAACATTCTGAGACAGATTAGATAAACAAACACTGGCGCTGGCGCCTTGGACTGATTGAAACTCAACTCAACTCTGGCCTTGCTTTATAGCAATGCGTAATCTACCTGCTGCCTCCAAATTTCTTCCTCAGCTCATCCCATCTCCTGGTATCTTGGACACTCGTCCTCACTGTACCTCGAGCAGCCTCAAAGTCCACCGCCTGGACCTCATCGCTGCCTCGTCTGAGAGCGTTTTGCCCAGCCTTCCTGAGCAGCGCGCTGAGATCTGCGCCTGAAAAGTCCTTGCAATCTCTGGCAACTTCCGCTAACTCTTCTTTAATGACGCCGCTCTGCCTGATCAGTGCTCTCAGAATCTCCACCCTTTCATTTTCCTGAGGCAACCCAACCCATAACAGCGTCTCAAGTCTTCCAGGACGAAGCATGGCCTCATCGATAATGTCCGGACGATTCGTGGCCGCAACCACGTAAATTGCTCCTCGAGTACTCAAACCATCCAGCTCGGTAAGGAGAGTGTTGACCACGCGAGCAGAAGCTTCGGAAAGGGCGTCATTGCGGCGTGGGACAAGCGCATCGAGCTCGTCGAAGAAGATGACGCAAGGGACAGAGCTTCGTGCGCGCATGAATACTTGTCGGACGGCACGTTCGGATTCACCAACATACTGAACAGCTTAGCTTTCATTGACAAGAGACGCGCATTTCACGTACCTTGTTTAGCAGCTCTGGACCCTTCACGCTGATGAAATTTGCCTTCGACTCCGCCGCGACCGCCTTTGCCAGCAAGGTCTTGCCGCATCCTGGAGGACCCCAAAGTAGTATACCGGTGGGCGCAGAGATACCTACTTTTCTGTAACGCTCGGGGTTCTTGATGGGCTCAACGACGGCTGTCTGGAGCTCTTCTCTCACGTCCTGAAGTGCTCCGATATCGGCCCATGTGATATCCGGTATGGTGGCAAATCCCTCGCGCTTGCTGGAGGGCTGTACATGAGGTAAGACTGTCAAGAACGCTTCCATGGAAATAGAAGTGTCTTCGAAACCTGCAGGCCGCGGTTGCTGCTTGTCCACAACCCGCTTAATAAGGCGGCTGATTGACTTGTCCATATCCGACACCGTAAACTGCTCTGCGCTGTCGTCAATGTCCATATTTGGTTCGGTTTCCGCAGCCTGTCGTTCTAATGCTTCGCGGAAGCGATCCATAGACCAGGTGCCTGCCTTGCCGACCAGATCCCTTAGATCCGCGCCTACAAAACCGGACGTCCTCTTCGCTAGCTCCTCAAAGTCTACATCGGCGGAAACCTGCGTTTCTCGTGTGAGGGCTCGTAGAATCGCCTGTCTCATAGACTCGTTGGGCACCCCCATGTTGATCTCGGTGTCGAATCTTCCTCCTCTTCGCAGTGCTGGATCTAGACTATCGGGTCTGTTGGTGGCGGCTAATACAATCACCGGCTTGCCTCCATGCGCCTCCAGGCTGTCCATGGAGACCAAGAGCTGCGCTACGATGCGCTTCTCCATCGATGCTTGCGCGCTGTCACGCTTTGGCGCTATTGAGTCAATCTCATCAATGAAAATCAAGGCAGGCGCGCAATCTTTCGCTTTTTGAAAAAGATCTCGAACCTGCTTCTCAGATTCGCCTGACATGTGATGTACAATCGATGGACCCGATATCTCGAAGAACGGCACACCGAGCTTTGAAGCGAAAGCTTTGCAGATCAAGGTCTTGCCGCATCCAGGCGGACCGTGTAACAGTATCGCACGCGGTATGGGAATCTTTCGTCTCGCGTACTCCTCAGCGCATAGCAAAGGAAGGACAAGGTGGTCCTTGAGCTGTTGCTTGATATCGTCGACACCGCCGACGTCTTCCAACCGCACGTGGCTCGGCGGAGCAGTACTGATCTCCTCTTCCCTTCTGCTTCTGTGCTTCTTCTGTGCTGGTTCACCAGAGGCGAGCCGCTGCTCCTTTCGTTTTCTGGTGCTTTCCGAGCTCGGAACAGAGGTCTCCCCGTTCGCCGCAGGCGTCGCTGCACCAGGCGTGTCCGTTCTCGGTGTGGTAATCCCAGAAGTCCTGTATGAAGCCACTATACTCCTGTTCATGATGTTGCCTGCGCCCACCTCCTCCCGTAAATCATGGTAGTCCCCCTCAAGCGGCCCAAGCTCTTCATCGTCACCCTCATCCTCCTGCAGCACGGCCAGGACGCGGTCGATGCTGTCTTGTAGGAGCTTCTTGGGCCTCCGGCTTAAGCTCGAGTTCGACCGTTTGATGGAGTCGTACACCGAGTATACAGAGAGTGGAGGGGCATCGTTCGTCTGCTCTTCCTGGAGCTTGCGCACCACCTGGTATATCTCCCGATCGAGGCCGGTTTGGAGGGAAGGGCGAGGGCGCCCGGACTTTGAGGGCATGGTGACTGGATACCAGCGTTCTGAGATGCTTGGATTATGTGGAAGCGCATTCGCACCTTAGATCGTTTACTCTTTCTCGGTGGAGCGTTCTACGCACATGGTGACACCGTTCAACTTCAAAAAAGTTTACGGCACCACTTCTATCGATAACGCTGGTAGGGCTGAGCCAAGAGTGGACACTCCATCAGCCAACAGTTTGAGGTAAGTTACCACGAGCCAACCCCATGGACTCATTAACGAAGTCGAAGATATGGGCAATGCGGCCAGCTCGAACAAGATTTCCGCTCAAGACAAGTAAACTCCCGCCTTTAGCGCTTCCTCAGCAGCGTATTGCTTACCCGTCATGTCAGGGCGATACTCGATCTCAAGAACCAGCGCGACAAGCTCCACCAGTACCAGAAGCGCATCACCGTAATAACAGCCCGCGAGACCGACATCGCCAAACAATGTCTCGCCCGCGGTGACAAGCAGCGCGCTCTTCTCGCTCTGCGTCGCAAGAAGTACCAAGAGACCTTACTAGAGAAGACGGATGCGCAGCTGGCACAGCTGGAGATCCTGACGAGCGACGTGGAGTTCGCGCTTGTGCAGAAAGATGTCTTGTTTGGGTTGCAGCAGGGCACTGTTGTGCTGAAGCAGATCCACAAGGAAATGGGCGGCTTGGAGGCTGTTGAGAGGCTGATGGGAGAGAGCGCCGAGGCGCAGGCATATCAAAGGGTAAGTTTAATTCTGTTCGGCTTCTTCGACCGCACGGTCTACTAAGCTCGGTCGTTACATAGGAGGTCAGTGAGATGCTGGCCGGTCAAATGTCGAACCAAGACGAAGATGAGGTAGAAGACGAGCTTGATGCGCTCGAAGCGGAGGTGACAGGTGTTAAGACAAAGCTGCCGGATGCTCCTACTCAAGCGCTGCCTGAGGGCGCTCAGAAGGCGACTGAGGAGACTCCGCGCGAAAGGGCACGGAGGAGGACGAGGGATCAGGAGTCTTCGCAGCCTGCTGAGCCCATGCTGGCGTGATTTATATTTAGGAGGAGTCTTGCTGCATCTAGCGATGGCATTTTCGGGCGTCAGTGGCATGAAAATCAGCACAAGCATTACTAGAGCTCTCGAAGAACAGATGGCCGGGAGGGCACGTTTGCTGTTTGCTTTGAACTCGGTATTGCCCAAACCGATCAGTGGAGGGCACGTGAACACTGATGATATAATAATGATTGTTTGCTTTCTCCGAATCAGAATACCGCATCCACGTTCAAATATGTAAATACAATCTAGCAGCTCCCGGCTTGCGCCAGACAGCGAGGCATTCTCTGGAGAAAACCTGCACACTACAAGTGTTCGAAATGTCTCATTGCCATGATGACCACTCTAGCCACTCCCACGACCATGGCGGGCATGAGCACGATCATTCCGACGATATCACTCCCGCCCTTCAAACCTTGCTGTACAAGCAGATTGACTTCAGCGCTCTGACTTGTCTCAACGAAGCGACTCCCCGTTCTGGTGCTGCCATCTGTCAAAAGACATGGGCACAGAGACTCGAGGCCGAGCCGGAGCTCGAGAGTGATGCTGATGAGCAACTACTTATGATTGTCCCGTGCGTGTTCTATAGGTCATACCAACTGTGGAGAACATATCGGCTAACCACCCTACTCTCCAGCTTCACAGGTCAAGTCCGCCTCCACAGCATCCTCCTTCGCACAAGCACCGACGCCTCAGCACCAAAGACGTTGCATGTCCACCTCAACCGTGACGACCTTGATTTCAGCACCGCCTCTGACCTACAGCCAACGCAAACGATCGAGCTGTCTCAGACCTCTGAGGTACAGGAGCTCCCAATCAAGCGCGCCCTGTTCAACACCACACGGTGTCTGGCACTGTTCTTTCCTGACAACTTTGGTGATGGGGAGGACGTCACCAGAATCTCGTATCTAGGCTTCAAGGTTTGTCACTCAGTTTGTGAAGATGGTGGATGTATCTCGCGGCTTACCTTGTCTAGGGAGAGTTCATGAAGCTCAATAAGGAGCCTGTCAACTTCTTGTACGAGGCCGCTGCGAACCCGGCGGACCATAAAACTATTGTGGGTACAAGGGAGGGAATGGGGAGTTTGGGCGGAGCGGCTGGTGGGAGGGATGCTATGTAGTTTCCAAGGACGAAAACAGGCGTCAGTTAGAGACGAGACATGAGGCGGCGTTTGGAGCACAGGAACAATGCGCTGCTGAGTGTATGGCTGGTCTTGGCTGATATTGACCTTCATTCGGAAAATTGGGCTGGAAAAATCCGCACGTCGAGAACAAGTTAAACCAGGCAAGCAGAAGAATGGAGGTTTCTCCGCAAACCGTGAACCGCTACGAACCCACTTCCAAAGCGCCACGCTAATCTCGATTCTTTTGCTTGAGTGGGCCTGTACACAAGGCACAGGTTGCAGAAACATGCGGCGAACGATATCAAACTGCTCAGCGGTACCAGGGTGGCAGACCGCGGGTTTCTCTCGTCGCCAAAGCCGAGAATATGCTGTAGACACGCAGAAGAGGTGTTATCTTGGGTAGTCCAGAAGGATGCGATTGGAGTACATACTTTCCAAATTTGGTCAAAATCTCATGACTGGCAGCGTTGCGGAGCGCTTGATGTCACCGCAACCCGCGGATCTCGTTACTGGACGATTCCGCGTAATTCCTCCAGGCCCGCCCTTATGTCCATGTGCAGGCTATCCAGCTGCGTCTCGTCTCAACCCATGAACCCAAAGTTCGTCGCAATTTCTTTCCTCGACGTCTCATGTCACGATCACACATGCTTCGTCCCCCCCAAAACATCCCCCCGCACCTCCCTCCAATTGATGCTAGCATCCAACTCTTCGTCCACTAAGCCGCAGCACACCACATTATCTCCCCGTATAAGGTACAGGCCATGGCTAGCTTCCGAGCTCGGTTCCGGATCGTCGACTGGCCGTATCACGCGCTCTATCGTATCGCTTAGGACGATGTTGGTAAGCTGATCGCAGGAGAGGAGGTTGCCGGTTAAGGTGCGGCCGTCGGCTGTTATCACTAGGACTTTTTCTAGATCGAGTGTCAGTATTTGTCGAGCCTCGGGCAAGCAACTCGAGTTGAAAGCATGGAAGCTTGACGGGTAGCTAGTAGACATACTATTAAGGTAGTGGTTCAAGGACATGATGGGCGCTGCGAGCAGATTTTGTGTGGAATTGTAGCCGCGGGGCGAGGGCGCGGATGCAGCACGAGTGTAGAGAGAAACCTGGTGTCTCAGCGCATGGGTAGGCACAGTCAGCGCAAAGGATGCCAGCGAAGTGCGGTGAGGTTTTGCAGATTGCACGAACGAGATACACGTAGCTGAGGGCTCATTTGATCACGTGAACGCGCTTTGCGTCTTTGCGCGTACCTAGCGGTTCGCGCTCAGGCAAGCAATTCTGCTTCAGTCTTCTGACATCTGCCTTACAATAAGACGGTCTCGCCGGTGCCAGGCCCATCTTAGAGAAGTGGGTTTTTCCTCGGGTACTTTTTGTTCAAAGAGAATGATTGCCCACTACGAAGGGGGGGTAATTTACTGAGGACGCGGCCACCGCTTAGCCACCCTCTGATCCTATCAACAAACACTACCAACCACCAAGTATAAATATCACTCGGAGCCTCTAGTGATCAGATTTGTCTCCGGCAGCTCAGTCCAGCTTTGCAAGTACCAAAGCACTGTGTTGAGAAGCTTTATGCTCGCACGCCGTCAGGCGGCCGCTTCTCCAATATATATCCCCTTTTTCGTAGTCTAGCTCGGTCTTGTTCTCTCTCAACTCACCTGCTCTTCACTTTCCCTCCTTGTTAACCTGATAACCCCTCCAACACACCTTCCCACCACCCCACGCCTCTACCACACCCTCTAAAGGAACCACAATGGCCCCCAAAAGGAAACTCATAGTGATAGTCGGCATAACTGGAAACCAAGGCGGCAGCGTCGCCTCACGCTTCCTCTCCGACCCCAGGTACCATATCCGCGGGCTCACCCGGAACCCATGCTCCCCCAGCGCTCGGGCGCTGGCCTCCAAGGGCGTCGAAATCATCCCCGCCGACCTCGACGACGTAGCCACCCTGATCCCCGCCTTCCGGGGCGCGAATCTTATCTTCAGCGTAACGAACTACTGGGAGCCTTTCTTCCGACCCGACTGCCGTGCCAAGGCCGCAGAGCTCGGGATGAGCTGCCGGAAGTACGCGTATGAGGTTGAGGTCAGACAGGGCAGGAATATTGCGGATGCGGTGGCGACGACGGTCGAGTCCTTGGACGAGAATGGGTTTATCGCGTCGACGCTGAGTCATGCGGCACGGTGTAGTAGGGGCAGGTTCAACGAGTTGTATCACTTCGATGCGAAGGCGGAGGTTTTCCCTGATCATGTGGGGGAGAATCATAAGCTGCTGGCGAGAAAGACGAGTTATGTGCAGACGGGGTTCTTTATGAGTTCTTATCGGTTGGCGCTGGGGGCATATTTCAGAAAGGTGAGTTGAGTTCAGTCGCATCGCGGTTTGTGCTTGATGGCCTCGTGTCCGCATTGTTGACGGAGCTGATCCGACGAGACGATCGCTTAGACGGACGAAGATTCCTTCCTCATGTCCTTCCCCTGCTCTCGACATGCACCGATCCCGCATCTCGACGTCAGTACCGACCTTGGCCCCTTCATCTACGCCGTCTCTCAGCTTCCGCCTGGCAAGCATTACCTCGCCGCCGGGACAACCTGCAGCTGGAGCGAGTACATGCGCATCTGGAGCGAGACTACAGGGAATCAGACCAGTTATAAAGAGACTGGTCTACAGGAGTTAATTGAAAATACTCCGGATAAAGAGTTTGGGAGAGAGATTGGAGACATGTATCTTTATTCCAGTAATCCGGGGTATGATGGTGGGGATAAGACGTTGTTGAAGGCACAGGATATTAAGAAGGTACTTATAGTCTCTGTTTTCCTTAGGGCTTGTAATTGCGGTGGTTCAGTTGCTGACGGATGCGTTTCCAGCTTGGTGCAGAGTGCCCGATGACGGGTTTGGAGGAGTGGATGAGGAAGGAAGATTGGTCGATGGTTCTTAACCAGTGAATTGGACTTTCCGAGGAGATAGATCACTTAGCCGGCTGAGAAGAAGACCAACTTAAGATCTTAAATCCCGTCTGAACGTACATACGTGATACTATTCCCTTCTTAAACAACAAATCCATTTACACTTTAGGGGACTTCCCATAAACATAAACGACCCGGTAAAATGTGTACCATTGCAAACTCGGATCATTGAGCTCCTTCTTGACCACTCCCAAGATCACTTTCACCTGGTCCAGGGAGTAGTTCAGCACCTGCGTGTACAGAGCAACAGAATGCGCCTCGAGCGAACCTTTCATCTGCGCGCGCTCGTAGCGGCCGAGCTCTTTGAGTTTAGGGTGGCTGGGCCATGGACCGACGGGGACCTGTTAATATGCATCAGACACTACAAGGCAAACGTTTAAGCTTCTGCAGGTCCTAGCCGAGGCGACCGAAGTGGATAAGTGAACTGGTCTCAACGATCCATAAGACGATGATGAATGCATAAAGTCTCCAGACCCAACGCTTACCACCCGGCTGAGACTATCGAGAGAGCGGTGTTGGCGAATTTGCAATAAGAGTCGTCTGTTTGGGAAGTACGGACAGTACGATGTTGGCTTAGCAAGACCGAAAGCGGACGTAGACAAATACGCTATGCGAGAATGGGCAAGGAGTGACTATTCAGGAGGTATGCTCTGAAGGGGGTTTGCCGTGCTGGTCGACTATCGCCAGGATGGCATCTTCTGTCATACTACACGCTTGACCTGCGGACGTAGGTGAGAAACGGCATGCACGAGCGCGGTCGGCTATACTGACCTCAAAGAATCTCTTCAACCACCAGACCTGGAAAATGCCCTCCCCAAGCAGAACCAGCAGCTGGAAAATACTCCACCACTTGACCCTAGCATTTGTGCTCTCCGCTGTGTTCCTGTGTGTCCGCTCCCGTATAATGATGTATCCCTGCTCATCCTTCACTTGCGCCACGAGCTCGGACAACTGGCGCACTACCACTGTGTGAGCTTCAGACCGCCTCTAGGGATTATGTCACGTCGTACCTTCCTTCTCCAGTGGATCTTGCGGCGCCTCTGACTCCGGGACATAAACAATTCCATGGACGTTGAACGAGACCTCCTTCGTGTTGGCCGACCAATGCTCGTTGCTAAAGCAATACGTGTACCGGCCGTCTATGGGCGCTTCGAAGGAGTGGTCACCGGCCGACACGGCGCGTTCGTGCACTTGGTATGAGTTGTCGGGTTTTTGTATCTGCAGCAAACCCCAAGTCAGCGCCCTGCACTCTCACAAATTAAGAAGTGGCTGCTTTGGGCGATGGGAAGAAAATCCCCACGAACCCAAAAGTCGAGCTCCAGGTTTCCGCTTCCGCCAAATTCTCTGTCGCCCACTTGAAATGTGACCGTCATCTTGTCATCCTTGTGTAGCTGTTCGTGGAAGCATTCGCGTGAGTGCGCCTTCATCTGGATGTTGTGGGCGGACGTGGTGGCCAAAAACGCTGTGAGGACGGCAAAGGCGAGGTACAGCATCTTGGGCAACGCCGGCCTCTGTATCTGTCTTTCTGGCGTGATTTCGTGGTGTTGTCGCTGTTTGTTGTATATTTGGGTGTAGAGACAAGCTGCTGGAAGAAGTCGCGGAGCATGGGTTGTTCCGCCAGGGGTTTTGGAGGTTCTTGGGACGAGGCTTCAACTTCGCAACTGAGGCCTATCGAAGGGGTCAACAATGCGGGTTTCGTTGTACGGACATTTCACCGCGCATTGTAAACTGGACTTGGTCAATTGCTTGCCTTGCGTCCATGTTTTGTTCGAAATAATATTGTCTCTATGGTCTTTCACTCAATATTTCCTTGCAAGTTGCACAGAGCCTTTTACATCCGTTATGCTGGTCTTGAGCATCGGGTTAGGGAGCGTCCTTCTTCTGTTCAGACTCAAGCTTTTAGTGGGAGAACAGCCTGGCTAGTGATGTGCGTTTCAAGAGCCATCAATGAAGGTTGCATTCCACCCGTCATCAGAAATCTCATGTATCATGGTCTCATCATCCTTGAGTCCATCCGCCTCGTCGATAGAGGAGATGAAAGGAGTTCAAACAATGCTGTCCTGGGTTGAACACGTGAATGCTAGTGAATGAGAGAAGGCTTCTTTCTGCAGAGTTCAGTTTCTCCGTAGCATTGCATCATGTTGTAGTCTTGCCCAAGCCGTGTTCACGCTCTTCCATCCGGCCCAAACCTCAGCCGCGCACGAGACACCACTTCACCCGTCATGTAATCCAACCGATCCTCAATCTGCTCGACCCAGATTCAAAACCCCACGTTGGATTAGCACACGGTCTAGGTCATTTCTGAAGAAAGTTCTGGGTTTAGCTGTAGGAAAAAATGGTTTCTCTGACAGAATTGTTAGTGGAAGGATACGTGCTGGGACACACTTCCGGCTTCCGGCACCGGCAGAAGGTAGGACTGCTCAGCTCTGTCTTTTAACTCGATCTCTGCCAGATGCCCCTCTGTGCAGTCCTTCCGAAGCGTCTTTGTAAGATGTTGTTTATATTTTCCCGTTAGTTATGCTCCGTGAGGCGCGTCCATGACCCTTCGTTCTCCGTCACTTAGTTGACACGAGGCATTGATCATACTTTCTCTGCGGAATTTGCTGGCAACAGGATCTTCTAAATGTTTCACGCTCTCGAGGTTTTGATTCCTTCAACACCCACATCTAACACATCGCAGAAAATAGCCGCCTTCACTCCACGTCCCCCGAAAGCTCCCTATGCCGAGACTAAGCCCGCCACACCCCCTGCTGACGCTCCCGCAGCCGCCGAGCCCGCGGCACCAGCAGCAGCGGCAACAGAAACCGCCGCAGCTGAAGCGCCAAGAATAGCAGAGACCAAGAACAGCGGCAACGGCGGCATGGACTTCACAGACGAACAAGACCAGCAGCTTCTCAGCCTCAAGGGCGTCGGCCAATCCTGGAAGTACATTTCCATGACACTAGACAAGTCTGTCGGAGACGTCAAGCATCGGTACCATCTGATCAAGCACAGGGATGTAGCCGGTAATGCCAAGGAGCCTGTGAATGATAAGGCTGCTAAAGCGGCTGAAGCTAAGGCTAAAGGATTGGCTGCGAAAGCTGCGAAGGAGGAGGAGAGGAAGGCGAAGGCGAGAGCGGGACAGGGGGCTGCCCATGCCCAAGCTGCTCAGGCTCAGGCCCGGGCACAAGGTACCGCGGCTCAGAATCAGATGCCTGGCGCTTCTCCAGGGAACCAATATGTCTTGATGGAGGACGAGTTCTTCAGCTTCTCTGATGTAAGCGCCACCCGATGCCGACCTCGGAGCTCTCTGTACAGTTGCTTACTTGGAACTGTGATTTTGTAGCTTCAACTCATTGCTCGCCTGGTCCAGAAGGAACAAGAACAGCTGTGGCTTCGTGTTGCCTCCAGATTCTACGATCATACTGAGCGGCGCATCCATCCCGACGACATTAGGGACAAGGTCCAAGGCCGACCTTCTCACGATGTTTGAAGCTTTCACGATCAGCCTGCTACTAATTTTCTTGCGGCTTGTTCGAATGCATCCCAGAGCGGTGTAGGAGAGTGGGTCTCTGGAGCCGGATCATGCCTCTGTATTATGGCTGAGCTATGCATAAAGCATCTGTCCGGCATTTCATTGGGTGGCTTTACGGAACAAAACGGGGCAGCGTGCCAGCTCCCGTAAGTTGGGTACTAGAAGGCAGTGTAGCGTGCTATTGAACGAAGATGATTATCTACTTCCTTCCGGTCCCTCAGACACAGTCATGCCCTTCCTCCCCTTAAACCCAATCTCCCTCAACCTCTCGAGTCTTCCCCCCAAGATCCTGAAGCAGTCGGGAAACCAATCAATCTGCTCCCCATACATCATACCCACCAGCGCCTCCGCACACTTCAGCGCAAGCACCATCCCATGCCCATTAAACCCCGCCGAAACCCACAAGCCCTCCGCATCCGGCACATGCCCCACAAACGGCAGCCCGTCGCCAGTCACGCCCATGATCCCCGTCCACTCTTTCCTAACTCTACCGGCGGGATCGTCGGCGCCCCAGAGCGAGCCGAAGTATGCCTTCGTGCAGTCCGTGAGGTAATGCGATAGTTGCGGATTGAGAGTGCTGTCGTCACAAGTCCCGTACTCGCCCGCCTCGGCATCTGGCGGTAGGCGACCTAACCCACCGCCGATTATGATCTCGCCCGGATAAGGGGTGGTTGTGGGGCGGGTGATCATGTATTCGTATCCTGTTTTATAGATGAAGGAGTAAGTAGTTGATAAACAGCCTCCTTGTGGTAGACCTCCGCCGGGACGCTGAGCGGTAATCTGGCCTCTTAAGGGTACGATGAGGGATTGAAGTGTTGGAAGGAGGTGTGCTGTATAGCCGTTTGTGGCAAGGATGACGTTTGGTGCTGCGATGGTGCCGCGAGCTGTCTGGACGAGCCAGCGGGGCGGAGGGCTACTAGTATGGTTCTGCTGCTCTAGTGCAGGGAAGGGGACGATGCAGAGTACCGGGGTGTGCGTCTGGAGATTTAGGCCTCTGTCCAGGCAGCACTGCAGCATGCTGGATGTGAAGCTGTAAGCTGAGATGCTGCCGGCTTCGTACTCGAATGCGCCCGCAACTTTCTTGCCATCGTAGCCGTCCAAGTCGACGTGAAACTGTTCAGCCGCTTCCTCCGGACCATAGATTCTATATCGGCCACAGCCATTCTGGCACTCCTCACTTGTTAAGTTCTCCTTCATCATGTTGATCGCTTCGGCGCCGGAATCGAAAGTTTGAGCGTCGTACACGATGTCAACGGTATCACATGGCCGAGATTCGCAGCTGAAACCAAGCTTGCGGGCGATGAAATGAGTGGCTCGGATATTGTCAAGTTCGAGCCGAGCGATCTTGAGAGCTTGAGACATGCCATGGTGCTGAGCATGGTCTGGAAATGTACGATAGGAAGCCGCTTTTGTGTGGCCGCCTGCAGCATCACTCCTCGAACGTCAGCCAGTGTTCCGAGAAAATCAGTATGGCTTGTTATCTTTAAAAGCGCTATGTAATCTCGTTGGTGTAGGACTGAACGTAAATGGAACGCCGGCGAGAGAGTTGACTGAGGTGCGACCTTCGAGGTGTAAGGAGAGCTCATCAACACGGTCACACCAGTCTCGCGACCGCAACCAGAATGCATCTCTAGAGTCTCAGATGAGGTGATACCGTGTTTAAATATAAAGATCTGAAGTCGATGGCAGTCATGGCAGCGGAGCAGGAACTGAAGTTAGCAACGCAAGCAGACGGACACCACGCAGAGGTAAAATTGGAATGACTATTTTCTTAGGAAGTTGACTTAAGTGAGGCGCTCTAGATTTATAACGAGAACAACCCTCAACCACCCTGACCGCTGGGCCGCTATCAAGCCTGCCACCTTTCACCAGGCCAAGTCGGGTACCCTCACCGTCGAGACCTCTTGTGTTGTGAGTTCGAACGGGTTCCACGAGTCTGATACAGGCACACTAGGCGTATGTGCTACCTGCACCGCCTCTCGCCTGCGTCTTGCCCATTCGAATGCATCAGAAATGTTCACCCACCATTCCTGCCCGTAGCTCCGCTCACAGCGGCTCTAGCTTCCAGCATGACCACCCTCGCATCCTTGCTCTTCTCCAAAAGATTCCACGCAATCATCGCGCTGCTGATGCCCGCGCCGACTATCACATAATCGGCTGACGAGGGCAGCTGCTCCGTGCTACGGCGGTCATGTATGGCCGAAGGCGGCTCTTGCCAGCAGGAGGAGGTGGGGTTTGATACGGGCAGGGATGGGAGGATCAGTGAGCGAGCGTCCATGATGGGATACTTTGTGTCGCAGGCCGTAATTCTAGAGTCTCTTGGGTTTGAAGGGGTGCTCGTAGGGAAGTTGATACATCAATGCCATGCTACACCCACGGCGTGACGTGCGTGAGTAGGGTAAGGTAGAGAAGTGAGGTGGTGGTCAAGTGCTGGCACATGTCACCGCTTAGACCTGCCGCATCGGGACACGGTCCACCTGTGAATCCATACGCCAAAATTCACACACCGGCGCGGTCAAAATCATCAAATTCAAGTTCATGGAGGATGTCAATCAGAGCACCAATGTTTTGGCAGTCAGACAGCCCATGCAGGACGCCTTCTCGTGCCTAAGATACAGCGACCGCAGTCATCGAATCCGCATATGCATCCGCATCGCCTATCCGCGCCCAGAAGCCCTGAGTGGAATCCATCTATCAAGCAACGAGCAAGGGAGTGACCCAATCGAACGCAGTACGAGCTGGAAGCGTAGTGGGAGTTCACTACTCCTCGCCGCCCTTCTTTTTGCTCTTCTTGCTTGGGGGTGCTGCGCCTTCCTTCTTCTGGTGCACGACGAACCGCGTGTAGCACTCCTCCTTGTCCCACTCGAAGCCTGCGAGGATGGGGTTCTCGAGCTCGTCGTCGGCCTGTTGTCCGGTCTTGTCAGCCAAAGGCATCAAGAAGGAGGTTGCTGGGCAACGCAATGAAGAGAAACAGGGGATACATGGCGAAGGTCAAGGTTGAAGGCAACGACGGAGGCATACCTTCTTCTTGTACTGCTTGTAGATGGCATCTAGCGCATCCTTGATCGTCACCCCCTTCATGTTCCGCGCTGTCACTTCCAGCCCTAGCGGGAAATGGAGGTCGACCTTCTTGACCGGCGGTTGGCAGAGAAACTTCTTGAGCGTCTCCTTGTCATCTAGTGACGCTGGTGAGGTATTGAGCTTCCTGTAGGGGAGACGTTAGTTCGGTGCCACGTGCATGCGACCGTACCTTGGGCAGGGTTGGAAAGCAACGAGGGACAGAGGATGGTCAACGACCTGTTGGTAGGAGCAAGTAAGTAGAGCAGTAAGACTCACCAGTTCAGCTTCTGTGTTTCCGGTGCGATCTTGATCTCCTTTCCTTCCCTTTCTACTCGAATGTCAGCTCCGCACTTGTTCCATTCCAGCCGGCCTACGCCTCGCAGGGGCCGGCATCGGCAGCATCACCGTCATTACTCACCTAGGTCGGCGATGTTGTAGACGCCCGTCACGCTACTGCTCGTTCTCCGATGTCCAGCCTTCTTGTCAGTTGGCGGGGAGCTTGACAAGCCTTCGGAGACGGCAGAGTCGATCTTGGTGAGTGGTGTTGAGGTTTCCGCCATTGTAGCTTACGAGGGCAGCGGTGATGGCGGGCTGGATGATATCGAAGGACAAGCTGATAGGAGGGGTCTAGGTGGGATGCAGGTACACGGCAGGTAGATTAGGTTCACGAGTGCTCTCTGTGGTCAGTGATGGGTTGTGTGTGGTGGAAGGAGAGGGAGAGGGAGGTCCGGAAGATGAAGGGGGACGCGGCGGGCGGGGTCGCGCGGCTTGTCACCTGCTCATTGCAGCTCCTTTGCCCTCACACTACGCCAAGTTCTTAGGGCTGGTCGACTCGGAATGTGAGCGCGTGCCTGCGTCGTTCATTGCGGCACGCCATCGTCTTATGCGTGTCACTTAGAGGGAAGCAGTATATCGCTTAACAGTAGACGGTTCAGCTTCTATCTTCGTCATGCAAAGCGAGCAGCGAGCAGCGAGCAGCAAGCAACTTGGCTGAGGCTGTTGTTGTACCTGTGAAGCCTGATTAGGATAGGCTTGGCTGGCACGGCTGGCATGCCGCTATCGCAGCGGTCCGAGCTCAAGTATCTGGGGAAATGGGGAAATGCGGGGAGAGCTGTCTTAGCGACAATCGGGTTTAGCCGGATGGAGCTCCTGAGTGGTTTGCGCTCAGGGGCAGCGCGTACATAACCAACTTGCGTACGATCCAACTCAATGCTCTACGAAGACGTACAATACACGTGATTCATGATGGTGCCTTGAACTTGCGACTTTGACCAAGGTGGCTGGGCCTCTCCGGCTTCGCCTCCAGCGCATGAACGAGGTCAAGCAAGGGTGACCACATCAGAACCGGACTGCCATTCCAGGCACCTTAGTTGTGGCCCTCGATTGGCCTTGGCTGATACAACTCCTCGAGATACTTGATCTCGTCGTCTGTCAGAGACTTCCCCCGCACCCCAATCGCCTCGTCCATCCTCTCCACGCTGGAAAACCCTACAATCGGGCTGGTAACCTTGGTGTTGATCCAGGCCAGAGCAACCTGGCTCATCGTCCAGCCATGCTTCTTCGCCAGCTCCTGCACACGCTCGATGATCTTCTTGTCGACCTCGAGATGGCCCGTCAACGTGTCCGACTGCCCCTCGCCCTTGGAGCGCTCAGTGCTACCCTGCTCAGACGGCGGCCGCGCAAGGTGGCCACGGGCAAGTGGCGACCACGGGAGTAGGCCGACGCCTGTCAGGCGGCAGTATGCGTTCATCTCGCGCTCTTCCTCGCGGTAGAGCAAGCTGTAATGGTTCTGCATGGAGATGAACTTGGTCCAGCCGTGCTTCTCCGCGCAGTTTTGCATCATTACGAACTGGTAGGTCCACATTGAGCTGGCCCCGATATGTAGTACCTGGAACCGTTAGACTCTGTGCCGTCCGTACACCGCATTGAGTTCGGATCTTCTTGCTTACCTTTCCAGCCTTGACGAGGTCGTGCAATGCCTCCATCGTCTCCTCGATAGGGGTCTCCGGGTCGAATCTATGGATCTGGAGCAGGTCCATGTACGGCGTGTCCATTCTCTTCAGGCTGTCGTTCACAGCCTTGAAGATGGCCTTCCTCGAAAGACCGCCTTGGTTGACGTAGTCCTTGGTCTGGGATACCTTTTTGTCTCCGTGCTTGCCGGTATTCACACTGGGTTTTTCGCCAACATACGTGCGGCACTTTGACAGGATCACGAGCTTGTCACGCGGGATGTTGTGCTGCATCTCTCAGCATGCTTGTGTACAATCAATGGAAGACTCGCGGTTGATACCTTTTTGATCGCTTTCCCGATTATCTCTTCGCTCACGCCGTTGCTGTAGATGTTCGCTGGAAGACACGCAGTCAGAAGCGGGCATTCAGTGGGCGCTGTGTATAAATTTACCTGTGTCCCATGTGTTTAGGCCCCTGTCATAAGCAGCTTTCAGAAGTGCTATCCCCTGTGACGCCGATCTATCAGTGACTTTTGCTCCGTACGTTGGAGCGCTGCGGCGTACCTCCTCCTCCTCAATGACCCACGGCTGCCATTCTTTGCTACCAAAGCTCATCGCACCCAACACGGGCACGGAAACGCGTAGTCCGCTGTTGCCAAGCCGCCTGTAATCGACCTTGGTTTCTTCAAGAGACTTGAGGACTGCATCTTGCTCTGATGACATCTTGAGATGGAGTGCAAAGCAGATCCCTCAAATTGTAGAAAATGTGGGGACGATAACTGTGGGTGGGTGATTGGCGGTTTGTAACGTGGTTATCAAGTGGCAGAGTCGGATGAAAATCGTGTATTCGAGTGCACGGCGGCTGGCGGTCTTTTATGTTTCCCGTCCTTCAAGCTTCCCGTTTGTCAACCCCAATGATGTGGGGTAGCAATGACGATGTTGCATGGAGATCTGGCCTGCCTTTGATCCCGGCGAGCATATCGCGACTCAGTAGACTACTCTACTAGTAGACAATCGCCACATGGCAGAGCACTGGGCCATCGCTATTCGGCATGTGCCGGTGTTTGGTTTCTATTCGATGCGACAGAGATGTAACTGTACAGACCACCTACTGCGGTCGCAGCAAGTTAACATCTGCCTTCGTGTCCATCACGACGAATGTATCTACTCGCGTTCATGAATGTAGCTTGCCAAGGACCCATGACAATGCTGATGGGATGTCTGGCAGGTAGCAGCGCCATGAGTAGCCGAATGAGGTACGCGCTCGAGACGAGCTTCAGCCAGACGAATGGGCATCTCAAGCTTTCCGCTTTCCGCTTTCCGTCCGACCCACAAGCCGGACCGAGATAATCCCCCGAAAAGAACAGTCGGTGATGGTTGATGCGGAGGAACGCCAGAAACGTTGTACCTTTTCTGTCCTGAAACAATCGCTGGCGGGGCTGCCTCCGGTACAGACGAAGCATGATGACGAAACGGCTGTTTTGGAAAGCTGTTGGAATACCTCGGATGATCTACCCCAAGGCGATCCGTTATCAGAACCACACATTCAAAATTAGAACCCTACATTCGTCGTCAAAACTACCTACATACGCCAAACACTTATCCCCGAAGCTGACAACGTCCTCCAACTTCTCTACCCGCGCAAATATGTCTCCAGGCGGCATCAACAAACGTGAATGGTGGAAGGAGGCAGTTGTCTACCAGGTATGTCACAGTACAATGTTCCGTGGTAGGGCTGAAGAATTGATCGTCCTTAGATCTATCCTGCATCTTTCCTTGACACCAACGGAGATGGCTGGGGCGATGTGCCTGGCATTACTGCCAAACTGGACTATCTGAAAGGTTTAGGAGGTACATTCGACCGTCCACAAGAATAAAACCATATGGCCTTAATTAACACGCAAGTGCGCTTCAGTGGATATAGTATGGACTTCTCCGAGTAAGTCTGCTACGATTCCCATCAGAATTAGTATCATAACATATCCGGCAGTCTACAGAAGTCCGCAGGCGGACATGGGATACGATATCGTATGACATCCATCCGGCTTTGCTCCAATACAGAGCGAAGCACTAACGGAATCTTCCAGAGTGACTACAATGATATTGACCACCGCTACGGCACCTTGGAGGATGTCGACCACCTCATCGCGGAACTCAAGAAGAGGGGCATGAAGTTGATGATGGACCTTGTCGTCAACCACACGTCCGAGGAGGTCAGCTGACCCGTTCGTACCCTTGACCACTTCCGCTAACATAAAACTAGCATGCGTGGTTCCTCGAATCTCGCTCGTCCAAGAACAACCCAAAACGCGACTGGTACATGTGGCGTCCGCCCAAGTACGACAAGGATGGCAACCGCCAGCCGCCCAACAACTGGGCTCAGATTCTCGGCGAGATGAACTCCGCCTGGACGTGGGACGAGAAGACTGGAGAGTACTATCTCTCTCTCTTCACGCCAGAGCAGCCCGATCTGAACTGGGAGAACCCCGACGTACGCGCAGCAGTTCATGATGTGTTGCGCTTCTGGCTGGACCGAGGGGTATCTGGCTTCCGCATGGATGTTATCAACCTCATCTCCAAGGTACCGGAGCTCCCGGATGCGGATATCGTTGCTTCGGATCACGAATATCAACCTGGCTTCAAGTATTTCGCCAACGGACCAAGACTTCACGAGTACCTGGTAGACATGAAGAAAGAAGTACTCAGCAAATACGACACCATCACCGTCGGCGAGATGCCCTTTGTCCGGGATGAGAACGAGATTCTCAAGGTCGTTTCAACTCAGGAAGGAGTACTCAACATGATTTTCATCTTCGAGCTTGTCGACATCGACAACGTGCCCGGTTCATTCCGTCTTACTCTGCAAGAGTGGGACGCAAAGCAGATCAAGCATTGCATGAATCGATGGCAACGCCTCATGATTGACCGGGACGGCTGGAACTCGCTGTTCTGCGAGAACCACGACAACCCGCGCTCCGTGTCCAGATATACTGACGACAGCGACGAGTACCGTGAGCTTGGTGCGAAGCTCCTGTGCATGATGCAGACGACACTCAGCGGCACGCTCTATGTCTACCAAGGCGAAGAGCTCGGAATGCGGAACTTCCCGTATGAATGGGATCCGTCAGTGGAATACAAGGATGTAGAGAGCATCAACTACTGGAAGAAGTACGATCTCCCCTGCTCTGTACTCCTTCCTCCTCCTTTCACGTAACCAACAACTGACCCTGCCACCAGGATGACCAAGACCTATCCCAACGACCCAGAGAAGCTCGCCCACGCCCGCAAAGTCCTCCACTACAAAGCCCGCGACCACGCCCGCACCCCCATGCAATGGGACGCCTCCCCAAACAGCGGCTTCTGCCCCTCCGACGTCAAGCCCTGGATGCGCGTCAACGACGACTACGCAACCGTCAACGCCGCGGCCCAGATGTCCGACTCCAAGGAAGCACAAGCAGCCAACAGCGACCAGCTCACCGTGCGCCAGTTCTGGCATCGCGGACTGGAGCACAGGAAGCAGCACAAGGACGTCTTTGTGTACGGTGACTTTGCGCTTGTGGATGAGGAGAATCACAAGATTTTCGCGTATCGTAGATTCACAGATGAGGAGAGCTGGATTGTGGTGTTGAACTTCTCGGGGGAGAGCGTGAAGTGGGAGATTCCGGAGGAGGCGAAGGTGAAGATGTGGTGTGCGGGGAATTATACGTCTGGGAAGCCGGATATATCAATGAGCGGGACGATTGAGGTGAGGCCTTGGGAGGGGCTGCTGGGCATGTTGGAGGTTTGAGAGTGAGATAGACAAGATGGCTGTGCTGTAGACGGACGGGCTTTCGCCTCAGGGCAGCTCATGATAAAATCCGAATTGTAGAAGGATAGAGTAACGGCATATAGCTGCTTTGCTAGAGAAAGTCTGTTGATATTAGTTGCGCGGTGATTGGTTTGGAACTTTGTAGTTGTGCGATGTGCAGTTTCGGTATGCCGTGACACATCACAAGGCATGGAGATAATGTATGCGCAATGTACAACGTAAGTTCTTTGAGGGGCAGCACCCTGAATCTTACGGTCTCCACCTCACGAGCTCCTTGTCTTGGTGCAAAACTTCGGGAGGAGGGCTCCAGACATCGATCACCGGATGGGAGCACCCCAGAATAACTGAGTGCGGGATTGACGTTTAGACGTTTCAATTCAGAGCTAGTCCCAACACGCCATGATGCAGCAAAAAATCTTTGTGACCACAGAAAATCTTGATCCTCAGGCCAACTCCCACTCCAACCACCTAATCCTCAATGTTGCCCCGTTCCGAGACGTATAGACCGTCCAAGAACTTCCGGATATCCTTGTTCTTCACTCTGCAGATCTGCTGGATGTCTGCTGCGCTCTGCGATACGTTCTCGAGGGAATTGCCGGTGAGCAGCAGCTCGTCCTTCACGTTCGCCGACGCCGCAACGTCGACGCCCGGCTGCATGGTGACTCGTCGGACGATCTTCTCGCCGATGAAATTCCTGCCGGCAATCCGTCAGCGTCTCTAATCACCCCATATACATTTTCTGTCCGTCTGGTAGCCGCGACGTACCTGATCTCCACCTCGTATAGCCCCGTATCGTTGTTCTTGTCGATATTGACGTTGATGGGGAAATGGGCGTAGACGTATCGCATCTTGTACTTGAAGCCCTTGGTGACGCCAATGATCAGGTTGTTGATGATGGTTCGGACGGTACGGAGAGTAGCGACGTTTTTGCGCGAACCGTGGTGCAGTTCGATGTGGATGAGGTCCTTCTTGGGGTGTGTGAAGGATACGGAAAGATGGCCGAGGTTCTTCGTCAATTTGCCTGGCGTTTTCGTCAACCTTGCCCGCTTATTCCGATCCTCTTTGCTGGACTGGTGGTACCTCGGGGGCCCTCAACCGTCACTACCCTCGTTTTGATGGAGACCTTGACTGTTGTGCGCGAAAATGTCAGCCGTCCGGTGTGGGGTGATGCATTGTGGAGTCCGGGCGCACTCACCACCCTCCGGGATGGGCAGCGTCTCCTCCGAGTAGATGTACTTCATGTTGACTCGGGTGTCGCTGGGTGTGTCGGGTTGGTGATGTCGTCGCTGTTCTCAAAGCTGCATCTGCGAATTCGGTTGTGTGCGTGCTGCGTTGACGGTCCGGAAGATCGGAGATACCGAATGGCCGATGCCAAGCGCCCGCCTGGAGGACAACCGACTCGCTCAAAACACTTGCTCGCCCTTCGGTAATAGGATCACAATGGGCCTTGTCAGCGAGCGGTAGAGGTTGAGAGTCCTGCAACAAGTCGAAGGAGACGTAATGCAAAGCATCCCAGGCGCGGAGCAGCTTGCAATGTGAAGGACTTGTGGATGATGCCAGCATCAGGATGCAATCACTACCGCAGGCGCATCCACCCGCCGCTTTCAAACCGTCCTCCAGACACACTTGTAATATGTCGGCGAAGCGTGCGAGTTTGAGATCTTCTACCGTTCTGCAAGGAACTATACGGACCTTGAAGTGCTGCTCCGTTACTCATGGCCTATGCTTCGCTGTCCGACTACGCAAATGCAAATCAAGCACCGTTCAGCTGGGCACTCGGACGTACGAGCGCTTTCTGCAGGAGTTCAGCACGCAGAGGCAAGGTCGCAGAGAAATTGATGCGGTTTATCGGCTTCATGGAGTTGAGACGGTCTGGGCAGCACCTACTCGCGCTTACGAGTTATTTGCCAGTAAAATCACTGCCTCGGCGACCGGAACACACTTGGAGCAGGAAAGTTCCTAGGAAGCTAACTTGAGAACATGCAGCTCAGGGGGTTAATTTCCCGATGCACAATCTGCCCAGGGCGTTCGCCGTTCGCAGTGGACCAGCCACTTCTACAAGGGAGCTCCCTAAAAGGGCTGGTTGCGCTCCCTGCTTCCATCTTCGAAGCGAGCCACTTAGATGATGGTGTTGGATCGAAAAAAATAAGCTATAGGCTGTATGCAGCAGGGAGCGCACCCGGTCCTTCTATGGGAGCCCCCTTGTTTGTCAAGGCGGCCCGCAATCGTGGGGAAGCGCGGCCGGATCCACGGCGGTGTCGCTTGCTGAGCCGAGCTAAGGTGCCGCTATGCTGCTTTTGAAACACGGCAAGGAAAGAACCATGGGCTCCCCAGACCCCATGATGCCTGTCTCCTTTCATCCCGCACCCATCCCGTGACATGCACAGCGGGACGGTTCATTCTATTGATTAAAGCACTCCCAAGGCACACTACTTACTTTTGCACCATTACGCTAGCTTCTACGGGCATATCGAGGCTTGCTTCTCCTTCTTTCGACCCTAGCGGTCAAGCTGCACTCCGTAACCTCACACGACGACTGCTGCAGGTACTTGAGAGCGTCCTCGTCCACGGCCGAGTCGCTACCCAATCCTGAGCATCCGCATCCAGTCCTCTGTCACGACCTCACCATCCAACCTGCTGACAGCAGAAAGCCCTCTCGCACCCACCCACCTCGTTCGCCCTCCCCGCCCAACCCTCGCTACCCGGCGCGATGCCCTCCCAGCGGCGCGTCAAAGCCTTCGGTCTCATCGTCATCCTCATCGTCCTCCTAATCCTCTACGTATCCAGCTCAGCCCGCCAAACCCGCAACTCAGACTTCTACACCAAGACCTCCAGAGCGCTGGAAGCGCAACGAGCGCGAGAAGCAAAGGCGCAGCAAGACGCGGCCAGCGATGCGGAGATTGCGAAGAAGCTGAGGGATGCAGAGGCCAGGGCGAAGAAGGAGGAGAGCCAGCGGCATCATGCGCCGGTGCAGGAGATTGTGGGTCTCAATGAGCCAAAGGAGAAGGATGCGGTACACGGCCCCGTGAAGCCTGCTGGTGTGGCGAAGGTGGGGGATGAGGAGGCGGGTGACCATGAAAAATCGGTTGCAGGTCGGGTGTCGTACACGGACAAGAAGGATAAGGATGATGGGGTTGCGAAGGTGGGGAACATTGGCGACGGGGTTGCGGGGCTAGGAGCGGATAAGCCGAAGGAGAGCCACGGGGCGGAGAAGGAGCAGAAGGCGGAGACGGAGGATGATCATGAGGTCGAGGTGGAGTTTAATGCAATATTGAAGAGGAGTCCGAGTACGTTGTAGTCGCATCGAAGTCGAGGGATTTATCTGGGCAGAGAAGTTGCTAACGCTTTGGGTGTGACAGTCATCATCTTCTCGAAAACCTTCTGCCCCTTCTCGCGGAAGGCGAAGACCATCCTCCTCGAGAAATACAAGATCACGCCAGCGCCGTACGTTGTGGAACTAGATCAACACCCACTCGGACAGCGGCTGCAGCATGCTCTCGCAAAGACCACCGGTCGGTCAACAGTACCGAACATCCTGATCAATGGCAAGAGTATAGGTGGCGGTGACGATGTAGAAGATTTACATCAGAGAGGCAGAATCATTGATACGGTGAAGAGCATGGGTGGCAAGCGGATCATGGAAGCCAGATTATTCGAGGCAAGGAAGGAGCGGAGACTCCGAGCATGAGCGCTTTGGGAAGCATGCGGAGCGACCGATTGTCTCGCGCGTGCATTAATTTCACCGAATTAATATTATTATCCCTCACAGTCAATCCAGTGGCTTCGCATTCGAGTGGCCTTTTATCCCCGCACTTGCAAGCCTGGAAGCCAATCAAGAAGCTACGTTCGTGGAAACCCTCAGCTATCCATTGCTAGATTCCGGCTTCTTATGAGTCTCTGGCATGGTAAGGTTTTCTTTAGCAGTGTCCAACTATGCAGAAAAGCGCTGGGAAAGGCTACGAGGCCAGAAGAAACGTGGTCGAACCGGGCCTCTGCTAATCAGATCGGTAGGACGAACTCATCCACCATAAACCCGTACTACTATAGGATAGAGTTTCTCCTGTCCTGCGTTTATCGCTGGCGTTTCTCTGCCCGGTCACATTCGTATGCGCGACATGCACTGTCGTGACGAAGGTCCAACCGGGTGCCAGCCTGCTGCAAAAGTCCTCAAGGGGAGTGCTGCACAACTGATGAAAATCGATTGGCCGAAGTTCGGGAAGCGCCGCAAAGCATTCCAGCCTAATTTCCTATCGTTGCCCCGTTTCATGTCTAGACGGTGGCCTTCTATAGGCCCGCGTGGAAAGCCAGTTCCCGATGAACATCAATTGGGGGATTAGAGAGGACGCTTAGGGACGCTGTAACCACTCAAAAGCTCCAGTGAACATCTCACTCCGCATGTCGGTGGGCAACCTACTGTTCGTATGACTGGCAGTGATTCCGAATGCCATTGTGTTAGGCTACCTGCAAAACATTCGCGTGATACAGGTGGTAGGTGAAAGGATGTCGGGAGAGAAGTGGCTTCTAGAGCTTAGATGACGTACTCGAACGCGCCTTAGTTATAGCAAAGCAACTCGGGCCTAGAGAGATGCGAACAGGACGTGCAATGTAAGTGGCATGCCGGTGGAGTGCGATTACCCTGCCGGTCAGGCATGACAGGAACTGCGGCGGGAAGCGCAGATCGGTGCAGGTCCCCCGAAGCGAAATAAATTGAGATTATCAAGCTCAAGTTTGTACGGCTACATACAACAGCAAATCCCCCCAATTGTTTACCAGTATCCTTTCCCGAGGTGCAGAGACAATGGCGAAGAAAAAGAAGGCCCAGCAGTCAGAAGAAACTGGCGGGACCAACGGCACCCTCCCGCCGCCAACGCAGATTCCCGCATCTCCTTCCATAGCTTCCTCGGCCGCTTCCAAAACCTCCGCCAGCAAGACTGAAGCTCCGGAGCCGCCAATCTCGTCGCTGGTCATATGCCGAAACAAGTACGTTTGAGGAGAGGCATGTCAGGCGTGCTCCCTACTGGCTTGTTGCAGCCATTGGCCTTTTTGCTAACAATCCATCACCGCGCAGACACTGGCGATACATATCGTCTTTTCATGGGCCATGGCTCCAGTTACCTCCCGAAGTCCTCGAGTCCCTCGCCCACAGCAACTACATGTCCCCGCGTCCCCATCCCATAGACCCTGCCGTGTTCTACGACCTTGTTAAAATCCGCAAAGCCGTCGACGAAGCCACCAACCTTGCCGTACGCGCTACCAGCGGGTTGACCTCCGCAGCCCTCAGTAACTCGCTCAATGCCGGAAACGGGATGATGGGAGGCGCGGCAGCGTTAGGCCTGGGCTATGGCGGAGGCGGGGGCAACATGAAGTTGAGCAAGGAGAGGAAATACCGGATGCGGGAGCTGGCAACGACCAAGCTCTCACACGCCTATCACCTGGACGAGATTGCTGCCAGTGTTGCAACCATGCAGTCCGCATCGACGCTGGAAGACGTCGCGCATCTGGTGCTCCAGCGCAATCCCAACGACCCTGAGGCCAAGTACGTCCACTTCTTCCATGAGAAGATTCCCTCCCGGATGATGGCGCAGTACACTCCGCTGGACCCGCTCAACGAGATAATAGCGGAGAGGTCGAATGATGGATCGCCTTACCGCACTCGCGCTCTCGCACGGATATTCAAGGATGACTACCTCGGCGCCGCGCGGGACTTGACTGAGGGATTGGCAGTTGCGCGGATGTTGATGGCGCAACATAGAGCCGGCAGAGATCAACTTGTACTAGCATCCAAAGCTCGGGAGGAGGCGGAGCGGCGGTATGGCCATGGCAACTGGAAAGATGAAATCAAGATCCCTGAGGAGGACCAGCCAAGTAGCCTCGAGACACAGCTGCTGTTCCACCGCGCCGGCATCTACTTCGCCATTGCGTGTCAGCATGTGAATGAGGCACTGGATGGGCTCAAGGAAGCAGAAGAGGCGAAGAGACAAGCCAACGGCGCGTCAAACGGCGAGAATGGCGAGCCACACGAACCACCACCGCTCAGTGCTGCCGATAGGGAAGCGCATCGCAAGCGGCTCGAAGCACGGAAAACAGTGAAGACGATGGCTCGCCGCGCATTACGGGACTACATGGCCTTCCTCGCTCACTTCGACTACACGCCTGGCCTTCCCTCCCAGCTCGCCGAGGAGTTCATCCGTCGCGTCGCTGATGTCGCGACTGGTCCTGCTGCGTCCAAAGCACCACACACACGGCGAATGCTCGAATCCATGAACCTCACCAACGACATCAACGACACCAACGGTGTCAACGGCACCAACGCGAACGGTCACGCCTCCGATGCTCTCGTACGGTACTCCAACCCTAAAAGCACCGAACAAACGTCCAACACCTGGCCCAAGTTTCCCCCGCCAGAGATCTACAAAGTCTCCGACCTCTTCCAGCCGAACCCATTACCCTTTCTCCCACCCTACCCACCACCCCTTACATCTCTCCAACAAAACGGCCACGCTCCTCCTCCGCAGTCAGCGATCGCCTCCGCCCTAGCCGACTCCCACGAGGCAATAACCTACCACCCCCTCCTAACCGACGCCCTCCACAGCCTGCTTCTGTGCCACTCTCTCTTACAAACCCCACCCAAAGAACTCTTACGACATGCCCACAACGCTGCTCGTCTAGCACGGGTCTGCGACGGATACCCCATCTTCCTCGCCGCGCGGAGCCCGGCCCGCGCTGACTGGATCGAGGTCCTGCGGCGCGCTGGGAACTGGATCGGGGTCTTGCAGAGCTGGGAGGTGCTGTGTCGGCCCGCGCCGTTGCCGGGGCACGGTGCCCAGCCCGGCGAGGCGGTTGTGAAAAATGGGAAGGCCGCCGCACCCACCGGCCCGAAACCGGAGACAGAGGCCCAAAAGCGCGAGCGCCAGAAACACGAAGCGATTCTCGAAGCCCTAGCCGACGAGCGCGTAGTCGACGAAGAATCGTTCCAGCGTGCCGTCCGTGCACGCGAGCGGCGTAACCGCGAGGACGAGGAGCTAGATGCGCGCATGGCTTCCCAGAACACCACCAAAAAAGGCGAGAACGGTGAAGCCTTGCCTCCGCAGCCAAAGCGCTGGGCCCAGGAAGACGGGAAGGAGTATCCCATCACTACTGAGCGGGCGGAGGCGATTGCGCGGTGGGTCAGGGAGGCGCCGCTTAGTGTTGAGGGTGCGAAGAAGGGGGGAAGGAAGAAGGGGAGGGCGGTAGGAGCCGGGAGAAAGGGGAGGGAGAGCCTTGGGGTGGATAGCCCGTTGGCGGGGAGTGTGGGGGAGCTTAGTCAGTTGAGCTTGGAGGATGTGGGGGATGGGAGGTTGGAAGAGGAGGTTGATGAGTAGGGTTTGGTTGAGCGGATTGAAGTGCTGTGGGCTGTCTGTGCGGGCTGCGAGGTGTGCGATCGTTGTTATTACCTGCGCAGTCTGAGGAATAGATAAGGCCGACAACTCTGTAGAGGTAACGGACGCTTGGAACCGGAAACGAACCCTACTCTTTGGTTAGGGAGAATATGAGCCTCGTTAGGCCTTCATCACATATTCGCAGCTTAGTGATACCCCGGTGACTCTGGGGATGATTGTGAACGAGAGATCGCTATGCCGTCAATAAGGCTGATCATATAGAGAAGCATAACTCCGCTTTTCATAGCGGCCTTTACACCATGCAATCATTTACGTTCGCACAGGATTAACACGCCTCGAATCAGCCCATATGCACACTACAACCCATCCCGCTATGCAGAGTATCGCCTAAATCGATCGCCACCCCGTTCTACTCCACCCTAACCAAACGCCATTTGCTGTCCATCACACTTCTCCCCTCCGGCCATCCAGTCTACGGATTACTCAACGCCAGGCATGCATCGACAGCCGCACCAACCCTACCGACATGAGATAATCAGCAACTGCAATCTCTTAAATAGAAAACTTGAGGACTCGAACGACACTCACCTCCCCTCCTTAAGCCTAACAACATCCCCAATAACCTCCCTATCCAGTCCCGGAAACATCCCCGCAAGCGTCTCAACCACAACCCTATGCTCCTGCCGCTGAATCCTCCTCGCCTCTTCCGCCTCCGCGCTCGCCTGCCGCGCAGCCGAGTCCTCCGCGCTGAGCTGTTGGCGTCGCTGTTGCTGCTGCTGCTGCTGCTGCTGTTGCTGTTCGGCTGACCTCCGCTCCCCCTCCGTCGACCGCCTCACCTCGCCAGACGCCCTCCCATCGTCACTACTCCGTCTTTGCGGCTGTGTCGGCAGCGCAGGCGAGAGTCGAGGCGTCGATCCCGGCTGAGGCGTCAGTGCAGGACCCGGCCCGTGTGGCGGAGGTGCGATATGCGGCGTGCTGTCGTCGGAGAAGATACGGCCGATCGTCGAGAGTGGGCGTTGGATGGTGCGCAGGAGGCCAGCAACGGCGGCGTTTTCTTCGTCTTTGCTGCGGTCCCCTTCTGCGGTGGTGGGGCCGTTCCGCGTTGAAGCGGAGCGGCGCGGGGAGGAGCGCTCGGCTTCGAGGGAGTTGCGGGGGGTGACTTCTGGGCGGGCGAGGGTGGACTTTTCGGAGAGGGTCGTCATGTGCGGTGAGCCGTTGCGGGGTTGGGAGAGTTGGCGGCGGTGGTGGGTGCTTGGTCGCTGGCGTTCCTCTTCGGCGGGTTGACGCTCCGCGATCGCGAAGACGGCGGCTTCGACGTTCTTTTCGAAGTCGGAGTCGGAGATGGTGAGGGAGGTTCGGTCGAGGCTTTCGATGAATTGGACGGCGCCCATCTAGGTGAAGATTGGGTCAGTTGTAGTTCATAGTGATGAGGGAGCAGGTGAGTAATGATGCGCACCAGAGAAGAGATGTAGTAGCCGGCTTCACCCCCAAGCTTGTCCTGGTTGCGGAAGCGGAGGATATACTGAACATTGGAGACAAGATGGTCTGGGTTTGCATGCAGAACGGTGTAGATGAGTAAGGGTACGAATGAGTCGGCGGACTGGTCGGCTTGCGAACTGCGTAAGAACCCTGCCAAAGCTGTTAGTCATTGTGTCCAATGCTCGGGTTTCGAAGGACGTACCAAAAAGGACTTTGCAGCAATTAAGCACGCAGATGACCTTGTCCCTAGGTGCACGGTAACTGTTGATCTTCAATATCTCTGCATGGACGGTTAGCTATGCAAGCAACACACGTCTTTGGGCACACCAACCCTGCTGAGCCAACTTCAAAAACTTCATTCCTTTGTCGTTGACTGGCTTGATATCGAGATGTTCCTCCTTTACCCATCCATAAATCCGCACCTTCTGTGCTAGCACCTCGTCTCTCTCCACATCTTCCTGATGCTGGCCTCTTCTGCCAGGACCAGATGGCGGTTGCGCTCCTCTTCGCCTGCTTTTACCGCCTGGGGCTGGCTCTGGAGGCGGAATAGCCGGCGAAAAAGTCTGATTATATAGCCGGTTCATAACAAGCTTCTCCATGCCTTCTCGCGCGTTGTCAAATTCGGCATCTGACACCGTTCGCCAGACCTCACACTGCGCCATTTTCTTGCTGATGAATTCTAGGAAATCACTGACGATCTTGACTTGCTCGTGGACCATCCATTGCTTCTTCTCAAACTCCAGCAGGAAGGAGCGCAGAAACTTGGCAACAGGGTCGGCGGTTCGATGCCGGAGTTGGCCTAGGAAGCGATGAAAGTCGAATGGGAGATCTGGTTCTGGATCAGGTGAGGGTGGAGGTGGTTGGTGTATTGAGACCGAATGTTTTGGAGAGGAGGTGCGATCCGGATCTCCAGACTGCTCCTTGGATGCATCCTCAGCGCTTGCCCCTTGCACAGATGATCTTCGAGGCGGTAATTGCAAGGCTGGATCTAGCGAAAAGCCGGAGACGACGCTTGATGAGGAGGTTACTTTGTTGAGTGGCTCGAGACTTGACTTTCGCGGGGGATGGGACACTGGCGATCCTAGCATCGGCTGCGCTATTTCCATACGGGGCGACATGATCTCCTGCATACCTGCTCCACCCATGCCCTCGTCAAACTGCTCCATGATGCTCTGTATTTCCGACCTGGTGTCATCCACCGCGCCCATGCCCTCCTCTTGGCCCGCAGCGTAATCCCCTGCTTCTAGCGGATACTTCTCATTGTACTCCACCTCTGGCGTGCCAGGCGCACTATTGACCATCTGCTGCCCTTGCACCACACCGGGTGACTTTGACCGCGTCATCTCGTCTTCGCGCTGATTTAGGTACTTCTCATCTTTCGGGGGCGGTGGTGGAGGTGTAGGGGAGCGGACCCGTTGTTTGTTGGCCAAATCGTTGCGGCCGCCTCGGTTCAGCGACAGGGCAGCCGTCTGTGCAGCTATTGAACCTGCGGCATCTGGTGACCGCGACCTTGGTTGCTCCGCCTCCTCCGTACCTTTGCCCGTGCTGGCATTCAGCTCCCGTCCAGGGCCATCTTCGTCGAATGAGAGCAAAGGTCCGCCTAGGTTGGTTCCAGATGGCGAGATACCGTTTTGCTCCCCAGGATATCCACCATCCCCGGGCGTTACCTCCACGCCTTGGTCTTGGCTGGTATCAGCATTGGATGCTTCCAACGCTTGGGAGCTCTTCTGAGCCGAAGTGTGTGCGGGGCTCGCTCCCTTCGTCTCCTCTAGGTCCGCTATTGTCTTGTTGCTCGCTCGTAAGGGATCCACAGGGGTTTCGGTATGTTGCTGTTGAGACATAGGCCGTCATCCGGCTGTTGGGCAAACTGGTGGGGTCTAGGCGGTTATAGTGCGGATTGTAGCATGTCGGGTTTCATGTGCGGAGGGGAATGTGGTCTATTGATAGCTGAGCGTAGCCGATTTCGGGGGGCAGGGAAGCAATGAAGTTATGAAGTTTGGCGATTCAAGAAGTGAGAGCTCAAGGGCTTAAGGTTGGCGGACACGGCGTCGCGGCTGGAAACGCGGGATGACGAGGTTCGGCGCTCGGCAAGAGACCCTGAAGGAAGCTTGTACTCCGTAGTGGCCGAACGAACACCTTTTCTGATACATCACAGTCCGCCATCACTGTAAGTTATCCCTTCACAGGAACATGTCCGATCTATCCAGCAACGGCTTCGTATGTTAGTCGTATGTTAGTCGTATGTTAGTGCATCTGTGGCGAGCCGCAAAAATGTCTACGGTATTCGAGGCTCAACATATCTCTAGAAGGAATGTGTGGCATCTTCGTCTCCCTCAGCAGGGATACATACAGATCACCGAGCGAGCATGTGCTGAAGCTACTTCGGGACAGAGGGCCAGACAGCGTGAAAGAAGCCAGAGTCGAGATTGAGCTTCTTGACCCTGCGTTGGATGGACCAATTTCAGAACTCCTCTACGCAACATTCGTTTCTTCCGTTCTAGCCCTGCGTGGAGAACGCATTGTCGTTCAACCTCTTGTTGACGAGAAAACTGGCTCTGTCTTCTGCTGGAATGGCGAGGCTTGGGAGATAGATGACAATCTTGTCACTGGCAACGACTCCGAGCATGTCTTCTCACTTTTGTTGCAAGCTTGCGGAGCTGGATTCGACCAGGACCACCTCGTACAAACCACCAGGCGCATCAAAGGCCCATACGCTTTTGTTTTCTACGATAATCAACGCAAGAGATTGTACTTTGGGAGAGACTGTCTTGGCAGGCGGTCACTGCTTCAAGGCACTAGTCCAACAGGTGAGCTCATACTCTCAAGTGTATGCGACAAAGGCGTAAGTGAGCAGTGGTCGGAAGTCGAGGCAGACGGTATCTACTGGTTCGACTTGTCGTCTAGGATCCTCCCAGGAGCTAGATACGGAGAGGTTGGGTCGCAGTTGGTAAGACGGTGACTGTCCCTACTTGTAGAGCATGAGGCTGATTTTGATAATCACAGAGTCCCCCATATCCGCCACTCAACAAGTCTGTCGCTCTTGACACGTTGACATCGCTTGGTCCAGCATCTCCGCCCGTAGGGATATTAGAGGATCGTTTGCGCTCGTCATTGGCCCTCCGAGTGCGTGATGTCCTAAACCGCGATCACGTGGACCTCGATGGAACCAGCGATCACATTTCGAACGTCGCTGTACTCTTCTCGGGAGGTCTTGACTGCACAGTGCTTGCTCGGCTGATGCATGACCTGCTCCCCGAAACGGAAACAATAGACTTACTAAACGTGGCGTTCGAGAACCCTCGGATACACAAGACTTCCATCAATGGAACACATGAAGCACTTGAAGTGTACGATCTTTGCCCGGACAGGATCACTGCGAAGGCTTCTCATACAGAGTTGCGGACAATTTGTCCTGGCAGAAACTGGAGACTTGTAGAAATCAATATCCCTTTCGCAGAGACACAAGCACACCGAAGTACCGTGATTGGACTAATGCACCCCCACAACACTGAAATGGACCTTTCAATCGCCTACGCGTTGTACTTTGCTTCGAGGGGTGTTGGCGCCACTCACGACACCAAAACCGGCTGCATCCGCGAATACGCCACACCAGCTCGTGTCTTGCTCTCCGGCCTAGGCGCCGACGAGCTGTTCGGAGGCTACCAACGTCACGCCACGGCTTTCGCTCGCAAAGGCTACCAGGGCCTGGTCGACGAGCTCGAACTGGACATCAATCGGCTCGGTAAGCGGAACCTGGGACGCGACGACCGCGTGCTGTCGCACTGGGGCAGAGAAACAAGGTTTCCGTACCTTGACGAGGATCTGTTGAAGTGGGCTCTGGCGGCCCCAGTCTGGGAGAAGTGCAGCTTCGGAGAAGACCTGAGCGATGTGACAGGAGACGAAGCGGCGGCATTGGAGCCCGGTAAGAAGGTCTTGCGCTTGCTGGCGTGGAAGCTGGGGATGAAGGGAGTTGCGAAGGAGAAGAAGCGCGCGATACAATTCGGGGCGCGGACCGCAAAGATGGAAGGAGGGAAGACGAAAGGCACCCAGCTCATTGGATGAACCGCCATAGGGGTAAGTTGATCTCATAGCTGCCGTGCAGCGTACGCCTCCACTGCCTCCCTTCTGGCTGTGATGACGAGGCTTTCAAGCCTCTCAGATACTTGTGAGGTGTCTGCTCCGTACACTCTTGCCTATGTTTTGCCCTGCGTTTCCATGGCTTCGGTCAGCGAGTAACCGGACAAGCGTGGCATTGCAGCTGTATCAAGGTGAGCGACATGGCACCAATGATCACGGAAAGGCAAGTCTGAGCCGAACTCGCTTCTGCTACGTTCTGTTTCACGGTAGTCAGCTATTAAAGACTGACTTAGCAGCCTTCAGGCTCCCAATGCGGAGTGCAGTGCACCTTGCCATTTACGCACGAGCTGCATCTCTACGTGGAGGAATACTTGCAAGCACAACGAGATGCAAGGACATTGTCCGATAATACTCGGGACTCTAGGGCTGGCTTGTACGAGGCCTTGGTTTCCCTGCCGTTTCTTCGCATAAAGCCTCATATACCGATCTTTGCAAGCTATGTAACACTCTTCTGTGCATGCACGGCTCCAGGCTCAAGTCGCACAAAGATTCTTGAGCTGGTGTTTAGAGATCACCCTGCAATCATGCACGAAGAAATGCTACCTGCGATTCGGGAGGCACAAGTCAAAGACATCAGAGTGCTTTTAGAGACTGTGAGTCAGACTATATGGTTACTTATCTACAAGCAGTATTTTACTTCGAACATTAGGATAGTTTTGAGGTCAAAGTTTGTGGTTGTGTTAGTTATTCGCTATGTACTGATGTAAAAACGCTCTCCTGTCGCCCCGGCTGTCGAAGCTCGAGCTGTGTGGGGCACCGCGGGGCAGCCCCACCGAGCTCCCCTTCAAGCATTGCAAAACATCACCTCCGTAGCATACCTCACATGCCAGCATAACACACGTACATGTACTCCCGAGCGTTTGACAGACTCAGTGCAACACGATCCATACTATCTCCCTTCCCACCTAGACACATCCGCACAATGGCGTCCTCAATCCCCAAAACAATGGCCGGCGTGCTGATCGAAAAGACCGGCGGGACAGAAGTGCTGCAATATAAGACCGACCTGCCCGTCCCCGAACCAAAAGACGGCGAGGTACTAGTCAAGAACGAGTTTGTCGGCATAAATTACATTGACACGTAGGATGCTCCCCTGCAGCCCTTCCCTTCAAGACGTAGCGCCGCAAGGTAGTACTAACATCTCTCTCCTCCAGCTACTTCCGCACCGGCCTCTACCCAGCCCCCAACTTCCCCTACATCCTCGGCCGCGAGGGCTCCGGCACCGTCGTCTCCGCCGGGTCCGGCAATGTCTACAATCTCTCAACCGGCGACCGCGTAGCCTGGATGGCGCAGGGCGCATACGCCGAATACACCGCCGTTCCCGCCCTCTACGCTCACAAGATCCCCGAATCCGTCTCCTCGCATGATGCCGCCGCGGCGTTGCTGCAGGGTCTAACGGCGCTGACGCTGATCCGGGAAGCCCACCACGTCAACAAGGGCGACTGGGTGCTTGTGCATGCTGCTGCGGGCGGGGTGGGGCTGTGGCTGTGTCAGTTGCTGCGAGCGGTCGGGGCAAGGACGATCGGGACGGCGAGTACGGAAGAGAAGGTTGAATTGGCGAAGAAGAATGGCGCGGAGGTCATGATTAACTACTCGCACGAAGATGTTGCGGCGAAGGTGAAGGAGGTCACTGGAGGTGCGGGTGCGATTGCGGTTTTCGATGGCGTGGGGAAGTCTACGTTCGATCTTAGTCTGGACTGCGTAGCGCGTAAGGGGAGTCTGGTCAGTTTTGGGAATGCTAGTGGGGCGGTGCCGCCGGTTACGATTGCAAGGCTGTCGGCCAAGAATACGAAGCTGTTGAGGCCGACGCTGTTTAACTATATGGTCACGAGAGAGGAGTTTGAGACGTATACGGGTGAGCTGTTTGAGTTCATGACGAGGGATAAGATGGATGTTAGAGTGCATGAGGTGTATCCGTTGAAGGAGGTGGCGAGGGCGCATGAAGACCTTGAAGGGAGGAAGACTACGGGGAAGTTGTTGTTGAAGCCGTAGTGATGCGTTTGGGCGTAACCTCAACTGTTCTACGTTCGAACCAAGTGGGAAAATGTGACGGTGCATGTTAATTCTCGCGCAGTTCACGGAGCAGGACCGGAATCTCTTAATTCGATTTTACTTTGGTTCTGGGCCTATCAAAGGATGTCGATGTTATGCTAATCACCAGCAATACCTTCAACCACCCGCTCTCTACCCACAAAGTATTCCGCCCTCAAAGCATCCACGTAGTTAGACGAAGATGAGTCATGGCACCTTCGCATAGTAGTTGACGATTCTAAGCCCGCGGACCGGTATGTGCGGATCCTGCGTAGGCTCAATCCGAGAGCTCACCCGTACTTTCCCCCTCCATCTGGGCGATCTGCTCCTGGTTGTACCACACCGGCGCTCTCCACGGCGGCCTGCCCATTTCCAGCTCATTCTCTAGCAGCGTATAGAAGGAGCAGAACATATCCCTGACAGAGTCAAGATAGCGGGTGCCGTTGCTCAGTGTTCTGACGTCGGCCACAATCTTCATGCCCGGAAAGCAGTGCTTCAGGATCTCATCCTCCAGGTAGAATTCGTACAGCTTGCTCTCATGCTTCTGGTTCATTATGGACGGTGGGAGGTCCGGCTCGGCGAAGTCGGGTTGCTGCCATGAGCGGCAGTCCAGCTTGCCGAGGGGCTTGAGCTGGAGCTTTCGGCCGGCGGCGGCGGATGAGTTGAACTGTTGGTACAAAGAGAGGACTTCTTCTGAGGCGAGTTCGACGCCGATGACCTCCAAGCCCACATCCCGTTGCGTCCGCACGCAAGAGAGGTGATTGACTAGGGTCTTTCCGGTGGTGCCAGGGAGCTGATGTTCTTGTTTGTCTAGAATGTCGATACATTAGCTCTGTTGCCGTTCTGTGTGTGATGAATAGATTGCGTTAAGGGATAGTGTATGTCGACATGTTATCAAGGTATGCAAAGTCGCGGCCGTGGTAAATCTGAAGCGCACAGTAGCCTCTGCCATGCATGATGCCTAGTTCGCATAGACACAACAGGTACGCACTTCTCGCTGAGAGCGCATTTGCTACACTTGGTGGAGGAAGATAGGGGAGAGTACTCACATGCACTCAACCCTACGGTGAAGACAATGCGCGCGTGAGGCTCCGATAGTGGTTCGGAGCCAGGCATGTACCAGCTGTCGATGCTGTAATTCTGCCCTGACAGCTCGTGCTCGCGACCACCGAACAGCCGGGAGCAAGCTCTGTTGAAGTCGCCAGGACATTGCTCCAGGGCCTGCCTTACCCTCGGAATCTCTTGCAAGGCTTGGTCACAGATGTTGCGCGCCTCCATGACATCGCCATAATATTCAGGACAGACGTTGTGATGCAGGATGTAATTGTAGAAGTTGCGAATGACCTTGGCGTGTATGGCGAGCCGCTGGTCGGACCATTCAAGAGGCTGCTGGTATGAAGAGAAATAGCCCTTCACAACACCGGTGAAGTCTACGGCCCACATCGTTTCGTCATCTTTGTCGCCGTTCACGAAATGCGTTGCCAGCATGAGCGCGATGTCTGCGGCATCTTTGTCCTCGAGGTACTCCGCATCCATGCGTCCAGTGAACTGCTTCTGGCCCGCTTCAACGCCACCAAATTTCATGAGTGAGTTGAAAGCATTGAGGTACTCCTGGTGGAACTTCCGCTTCTGCTTGTAGCGTTGGATAGCAATCTGAATGCGCTGGGTGAATGGGACGTCTCTGTCGTACATGTTTTCCTCTTCCGCAAACTCGGCAGGCGTGACAGGGGCGTCGGTCCAGTACTCTTCAAATCCGGTCGCCTTGAGCATGCCCTTCGTCATGACAGCATTGGTCTCTCTCTTGGGCTTGAGAGCTTCCGCTGCCTTTCCGACCTTGTAATCCGCTCTTGCTTCCTTGAGCTGCGTCTTAACCACATCTTCGTAGTCCGAATCACTATCGCTGAGTTCTTCTAGGATGGTCTTGCCTCGGAACGGAATCTTGCGCTTCACCTTCTTATCTTCTGTGACGTCCAGGAAGGCGCTCTTCTTCAAGGCTGCAACGACAAGGGTGAACGGCTTGTACTGACGCATCTTCTTGAAACCACTGATGTGTCTGATGGAAACTGGGATGTTGGCGCTACCGCCGCATAGATCGAGGAGATGGCCATCAGTAGGGAGATTTTCGTCGGAGAAGTAGTACTCGACCTGTCTGCGGATCTCGTCGCCTTTGGGATGGTCCGGCTCCTCCGTCGCAGCAGATGGTGATTCCTTGGGTGGTCCATCGGCAGGTAGTTGGTCTTCAGTTGGGGTCTCGCCAGGTGCTGATTTCGGGGTTAATGAATCGGCACGCGCTTTGCCGTTGTTAGTTGTTTCGGTCAGCCCTCGATCTTCCTTAGTAGTATCCGTCATGGCTAGTCCTCGCGTTGACGCTCGTTCTGCAGCCGGTGATAGATGAATGCCTGTATCTTCGTGAACGCAGGCGTGTTGGTCGTGCGCCGTTGCTTCCGTCGTAACGAAGAGTGACTTCTGAACAGTGTTGAGGTGTGATAGAGAAGGGAAGGAAGGTTGCTGGAAGTGTAGAAAAGGGAGGCGTCCGGCGTCCTAACCGCCAGGACGCAGCTTCTCTAATGGTGGGTCAACGAATGAGTTGGCTACCGCTAAGGCGGTGAAAGTGTAGGTGAAGATAGCGAGAGAAAGTTGACAAACAGAGTAAGGGATTTGTTGGCTGCAGATACCCGAGTGGGATTGCTCGTAAAGGAACGCGCAACCGGAGCTGCCCGTCAGGCAGAGCCTACCGAATTTTTTTTATTGGTGATGGCTGGGAGCGTGGTAGCATCTGTTGACCATAAGACTCTACCTACCTAGGTAAGTAAACCCTCGAAATCCAAGGGTCGTCTTGACGCTGGACCAGGCGACCTCTCAGTTCCGGCTTCACAGCGAGATACAGAGCCTTCGGTAGATTCGGGAACAGCGTCAGTCTTTCCCCATCCGCAACCGCTTTAGGCCGAGGTTCAACAATGAGATAGTCATCAAGGTGCTGGGGCGCAATAGTTATGGCGATGGATGGAACTTGGATTTTCGCAGGTCGATGGAAGCCCTGCCCCGCAGTCCCTTGCAGCGGGAGTGCGGGAGTGCGGGAGTGCGGGACTGGAAGGTTGTGGCACTCCCGCCGGAGATCGTCATCGCTCCCGTCCAGCCCTCAAGTTGCAGGGCAGTCTCGACGCCTGCGCACATATCAATTGAATGTATCCTGCTCAAGCGCACCGCCCAGAATCGAACCTACTTGACCCCAATCTCTAGAACTGACCGTAGAACTACCCCCCAAATGGCATCACACGCACTCGACCCCTCCTCCCTCGTCACCTTCGGCAGCGCAGCAGCAGGCCAGTAAGCACCCCTTCATCCACCCCTTCATCCCCCCCTCCCCCAACCCTCCAATCCTAACATCTCCCCCAGCGATGGCGTCCTCTCCGATTCCTCCGGCACCCTCGTAATAAAACCCTGCACCCCCGCCGAGATCGCCTTCTATGAGTCCGCCAACACCTCCCATCCAGATCTCGCAGCCTACATGCCTCTTTACATGGGGACGCTCCAGCTCAGTGCGCCCGACGCCGCCGCAGCCTCCACAGCATCCACGGGGGACGAAGTCGGCACGGCAGCCTCGCTCGCGCTCTCAGACCCCGGCCCGCTGAAGGGCAAGAAACTTGACACGGGTGTCTCGATCGTGCTCGAGAACGTGGCCGCCGGGTTCAGGAAGCCAAATATCATGGACATCAAGCTTGGTGCGCGGCTGTATGATGATAGCACTAAGCCTGAGAAACGGGCACGGCTGGATAAGGTCGCGGCTGAGACGACGAGTAGTTCGTTGGGCTTTAGGATTGCGGGGATGAGGACGTGGCTGGGTGGGGAGGATAGCATGGCTGAGAGGGATGGGGATGATACGATAAGCTTTGAGGCGGGCAGTGGGTACAAGCTGTTCAACAAGCTGTACGGGCGCAAGTTTGCTGCTGAGAATGTGGTTGATGCATTTCGGGAATACGTGCTTGTCCCATCGGCAGGCGTCAGTAAGGTGCAGGCGGCGAACTGCGTACAGCGCTTCATAAGGGATCTGAAAGATCTTCAGCAGATTTTCGAGAAGATCGAGAGTCGCATGTACTCTGCAAGCATCCTGCTGGTCTACGAGGGCGATCCAGATGCCTATGCCGCTGCAACAAAAGCGGAAACGGAGTACTCTGCACAGGAAGAGATGCAAGAGGATGACGAGGAGGAAGAGGAAGAGGCGCCGCCCAAGATAGCGGTTGTCAAGCTTATCGATTTTGCTCATGCATCGTGGACGCCGGGCCAGGGACCGGATGAGAACCTGTTGCAGGGCGTTCGGAGCACTATCAGGATTATGGAGGAGCTTGCGGCAGAGTTGGGAACCAGCTAGATTTGATGAAACTCAGAGGGGATGAGCTCTGCATATAGAGCGCCTTCGGCTTGCCACCCTTCTATTCTGGGTGGTCTACAGGATATTGGATATTCAACTCTTTCTAGATAGATACCCCGGCGTGCAACGCCGATAGAGATGCAATTTTGCAATCAGCCTATCCTACAAGATCTGCAACGTCCTCGGGCCAACTGCCCCATACCAGTGCTTTCGGAGGTACTCGCCCGCTGACGGGCGCCAGTATCCTTACCTTCTTCTTGGCTTCGTCCACGTCTGCAACATAAACGTAACCCATAACGCTCGCGTCACGAATATTCTCCTCGTTTTCGTAGGGGTCCGCCGACGTGACAGCCAGGAGGCAGTTCTGCATCATCATTGACGGTTGGACCTGCTCATACAGTGAGGTCGAGGCTGCTGCGTTGTCTTCATCGTCACCGGGAAGGAATGAGAGGTTCGGATGGGCGGAAGCTATAGTGGGATCAGTATGACAAGGTTTGCGTCTCATGAGACCCGGTGACCTTACCTTGGTCGATCCTAAAGATGTTGAGCTGGTTGTGATCCAGCATATGCGTATGTGGGCTCAGCGTGCTGCCCGGCCGACCGAAGAAGTATGACCGTATCTGTGACTGCCTGAGCTGGCGCATGTAGGATTCATCCCGGTCGACACAACCGCCGGATTTGTCAAGCTTGACTACTGCGACAGCATCTTCACCATTCTTAGCAGAGAACCGGCGGGAGAGGTCGCTGGAGAGACGTTCAGAGCCGAGGACGAGGAGGACATTCACTAGCTTCGGTCAGCATGAAATTCTCAAGGCGCGGGAGGTAGCGTAGTGGACATGCAAAGGGCGAGATGCCTGCGGACATACCCGAAAACTCAGATACAATATGCTGAATATTCTCATACTGGCCACCCTTCCCCTGGCTAATCGAACCCGCTGTATCAATGACACACCCCGAAACCCTAGCATCCGGATCCTCCTCCAGCCTACTCGTGACCGCCAGCGCCATCCTAGTAACCAACGGCTTGAACACCGCCGAGTTATCCTCCGGACTCGGCAACCCATAATGATAGACCAGCGGCACCTTCGCCGGAATAGCAGTCGGCCCACTGATCGAACTACTTCCCCAGCCCTCCTCGATATCCAGAATCCCCGCAAAAGTCGCCGCGCTGAAGGCGCCCGGCGGCGCCAACATGCCCTGCCTGGGATCCAGATTGACCACCACGGGCAGCCTCTCCGCCTTGTTCGCATAGCTCGTCAGGATCTTCGCCAGACTCGTCTTCCCCGCATTCTCCGGCCCCACGATCAGCACCCGCGGTCCCAGGCCCCCAGCCGCCTGCGCGCTATCTCTCAGCCTCTCGAGCGCAAAGTGCACGTTTGCATAACTGCTCATCTGCGTCTCTTCCGCGACGTACTCGCTCTCCGTCTCGCCGGTCAGCTCGAGCGTGCAGCCGTCCCAGGTGTAGATGGCGGCCTTGGTGCCGCTGAAGGTGTAGGCTTGGTGAGAGGACGCGGCAAGCTCGGTGCCGAAGAGCTCGGCGGTGCCGGTAAGGAGTTTGATGCGGAGGGAAGAGCGGAAGGAGACTTCGAAGCGGTATTCGGAGCCCGCGGGGAGGTTTTGGGTGCGGGCGGTTTGCGCTTGGGGGAGGAGGGTGGGTGGGGCGGAGAGGTTTAGGCCGGGGAGGACGGACATGTTGAAACTTGGATAGGCTGTGTTCGAAAGGAGGGACTGCGATTGATGGTGGAGCTGGATTGTTACGCGCGTCGGATAGAGAGTGTGGATGCTAAGGATCAGATCAAAGGGAAGGAGTGTGGTATAAATCGAAGGTCTATCAACGATTCCATACTTTGACTTCTTTCTGAGGCTACAAGCGAAGGTACTCTTAGAATTCCAGCATGGCTTCAAGTCGGATTTTATTCTGAATCACTCCACCCCACGACCGAAGGTGATTGAGGTCTTCAACAAGCGAAGCTGTACGGTCGCGAGGATTTGACGTCTATATTTGGTTCGCAAGCGCAGCGCGGAGTTTGCCGTCCGGATGACTTCGCACCGCGAACTTTTTGATCCAACTAACCTCGAGCTCGCCCTTCATATAAGGTCTTTGACCGAAACATTGCACCTCCGCTAGGAAGACGAAAGGGTAAGTCACTTCGCAGCTTTCTCGTTCCAGCTTATATGATTATGCAAAAGTAATCTGTCAATCCCCTGATACCGTCCAAAGGTCGGCACCTGATGATAAAGTCTACTCTCTTCGTTATGACCCCTTCTGATTTTCAGCTTTGCCATTCTGTAGCTACAACTACAACGCACGCTGACAAGCATTACTCAGATCATCCCGATGAAGCTCAAAGCGCGGTCAAGATGGCGGACACTTCAGTATCCGGGCCCTTTCCAATCTCTCTTGTAGCGAACCGTTACCTGCTCTACGATATCAACACAATCACTTATATCCGGCGGAAGCACGGCATCTGTGGTGTGCTGATTGGCGGTCTGCCGCAAGCACCTTCGCAGAATGTTTTCTGCGGTATTCCGCTCGAGCTCATGCCGGAGGAGGCTCGGCTGCTCGTCGAGCAAGGACACGCTTACATCGTGGAAGATGTTGAGGCGCACATATCCGGCTTCCTAGACATGAGCGAGGAAGAGAGGCATGCCTTCATGGGTGTTATTGATGCTCAAGGCCGTGAGGCAGCCAAGGCTAAGAAGCGAAGAGCTGGTAACAACAAGGAAAGGGCGCTGAAGGAGAAGAACCTGCACCGTCTTGCTCAGGAGAGTCATGCACGACAGACCTCTGCCAGTCCTGATACGACAAACACTGCGGATACGGATGATTCTCTCTTCGCCTACCCTAGCCCACCTGCGTCGCCGCCTCCACGAGCATCGTCCACGGCACCAGGAGAGATATTTGGCATAACGCCTAGTACGTCCTATCCGCCGTTGACCACGTCAGTCAGGTCGACCGACCAGCCACTTCCAGCTGTACCCCGTTCATACCCCCTCTTCAGGTATCTACACAGCAAGGGATACTTCATCACGCCGGGTCTTCGTTTCGGCTGTCAGTACGTGGCATATCCCGGAGATCCTCTCCGCTTCCACAGCCACTTCCTGACGGTTGGCATGAACTGGAATGAGGAGTTTGATTTGCGAGATATTGTCGGTGGAGGACGGTTGGGCACAGGCGTAAAGAAAGCTTACCTGATTGGAGGTAAGGAGGGTAACAGCGATGAGGCAGATGGCAGTAATGATGTACGAGCATTCTCTGTCGAATGGGCATATATGTAATTGCCGTAAGGATGTCAGCGTAAGCGGAAATGGACGTCAGATACCCCTGTTGTTGCTACCTAGGTAGTCGTTGTCGGAATATAATACATTCTACGACTCCATCGAACAGGCTGCGAGCCCTTGTTTCGTGTGCTGCACTTGATATTAAAGCTTTTTGTTTGAATGCTCCTCACATCTACGGAGGGTCTTAGAATAAGGAGCGCGATATATACTAATAATAGACGGACCCTTAGTGGTGCATAGTACGTACCCTCTCTGTACCCTACCTTTGCTAGCTTCCAAGCCCTGCCCGTGCGCCTTCCCCGCGTCCCCCGCATCTTACGCCCCTCGTGAGATGGATGAGAAGTGGCAGTTTTAGGTAAGGTTAATAGTCACCAGCCGCCATGCACGCAATATGTGTCCCTTACCTTCGAGCCAAGCTGTCGAGCGCTTCAAGACACCTTTTTTGGCTTGCAGCTTTGAGGCTGCTGAAGCTGCTCGTGGATCCTGCAACAAATGCTCGCTGAGTAGACGAAGAACGCGTCTTGCAAATGGCCTGGTTATTGATGACGCCACCGAAGTCGATGTTGTACGAGACGAGCTTTTGCTCGTTATTGGGGCCCGCGCATCGCCCGATCCGTGGACTTCGAGGTTGGTTCTTCACTGGGAGCGATTAAGAAAGGGCTAACACTTGCATTTGAACAGTCGGGCGCTTCCAGGCGTGTTGGCGTGCAACGCGAAGTGCACCCGGAACGCGGAGGCAGAGGCAGCTTGCTGCGGGAAGTCCCGGAGACAGAGCGTTTTATTCAACTATATCCGACACTGAGGCTACCCCTTATTCAGCCCTTGCGGTAGGCATACCACGCGAAACATATCCGAATGAGCGTCGAGTCGCCATAACGCCGCCGAATGTCACCGTTTTACTCAAGAAGGGCTTCTCGCGTGTTCTCGTTGAGCGTGGTGCAGGCGCCGAGGCTCAGTTCGTGGATCAGGCCTACGAATCAGCCGGCGCGACGCTGGTCGACGGCAAATGTGTTTGGTCCGAGAGTGATATCCTTCTGAAAGTCCGCGCACCCAGCGCTGGTAGGGGCGATGATGAAGTGGGTGCGCTGCGCCAAGGCCAGACGATAATCTCTTTCTTGTATCCGGCTCAAAATGCAAGTCTTGTGGAGAGGCTTTCTTCTCGTGGTGTCACATCGTTTGCGATGGATATGATTCCCCGAATATCTCGTGCTCAGGCTTTTGACGCTCTTAGGTACGCCCGGTTCTCGAGGTCGGCGAAGTAAGGACTTTTCAAGCCTAATCCATAATATAGTTCTATGGCCAATATCGCCGGATACAAGGCTGTCTTGGAAGCATCCAATCATTTTGGACGCTTCATGACCGGCCAAGTAACAGCAGCTGGGTGAGTAAGAAGTTCGTAGTGTTTGAGAAAGAGTTCTTGCAGTTGACGATTCCTACTCTTTAGCAAGGTATATCTTCCCTATAGTCTCTTGGTGAGCCTCGTCAGCCTTCCGCCAACTGTGATCTAGATTCCTCCATGCAAGGTCTTGGTTATCGGCGCCGGTGTCGCCGGATTGAGCGCCATTGCTACAGTATGTAATCGCCTCCGGGTATCAAATGTTTACCTAATTGTTCGTGTCCGTTTTGCAGGCTCGTCGCTTAGGAGCGATCGTACGCGGATTTGACGCCCGGTCAGCCGCACGGGAACAAGTGCACTCACTCGGAGCTGAATTCATAGAAGTAGATGTGAAAGAAGAGGGTACCGGCCAAGGCGGCTACGCAAAAGAGATGTCGAGAGAATTTATCGAGGCTGAAATGAAGCTCTTTATGGAGCAGTGCCGCGAGGTCGACATCGTAATCACTACGGCCCTTATACCCGGAAAGCGCGCTCCAATCCTAATTACAGAAGAGGTAAAACGCTCAAAAAAAGAATATACACCGGCCTTTGGCTGACTAGAGCGGCAATCAGATGGTATCAGCAATGAAACCAGGCTCGGTAGTTGTGGATCTTGCCGCTGAGGCGGGCGGCAACTGTGAGGCGACCGTCCCTGGAAACCTAGTTACGCATAAGGGCGTCACTGTTATAGGTCCGTCTTGTTTGAATGGTATTGAGTTTTATGGAGATTAAGATCTACGCAGGGTACACTGACCTTCCTTCACGACTACCCACTCAGTCCTCAACTCTGTACTCCAACAACATCACAAGGCTCCTTCTTTCCATGTCTCCTCAAGAGAAACACTTTGGCGTAGATTTAACGGATGAAGTTGTTCGTGGCTCAATCGTAACATACAAGGGCGAGATTATTCCTCCAACTCCGCGACTTGCCCCTATGGCGGCACCTTTGACTCCTCCGCAAGCTGCAGTCGAGCCGCCAAAGAGTGCTCGTACCGTCGCTTTGACACCATGGCAGAAAGCATCGCGCGAGGTAGCTACAGTGACCACCGGGTTGGGAGCAGTCCTCGCTCTGGGCAAGACTACGGGGCCCTTGTTCATGAGCAATGTACTTACCTTTACACTGGCGGGACTTGTCGGCTATCGCGCTGTATGGGGTGTCGCACCTGCTCTCCATTCTCCTCTCATGAGTGTTACGAACGCGATTTCAGGTAGTAGAACTCTGTCAGTAATTTTGAGGCTTTACTGACCTGTGTGTATAGGCATGGTCGGCATTGGCGGTTTCTTCATCATGGGAGGAGGATTTCTACCCGAAACCTTACCTCAGGCGCTTGGTGCCTTGTCAGTATTGCTGGCCTTTGTGAACGTATCTGGAGGATTTGTTATCACAAAGCGTATGCTGGACATGTTTAAACGTACGTATTCCTTCTTTTCTTCTACTCTTGTCAATGTCAATCCCTAACCTTTGAGGCCAAATACAGGGCCGACGGATCCTCCCGAGTATCCATGGCTCTATGCTATACCTGGTCTGCTGTTTGGTGGTGGTTATATCGCTGCTGTGAGTACCGGAATGGCTGGTCTTGTTCAGGCTGGGTACATTGCAAGCAGTGTCTTGTGCATCAGTAAGTCTAGGATCCCCAAGTCATATCGAATTCGGGTACCAACACTCGATAGGTTCCATATCTGGCCTCGCATCACAATTGACTGCTCGACGGGGAAACATCCTCGGCATTTTGGGTGTTGGTTCTGGCATTCTCGCATCTCTCGCTGCCGTAGGCTTCCCTCCGGACGTACTACTACAGTTTGCAGGTGTTGCTGGCATAGGCAGTATCCTCGGTAAGTGTCGTCGATAACTGCAAAATAAGCATATTCTGACCACTTGCATCAGGTCTCCTGATCGGTCGGCGCATTACAGCAACAGATCTTCCACAGACGGTCGCTGCACTGCACTCTGTGGTAGGATTGGCGGCGGTGCTTACCAGCATCGGAAGTGTGATGGCGGATCTTTCTCACATTTCAACGCTGCATCTCGTAACCGCATACCTGGGCGTTCTTATTGGTAGGTTGCACATTATCCATTTAAAGAGTATTTAAGTAGCTCATCATTTAACTGTTCACAGGAGGCATTACCTTTACAGGCTCTATTGTAGCGTTCCTCAAGCTTTCCAGTCGCATGTCTTCGAGACCCAAGGTTCTTCCCGGTCGACACCTTATAAATGCATCGCTTCTTGGCGCGAATGCTGCGACTATGGGTGCATTTGTTACCATGGCGCCTGGCTCACCCGCAATCGCTGCTGGTTGTCTAGCAGCCAGTACAGTGCTGAGTTTTTCTAAGGGCTATACTACAACCGCAGCCATTGGCGGGGCCGATATGCGTGCGTACTTGACTCTTTCTTTGTTTCAGACCATTCGATGCATGTTGAAACGCTGACAGCTGCTCAACTAATTTAGCGGTAGTGATTACAGTCTTAAACGCGTATTCCGGATTTGCCTTGGTGGCTGAGGGCTTCATGCTTGATAATCCATTACTTACGACTGTGGGAGCCTTAATTGGTGTCAGCGGCTCCATTCTGTCATACATAATGGTAACAACCCCACGTCCTTCTTTGGGGAATACGCTTAGTGATCGTCATCTCAGTGCGTTGCGATGAACAGGTCTCTGACAAATGTCCTGTTCGGAGGAATATCTGCCCCCACGCAAAGTGTCAGAAACATCGAGGGAGAAGTAACCCAAACATCTGTGGACGAAACTGCCGACGCTCTGGCTAACGCGGAGAGCGTAATCATCGTGCGTGACTTCGTCATCCGAAAGTCATCCTTTCTAATCCTTGTCCCAGGTTGTCGGGTATGGTATGGCCGTTGCGAAGGCACAGTATGCTATCTCAGAAATCGTCCGTATTTTACGTGCGAAGGGTGTTAAAGTTCGCTTCGCGATACACCCAGTAGCCGGGCGAATGCCGGGACAATGCAATGTCCTCCTCGCGGAGGCTTCGGTGCCTTATGATAGTAAGTCCTCTCGACTCTGTTATGAAATACAGAGAGATCGCGCTAATATATGTTTCAAGTCGTCTTTGAGATGGATGAGATCAACGACGATTTCTCGGGTACTGATGTAGCTCTCGTCATTGGGGCAAATGATACAGTGAATCCGATCGCGCTCGAGCCTGGCTCCCCCATTGCGGGTATGCCTGTGCTTCATGCTTGGAAGAGCAAGCAAGTGATTGTAATGAAGCGCGGTATGGCGAGCGGCTATGGTATGTCAAGACCCAGAGTTGCTTCAGTGAAGATGAAGTTTAGACTAATCCTCAATTCCAACGCAAAAGCCGACGTCCCCAACCCCATGTTCTACATGCCTGGAACGAAGATGCTCTTTGGAGATGCGAAAAACTCCTGCGATGGTAAGCTCTCGGGCTACGGGATTGACAGACAGCGTCAACTAACGGGCTCTGCAGCTATCAAACGTGCTCTCGATACTCGGAGCCAGATGTGGGCTGATATCTAGTCAATTTATTTATCACAGAAAGATGCTCATGATTTTCGGTCTGAGCGGAGTGTATAACGCATCATGTAGGGTTGATAACTCTTGTCATCCGAAGCTCTATGCTGGTTAGGTAACACGGAGACTTCGCTCAGCAGCTTATACGCGCTCCGCGAAGAAGTCCGAGCCGCTCTGTAAGCCTAAGCTTCTGCTGGCACCCTCGATCCTTCCACTACCGATTTCTCAAGGGGCTCTGCTACCGGCTTCAGCTTCAACTCGATATCATGCGTCTCAAACCTGCACGAAGCCCGCCATCAATGGCGTGCAAAGTGCAAGACCACATGCTGCTGCTCATGAAATGCCATGTGGTCTCCGAAAGAACACAAGAGAACCTGCAAGAGGTCTGACTGGTGTCGTACAAGCTCATGCAGCGACACGACGACCCTCTCCGAACTTAGAGTACACCTACGCGAAAGACACATGACGTGAAGCATGAAAACCTCCGTCTCCGCCCTTGGATACAGAATCGGTTGTACAAGACTCAATGACAGATCGTTTCCTAGTGGGCGTGGGAAGTACTATGAGAGAGAAATGAGCCTAAGCGGCGCACGGGGCAGGAATCTACCACCAGAATTTTGAGCCGCTTTGGGCGGCGATGTGACGACTGTGATGTGCTGCAACATAGCTCGAACTCGCATAATCTTGTACTTGTATCATGACGTTTACTTTGAGGTGTAACATAATTGGGAAGAGGCTATATTTCAGGTATGTCTCCAATGTTAGGCGCCTTAGTATACTCGAGGTTTGAACTCGACCAGCTGGTGATTACGAAAGTTGGGATGATGATGGTCTGCCTGTCCTCGTGGAAGCCTTACGTATGAGCGTGATATCATATCGTTCTCTTATATACGGCTCGCTATCGTCATGGTATTATCACTGTTGGATGGCCTCTCAAAGCTGGCAGTGGCTTTGCAAGTGTGCACTTCTAACGCCCATTTCACGAAGCGCAGTAAGATACTGCCTAATTTTGCCTCTGCAGTTCCGTGTAAAGACTGACAGCACGATCTTGAGGCGGATGCACGAAAGCGTATTCATACCCTGCCCGCGGACCGTTCACCCGTGTACCATCCGAAGCCTAACCTTGCGCCCAACTCCTTTCTACATGTCCCATACAGCTCTAATGCAGCCTCTTCAAACTCTCGACCAAGACCTTCAGCCTCTCGGCAGAGACTTCCAAACCCAATTCAACCGCAATCTCCTCCTGCGTCTCTGAATCAAGGCCAAGGAATGCCTCGATCAACTCTCCATCCACGAAACGGTGCGGTTCTTCTGACTCCCTAACTTGATTCTTGAAAGCGCGATACTTCATAAACGGCACATGGCCCGGAGAGATGACCTTGTCCGCCAGCGCAGACTGCAGTGAGATGAGGAGGTTGAGGTAATTGGGTTGGATGGTTGCGTAGAGGTAGAGCGCGCCCTCGACCTGTTTTACCGTCAGTGGGATACCGGCGCGTGAAGGGTCATGAACAGTTGATAACTTGAGGCAGCTGAGCACTCACCGTTGCAAGGAACGCCCGCGGCAGCACAGCCGCATCCCCCTGCGCGCTGACATCAACGCGTCTAATCCGGTTCACCATCTCACCGAGGCACATCTCACTCGTGACTTCCAGCCTCCGCTTATCCTCCTCCGTCACGCCTTCGGTATTCCGCCTGAGCACCATGAGGTTACCTTCTGCATCAGCTTCGAGCCAGTCGTTCTCCTCCACCTGTGCGCAGGCGGTAGCCCACGATGTTTGGAAGTGCCGCGCTGTTTCTTTGAGCACGTGCCCTACTGCGGGAGTGTCCGAGGGCTTGTAAGTGAGTATCGAGACGGACTTCATCAAGTCTGCGACAGCGATGATGTGTTCGTCATCCGAAGGAGAGTCGTAGATAGCAAGATCGATGGGGGCGGTTGAGGTGCGATAGGTGGCTAGCTTTCTCATGATGGGCGAAGATGGCGTGTCGTATGTGAAGGAGTATACAGCGACCTGTGGGGGAATTAGTGATCCTAAGCACGTAAAGTCGTCGTGCGGAGAAGGAAGCTGAGGAAAGGAAGAGGCTCACTGTCTTGGTCAGCGCTGCAATGATCTTCCCATCACACATGCCGAGACATCTGCAGGCACCCTTGACAGCCAGCTCAGTCACCAGCTTGAGCTGCCTATCGTTGGTAACCTCGAGAACCAGTATTCGTCCTCGAACATTGCCGGCCGCTTCATCGTCAAGGTATGCAGTACCCACAACGAACCTCTCAGCCAGGTCACCCGTCCCGTCGTCGAGCTCGGCGCGCATTACGCTTTCAACCAGCTCATCCTCGTTGAGTGCAAAAGTGTCCAACTCCTTGAACAAGATCTCATCGGCAAGCTTGAAGTGTGACTGTATTATTTCAACCCCATCACGCAGTATTCTCTTCGTCGTGCCGAGACCGAAAGCCTTCAGTGCAGGCGAGTAGGCTATCCGCCGTACGGTCTCATTAACGAGCAGCGTTTGTACGTGTGTCGTCCGCTCGGTATCTACCACCGCTATCCTGACATCTTCCGAGGTGGCGATGACGATCGCGCTAGGGTAGGCAGCAGAGTCGAAGGGACAAACACAGGTGGCTTTCTCTGCTGTTACGGCTGAGTATATCAAGCGCCCTTCAGAGCCGTATATAAGACTTGGATGCTCGCATGTCGCAAAAACACTGTTTAAGCCGTCGCCTCGCGGAAGAGCCCTCAAGTTCGCTTGCTGTGTTCCGAGTACGATGCTTTGCCTGTCAGAAAGTGTGAAGCGGGTTGGCTCAACAGAGAATGTGACAACATTGCCATCTGCCGTCGCAATAAAGAGGGTCGGTGGCTGGTCGGGGAAGATGTTGGTGAGGAGGAGTGACCGTGGAACGGATAGGCCATCGTCAGAGATCGAGACCGTTTGGATCGTTCCGAGGGTCTTGACGTCTAGGATGGAGACAGCGGAGCCTTGCCAGAAGCCAACAATGCAGATATCTGGAAGCGTTGAGGGTATCTCAACACAGGCGATCTGGCTATCGGCTGTGAAGGTCTTGCTTGCGTGTTCATCAAGGCTATCGTTGAGTGAGAGGACAATCAGCTGGACGCCACCAAGCGACAGGAGAGCACTATGGTCGTTCGCAGCGACGGCAGTAATTGGATTGTTTGGTGATCTCCAAGTAGATACTTCCATTCCACTTTCCATGTCGACCAGAGATGCGCCGGTCCCGGTTACTACGAGCAAGCGGCCATTGGCTACGTTCTGCGCCAGCAGAGTACTCTCGGAGGGAACAACACCCTTGAAATCGTCTACCTCTTCGACATCGCCGTCCTCGCTGAACCGGAACACGCGTGACTCGTTTATGGAGCTGACTATTAGGGTATCGGCGAGGTTCGTTGCCGGGTTTGAGCTGACGCTGAACATATCGGAGACGTGGCCCATCTCTCCCAACACCCCCAGTTCCTCAAGGCCGACTCCGCTTCGCACACTACGGAGGCTGCCGTCCTTAAAAGCACCGCTTCCGGTAACTATTCGAGCTTGGCCGGAGGAGTATTCGTTGCTCTGACCTTCGCCGGATCTATTGCCCATATCCATGATGGTGAAATCCAATATGGGTGCAATGTTTGAGAAGGATTGGACCACTTCCATTGACCGCTCCTGAATCCTGATGACTTGTGAATCTCCCTGATGAGAGCCGACGAAGATATGTCCAGCGTCTAGGTACACCAATGTTGAAGCTCTGGAAGTTTCACCAATTACGTCCAATTGCCAGTCTTTTACGCCATTGCTGCTATCCAGTATGAGCATAAGAAGATAGAGCTTGCCGTACTCGTCCGCTATAACAAATCTTTGGCTATCCACACGCTCCCAAGCCACAAATATTGTGGCCTCTTCCAGCGGTTTCGTATGTACCCGGTTGTCTGTGTCGTCGAAGTATGAGATGGATGTCTCTCCCAGAATGAGCACTCCGTAAACCGGTTCAGAAATGGGAATCAGGTGAGATGCACCAAGCTCCAACTCTTCCGTCAGCCCTTCTACCTCCTCCAATTCGGCGGTACCTTGCTCCCCACTGGCACCTTGACTCCAGCTTAGCTGTCTCATCTTCAACCTGACCTTACTCTGACTATCCTCATACAGCAACGCTATCTTCGGCTGTTCCAAATCCGGCCGTCTTCGCTGCAGGAATGCTGAGGATCGAACAAACATCTCCGATATCCGCGTTGGCACTGGCTCACCCAAGCTCCCGATCTCAGCATCCGTCGATGCGACAGCCACAGCAGCCTTCTTCTTGCCGCTAGCTCTAGAGCCTTGTAGGATTGGTACGACGGTGACCATGCCCTCGAAGAACTCTAGTGTCATGAACTTCCCGCTAGGATCGATTAGACATCTGTCTCCTGTCTGGTTTTCCCGCGCACTCTTGTCGGCTAGGTCTACATAGCTCTTCTCCGTCTTCAGCTGCTTTGACTCCCGATCCCAAGAGAGCGTGAGGTACATGAACCGGTCTGTACCGACGAAGAGCTGGTCCGTGGACGATGTTGCGGGCCGTATTTTGTTTAGTATCGTGACTTTGCCGTAGATGGCTTTTGTATGGGCGAGGGCGAGGCCATCTGGAGTTTGGCTATAGATTTCGAGGCGATTGGCTTTTCTGTATGCACAAGTAAGCCTAACAAGATCTCACAAAGCTATCGGGGGCTGCGGCTCACGCGACTACGAGACACTCATGCTCGGGGTCGAGGAAGCGGAGCTTTAGGGCATGCCGGATGCTGCTGGCCCGGTGGATGGGAGCTATGTAGGCCATCTTAGAAGCGTTGTGGCTCTAGAAGTAGACAGCAAAGAGTAGGGGAAGTTCAGTGGTTTATCGTAGCTCCATGATTGATGACGGAGGTGAAGGCCGGCCGGCGCGGTGAGCTTTGACGCGCGCGTCGCGGGGCAGAAGGACTGGAACATTTTCTTCAACTGCCTGCACAACATCCACCATGCCTTGTAAGACCAATTCAAGCTTGTCAAATGCCGCCAATGCTAAGGAATATCCTAAACAGCACTCGGTGACGACGACGACCCCGTCACGGCAGAATACGACGTCTACATCACCGCCTCATCCCCGCAGTCCCAGACCTACCTCCTCCAGTACCCCAACCGCAACCGCCTACAACCCTACAATGCCCGCTCGAACGCCAAGCCGCTCGAGCTGCGCATCAAGCCCTCGTCCGGCTTTCTCGAGATCGACGTGCCCATGAACGTCTACGCGAACTTCGACAAGACAAAGGGCATCAAATGGGGCGAGGCAATGCTCAAGACCAGCCACAACGGTGGCAGCAGCAACTTTGGGCTTGCCGCCGGCTTTGCGAGGCCCAGAGAGACTGGCGCAGCGGCTAGGAGGGCTAGGGCAAGGGGTGGGGAGGAGGAAGATGAAGAAGGGCCCGACGAGGAGATTGACAGGCACTTGGAGAACTTCGAGGACGCGAACAGTAAGGGACATGTCATGAACAAGCAGACGCTGGGCGGGCAGATCTTGAAAGAAGAGAGTGGAAAGCCGATCTACATGCTCGGTGCTTTTCGTGGGAGTACGTGACCTTATCCGCCAGTCTCTTGGAACAGAGAGAGCTAACCCTGGCCCAGAGGAGCTTCATTTAACGAAAGTCACCGGGCTGGTCCAGATGCGCCCGCAGTTCCACCATCTCGACGCCTCGTCCCATGTCGAATCGGCCGCTCGCCGACGTGAGCGCGAAGCTGCCGAGCCGCCTCGGGACACTCAGCCCCGGGCGGTGCAAATGTCAGTGAAACAAAACGATACAGACGGCCCTACTGGGATTACCACAAAAGATTACTTGCAAGCCGCGCAGCAGGAGCCGTGGACAAAGCTGAGGTACCATGATGAGGATGTGAGTCACAACTATTCAGAAGTCATTTATTTAGATACAGAAGTACACATGTACTTGCGCATAGATACTGAGTACTTTATAGACGGACGAAGCATACGGCATATACCACGACAAGCTCTTCATCCACGATACCGAGGGCGCCTCTCAGCTCAAGTCCTCCATGACCAATGAGGAATACCTCGATGCCATCAGCGCGCCGCGCCACGATCCCAGTGGGCGATCGAAGAAGAAGCCCCTAACCAAGAAGCAAATGCAGGTCATTGAGGAATCCGAGGGCTCAGAGGATGATCCCGAGGAGGTACCGCCACCACAAGACCCCGCTACTTCTGGAGAGCAGAATGATGCTGAAATGGCCGATGGTAGCGATGGCGCTCAGGCCACACCAGGTGCTGAAAGATGACAGGCCTCCTGAGTACGGTGTGGTTCGGGCGGGGATAAATCACTGCATAGCGACGGCGTACCGGCTTGTTTCACAGCAACTTGTAGCGCAGGCTCTGACGCGTGCGGGCTGTTTGCGTATGAAGTACAACGGATTCGTCGCTGAGCAGCCTGGAGCGATGGGTATGGACTCGCTGAGGCTCCACAAGGGATGTTCCGCCATTTGTCTTCCGTGCTTTCCCGCAATCCGCACATCTCTTCGAGAACAACCGTACCTGCTGATACATTACCGAAACCATCAACCCTCAAACAAGTCCTTCAGTCGCTCATCAGCCTCCACAAACTCTCGAAAATCCTTTTCAATATCCACCTCCTCATCCTTCGCCACAGCAGCCCTCAGTACCTCCACAACCTTCCTTAACTCCCCCTTCACCTCCACAAACTCCTTCCCCCGCTCCCCTTCCACCTTCCCCTGTTCCTCCTCCACAACCCTGATCCAACAAACCGCCACCCCTCTCACAACCTCCGCCCTCCACTTCCCAATCCTCGGCCACGCCCCCAACACAACCGCCCTTAGCGCCCTCGCAGCCCCAACCAGCAGCGGCGGATACGCCGTCCCAAACGGCTCAGCCAGCACACCCGACAGCATCGGCAGCACATCCCTGAGATGCTTGACAGACTCTACCCCCAGTTCCTCTACAATAACAGCGAGCTGCGCAACCAGCACTTCCGCGATCCTGGCATGCTCACCCGCGAAGGCGAAACCCCTCAGCACGCCCTGCCGGAGCAACTTATCCAGCGCCTTCGCTCTCTGGGTCATGTTTCCCGCGCCGAGCTTGTCGCCGGGCGCGACGGGATATCGCACATTCGCCAGTGCGACTAGTGCGGGGAAGGCGGCGTTCAGGATTACGATGGATTCGGCTTCGGACGTCAGGGTAGGCAGGTAGCTCAAGCACGGCATAAGGGCCTCCTCAAACACCTCGCCCAGCCCCGTGCGCTGGAGCAGCGTGGGCGGCGTAGCGGCCAGGAGGGTGGTGAGAAGATCACAGCCGCGGGCCTTGATAGGGATATCGGGGTCATCGATCATGGTCAGGATGGGAGGGATCAGGAGGGGCCACTCTTTTTGTGCGAGGTCTGCATCTAGCGATTTGATACACCATGATAAGAGCGAGACGGCATAGGCCCCCTCTTTCTGCTTCCAGGGCCGCGTCACCGCCTCGTTTTCTAGCTCAGGATACTTCCTGGCTAGCATGGATGTCGTGTTCCTGCGCCCCTGCGCCGTGAGCTCAGGATGCGGTGTCTGTGCGAAGAGCGGACGGATCGTAAGCGCCAGGAAGTGATGGATGAGAGCCGCAATGAGGGAGGCGTAAGGGGGAGTAGAAGACTGCTCACCCTTCTTTCTGGTATCCCTCTTCTTCGGCGCCTTGCTCGTGCCGTTCGGCTTGGCTTCGCTGTGGCTCAAGACACCGCTGCTGCGGACCGCCTCGATTGCGGCGGCTGTGTCGGTGAGGTCGGGATTGCGCAGTTGCCAGGCCATGATTACGTCGAGGGCGTCCTTCATCCATTTACCCGGGGGGGTGGAGAGCGCGGCGGAGAGGGCGCGGCCGTCGATTATGGGCGTGAAGGTGTGGGCTTCGAGGAGGTTGAGGGCTTGGATGTGTTGTAGAAAAGTTTGGTAGGCTTCAACGATCACTGTGGGGTCTGAAGTTAGTGCACTGCGGTACAATTCATATCTCAATGCGGATGAACATACTTTTCTCGGAAGACTGCGCATTCGCAACCTCGTAGGCCAGAGCATAGACAACCTGAGTCCGCCATGTTGCCCCCCAGCGACGAATCGCCATACCGAGCGTGTCACGAGCCGTCCAGTCGTCACTTTCCGATCGTTTGCGAGGATGACGGTTGTGGTCATTGAACTTGTCTACCGTCTTGCGTATTTCATCGAGGTTCCGTACTGAAGCAGCAACGACTTCGCATACTTTGTTCGGTGCTTTGATGCCTTCACGGACTACGTTTTCTGCAAGTGGAGGCGGTATCTTGCCGCCCGCCTTCTTGGGCTCCGGTTGCGGTGCGTCTGCCCAGGGTACCAGGGCTGCGAGAATCCAGGCGTGGTGCTGATCTTCCTCGCCTTGGAAAACGATTGTACGTATAGAGTCATAAGCATCGCGTAGAGCAGTAGACACATCCTGGTTTGCCAGGATCTTTGAGACCACGTCGTAAGCTGGTTGTAGGTGGCTGGCCTCTGGAGTGAAGGTGAATTTCTTAGTGGGATCCGTGAAGATTGTCTCGTACAGGTCCAGACGATCGATATAGCTCAAAGCAGAACGCGGATCGGGACCTTTGAGCATCTTCTCGAGCTCGATACCGACGCGCTCGCGGCTGATCTTGATTCGGAGAGCCTCCTTGATTTCGGCGTTCCTCATGCACTCTTCTGCAGCGGGGTCTATGGTGTAGCCTAGCCGACTTGCAAAGCGTATCAGACGTAGCACACGTAACGGATCGTCCATGAAAGTTTGATACGGCTCGAGCGGTGTCCGGATGATTCTCTTTTGCATGTCTCTGAAGCCTCGGCCTGTGAAGTCCTCTATGGCTGACGTGTTGATGTTGTAGAAGAGGGCGTTGACTGTGGCATCGCGGCGAAGGGCGTCCTCCTCAGGCGTGCCGAATTCCATCTGGGGGTTCCGGCTGTCTTCGGTATAAGTCTCTTTACGGAGATTTACCAGATCAATATCCAGGCCGAGGATCTTTGTGGTCACGGTCTCAAGGTGCTTTGACTTTTCTGGATTGGCCTCGATCTTGTAGAGTCCACCGACTTTCCTGCTCTTGCTGGTGGTGCCCGCATCAGCCGCCTTATCGTCTGGCGACGCAACGCCTTCAAGACCGTATTTCTCGGGATTGCCAGGAATCTCCAAGTACTCTTTCAGCTTTAGGCCGAACTGGAAGCCCGTCATCTTGTTGATGGCAACATCGATGTCATGGCTGCCGACACCGAGCAGCTTGTCCCGGACCCATCCTCCAGTGAAGCGGAGTACGATCTTTTCCGTTGCTAGCTGGTCTGGTAACTTTGCTTGGGTTTCTGGGTCTTCCGCAGCAGAGGAGCTGTCAACAAACTCTGCAACATCGAGCAGTAGCTGCCGTAGTGTCTTTTCGACGTCTGTAAGCTCGAGACTTTGAGTGTTTGACGCCAGGGTTGACGCCATTTTACTTCCAAAGTGATGATCGGAAGGAGATGAGATCCTCCGCCGCTTCAGACTACGGTACTCTTCGATGGCCGGACTTGAAAGCCGATGTTGGCACATACAGACAATGGACCTCACGTGCCTGGATTCCCCGAGCAGTGTTGGTGGTTTGAGGACTGATGTTGATTCAAGGCGCTGGTAAATGGTGCAAACGCGGAAGAGCAGTCTTGCCTGGCGCAGCAGAGTCATCCATGGAAGCCTTCACGGTGCTGTTGAGGGAGAGTTCAGATTGGTGATGGTCTTTCTTTGTTGATTCAAAAAATAATTTTGGAGTCACAGCAAAACCATTCGGGGAAGCCGCCGCACAATGGCTTGGCTGGCCGTTGACGTTGAAAGACCCCATGCGCTGCTCACAAGCAACCTGTATGTACCTACGCCTGCGCCAACCCTTTGACATATAGCACTCGACTTCACCTGAGTACCTTCCATTCTCCTCGGACATACCTCATGCAACCGACGCAAAGAGCCCGTACACGTCGAAACCGCGCCGCCGCGAGCCTCATATGAACCCTCTGCAAGATGCCGATCCCTTGCAGTCGCCGCAATACTCAAACTCCGAGTCATCGCTCGTACTGCCCAAGATACGCGCTTCGCCCGTGGCTTCCCTAGCTGGTCTACCCTACAGACGATCGAACCCTTCGCTATCCTCCTTGTTCGCATCGACCGCATCGATACTACCGAAATCACGCTCAGGCTCCGTCACACCCACCGCCCCGCTCGTCGCGGGCTCCGTCTTCTCACCTGGAGCCACCCATGGAGCTGCGTCGCCGGCCAGTACTCCGCAGGGTAGTCAGCCGGCGGACGAAGCGAGGACGCTGATACTACGGTCATTTGTACCTCATGTCGGAGTATTCGCATCGGCAGACGCTGATGAGCTGGTGCAGCAGAAAGGGCTGCCTGGGGGCTTCGTCGAGCTTGTGAGGCCCTTCGGAGAGCGGGTGCACGGCAAAGTTACCATCCGCGACAGCATTGGCGCGAGCAGGAGCTGGGACGACTTTGGCATACGGTTCACCGGTCTAAGGGACGGGATTGGGGTGCCACCGGGAGGTGCCAGGAGGAGCACGGACAGCAGGCCAGGCACTGCGAACGGATACCGCAACTCAACAGAGGCCGCCGATGCAGCATGGCTCCGGGTGGGAGGCGACGTTCGGAGTATAGAAGAAGTCGTTGACCGGCACCTAGCATATGCCGAGGAGCAGAGCGGACCAACGGACTATCTGAACCACAAGCAGAATACCTTCGAAACTCCCATCGCCTCCTCGCCCTTTTACGCTCTATACTTGCGCAGACTGCTCTCTGGCCTGCCTATGGCTCCCCACGAGACTTTTTCACACCCTGTAGCATGCGTCTTAGCGATCAGCTCGCGGAGCCCATCTCCTATAGAAGAACTGCGGCGTCTCTATACCGCCACGAGCACGGGCGACCAGCGACTACCACATTGGGTCAACAACGAGTTTCTACGATATTACGTGCTGGTCCACGACGAAGATCATGACGACATTTCCAAATCAACCTCACTTTTTGAGCAGATGAAACGGCATTTCGGCCTACACTGCCACCTACTGAGACTTCGCACCAATCAGTGTGTCTCATCCGACGAAGACTGCATACGGATCCCGACATGTGAATGGATATCTGCCTCGGAAGAGCTGGCAGAGATTCACAGACGAGGTTGGTGAATTCATGTTTGCCAACCGAACAGTGGTACTAATCCTTCACAGAAACCGCAGAAGACATCTCAGACCCCAACATCTACCTCCACGAATCCGACGCCGCTGCCCTCCGCACCTTCGTCCGCGAGCTCACGACCCAATCCATCGTCCCCGTCATGGAACGCCTCATCGCGACCTGGAACGAGCAAGTTGCGTCTCGGCGTCGCGGCATTAGCGGGCGCTTCATGTCTCTCTCCAAGAAATGGTCCCCCTTCAGTTCCTCCCGCACCTCCTCGAACCCTGCCTCCAGCAACCCCAGCAACACCAACTACGACTCCCTGCAGGGCTTCTACCGCCCCGACAGCCCCGAAGCCACGATGCGCAAGCTCGCCGACTACGCCTTCATGCTGCGCGACTTCAAGCTCGCGAGCTCCGTCTACGACCTCCTCCGCACCGACTTCAACACCGACAAAGCGTGGAAACACTACGCGGCCGCGAACGAAATGTGCGCCGTCGCCACGCTCATGACGCCGGCCAACCTCTCTAGCAAGACGAGGACGGAGAATGTGGACCAGATGCTTGAGTCGGCGTCGTATTCCTTCCTTTCGAGATGCGGGGCACCCTTCTACGCTCTCCGCACCCTCGCCATGGGGCTTGAGCTGCTGAAGCTCCGCGGCTCGAGCGCCGCCGACGACGCGGCGAGATGGGCGACCAAGGCGCTGGAGATGAGAGTCGTGGGGCCAGTCGGCGAAGCCCTCTTCACCGAGCGCGTCAGCGCGTGCTACGCGTCCCGAAAGGGCACGGGGAGTATGTCATGGGGCTCCCGCCGGCGCAAAGCAGCCTTCTGGGCCGTGCTCGCCGCAGATAGTTGGGTGAAGCTCGAGAAGGGCGTTCAGGCGGAGAAGTGTCTGAGTGAGGCTGGGCGACTGTATGGAGTTGATGCAGATGGTGTCACGGATCTGCCGTTCGAGGGGATGCGGATATTCATGCGGGCGCTGAGTGAGACTGTTGGGGCGCTGAGGCGCGCGAAGAGGGGGTTTGATGAGAGAGCCGAAGAACGGGAGGCGGATGAGGAGACGTTGGCGGAGGATGAGGTGGTCGAGGAGATTAGCGAGACGCTGGATAAGAGACCGCATCGGAAGAGCTTGGTTGGAATTGGGGCGGGACCGCTAGGTCCGCTGGATACGCCGTTGAGTCCGCTGAGGAGTACGGAGGATGAGCCAAGGTTCAAAGACGACCAGTTCGAGTAGGAAGGGGATCTGGAAGCGGGAGTGTGTATCGATTTAGCGCTGGCGTGGAGGATTCGGCGCATGTATATCTTGCATGGTCAGGCGTTCGCTGGACCTCGGTGGCGGATACCTTAGTAGACCAACCGGTGATTTCTATCGTGACAATATGACAGACGAAGCGTCTTTGCTCCACAAGTTTCTGCAACAAGCCTGCTCTCATCCACGCGGCCCTCCTCACTTTCTGCATTCTGCCGAACGGCTCGTCCGGCCCGCGCATCCCAAGCCCCAGTCTGCCATCCGTTCGGTACCTTATCTTCCCCAAGCATCCTGCATCCCCATCCCTCGCCAAGGACAATAAGGCGTTGCGCGATAAGGCCCATCTATATATCAAGTTTACTCTCCTCAAACAATCTCATCTTACACCTTATCGCCCGCCGCAGCCACCTCCGGCAGGGCCAAACCACCATTATGCATTACCAGATCTGGATAAAGAACCCGACTATCTGAGAGCCCAGATATGCCGTGCGTGCCTGCAGGTTCGCCCAGGCGTCCTCAGCACGCACGCACGCACGGCACGCCCACGCTCTTGGGAGAGTGGGAGAGCGCTGTCAACGCCACGAACCGCTTATCGGGTTGCAGGAGCTGGGACCATTGGCTGTACAGGTCGTGCAGGAACGTGTAGCGCCAAGATGAAAGCCTTGGACGAGATGCGTGGTGTTGATATAAGGCGTGAGGCCCGTCTCTCGTGCGACGGGCCTCTCATTGAGCAGGGTGATTCATAAAACATCATAGAACCCCACCCAACTCTGACTAGCTAGAGATCATCTCCAAGGGAAGGTGGCAGCAACAGCCTCAAGCTCGACGCTCTCTACGCCTCCGTCTTGACCACCAACATGGCAGAAGCCACTCCGGTCCCCGTAACAGAATGGCCTGACTACAACGCGAATCGCAATGGCGGCGATCCGCTCACTCAAGACTTGAACGCCCTCTACGACAAGGTCCATCCAGTTCCTCTCCTTTCCCGCAAGTCCCCGCACTGACAATGCCCCCAGGGCGACCTCTGCTGGATCCTCGTCTGCACGATCATGTGCTGGCAAATCACGCCCGCAATCGGCTTCCTCTACGCCGGGATGCACCGGCAGAAAGCCGCTCTGACCATGATATTCCAGTCTCTATTCTGCGCCTGCGCGTGCGGGATCCAGTTCTGGGTGTACGGCTACTCGCTCTACCAGTCGCACACCACTGGCCCTTTTCTCGGAGACCTGAGCTTGGCAGGCCTGCACAACGTGCTGGCGTATCCCTCGCTCGCAAACTCGGATATTCCTGATATCTTGTATGCGTGCTTCGGGTTCACGTTCGTGACGGCGACGGCGATGATTCTGGCGGGAGCGATGTTGGAACGGGGGAGGTTGTGGCCGAGTATGCTGTTCTTGCTGTGCTGGACGACGTTTGTGTACTATGTGTAAGTTTCTTTTGCAACATACCCACAAAGCTTTCTCCTACGCCCGAGGTGCTCCATTCGAGGAGTAGGCAAACTGACTTCCTCTCCAGCCTCGCCTACTTCGAGTGGAACCCCAATGGCTGGCTCTACAAGCTGGGGGTCTACGATTACGCCGGATCCGGCCCCGTCCACATCGCCTCCGGCTTCAGCGCGCTCGCCTGGTCTCTCATGCTCGGCCGGCGCGCAGATCCCAAGGGCGAGTCCCTGCATAAGCACATGGTGCATTTCCGGCCGCACAACCCCTTCCTGGTCGGCCTGGGCACCGTCTTCATCTGGTTCGGCTGGTTTGCGTTTAATGGTGCCAGCACCGCGAACCTGAGTATCCGCAGCATCTACGTGGTCGTGAACACCAACCTCGCGGCATGTGGAGGCGGGATTGCATGGGTGCTGCTGGAGTACTGCTATGTGAAGAAATTCAGCATCGTTGGGTTCTGCTCGGGGATTATTTCGGGGCTTGTGGGCATTACGCCTGCTGCTGGGTTTGGTGAGCTATCTTTTTGGCCCCGAAGCCAATGACCACCCAGCGGAACTGTATAGCTGATGATTGTTGCAGTACCCGTCTACGTCGCCGCTCTCGTCGGCGCTTTGGCCTCCTGTTGCTCCTTCTTCACCGTAAAATACAAATACCTCATCGGCATCGACGAAGGCCTCGACATCTTCGCCATCCACGGCGTGGGCGGTTTCGTCGGCGACATCCTGACCGGGTTCTTCGCCGCTTCCTTCGTGCCAGCGCTTGACGGCGTATCCGGCACCAACTACGCCGGCGGCTGGTGGAACCGCAACTGGATCCAGATGGGGTATCAGCTTGCTGCGGCGACCACGTGCGCGGTGTGGAGCTTTACGATTAGTTGTATATTGCTGTTTGTTATCAATAGGATCCCCGGGATGCATCTCAGGGAGAGCGAGGAGGATGAGCTGAAGGGGCTGGATTTTAAGTATTTGAGCGATGTGGAGTTTCAGAGGATGAGTGTTGATCTGAGTAACTATGGGATTGTGACGCCGGCGGTAGTTGGAAGCGGATCCAGTGCGAGTCGGGAGGAGGTCCAGCTGGAGCAGAAGAAGGATTGAAGGTAGATTGCTTTGTGCATCGGGTCCTTGTGATACTCAGTATCAGGCACATGTGGTCTCTTTTCGCTGGCTGGCATCATCATTACCGTTTGCTACGGACGGGACAAAGCTATATAGCCTCAACCATATTGCTGTTAGCAATGTTAATATGGCTTAACTGCCGGTTACGTTATACAAGATTTGATCTTATGGTGTCGTCAAAGCGGCAGCGCTGCTAACAATTCGACAATCACGTGCACGCCGCGGATAAGTTCTTCCGCGCACCAAAGGCCTGCAGATTTTGCTCCTGCAGTACCCTCCTTTCAGCATCTAAACAGTTGTCTTACGGGCTGTCAGCGGGATATCGATTCGCAATGGACCTCTCGCATCGGTCCCGACTTTCCTCAGGTGTTGTTCTTGGTTCCGGGTAGCGAAGGCTTACCTTGGAGCTGTAAGGCACCATGACCTCGGCTTTGTATTCCGGCCACCTGTGGAGCCTCTGAGACGACCCAGCCTTCTCTCCAGGACAGAGCACAACTCTGTACAGACCCTTACCACAAAAAACATGCGGTGGACGTCAGCGATAGCGCGCCCTTTGCGGCAGTCAGCTACAAGTGTTGTTCGACAATCGCCTAGGAGGGCTTTTTCCAGTTCGCCCAGTGCGCAGGCAGTATGGGGCTTCATTGGACTCGGCCGGATGGGTATATACTCAAGCCTCACGTGACGAATTATCCGCTAACCGTCTGAAGGTTATCCTATGGCGAAGAACTTGCGCGCAAAGCTGCCCGTCGACGATCAACTCATCGTGTTCGATGTCAACAAGAATGCATCCTCCCAGCTTATGGAAGAGGGAGGTGAGGGTGTCCGCGTTGCGGATAGCGTGCGAGAAGTTGCCGAGAAAGCAGTACGTTATACACCCTTCCCGTCAGCTCCAGTGTCTTCTATGATGAGCATGTTCTATCCATGATCTAAGTTGGGGGCTGCGTTATGCAGCTCTTTCTGTGATTTCACAATATTCATCAAAGCCAATCCTCTGAATGTATCGAAACAAAACTATATACACGAATACCTATCTATGACTGGAGCATACACTTACTCAAGGGTCAGGAAACCGTCATCACAGCGCTGCCAGAACCTTCACATGTGCGAGGGGTGTACAAGTCCATGCTGGAACCGGCAACGCTGCTAAAGGACGGCGTCGCTAAAGAGCGTCTGTTCATCGATGTTTCCACCATCGATCCGATGACTTCGCAATCGGTAGCAGAAATCGCCCAGTCAACCGGCCAGGGCAAGTTCATCGATGCTCCTATGTCCGGGGGTGTTGTCGGCGCACAGGCCGGCACGTTAACATTCATGATCGGCGCACCGCCAGAGCTTGTCGATCGAGCGAAGGAGATCCTCTCGATGATGGGGCGGCGAATACTGCATCTCGGCGACCAAGGCGCCGGCCTGAAGGGCAAGCTGGCCAACAATTACCTGTTGGCTCTAAACAACATCGCGACCGCCGAAGCCATGAATATGGGTATTCAGTGGGGATTAGATCCCAAGGCGCTCGCTGGCATGATCAACACGAGTACAGGCCGGTGTTGGCCGAGCGAGGTGAACAACCCAGTGCCTGGCGTCATCGAGGGCGCGCCGGCTAGCAGAGGGTATGAGGGCGGGTTTGGAGTGAGCCTGATGAAGAAGGATCTCGGTCTGGCTCTGGCGGCGTGCAAAGACGCAGGCGTGAAGCTTGGTCTGGGCGACCACGCCATGAACCTGTATAATGAGGTGGAGGCGGATCCGAACTGCAAGGGCAAGGACTTCTCTGTTGTATATAGATATCTTGGCGGGAAAGAATAGCACAGAGAGATACTTGCCAGCAATAACAGCCTTCTTGAGCTCGAAAAGTGGATCAGTATGCGAAATACGAGCACGTGAAAGTCGAGTCCTGCACAGCCTTACGGCGAAGCGCCCAACGCCGAAGCGATCCGCGTCATCGCCTCTGAGCCCTCGAAGCTCCAGCTGTCACTAGGCTCACTTGCTTAAAACTCCAACATCCAGTATCGACATCCAGCAGCAACAGCGTGCTCTTCCACGATCTCCGACACCATGTGCGGCACCGACATCTTCCTCGCCGCTCTCAGCATCCTCTTCCCTCCCATCGGCGGTACGTAACGCCCCATCCCCCCACCACCGCGACCAGGCTGCAGCTTCACAAGCACGCCTCAATCGCTCGCCGGAAGCATACACCTCTCAGATTCAGCACTAACGTCCTTCAGTCTGGGTGAAACGCGGCATCTGCAGCGCCGACTCCCTCATCAATCTCGCCCTCTGCTGTCTCGGTTTCCTCCCCGGGCTGCTGCACACCTGGTACATCATCTACAGCTACCCGGACCCGACCTCCTACGAGCCCGTCGCCAGCGACAGCGCCGAAAGCCGCGTCACATACTACTACGTCGCGCCCGGCGCGCCGCCGACGCGGCGACCGCACCAGCAGCCGCAGTACTTGCCACAGCAACCGCAGCATCCACAAGGCTATGGAACGGTAGCGGGCAGCCAGCCCAGCGCGGGACAGTTCCCGGGACAGCAGGCCGGCGCGATGCCGTTCCAGACGCCGAAGGGGCTGCCGACTGTGTCGAGGGGGCAGGAGGGTGGCGAGGGGAGTGCACCGCCGCCGCCGAGTTATCAGGATGCGGTTAAGGGGGACCATAAGGTGCAGAGCCATGATTAGGTGGGGTGTCGAGGATCGATAATGTTGGGGTGGTTGGGATGGACGGGGTGAAGGGAACTGAGGGTTTTGAGTTGATCGAGGGAGTACTGGTCTTTTCATGGGTTGTTCGGGGCCGGCTGATGCGTGGGTTCTCTTTCCACCTCGTATTTGTCCAGTGAGTAATTAAACAAGCGTTTCGAACATCGGACATCTGATCTTTTCTCCAACCACGCGTTGCTAAGTGAAGCTGTAGTATCAACTGCAGCGTAACTAAATGCACTTAGTACTGATCCTTGCTAATACTGCCTAAACGACTGTGTGTTGTGGATGATGAAAGACAGCCGCATGCCACTACACTTTTACCAGATAACATCATTCGTCTGCCTCGTCAACACGTTTCTATCAAACCCCTCAAGAAATTCATCGTGCATCCTCTCCATGAAGACGTGCATGATTGAATTGACGACCGCCGGCTTGATCCTCTGTTTCTGAACCCAATGATGCCTGACAAACACGCCGTGGCACTCCCCCGCCAGCCCCGGATGGCTCTCCGGATACCCATTCGCCTCATTGCACGGCAGATCGAGAACGTCCGTCTCCTTGTTGAAGTCATACCGAACATGATCCGAGAAAGCGCGCTGGTCGAACGACCAGCTGTTAGCCCACTGCTTGCACTCCGGATACCTGACACCATCGGGACACTCGACCCAAGCCTTGAAGATCTCCTTCGTGCGCTCGTTGGACTGCGCGATGATGAAGCCGCTGTTGTGGACGAGCTTGCCGAAGCTGTCGTAGTTGACGCCGATGCCCGCCGGGTCCAGCGCCATGGCCACCGAGGTCTCCTTGGTGAAGTTCCAGTAGTTGAGCAGCCACTCGAGGGGGATCTCGGGGAAGCGCCAGACGGTGTCGGAGTCCATGAAGATGACGAACCGGTAATCCTTTAGCAGGTCGGCGACTGCCATTGGTTTCGCCCAGCACGGGCCGCGGTCGTCGAATTCGGGCGTCCGCACGAACTTGTAGTCGTAACCGTGGATGGTGGCTGGGGGATGTCAGTCTCTCACATAGTAGACTAGACATGGAGCTGACACACCGTAGAGGTAGTGGCCGTACACGCCGTTACTCAGTCCGTCTGCTTTGTCCCAGTCCAGCCGCGTCTTGTTCAGCAGCTCGTTCGTGCCATTAAAAGGCCTCGAGTCGGTGTCGATAATGACTATCTGGTTCCGGAGCGGCGCATCCCACTCCGGCTTGCGGGAGAGCGAATAGGTCTCGCCAGTCCCTGCAGTGAAGTTTAGAGCTGTGATTGGATGAAGATATGGAGCATAGAGCCGGTGAATGATCTCCGCTAATGAGTCCGAGGGGTCTCCAAGCGACTGTGTTTCACTGCAGAAGGTATTTTAGTTAAGCAAGCAAGGCCAGGGCGAGAGCCATGTCGTAACCTACGCTACGTGTTCCCCTCCGAAATTCCCATAATGTTTTAAGCCGTCTCGATGTTTGAAGCTAGCAAAGAAGACTACGGCAAGACAGAAGAAGAGAATACCGAAGAGGAGAGAACGTGGCCACGTTTGGCTCATGGCATCAAAAACGAGTGGCAGACAAGAAAGACCATCTGAGGACGGAGTCAAGCAGTGGGAGATACACGCTTATGTGAAGAAGCTTGGAATGTAATCGGGGTTCTGAGACCGCGTTCTGACACAAGGAACCGCTGAGAGGGCTTAGTTCTGCATTTTCAGGTTGCCACATTCTTTGAGGTACTCAGTAGGCTGGTCCATCCCGCTACCTGTCCTGTGACCTGTATACGGCACGACTCACTACCCATCCAGGGTCGGACGATAAGTGCATGGCGGGCGTTTCGAACAGCAAAACCGCCGCCCATAGCATGCCGCCACGCACTTTTCGTTCGACCCTTGATCGTTCAGGTTGAGTATCTTAGGATCGTACTGACTACTACAACAGTCGTTACTGAATAGTACCGAATGATTGCGTGCTGCAAAAGCGTGCCGAACACTGTGTGCAGGTAAGGGGCCGAGGGTGGCATTCCTAATACTTGATTTTACGCGTCGTTACGCGTTCACCCGTCCCATTGGCCTGAGAAGAACGCGTTCCTGCGATCAGATGAGCCTTCGTGGTAGAGATGGCCTTTTTGCTTCCTCAGCTCTTCAAGAATCAGGGATATATAAAACGGAATTGGTAGTAGAGCAAGCTTTCCACTGCACAGACAAACACTTTCTGGGTAATGTCGACAGTTTCGGCAGCGTTATATACCAATGTTGCCGTAGCGTCTTTGCTGGACAGCCCATTGAAGGTAGGATGCGTTGAGATGGATGTCAAGAGACAGACGGTAACTTGGTGATATAATGTGAATGATTCACGTGACCGTGCCAATTTCGTGTTGGTGAGTGAGGTTTAATGCCGAACCAAGCAAACACCGCCCATTCCTCCCCTCTCACCTGATATGGATCACCGTCTCGACATTGCGGACTCGACTGACTGGATCGGCACACCGTTGGCACCTTTCCAATCTCTAGAGAACGCGCTGCGCTGCCAGGTGTGCAAAGACTTCTACGACACGCCGATGATCACGTCCTGCTCGCACACCTTCTGCTCGCTGTGTATACGGAAAGCCCTTACATCGGACGGAAAGTGTCCGGCTTGTCGAGCCAGCGACCAAGCGAGCAAGTTGCGCCGGAATTGGGCGGTGCAGGAGATCGTAGACGCTTTCCAGGCCGCGAGGCCGGCGGCGCTGAAAGTCGCGCAGGAGCATGGATCGCTGAAGGAGGGACGGGAAGGACGGAGGAACAAGCTGAAAAGAGGGTTTCAGGATACCAATCCGGAAGACCAGGAGGAGGAATTATCGTTCCAATCTCGGAAAACCAGAAGTCAGAGTCGGAGAGCAGCGGCGGCAGCATCCTCGCAAGAGGTCGACGACATTATGGATGGGGAAGAGGAACACCAGCCGGATGATGGTCTAGTACCGTGTCCAATCTGCAACACTCGAATGAAGGAGGAGGCCGTCTACGCGCACCTGGACCGTTGCGACGGCCAGCCATCCAGCCAAGGCCGCAGCACCAGATCGCGGTCAGTCTATGTTGTTTTCTATACGCATGCCCTAATGACACTGACGTCGAACTCAGCTCTTCCGCAACGACTCTCAAGCCTCCGCCACGGCAATCCCTACCCCAGCAATTGAAAGCTACCACGCCCCCTAGTGAACGTATACCCCAACTAAGCTATTCCATCCTCAAAGACAACGCCCTCCGCAAGAAGCTGCAGGAACTAGGCATCGCCTCCTGGGGGCCCCGTCCGTTACTCATCCGACGACATACCGAGTGGGTGAATCTTTACAACTCCAACTGCGACTCCTCACGGCCGCGCTCAAAGCGAGAACTGCTGGCAGAACTCGAGACCTGGGAGCGCACACAAGGTGGGAGCGCGCCGAACGCAGGGTCAGCCCCTGCTGGTGTGATGCGGAAGGAATTCGACGGGCAGGCTTGGGCACGCAGCAATCACGACCACTTTGAAGATCTGATCGCGCAAGCGCGAAAGAAAATGATCCCCACGGATGCTGCGAAAGAGGACCAGACAGGAGACCACGCGACAGGAACAACACAAGAACCGCCAGACCAAGACATGGGTGACAAGAGCAAGCCCGCTACCGTCAACGGCGAGCGAAATACTGCACCGAACGGTCAAATATCGGGATCAAGGGATAATCCCTACGAAGGCAACGAAGAAGCGCTATCGATCATCCGCAAGAAAGTCGAAGCAGCCAACAACGGTCACAGTACACGAAGAAGCAGCACAGAGGATGAAGACGTCCCGATGGCCAACGCGCTACTGCCGTCGGAACAGGCACGAGCAGAAGAGATGCAAGACTCGATAGAGCCGCTATCCGCGCCGAGTCGCAGATCCCCACTGTCGCCAACGCGAAAGAAGCCAATGTTTTCGGTCCCAGAAGAGCCTGTTGAAGACTATGAAACCGAGACACAAGCGCATTGACGTCTCAGAGAGACGGGTATGGAATATTTGGCCATTCTTATGATACCCGAATTTCAAAAACGTAAAAATTTGCACGATTTAACAAACGCCTCTATCCCGAGGTATATAGATGACCATCATGCAATGAACCTTGATCAAGACGCCGGAACCGCGTCCTTATCCCGCTTCTCCGCCTCAGCATGCGCGGGTCGAACTTCGTCCAACGACATCCGGCCAAAGCCCTCTAAAGTCTCCTCTACCTCCGTGTCCTCAGGCTGTCTCTCTCTCATCACGTGATCCAGCTCCTGCATCATTAGGTCCCTCTGCCCGTCCTCGGTCCTCCGTCTGTCCGCCTCCTGTTCCTTGGCCTTCTTCTCCGTCTCGATCCTCTCCAACTCCTCGAGCCTCCTCCTCGTCTCCTCCGCCTCCGCCGCCTCTCGCTTCTCCCTTGCATCCCTCTCCAGCGCCTCGAACTCCTCGTCCACCTCCTCCTCATCGACCGCCCCCTCAGCCCCAACCTCATTAAGCACACCACTAACTTCATCAACCTTGACCATCTCCTCCCGCAGCGCCTCAACAACGCCCTCCACGCCTTCCGCACCCCCAACCTCCTTGTTCAAGCCCTTCAGCACGCCCGCAGACGCAGCCATGATCCGCACAACCTCCACCTGATCCGCCGCCTGCTCAATCCCCGCCATCACCTCCTCCAGCTGGCTGAGGGTGGCGGTTCGGCGCTCTAACGCAGAGGTTGCCAGCTTCTTCGAACGCAGCGCGGACATCGCGGCGGTCTTCGATTTCGCGGCCACGTCTTTTCGCGCAGAGGCATCGAGTTCAGAGACGCGCGCGGCAAGCGCAGGGATCTGTGCCTCCAGTGAGGTAACGAGCGTGCGTAGGTGCGCGATTGTGACGTCTTGCTCTGTCACGGGCGTGGGTTCGGTGCCGGGGGCGGCGAGCTTGATGGTGCGGCCGTCGGTGGAGAGGGCGCAGGCGGATTTGTCGCGAGAAAGGTGTGTGAGGAGGATCGTGATGTCTGTTGCTGAGAGCGGGAGGGATGGACTAAGGGCGTGGGCGAAGGCGGTGGTGAAGGTCTCGCGGGAGTGTATTAGCGCGATATTGGAGGTATGTGTTTGGCGGATTTGGGCGAGGACGGCAGCTGCGGCGGCTTCGATGTTCGCGACTATGACGAAGGAGCCCACGGCAAGCGTGTCGGAGGCGGGGTTGCTGCTCAGGAGCCCAACTTGGCGGAGGGACCAGGAGAGGACGGCCCACGGGGAGAGCGTCCAGCTGCGCGCGTAGATGCTGGTTTTGGAGGCGAGGAATTCCTTGAGTGGGATCATCTCTTTCTTTGACACCGCATCGTGTATCACGGCTCCTAGAGCGAGCGGCCGGCCCCATTGTTTCGTCTCCAGAGCCCGCGCCAGCTCCTCGCCAGTCCTGATGGAGAGTAGGTCATTCGAGGCTCCTTGTCCGGGGAGTAGACCGGCGCGCGAGGCATCGATTAAGGCTTTGCGCCAGGCGTTGATGTTCGCAACATAGCCGTCGGGGTTCGTGGCTTGCTGGTAGCGGAAGTCGGAGTAGAGGGAGGCTAGGCGGGCTCTGCTGTGCGGCTGTGAGACACTACGCGTCTAATGGTACGATATGTGTCAGTACCTTCTGAATGCTTCTTCATGGTCTAGGATGAAGTTGAGAAGCTCGCTCATGGCGCTGTTACCACGTGTAGCTGGTTGTGCGGAGGAGCGCGTGCGCTTGGCGTGGTGTTGATATGCGTCACCGTCAAAAAAGTGGCCCAAGCGCTTCAGCCTCGCCGAAGAGTCCTTGATTGTTTTGGGGTTGCTGTTCCGTTTCCAACAGCCTCATCTTGTTTACTCTCAAGCTTTTGACGGTACAGAAGACCAGAGAAGGTGACAAACGCAAATTCACCTCAGACGATCGTGATTCAACATGTTTCGAGTCAGGCGGTAACGTGAATCTGCTTAATTACTCCTTCTTAGTCTGTCTTACTACCTTGTCAAACGCCTCAGCGACATGTCCCATGTTCCACTTGGTTACTAGACTTATGTTAGCGATGCTGAATCAACATGGTATTGGCTGATGCCTTACATCCCGTGACTGAGATCCTCGCAGAAGGAAGAAGGTAAATATGGTACATTTCTCTCAGCTCTGTAGCCTGTTCTGGAGACAGTCTGGTGAAAGAGAACATCCCAAATGCCCGTTTATTAGTGCTAACCTACGTTAAGCGAAAGGAAAATACCTCTGACAGTATGTGGTCCCAGGAGGCCGAACTTTTTGGTTTTCTCAATTTCTCGTACAGCCTTTGTCTCATCCGTCTCATCCGGCCACTCATATGATCCAGATCCTCCTGCCATTTTCAAAAGAGGGCTTCGTCTTTGAGAATCTCAGCAACGATTTGGTGGTTATCTCGGCACCCTGCAACCGTGCCAGTTCATCCACAACCTTCAAGCTGACCTCATACGACATGGTAGCGATATGCAACGCTCCTACGCGTTCTCCATATAGCCCGAAGTTCTTCGAGAACGATTGTGCTACCGCAAATTCTAGGGTTCCGTGGCGGAGAAAAGCCTCGTAGGTGATGCATCATTTGCTAGGTCGCCTGAAGCGAAGCCCTGGCTGGTGCTGTTTCACAATCTGAACTACAACTTTAAACAGCAGACACCTGCTACGCTAGACCGAAGAATAGAAACAGGTTCTTTTCTTCGCAGATGTCCGCGACGGTCTTCCACTGTTCCGCGGATAAATCGAGTCCGGTCGGGTTATGCGCGCAGCCATGCAGGACCACCGACATCGCCGGGGACGGCATGTTTGCGTAGTGTATCCGCCATGCCTTGAAAGTCCAATGATTGGGTGTCCTTAGCGTAGTAAGGATGGAATCGACGTTCAATGTTTGGATTCACGCTCTGCCAGACCTCGGGATGGTTGATCCAGCTCGGATTAGAGACCTAAACGCGCTTTGGAGCAAGAGCATCAGAAAGAAAACGCGCTCCCAGGTGATTCGCGCCCGTCCCTGATACGGTTTAAATTGAGGCAATTCGGGCGATGTCGCTGGCCTCAACACCAAAAACGAGCTTTTGTGCCCCGGATACCAGTCCAGGATGGCCCACAAGCAGCAGGTGCTCATGATTGATGGTTGGATCCTCATATAAGAGCTGCTTCCTCAGAACACAGAGGTCAGCCAGATTGATTCACTTCTGCATATTCCGTCTGTGATCGGCTACCTCTGCTACGGACGGCAGGATCCACGGCATTGCCTGCTCGTCTCGGTAGAATCCAGGACAAAGGTCGACCTTCTCACAGCATGTATCCACAGCGTAGGCCTCCACGAGGGCGAAGGCGGCATCTGGCGGAGTGACCGCGAGGTCTGCGAAACGTGACATTATCACGGCGGTAGCAATTTTTAATGGGTTAAGTACATAGGTAGAAAACACTTTAATGTGTATATATATATAGCAAGCTTTTGTGTAGGCCTCAGGCAACATATGTCTTGCCTAGCTCATTGATTACCTATCCAATTGCTGGTCCTTCGGCGATTGTTCAATGATGCCGAAATGCTCTCGGTCTGCCGACCTTTGGCCATAATCTTGGCACAAAAGAAAACCTCAGCTTTCCACCAGCTCCAGTCAACTCTAGATTTGCTTCGGACAGATTTACAGGTACACTGCGGATTGGCTAGGGCGGTCGCCGAGCAGTCCTGTGAACGCATTGTATAGGTGGTTTCGGCACCAACATCAATACTGTGCCGAATATCAGCTCAGTCCGGCAACAACCAAACCCACCGTTACGTCAAATGAATACCGAGTATGTCTGTCACTCCAGACAGAAGACAAGCGGTTCGGACAGACGCTTTGTCCCGCAGAAGTAGCTCCGGGGCAGGTGTGAGGAAGCCGAGCAGCAAGACAATAGCGTAGGCTCCGTCTATTGAATAACTCAGCCACAACCATTGCCTGACCTTCGCCGCAGATGCCGGCGATGTCACTCGCGCAAAGTCAGATGCTCTGGTGGACAGCCTTGTGCGAACTGCCATCAGTCAGACTGTTCCACTGAATGCGTTTATCCTGCACGCGATCGTCAAGTAAAAGTAAGCCAGAAGTGAGTTCATCAGTCAGGTTTTGTGAGCTTGATTAACGCCTGGCTAGTTACATTGAAGAGCTTCTTGAAGAGAACCAGCGTCTACGCGAGCGAAGTCATAGCACCGATCCCAGCAATGGTGTTCTCACCACCAGCCCAAGCATTGATCCCACAAGAAGTGTTGCGGAGAATGATGATTCTGCTCGCAACCCTCTGCTTGAAGATCGTCCTTGGTTCTTCCCTATGAACACTTCAGAGATGCCCATTCACATTGGCGAAGCTGCTGATGCAGCCTTTGCGACGCGATTCCGTCAAGCGCTGTCCGACGCGTCACACAGGCACATTCCACGGACTCATTATGTGACCGACGAGAGGTTGATGTCATTGTCAGACTCTGATTGTGTATGGCCAGCCCCCGCACGAGCTCGCTTCCTGATCAAGGTCTCGTCGAACACACTCTGCCGGTGTTACCATGTGGTCCGCAAAAGTATGGTTCTCGATGGCCTAGAAATGGCTATTCGGAATCCCGAAGCCTGTGATAGCCTGTTCACCTGCAAACTATGGGCGCTGTTTGCACTAGGAGAGGTCTATTCGACTAGGACCCCTTCTTCAGAAAGTTGTTTTCCTGGCCTTGCCTACTTTGCACGGGCGAGCAGAATGCTTCGCGTGCTGAACGAGCGCCCCAGGATGGACTCCATCGAAACCGTGTTGCTTCTCGTAAGACTTTCTTGGCCATCGACAACTATTCGACATAGCTAACCCCAGATCTAGTCTTTATACTCCTTGACGGTGAATCGACGACATTCTGCATACTCTCTAGCAGGCTCTGCAATGCGTCTGGGCATAATAATGGGTATGCATTTGAATGTACCAGAATTTCAGCTCAGTGATCGAGAGGCAAGAGAGCATCGGAATCGGGTCTGGTGGACAGCGTACATATTCGATCGGATGTGGGCGTCGAGGCTCGGTCAGCCGGTGTCCATACAGGACGATGACGTTGAAGTTGATCTACCATCCAGCGATGGGCTGGCTGGGACATACTCCGGGGACTTTGGAGACCCCGAATATCTTATTGCCAACATTCGGCTGGCTAAGCTGGCAGGGCACATCATTACCTCTATCTACGCTAGGAGGAGGCAGCAAGGAGCCTTCTCTCAGAGGGTTCAACAAGCGCTCAGGGATCTTAGAAATTGGGTCAAAGACCTGCCAAATCGTTTGCAACTAGACACGGATGAGCCTTCACAAACAGCACCGAACCTTATTGTATCTCTGCATCTTTCCTTCAACCAGGTAAATTCCTATTACATGCTGGTTCTTGCCTTCACTCGCTGATGAGGGCAGTGTGTGGTCCTAGCAACCAGGCCAGTTCTATTGCAAGTGCTTCGCACCTACCGAGAGTCATGGAGCAAACCTCCAAGCGACCCAAGACCTCAAATTCCTGAGTCTGCTCTGGCTCTTGCGGAGACATGTATTCGGTGCGCTCGACATTCCTATCGTCTTCTAACGGAGGCCTGGATCGACGGATCCTTCGCAACATTTAGCTATTTCAACACTCAATACCTCTTCTCTGCTGCCACTATCCTCGCGATCTCGAGTCTGTTGAATGACAGGGATTCCCAAAGCGATGCAGACGACTTTGAGGCAGCTGCGCAACTTCTCGGCCAACTGGAGCAGAACGGGAACTTCGCGGCTAAGGAGTTCTGCCGGCACATCGATGCGATGAAAGTGAGCATGAACACAATCCCTGGCAGAAGGGACGAGGATGGCAGCGATCCAAGGGGAATATATCCTGCCATGACGACTCCACGCATGCTGGGTGCCATTCAAGATACCGGACTACCTTACGCTGGCTCAATGGTAACAGCGGGAATGGCTCTGGCGGAACCTTCACTGCAAGAGTTTCTGTCTCAGCCTGACTTCAATCTTCAGTTCATGGACACGCCGATCTACGACGATGCACTTCAGAGCTTGTATTGGCCTGAGCTTCCGACTGAAGGTTGGATGGCTGGATGATCCCGGCACACCTTGGCTACGACGCTCGTCCTTGTGTCTTAAACAAGGCCTTGGGCCAGGTCTTGTGGAAGCGCGGCCTCTGAGATCCGGCTTGACGTTTTGATCGTTCGTCCATCCAATCCTGCATGGCCATGCCATGTTTTGCCGTCAGGAGAGTAAGCGCGCCACCCGCAAGTACAAAAACCACGCCTGAAACGGATCAGAACCAATCTCGGACGGATGGCTCGAGCGTTGACTCACCGATCATAGATGCTGGCCCAATGCCGATGGCGTCAATTAAGGGAACAGATGCGGCACTCGCACATGCTCCAAAGGTGTATTGGATGCAGTATTTACCAGTGATCACTTCTGTCCGCTTGCGAGGCAGTACTTCTAGGATTTGGTATGAGCAATAGTCAACAATGGATAGAGCACCGAAAGCTTACCCGCAGAATAGGTATTGAGACTAGCAAACGCAGCCAATAACCCTGCAGCAATAAAGAAGCCCGTCACAATCGGCAAAGCCAGTCCGCCGACAGAGCAACTCGTGCACTCCAAACCCCAGCCATACACGAGGGAAGCAGCCGGTATCAGGAGGAAAAATGCTATCATGCCGCTGTTCAACCTGTCCTGCGGGAGTCGGACGCCGCCGCGCTTGGTTATCCATTTCCGAACTGTGAGGTCCGAGTATCTGCCTCCAATAATTGTTCCAAGGAGAAACCCTCCCGCCGGGGCGATGTAGAAGAGGCCGGAGAGTAGCGGAGACGTGAGGTGGAACCGGGTGCTGATGAGGTGACGAGGTGCGGAGAGGAGTGAGTATTGGGACCAACTCAACAGCCCGCAGGTCAAATCCTGAGAGAGGTAGACTGTCAGTATGTTGTCTCGGTTTATGATTTGGAGAAGCTTACAGTGAGTAGAATGTTCGGATATGCCATCAGTTTGAACACGTGTATGGGGCTGAAATGGCCCACCGTTTCGCGAACAGACGCAGCACGCTTGGAGGTGTCATCTTTGGTTCTGCTGGATGGAAGAAACAGCATCGACAGGACAGCGCCGAGCGCCACCATCGCCGCCTGCAACCAGAGGACGACACGCCAGTCTTGAAACATAACGATGATGCCGGCGACACAAGGCCCTATTCACAAGATGAGCGACGTCAGCACATTCCCGAAGACCCCCGGATGATATGAGTATCAGACAGTCATGTTCGTACCTAGTGGCGGTCCGAGGACTGTGCCAGCGAGAAAGAAGCCTGTTGCGGTTCCCCGTTGGGTCTTTGTGATTCACAGTCAGTCACCCGTCTAGCACTACCCGAAGCGGAAGTGCAAAAGACTTACCGGAGGGAAGCACTCGGCCAGGATAACTTGTCCCACAACATGGAAGTAAGTTCCTTGCAGCCCGGACAACACCCGCATAGCCGCAAAAGTTGGCATGTTTGGTGCCACGGCCGCGCCAACTGTGAAGAGAAATAGGACAATAATGCAGGCATTGTAGGAGGATCGTCTCCCGATGGTCTGTTGCCAAATTCAGATCAGTTCTGTCTGATCTTTGGATGTTCCAGAAGGCGACTTACACTGCCAATAGGACCCCAGATGAACGACGAGAACCCCATTGCAAGGAGAACTCCAGCACTTGAGATGTTGACTTCCACCGCCGTTGTGGAAAACTCTTGGGCGATCTCATCCGCTGCGGTGAATAGGGAGGTGCTGCTGAATGTTGCGGCTAGGGCCATCCAGCTGGTTACGAAGACGACGAGGCACTTGCGCCACATGGGATACGCATAATTGTTGTGTGTGGCGTTGGATTCAAATCTTCTCAATGTGTCTTCTGAGGCGGGATGCGACATGGCGGGTTCGGGGACCATTGTGGTGGTGGGTAACGATGATAAGATATCTCCTGCAACGTGCCATTAAGATGAAGAGAACCCCTAAAGCTCTCTTCTCCGGTGCTGAACATTCTTATATATTATATGATACATTTTGTCACATTCGCCTCAGCAGTGGGTTTTTCCATGTAGTCAAGTTCGGAGCCCCGGTATATACACCGCCGGCGAATGAGTGAGATGCCGGAGAAGTGGATCACGACCGTTGTCGCCGTCCACTCGCTTGGTGTATTCTTCAAAGACATCAGAAGATCGGAGTGCTACTCCGAACAAACAGCAGGGCATGCATGTTGCGAATGGTTGATGAACTGGCCATCGGTGCTCCCATAAAAGACCCCAAATCACTACAGAGAGTGAGTGGCCGGACACCATGGCAGACTACGGCGTACTACGATATTCCGCCGAGCGGTAGGAATCTAGTGCACAACTTGGGATCCATCGTAGTTGCTCACTCAGCCTCAGCCGCTACGGCAAAGAGAGAGTCGGCGCCGATGATCAGCTTGCCGGTTCATCCCATAGAATCGCTCGGTGAGACGTATTCGTTCGCCGAGTGGCCTCACCATGCTCTCTGCCGAATATATCGCATCATTTCCAGACACCAAGCACAGGAGTATGGGAAATGTTCGCTCGGCTTAGAAATACAGTATCAGCTCGAGGTCAAGACGAGTTTCTGCGATCTTGGTAGAGGATTGATTTCGTAATTGAGGCATTCCCTCTCAATCTTAAATAGATCTGCTGCCCCATCTGTCCGCTCAAAGTTCTCAACTTCCCTTACCATTTCATCAATCCTTCTGAACAGTCTACTTGTACGACCTTTTCTTCCCACCTAGGAAATTCAAGCGCTATTAACACAACCCAAATCTGCGCGCGCAGAACCGGTAGCCTTGCGCTTGTGTAAAAGCAATGGGTTCAGTAACCAAAGATGTCCACCGCCCTGTCATCCACAACATCCCAGCTCAAGGCATCTCGTACTACACACCAGCGCAAGTTCCTCCCAGTGGCACTGCGAAAGACGCTCAGGTTCATGGAGGTCCTCTGCCTAAGCTGTTTCGACCCTTGACAATCCGCGGAGTCACGTTCCATAACCGCATCTTTCTCTCCCCTCTATGCCAGTACTCAGCGCAACGGGGCTACGTAACGGACTGGCATCTGACACACCTGGGCGGTATAATTCAGAGAGGCCCTGGGTTGGCCCTCATGGAGACAGCAGCCGTCACACCCACGGGCCGAATCACTCCCGAAGACATTGGCTTATGGGAGGATGGCCAAATCGGGGGACTGAAGCGTATTGTCGAGTTCGCGCATAGCCAAGGCCAGAAAATCGGCATTCAGATTGGACATGCCGGCCGGAAAGCCAGCACAGTCGCCCCTTGGCTGAGTGAAAACGACATGGCGGTTGAAGAAGCTGGAGGCTGGCCGGAGGATACTGTCGCACCAAGCGCAATTGCCTTTGCAGATTCATATCCCCACCCAACCGCTCTGACCAAGGAAGGAATTGAAGACATCAAAAGGGCGTTCGCTGACGCTGCTAGGAGAGCCGTCAGGGCCGGATTCGATGTCGTCGAGATCCACAGCGCCCACGGCTACCTTTTGCATCAATTCCTCAGCCCCGTGAGCAACAAGCGCACAGATGAGTACGGCGGAAGCTTTGAGAACCGCACACGACTGACTCTCGAGGTTGTGGAGTTGGTCCGCTCTTCTCTGCCTCAGGACATGCCTCTTTTCGTCCGAGTCAGTGGTGACGACTGGCTTCGACATGAGTCAGACATATCTGAGAGCTGGACCATTGATCAAACGGTCAAGCTTGCATCTCTGCTGGCCCAGGAAGGCGTCGACCTTATAGACGTCAGCTCAGGCGGCGTTCACCCTAACCAAAGGATCACTAGGGGACCAGGCTATCAATCTCACTTCGCTAAGACCGTGAAGGCGGGTGTCGGAAACTCCGCAGCCGTTTCTGCTGTGGGCACCATTACCAACGGACCTTTTGCGGAGCAGCTTCTTCAGAACGGGTTGGATACTGTCTTTATTGGGTGATGGTTTCAGAAGAATCCCGGTCTTGTCTGGACGTTCGCGGAAGAGCTGGGGGTGGAAGTTCATGTTGCAAAGCAGATATCGTGGGCTTTCGGCGGCAGAGCAGGGGACCGCACCAAGACATAGTGACACAAGATATTGAGGTAGAGGATAATGGCTGAAGATAGCGTGGCTAGAGGGAGGGTGCGCCTAGTGAAGGGGTGCGGTCAGGCTCCGTACTTAGAAATCAACCGATGCTCCGTTTGATTCAGTTCAAGACTCCATGTTTTGATTATTGTGCCGTGGCCTGGGATATAGCTGAGGACGGACGTGAGATCAAGCACTGCGGCAAAGACCGGATCCTTCGGATGCTCCCGCGCTGGGAGTTCCGATTGGCACGTGATTGGCAACACGTCAGAAACGTCTACCACAATGGTCATCTTGTTCCGTAAACTAGGATTAATCGTTCATTAGTAGACTTCAGCAAGCGTGTAGTTCCGCTATAAAGTCATTCAGACATTAGGACATGTAGCGAGGAAGCATCCTACTCTCGATCATGTCCGCGCCGCGGCCGGCTACACACCCCATGCAGAGCCATAGCGGCAGCGCTGGCTCAAGCAGTGGTTCGGCGTCCTCTGCACGGTTTACTCCCCATACAGACTCAGAAGATGGCCGCGAGATAACCTTGTCCGAGAGGATCCGTGGTGATCACGATCGTCAGCTAGGTGCTTCGCAATATGATGAAAACTCTGCATCCGAGGAGGATGAGGAGGATGAGGAGGATGATATGCAGCTCACATCCTCTCCGACGCGGCCATTGGCAGGCAGACAACAGCAAAGCTATGAATTATATAGCCCTGACGAGGAGAAAGCAGTCTTGAAAAGGCTAGACAGGCGCCTGGTGCTTTTCATTGCCCTTCTGTATATGTTGTCCTTCTTGGACCGGTCGAGTATGTCCAGCCACTCGAGCACTATCCTGCACGTGTAAAACTACCAGAAAGAGGGCGTGGCTGATACAGAGCCTACAGACATTGGCAATGCTAAGGTAGCGGGGCTATCGAGGGATCTTTCATTGAGCTCTTCCCAATACGAAATGCTACTCACAGTATTCTACATTACATACATCTTGTTCGAGTGGATGACCCTGCTGTATGTAGCTTGTTTTCCGTGTCGTACACCATCTACCTCACATGTATCTCATCGTGCATCGTGCATCGATCTAACTGCGCACTGCAGGTATCGCGTTTTCCCGCCACATATATACATCTCCCTTTGCGTCCTGTCTTGGGGTTTACTGGCCTCTCTCCAGTCCATCGCCACATCCTTCAGCTCCCTTCTCGTCCTTCGCGCGCTGCTTGGTATCAGCGAAGCAGCCTTCGGGCCTGGCGTCCCTTTCTACTTATCCTTCTTCTTCCGGCGGGACGAGCTTGCTCTTCGAACCGGTCTCTTCATCTCTGCCGCGCCCTTGGCGACATCTTTCGCAAGTACCCTTGCATGGCTCATCACAAAATTAGGAGAAGGTGGCCCAATAGCGCCATGGCGGCTGCTGTTCCTTGTTGAAGGGTTTCCGAGTATCTTCGTTGCCGTCTATGCTTGGAGCATCATACCTGATGGTCCAGATACTGCAGGATGGCTGAGCCCACGGCAAAGGGAGGTTGCTACCTTGAGGTTGCGGAGTGAAAGGGAAGTACGAGTCGCAGAGGACGACAAGAAGGGAAGCAGATCCAGACATGTCCGGATGAGAGCGCTGGATCTTAGAGAGGTCCTACAGACATTGGCTGATTCGAAGTGCTATTTAACTGCAGTGAGATCTTGTCCTATCCTCCGAATGCAGCCTACCGCTGACTAAGGCAGTTGATGTTCTTCAGCTGCAATGTAGCTTTCAGCTCTCTGCCTGTCTTCCTACCGACCATCATCCATGAGATGGGCTATACTGCCTTGGCCTCCCAAGCGCTTTCCGCTCCACCTTACTTCGTTTCCTTCCTGATTGTTATCCCCACCGCCAAGCTATCTGACAAGCTCCGGTCCCGGAGTACATTCGTGATCTTCCACGCGTTTGTTGCAGGCACGGGCTACGCTTCGATGGCATTGGCCGGCTACTTTCGGTTCTCACCACTCTGGCGGTACTTTGCCATTTATCCAGCTGCTGCAGGCTTCTTCAGCGCGATCACCATCATCATCACATGGACAATCAACAACCAAGACTCCGACGAGAAGAAGGGTACAGGCGTTGCAATGCTCAACATCATCGGCCAATGCGGGCCGCTTGTGGGAACGAGGCTCTACCCGGACAGCGATAAGCCATATTACGTCAGGGGAATGGCGGTTTGTGCTGGCTTTATGCTGGCCGTCGGGTTACTGGCTGTGGTGTTAAGATGGGTGTTGCAAAGGGAGAACGCGAAGGGGCGGAGACGTGATAAGGACGAGTTCGGGGACGGAGAAGATGGCATTCCGCTTGTGGAGGGAGGGGAGCGTGAGATTAAGAGGGAAAGATTTGTGTACATGGTGTAGCAGCGCGTTAAACTGAGTTATAGTGCTCGCGCTTGGTTCCATCAAGATAGCGGCGCCTGTAATAGAGACCGCTATTAGGCATCATGCATCCATATGCACGATACTTACTCAAACAAAGTCGTGAGGTCTTTGGCAAAACTAACTGGATGTATAAGCGGCGAAGTTTTAGAACTCATGATCCAGCATCCTCGAAGAGGGTGTGCTTCCCAATTAGGAAAAGCGTTTCGATTGCGGCTTCCAAGCTTTCAACCTCAGAGCATCCGCCGATACAGCTCGCCTGCAAAACACACGCAGGAACTGTGCCGCCTTTACTGAACATGAGACTGCTCACTGCAGGGCCCTTCTGGTAGTGCGATGCTGGACTTCACGTGATCACGAATGGCCAACCGTTGATTCCTGGTGGCGGATACGGCTCGAGCGATCAAGATTGCAATAACCCTCAGTTCGAGATGCGGGCCACGAGGCAGTCATCCGTATGCAGAGCTAGGTAGCTTCCTCAATCGCTGTCATGGAGCAGGCAGAGCGAACTGTGGAGTTCGCTAACAGTGCGGTCCCTTCTGAGGCGGCGAATCTGGAGATCGGCTCAGAAACCGAGGCGTTGCACGAGGACAGCGAAGGACCAGCACATCACAGACCAAACGGCTCCGGCACCCAGAACGGAGAGACTACCGCTTTCAAGAACCATGACGATGTCATGGCGAAAGCACCAGTCAACGATTTTGCCCCGGAGCCAGATATGGAGCCACAAAATGGAGACGCACAACACATCAGTACTCCACGGCCCGAAGATTACGAAGAAGAATCTTCTGTTCCTCAATCGCTTGTAGACTCTAAAGAGACAAGAGCGATGAAATCAAGCAGAGGCCCGAGTATTCTGAAGGCCAGCGAAGAAGGCATCACTCAGATGCACAAGTTTGTTCTATATGAGACCGCGCATCGATTCTATCTCATCGGAAGTGATATCCTGGACGAGCGCTTCAGAGTGCTTAAGATCGACAGAACCGCCCCTCCAGGCCATCTGAACATCTTTGAGGATGACATCTTGTATGACCGGAGAGAGAAGACCCAGTTGCTCAATGCCATCGATGATGGCAATCGAGGGAGCGGGGGAATGAAGCTGAAATGCGTCGCCTGGGGTCTCATCGGGTTCATCAGGTTCACTGAGGCCTACTACATGCTGCTAATCACCAAGAGGACGCAGGTTGCCATGATCGGTGGGCATTATATCTATCAAATCGAAGGCACCGAGCTGGTACCGCTCACTACGGGATCAACGTCTCGATTCCAGAAAGACCGCAACCCTGAAGAGACTAGATTTCTGGGAATACTTAACAACTTAGACCTGACTCGATCTTTCTACTTCAGCTATTCCTACAACATCACCCGCACTCTCCAGCACAACATCATCCGCGAAAGAGAAGCATTGAATCAGGGGCGGCGAAACGCAGAGCCAGATCTGAATGACATGTTTGTCTGGAATCACTATCTACTCGGACCGGCACTGGATGCTCTGAAGGGTACTTACCATTGGTGTCTGCCAATCATACATGGCTTCATCGATCAGTCCTTCCTAGATATCTTTGGTCGCCGCGTTTATATCACTGTTATTGCTAGACGCTCAAGATTCTTTGCTGGCGCGCGCTTTCTCAAGCGCGGTGTCAACGATTTGGGCTATGTTGCGAACGACGTTGAGACTGAGCAGATCGTGTCCGAGGTCATGACGACGTCTTTCCATGCGCCGGGTCCGCGCTTGTACGCCAGTCCAACGTATACCTCTTACGTTCAGCACCGCGGTAGCATTCCCTTGTTCTGGACGCAAGACACATCTGGCGTGTCACCAAAGCCAGACATCGACCTAAATCCAATTGATCCGTTCTACAGTGCTGGTGCACTGCACTTCGATAACCTATTCGAGCGATACGGCTCTCCTATCTACGTAGTGAATCTGATCAAGGCACGGGAGCGGACGCCGCGAGAGAGCAAATTGCTGTTCGAGTTCAAGAACGCTCTCGACTATCTCAACCAATCACTCCCAGAGGGTAAGAAAATCCTGTACAAAGCGTTCGACATGAGCAGAGCAGCCAAGACTAGAGGGCAAGATGTGATTGGGGAGCTTGAGATGATCGCAGAAGACGTCCTAGAGAAGACCGGTTTCTTCCACAATGGAGATTTCCACAACGGAGATCTAGTGTATGACCTGCCGACTGTGCAGAACGGCGTTGCTAGGACGAATTGCATCGACTGCTTGGACCGGACCAACGCTGCACAGTTTGTGATAGGTAAACGGGCTCTTGGCCGGCAGCTGCAAGCACTCGGTGTCATTGCAGGAAACACCGTAGAGTATGACACGGATACGGTGAATATTTTCACCCACATGTTTCACGATCACGGTGATACCATTGCGGTCCAGTATGGCGGCTCGCACCTCGTCAACACAGTTGAGACGTACCGAAAGATCAATCACTGGCAAGGCCATTCGAGAGATATGGTAGAAAGCTTCAAGCGTTACTACCACAACTCTTTCCACGACTCGCAAAGACAGGAAGCGTACAACCTGTTCCTAGGCAACTACATCTTCGCTCAGGGTCAGCCGATGCTTTGGGATCTAACAACCGATTTTTATCTTCATCATACCGATCCGCGCGAATGGGCAGGGAAAACGCGCCCGAACTACATTCAGTGGTATACGCCTGCCTACCTCGAACCGAGGACTCTACCAGAGTCTAGAGAGTCCAACGAAGCCGATGACACCCACAACGGGACCTTCGAAAAGAGCGTCGCAGACTACGACAGCTACTGGCTCGAGTACTACAAACCCCTCGCTCTCTCTTCATTCGCGAAGATCTTCTCCTACCGCATGAACAAAGTGACCCGCCACCTCCCTGATGCAGCGCATCACGACCCTAGCCCCTTCAGCCCACGGAAATCTCTCACCGAGTCGGAATCACCCAGCAAGACCCGGACGAAGAAGGGGGTCACGATCGTTGACCCCAATAGCGAAAAACTTGTAAGCCGTCCATCAAGCGCACACGATCACATCCGCTTCGCCTCCACGCAAGACGGCCCATCAGCCAAGCAAAGCATCCTCCGCGACCCGCACTTCGAGACCACGCTGCCGTCGTCCATCCCTGCCGACGCTGCAACTAGCGTCTTCAAGCCTGCGGACAAAGCCCTCATGCACCAATGGACCCTCAATGAGTTCCACAACAACGCCCTCAATCCGTCCGTTACGGCCGCCGAAGCCGAAGAATACGAGCGCTACATCAGCCACCCGCTCAACCTGCCGCTGGTCGTGAGCACCGAGACAGCCGATGACGTCGCAGATGCTAACCTCGATTTCGTGGAGTACCTCTCAAGCGTCAGCGGGGACATCGGAGGAGTCGGGGGTGCGGGCACGGAGATGGACATCAGCGAGGAGGATCTGGCGGATTATCTCGGGTTTCTGGAGGTTCCGGAGGACCCGCTTACGGTCAAGGAGGAGGATCTCGCAATGAAGAGGTACAAGGCGTACAGGCAGTGGTTGAGAGGGAAGAGTCTGTTCAAATTGAGCAAGGTTGATCCGGAGTATCGTGCTTCTTGAGGGGGTGGCATTGGCTTGGAGTGGGGGATTCCTATTTGTAGCATGGAGCGGCAGGGCATACCATGGAGTTGATGGCGCTGGGTTGAGTCTCTGCTGAATCACACATGGTCTGCTTCTTGCTGGACAAGCCGACTCGCCTCCAACGACGCAATCAATTCTTTTTTGTTCGAAGATAGTCCGAACCACCTCCGTCAGCTTATGACCAAGGACCGGATATTGGTATTCAGTCCGAAAGAACTAGAACAAGCGGTCATCTCTGCTATGTCCGTGACGCATGAAAACTATGTGCTCTGGAGTGCATTTGAGGCCTCCTTTGCTTGCATTGAGAGAATCTCTAGCCAGTTGAAACCAATCCATTATCATTAATTACTATAGCTATAGAACAGTCTATTTTTATAACGCGTCCAGCCCCCAAGTCCGTACTCATTACAATCTTCGTATTCATCATGCAGTCTTACTACAAGGACAGAACAGCCTCATCTCCCGTGAACAGCATCCTTTTGAAACACTGTTAAGCCAAGTTGACATAATCTCTTTATATGAGGAAGAAAGCCGCAGCGAGACCGGCAACGACGCCGAAGCCAGAGCCCGCGAACTTGGCGGCGCTGTTACTCGCGATGGAAGCCTCAGTAGACTGAGCCGGCGCTGGCGAGGGCTTGCCAGTAACTTCTTTCGAATCGACCGAGGTTGCTCGCGGCTGGCCCACGGCAACATTCGTCTCAGAACTCTCTTGCACAACAGCCTTCACCTGGCTAGCTTGCACGGGCGCGGTCCGCTGAGCGCTGGCTGAGCTGGTAGCCGACATGGCCGTGGTAGAGGCGGCAGAGCTCTCGACAGAACGACCAGGAGTAGTGCCGGAGGTGCCAGCGCCGTTGCTCATAACACCAGCGGTAACGGGGTCGGACCCTCCCGTCGGCATGGGCGTCTGCGAGGTCATCGCTCCCTGGTTGGGGCTGGCGGTGAATGCGCTCGTCTGGGTGGTTGTTAAGCCCATGTAATTTAGACATGCGACCTCTGTGATCTGGTTGCTAAGGTACGCTGCCTTGGTGACACAAATCTCCTTAGCCACCAAACCGTCCCATTTTCCCGACTGGTTGGCGGTTGGCTCTGAAAACACTCCTGACAAGGTGGTGGTCGAGGACCATGGGCTGTTCCAGGCCATCATATCGGAGGGTGCAGCTGGCATGTCCTCGCAGTTGACGCAGGTTGGCGGTTCATATTCGACCAAGCCGCACTCTGCCTGCTCATTGTTGGGCACCTGCATGACGTCGCCCTGCCCTGGCTTAGCCAGCATGACTGGGTTGGCACAGCCTTCGCATGGTGGTGGCAGGACGTAGGAGTCGCCTTCCTTCATCACAGGCGTGATCGGGCAAGAATTGCAGAACTTGGAGTAGTAGACCTTATCCCCAGCTTGATAGTAATAATTGATGATATTGTTGCCGAACATCTTGATCACAATTCCTAGAGAAAAGAACACAGATGTCAGCAATAGTTCAGTAGAATGGACCTGTGGCTACAATTCTAGGGTTCTTCTTACCATCCAAGATGTGCATAACGGTCTTGTAGTTCCCCTGTTGGTTGACCGTAGCGTTGGTCTCGGACCTCTCGTTTCGCCAGGAGAGATCGGCGAACAACTCGACATTGACCTCGTAAGTCCTGCGAGAGATCCTAATGTTTTCTAGCGTTGCTTTGACGAGTGCGGCTAGATCAAGATGAATCTTGAAAAAGGACGGACGGTTGTCTGACGTGGCGGTGGTGTTGCTTGGGCGCAGCGTGCTGTTGGTTGTGCCGGTTACCATCGAAGCAACACCTGTGGCGACGTTCGAGGGACCTGCCTGGCCATAGCCGGACGGAACTAAGTATACTGCGGAAGCGCCAGTAGATCCAGAGCGGGTTACATTTCCATAGAAAACACCGTTATAGCCAGAAGGCTTGTAGGTTGGATAAGTAAATGAGCCGGTGGGTTCCCCGGTGGAGTCGGACTTGTACAATTTCTCCCACCATGTCTTGAAAAGCTTTCGCCACGGAGTGAGAGTGCGGGAGGGAGGCGAGCTTTGGCTAGGCGAGGTACTGGTAGGGCTTGCAAATGCAGGGACCGTAACAGTAACTGTCGCGATATCCAATACACCGGCGACCTGCGTTCCGGATAAATTTTGGGAAAGAGTTGAAGTGATGACGTCTTCAGAAGTGGAAACCGTGACCGTTGCAAGACCCGGTTCACTGCCAGCTTGCGTTGCTGTTACTTCTTCAGAAGTAGTTCCATCAGCAGCGCCCTGAGTGGCCCAAATCGTTACTGTTGTAAGACCGGATCCGCTACCATATTGCGTCGTGGTCGCATCCTCGGAAAGAGTTTCATCAGTAACGTCTTCAAAGGAGGGAAAAGTGACTGTAGTAAGACGTGATGCGCTCTCCACCTGCGTTGTTGTCCAGCCCCGGGTTATAGTCGCCACAGTAGCATCGTCCTGCGATGACGCTTCGTTGTCAGATGACACTTCGTCCTCGGGAACAGCCTCATCTGTAGCGCTCTCAGTAGGGAAGGTAGTGACTGTAGTAAGGCTCGGTGCCCCGTCAACCGTTACTGTCAATACCTGGGTTATAGTCATCACGACAGTACCGCCCTGAGAAGGCACTTCGGGAGCAGGAGTAGCGAGACTGGAAGTCGCAGAGAAAGATTCCACTGGCCTCGAAATCCAACCGGTTGGTCTCATGCCACTCGGCCTATTCGGGCGGGTGCTGTTGAAGTTGCCAGGATAGCTCCAGGTAGGCCTCCCACCGCTAGACTGCGCAGGACGGGAAGGACGACCGGCCCCAGTCGGGATGAATGCGTTCCCAGAGGGCGAACTCATCCCGCCCGATGCGGCGGACGGAAGAACGGTAGAGGTGGAGCTTGAGAGCGTTGCGTTCCAGCCCTGGAAAATACTTGAGCTAGATCCAATAGATACTATGCCAGAGGCTGCAGATGAAGTGGGATAGCCTGTGCCTGATGCGGCGGCTGAAAAAGCGCTGGCAGTGGACCTAGTGGTTGTTGCGTTCCAGCCTTGAAATGCGCTGGAGCTTGATCTAGTCGCGGCCATGCTGCCATATGGCGTATATGAAGCGGTGTTGCCGGAAGCGACGATACTGGTAGAACCTTTCGTGCCGATAGGAGGGCTACCGCTGGCTGCAAACCTGGTGGATGTTGCGTTCCATCCTAGGAAAAAATTTGAGCTCGATCCAGCCGCTGCCGTGCTGCCAGATGCCACAGACACAGCAATGTTGCCTGTACTTGTTGTAGCGGACAAAAGAGCGGGGACAACGGTCCTGGTGTAGGTGGCATTCCAGCCCATGGAAGAGCTCGGGCTCGACCCGGTATATACCGGGCTACCTGACACTGCAGACGAAGCGGTGGTACCTGAGGCCGAGCCCAACGCACCTGACAGGGCGGACAGAGAGACGCTGCCAGTAGAGATGGTAGACGTTGTATTCCAGCCTGGGAACGAAGTTGAGCTCGAGCGCATGGATACCGGGTAGCCTGACACCATAGAAGAAGCGACTATGCCCGAAGCTGAGCTCAAACTACCTAGCGGGGCAGATGGAGCGCTGGCGGTAGACATAGTGGATGTCGCGTTCCAGCCCAGGAAAGAGCTTGAGCTTGGTTGGATGTATACCGTGTTGTATACCGTGTGACCAGACACCACGGATGTGACGGTGAAGGTCAGAACGCTAGGCTGGGGTGCACAATATGAGCAACCTGTTCCAGCCAGGGCTGATGAGTACAGTGCTGGTGCCGTCGGCCCCTGAGTAAAGATTGAGGGCGAGCTCATTGCACCGGATGAAGTGGACAAAACGGCACTGGCAGAAGCGCTACCAGATGTTGCGTTCCAGCCCTGGAAACTACTCGAAGCCGATGCAGTTGATGCCACGCTGCCTGAAGTGACGATGCTGGAACTACCTTCAGTGCCAGCAGGACGGCTAGGCCTTCCAGACCGACTAGGGCGGCCCGATGTTCCGTTGGAACCTAGGAAACCACTTGGCCTCGGGCCGTAGCCACCTGGCGCGGTGCCGGTAGGTGCCGGGAAGGTAATGCTTGCAACGGAAGAATTCAGCGACATTCTTGAAGAAGCGCTGGAGATGACTGTGGCAGAAGTGGCTGCGGCAGTCGTAACTGCTGCTGTTTCAAGCGAGGTGTTGAAAGGCGTGAGACTAGCCGTCGGCATGATGACACTCTGAGTTGCGGACATATTGTCCGCTAACATGGAAGCGATATCCAAACCCTGAACGCTCGGGGGCATAATAATGCTCTGCGTAGCGTACGAGGCGGCAGCAGCGGGCGCAGAGCCTACTGAGACGGACGAATACTCGCTCGGGGGCATGGTGAAGGTTTGCTTAGCGTACGAGGCAGATGAGTAGCCGCCCGCGGGCAAGCTGAAGCTGCGTGGCGCGTACGAGGAAGCGGCATCGGGTGCTGAAACATCTGAGACAGACGAATAGACACTCGAGGTGGCAAAGGCGCCAGTTGCAGACGCTGCGCCTCCAACAGTAATCGAAGCAGTTGCGGCTATTGGTGAGGAGCTTATTGAGGCAGAGTAAGAGTTGCTCGATGTAGTGAAGCCGCTAGCCGTAGATACTGCGCCCCTAAGAGCAAGCGAAGAGGCGGTTGCTGCGGCTGCTGTGGTGGATACGCCATAATCGACTCCAGGTAGCGGGTAACGTACAGCGCCCCAGACTTCGATGTTCTCGTTCGCAGTATTGACGGCTCCTTTGAGGTAGCAGGCTCCCGGAGTACCAGGCGCCCACACTGCCAGAACACATGAAGGGAAGGTGTCGCAAGCAGCAACGCACGCACCCAAGCTGTTGACATAGCGGAGACCGATGTCGCCACCATAGTGGTCCCGGAAACACTCAATGCGGTATAGATTGCCCCCCTGGCTTGTGTAAGCGGTGTCGTGGTAGTTCGGGCATGCAGATGAGAGCTCCACGAGCCCAACTTCTGGCTTAACGATGGGTGTCGCATCCACTTCTACCGCGGTGGTGATGGTCGTGCTCGAAAGGGTCAGAATAGTGGTTCGGTCAGGTATGTCAATCGAAGCCCACTCCGACGGGGAGAAGTCCGATGCGTAGGGGCCTGCATCTGCAGCAGACCAAGTCGGCGTCTCTGTGACTACGGCTCCAATTAGCACCTAGACAACGGAGGAAGATCCAACTACCTTGGCCTCGCATCTCGTCGCTAAAGGAAGGAAATACTTACTGGCCGAATCAGACGATGTCGTGGCATTCCAGTTCGCGCTTAAGCCTTGGGGTAACGCCCACGCAGCCTGGGCACATAGCCCAAGAGCAGCAATTGCTGCGATCATTTTGCGCCGAGTAGCGATAGATTATGCTCCTATTCTTCTGGCGAGTGGAGGAAGCGTTTGACGGCGGTCTCTGGGAGGTGGACGTTTTTATTGTCGGCGTGTCGAGCGCATTCCCAGAAAATGTTGAAATCTCTGTTGGAACCATTGTTTCCCTGAAAGGACCGAGCGCTTCTATACCAACGGGACAGAAACCATGGGTATTGAGATTCGTTGAGTGGAGATCGCTAACGGCTCTCTGTACCGTGGATGGGATCTAACGATCCGTACCGAACCCGCACGAAGAGCGGGGAAATCATCCACATGTATGCGAAGTTCGAAGCTGAAGCCAAATAGAAGGCTCTAAGTTTTGTGTTGCGCTATGATATACCGGTGTCGTACATACGAAAAGCGCATAGAGAGGCACTAAATTCCGTTCGTGTATCTCAAACCAGGCTGCCAAGTGTGTGGAGGGGCCTGCGACGTCTGAGCAGCAGAACTGATGCGCTGAGCGTACGTGTGCGCTCCCGGCTATGGTTCGGTCCTCTCTTCGTAATATTGCCACCCATGAATGGATGGTGTTGACCCACCATGCGGCCAACTTTGGTTTGGACCCAGACAAACTCAAAACCATGACTCTGAGACCAGATAGGAAAGGAAACCCAAAATTGCATTGTGCGTCGAGGAATTATATCCACGGTAGCGGCCAGGGTCAAATGGTCACTTGCATTTCGCCATCATATAACTGGTGCCCAACCGCACGACTGTCTTTCTGGTATTTTCCTCGACTTCACAGAACGAACGACTCGAGACTTGATCGAACGACACCGCTCCCAAACATCACCGCTGATATACCATTACTTGCCATCAGACCTACCCGCCGCTCCAGAACATCTTCACCAATTCAACGGGAGACTCCTCACCTCAGAACCCTACAAAAGCCAAAGTACACAGAGCCAATGATGATAATTTGACCTAGGTTTGCAGCCACTGACAGAAATTCCAGAAGAGCCAACATGCCTACCGTCGACACGAACATCGAGGCCCTGCGCACCAACAGCGCCACAAGCTCACCTGTCACGCCCGTCTCGCCGGTCAACTCGGGGGGCTCATCAGAATCACTGCGTGAGGTATGCGCGGTATACAAAATGCAGGCAACAAGGCTCAGCTCCGGTAAAGGTGCGTGACAATAGGGAAACTCCAGTCCGTTAGGATGTAGCAGACATTTACTGATGCACAAGTCTATTGCAGAGCTGCCAGCTGTGTATATCAAGTTCGAACGAAAGCCGAAGATGGTCATGCCGGAACCGCCGAACGAGTAACACTAAGAGTTGTCATGGTTTCGTAGAGTTTGAGAGGAAGCGTGTTGGTCCCAGACTACAGTTGACCTTATTCTTAAGCCTTTGTATATACCGTATTAGCATGATAAAGCTGCGACCGAGCAGGACTTGCATTTATGATAGCGACGAGAACCGGACTGGTTCTACGTGATATTAAGACAAGTCCATGAGGCCGCTTAACGCATTCAACTCTTGAAGCATCCTAAGGCAGATCCCGGCGCGAAGAAGGACCAGACTCAGCTCCAGCTTTGATGCTAGGGATTGTACGGAGTTTGTATCGGCATTCATATCCGGACGTGATTGCGACTCCAACTGGGTCGCGGTTTCATTGTTCGCTACGTTAGTGCATCCTGATGCTTTCTATCCAGAGGTAGGAAAGGTTCAGTCAACACGGAGTGGGCGCGACGGCTGAAGTCGTGCATGCACGTTTCACAAAGCGGGCCGCGCTGAGCCGCGTTGAACGGGATGTTATGCATTTCTCAACGCCTCAAATCACCTCATGCATGCAGAGCTATCAAATCACGTTAACACGGTCACGGACACGCTTTCATGGCGAACAATCTATTGCTTAATCATGATTGACTGCCTCATGGTCTATTGGTATGCATGCAGGTATTCATCCCATAACCCCAAAGAGCCTATCCCACTGCATGCCAATCCATATGCCACTGCGTTTCGAGTAGTGTCTACTGGCCCAGGTTGCTCTTGATGGCGGCCTCGAGCGCCTTCGGGTTGGCCCCAACAACCTCACCAACCTTCTCGCCGTTCTTGAACAACAGGAAAGTCGGCATGGCGCGGATGCCTAGCTCTTGCGCAACTTCCGGGACCTCGTCAACGTCGAGCTTGTAGAATCTGGCGTCGGGGTAGGCGTCTGAAAATCTGGAGACGAATACTCGTCAGCCAGCGCTTCTGGGCGAACGGGGTGGCGGGAAGTTCTTACTTGACTACTTGAGGCGCAATGACCTTGCAAGGTCCGCACCATGTTGCGAAGCAGTCGAGAACCATGAGGGTATCTTTGTCGGTCATGGCCTGGTCAAATTCGGCCTTCCTAATCTTTTGTTAGAATTTGACCTTTTCGGCAGAGAGCGGCTTGCGCTCAGCGAGCAGCTACGACGCCATGCAGCGCGGGGTTTCACTCACGTCTGAAGGTTGTGTACCCCTTGCTTGCCCATTGTTGCGTGAAAGTATCGATTTGTGATTATAGGCCGGTAGAGGTTGAATGCTGTTCTTCGAGGAGCGGCAGATGTCAATAATGTTCTTCGAAAGATGGACGGCGCAGACATCAAGGGGGACTGTCGAGTATATATACAGCAGAGACGCTGATGAGAAATAGGCTCTGAACAACTGCGGCGAACGGAATGTGCTCGAGGAAGGTCGGGTTGACGGTGAGGCTGCTGAGGTGATGGTCCGCGCTAGACGACGTCCTCGGTAAAAAGGGTGATAGTAAAGCAACAGAACTCAGCAAGGAGCGGATATAGGACTCACAATTGAGGTGTCTGACAAACGGCGGCGTGTCTTTTGCAGTCAGTTCGAAGGTTCCGGTTCGTTGAGGTCGGGCAAGATAGGCTGCAGGCAGCGTTACTTTGGATTACCAACAAAGCGCCAAGGATTTAGACATCCACCAGAGGATGACGTGATGGGCGGCGGGGAGTGTCTCAGCGGGACAGTCTTGAAGGCACTAAGGCATCAACAATTCAATTTCCACGCCGTCGGGTGAGCGACTGACTGATGTACTCAGAACCTCATTACGGATGCGGATCTCCAAGAGATAAACACCTAGCGGATCGTCGAACTTGAAATCTGGAAAAAGCATCTGAAGCCGTTCAAGACGCTTACGCTTGATGTCGCCTCGATAGACATTGTGAGTACGGGCTGCGTAGTCAGAATGGCTCTGGTATATGGCTTTAACGACAGTCACTCAGATTGTTGTGCAACCAAATGCCTCGCCGGATGGGCGCACCGCTTTGATCACGGCAACTATGCTTGTCGCTACCGGCACCCCAGGTTTTGGAAGAGGATCATTCTTCGATTCGCTATGTGATCGGGTGCATTCCTTTCACGACTTTTCCTAGCCGGTTTTTAGCTGTGGTGGAGAATCATTGAACAAAAGAAGAAATGCACACGGCTTCATGGTTACCGGCCGACTGGGAACTAGCCAACTACTTCATCGAATTCCACGCCAGATGAAGATAACATCCGGTGTCAGTTCTCATTCTTCGAATGATGTTCTCGTGTTCCGGCTCGGTGCTTAGCAAGGCATCTAAGTAATCGGTCCTTAGGTATGCTACCTTTACGGGTTTAAGACAGATCACTAGAGACATGATGATCATGGGACTCACAGATTGTCGAAGCGACAAAGCAATGGAAAGGGAAGTATCACTGTACAAGGTAAAGTCCCGCTATGCTATGCAAACTTGCTACCAATGAGAACGGTAGTGGTTACATTGTGGGTATGCAATGGGATGGGGTCTTTGGTGCAGAGAAGTCCAAAGATAGCGGCGCCATATCCACCTGTCAGCTTTGCATAGTTGTGGTTGATTTTCTTGGTCCCCGATTTCAAAGCAGACTATTAACGCAAAAAGCAATGTAAGGTAGACAGTCGTGAACTCAGAAGATCAACCCGAGCGAGCACCTTGGAGCAAGTGTTCATCTCCGAGTGAGGAACAATTGTAGGTTACAACTTGAACAAACCACTAAGACCCCTTAAACGCAGGTCTCGAGAGGAGTTGACTGAAAGCAAGATCATGGCTAGTTGTTTGGGCTTACGCAGCTTTCCTTCGAGTCTTGCGCGAGTGCTGCTACTACACATTTCTGGGCGGTTTCGAGCGGTCGAACACCTCTGGTACTATTGTCCGCAGTGGTTAAAGATCAACCACAAAATAAAGTGAGCGATGAGAAGGATGGCTACTCGAAGTGTGACGGAGGTTGATCGGAGGTGAGATTTCGAGGTTTTGATCATAGTTCCGATCTGCACTTTTGACACTAGGAAGACCCTTGAAGGACGAGCAGGGAAGAGGTCGAACGTCCTGTGTGACACATCAGCCACAGCCGGCTCCAAAGTGCTGATCGTTGCTTGTTTGGGACATGACCGAGGCATCTCCAGGTTGGGCAGGACAAAGAGGAGTATTTTAAGTCATTCTTGCAGTCGTATGCGTCGGTGATCCGGGGTGATCATTCGGGAATGCCGCGTTCAGAAGGCCTTGTGGTCATCTGGAACATTCATAGACGGACCGAGAGACGTGTCAGGTTGAGTCTGCTGAAGGGTTTCACAGCCTTCTTGAGAAAGGATGCTCACAACGCTACCAAGCACGCAAGCTGAGCCAAGGCGATGAGGGCGTCCACACCAGCTGCAAAGGAACGGCAGCTGATCGCTAAGGTAAACTGTGGTGAGCCTCCATCAGGATCAATTGGTCAGATCCCGCAAGTGCGATGCCTTTGTGCACGCTGTTTCAGATCTGTCCGGCAATCACTGTCATCTGGAGGCCTAGGAACTCCTCCGCGGAAGGGATTTGACTACTTCTCATGTTGACTTCAGACGCTTCCGCATGTAGAGGCTCAGCCTGTCGAGAGAGGACCATGCCACTGATACTTATTGAACGGATAAGTGCATTATCGGCTTCGCACTCCTCCCATGGCCTTTCCCCTTCCAGTGCGGACTGCATCCCAGAGCATCACACCGCAGCATTAACAAGCTCACAGCGGCAGGACCTCATCTACTGTTCTCTACGGTTTTCTTCGTCCAGAGATAGCCTTCATACGGGAGAAGAGTAAACCTCGATATTTGAGAGACGCAATAAAGTTCTGAGACCCTATCACAGATCGAAGACCGGGTGTTGAAGGTCTTCAGCCCAGCGGTTCTCAGCCTTCCTCGACTGACGTCTAGAACGAACTTCGCTAAGGTTCTGAGCACGCTGAGCGGACCGTCCCAGGAGCCATCTCGAGTGTCTGATTGGTATGAGCGTTATTAGCAACTGGGACTTTCGGAATCCAGGCCTGCGGATGGTCTACGAGTGGACCGGCCGTGGAGTTCGTCGAAAGCCACACGCGTCAAACTTCCTCCATCAACTGCAACGGTCTCAAGGGTCGCGCTGCTTAACAAGGGCTGCGGGCTTGGCCGATCCGATTGCTGGAAGCTCGAAAGTCGCCACTGGCCCGAGTGGGTCGGCGGTCCAGCTCGTGGGATCGCCGTCCACGGGGTCATGAGAGCGACGGAGAGGCGTGCGAGCCCAGTGACGGCGTTGTGGGAGTTCTAGAGGTCTCTGATGTACTCGTACAGGATACTGCTTGCTGAAGCAGAGCGAGCTCCGCGGCCGTGCGTGCTACTGCGAGTTTTCGCTTTGCTTGGCCGGCATGACAGCTGTCAATTTGCTGCTTGGTTAGCGGTGGCGTCTGCGGGCTGCGGTCATATTCTTTGGAGCTCAGGCACTCGGCGTGGGCGCGGAGGCGATTAGCTTGGGGCGGTAGCTCAGCCTTCCCTTGTGCCTTGCGGCAGACGGTTCGACCTCCATACCAGCTGGTACCGCGCCCGCAGGTCCCCTTCTCGCTGACGGATTCCCTTGCTCTTGGCCTTGCTCACAACCTTCTTCCCTTGCATGGAGCCGCTTCCCCCGCTCAACAACACCGCAGCGACAGCAGGCACAACGTCAACCTCGTCCGCCACGCCGTTTCCCGCTACCTCGTGCTAGACTTTGCTCACGATTCAGGGCATTCGCACTTTGACCACCGGCCGGTCGCATTTCCCGGTAACGGCCGGCGCCTCTTCCTCTCGCCTCAAAGCTAGGACCAGCGACGATGCCCGCCACATAATTTGGCAGTTCAGCCTATCGCACACCTGCCGCCACTCCGCGCGCTGCATCAAAACTACCTTCAGCTGCGGTATGCATTTTCACAGCTTGGGACAACACAGCTCGCTGCATCGTCACCACCATGCCGATGTGGCCATTTGGTCGAAAAGGGCGGAAACCTAGCAGAATAAAGACGGACGGTCCAGAGGTTGTGGCAGAGGGAAAGCAGCCCGTCGCATTGCCGCAGGCAAAGTTGTCGGCTACAGTCGCAGGCCCAGAGTACCCGCAAGGTGTTGGAGGGAAGCCGAGTCGGAGGCGCAGCAATCAGCAGAAGAGAAGGGATTCATCACTCGATACGGCACAACAGAAGCAAAAGGACTACGGAGAAAAGGGAAGGGGTCTTTCGGATTCAGACCTATCGCCGCTGGAAACGACGTCGGAGAAGCTTCCATTCCGCCGGGGTAGCGTCGAGGATATCACAGCTCTCCCAATTGCGAAGGAGCTCGGAACAAGCCCTCACTTACGGCCAGTGGCCTCAGATCGCGCGGATATACCTTACAACTTCCAGCTCAATTCCAACTCCCCATCCGATCTACAGTTAGCAAAAGAGCGTGGGAAACTTCAACGGCCCGACAATCAAAAGAGACAGAGTGGGAGCGGCTCTTTACTACCGCTTAGAAAGAACAGCAAAAAGCGGATGAACGAGGATCACGTTAGAGAGGAGGAGCTCCGCGCAATGAGTGCGCCTATGGTATTGCCAAAGCGACCAGCTGGGAATTCCGGTGGCCTTCTGAGGCGCGATAGCAAACGGATGCGCGGTGGCCTCAATAGGAACTTCGAACGGCCTACTTCGACTATTTCGTTGCCACTTGAAGACTCGATACATTCCTCAATGTCGGGCGGATCAGAAACTCACACATTCGCGCTTGGTTGGGACAAGTTCTCGCCCAGGCCGCGGATACGACTATCTTTCCAGCCCCAATATGGATCTGGTGCCCTGGTGCCGGTTGAATCCGACGCGTCGAGATCGCAGTCCCGGCGTGACCAGAGACCTGCAATCACTCAAGAGACGCTCAATGAGAGCCGGAGGATAGATGAGTTGGCGGATAACATGGACGCTACAGATCTGCGGGAAATGATGGAGCGGGATAAGCGACGTAGAGAAAAGAAGAAGAAGCTGCAAGAAGAACGCCTACGACAGAAGTTAGAGCGAAAAGCGGAGAAACAACGGGCGAAGGAACTCAAGAGGGAGCAAGAAGCAGCGTCAGCGGTTGCCGTATTACAAGACATACATCCTGCACTGCGAGACGTTCATCCCGCGCTGCGGGACGTTCACCCTGCGCTGCGAAGCGAGCGAACGGACACCGACGTAGGCCTCGGAATTGAAGCCGGGCCATCCGTGCCCTCGCAACCACTGCGTCCACACCGTATGTCTGAAGATTTGGGCCCGACGGACACTCGGTCCTATCTAGACCCTCCCTCGGAGGAACAGCTCCCAACCAATCCGTTTGCAGACCCATCTGACCCCACAAGTCCGCGGAACGAAGAGCCCACGCCACTAGAGATCCCAGAAACACCTTTCGAAGAGCCTGTAATTTCGAACGCCCAAGCCATCCGGTACTCACGAGCAAGCATGACACCGCCAACATCGCCCACAGCGCACGTTAGGGGAGCTTCCAACATCTCTCATCTGCCGGAGCTGATCCGAGAGCGCAGCCAAGAGCCGATAGAAGAGCGGAGTCACGAGCTGGCTCAAGAGCCCAGTCGAGAAGCCTCCATAGCCGTATCGACCCAACCCACTCAGAGTGAGCGGCGACGAAGTTCTGACGTAAGCACCGGCCGGCGCTTCGGGTGGCCGTCCTTCTTCAGACGGAGTGGTCCTGCGGCCAAGCCATCATCCATAGATCGCGGGCGAGCCACTCCGTCTGAGATGTCGTTCTCGAATACGTCGCGAGAGAGCATGGCGCGGAGAGAGTTGCCAGCACACCTTGTACAACAGCCTCAGCAACAGGCGCGCTCAGGTACCCCTGCTCGTAAGCAGTCAAAATTTAGGGAGGATCTCGCGGAAATGCCTGTCTCGCCACCAGACTCGAGAGTACAGTCGCCGGAGGTAACGTCCCCTTCCGCTCATGCAATCGCTGCAAGACGTGGATACAGGGGTCCCAGTCCCTTAAATTTTGAACCTGGTTCTTCTCTCACTAGCAGCTCTATGAACGACCCGTTTTCTAACGCACGGACGGATTCTCCTGTCACTCCGGCCCAAAAAACGTCTGGTTTAAACTCACAGTCCGCCGCCTCTGTCGTTTCGGAGGGGTCATGGCTATCAGGAAAACTGGGCAAGAAACCGTCGCTACCAGCTCGCACACGCAGTATCGAAGGTCTTCCAACGGTCAAGCAACCAGAAGATTTTCATGCTTCCTACGAAGACCTCGGCATTCCTGATGACGAGTACTTCCGTCGCCTAACACCCCAAATAGATGATAGACGTCTGTCTACGTACTCCGGTCGCAAGGGTCATTCTAAGAAACCGAGCAGCACCGCTATAGGGCCCGGCTCGGACTCAGATCTCGACGAAGACCGGGACAGCCTGCTGGAGGGTGATACGACTGAAGAGACGGTGAAACATGGTGACATTGCCAGGCAGCCTACCGTCGTCCGCCGCGAAGACCAGGCCTCTCGGGTCAAGTCTCGGGAAGGTCTCCTAAATCTCTTCCGAGAGGGCGGTACCAACACTGCCGACTCGCCTCGCTCATCATCAGACGAATCATCGCCCGAGAGGGAATCACCGAGTGAGGAAGGGCCAAGTCCAACTCAGCGAGCGTTTGTGGAACGCGCACGGAGCGTCGACCTGGGTAAAGGCCATATCCGTGCCGTCAGTGCAGGTAGCGCGAAGCTCTTGGACATCCCGGCAAGAAGCGGGTCGGGAACTGAGAAGCGATCAAGCTTCCCGGGCCAGAACACGAGACATTCGACGCCGATGTTGTGATGTCGTCACTATCAAGAAGGGAGGGGAGAGTAATGCTTGAGGGAAGCTTAGAGAAAACTCGACTGCCAGACACGCCGCTCATTACGCTATCTTCCATTTGTTGATACACATTCCTTGGCTTTCTTTTGCGGTCATCTCCGTCGCCCACCTTATCAGGCTTTCTTTCGTCCTCGTCTCGTCTGGCAGCGAGTGCTCCCACAGCTTCACCCAGCAGATCACTACCTCGCCCCGTCGAACAGTGGTTACATCACGAATCCTCCGTACTTTAGTCTGTTACGATCCTCATCTTCCTACGCGCCGAGCTCTAAGGTTCGCTGGCGGAACTTCTCACGATGTTACGAGCTTGGTGTATGTACATTCAGGGCTAGCGCGCCCTTATCTTCTTCATCGCACTTTTGGACTCTTTTTTGGACTCAGTCTGTCAACGAACACCGCACATAGACGGCCACGGCTGTGCTGAACGGCCTCTTCCGGCGTACGGAATGATTGCGATTCTGTTTCTTTTTTCGGCTGCGGTGGATACCGTGCACATGATGGGAGAAAGGTCATCTGTGGTCGCCTTGCCTTGGCTATTCTCGCCGTTGTTTTCTGCTCGAAGCTTTACTGCTGCTGGAACACAGGCAAGCTTGTTTGGGGAAAATACATGTAAATTCAATGCATTGTATTTCTACGGCTCTTGCTTCCGCTTCAATCGACGGCTACCTACAGAACCGTCAGGGCCATTTACTATGCATTGCTGTAACTCAGAAGAGACCGCGAGTCCATGCTTCGGAATCGTAGTGGAATTGCGAATGTTCTTGACTATTTTGCTATGACTGAAATTCTTCGCATGTCGCGACTCGTCCAGAACGTGTCGCGTCTCGGCGCTACTGCAACCACTTCCGCTCTCTTATCCTAGCCCACAGCCCACCCATTTATCTGCACGTGACGCAGTAAACAAACAACACCTCGACTTCTAACGCTGCATTCTGAGTCGCAGAACAAATTGAACTTGCACAAGACTATCACACGACTATCACACGCACAAGCAGACCAGCATCACCAACACACCATGGACTTCAACCCGCGCATGAGCGTCGCCCGCTCCTCCGCCAACAGCCAGTCCCGCAGCCGCCAACCGCACGACGAAAGCGATGCTTTCATGACACTGGTGCGTCCGCCCGCGCAATTGCGCGAACTTCTCTTTCAGGGCCTCTACTAACTTTTGAGCTGTTCCAATAGCCCGACAAAGAAATCGCAGGATGCATCTCAGACATCGGCATCGGCTTCACCGTTGCAGACCTACAAAAGCCGAACCCGCAACAGATCCAGAAGGTCTTCGAATGGTTCGCGGAAATACTCATGAACACGACGCGCGAGGTCGTTGCGCCGGCGATGAGGGCCGCGGCGGAGGAATTAGCGGGTGGGCAGGCGGATGTTATCTTCACAGCTGACACGAGGGATCTGATGGGGTTCTTCGTGACGTGTCAGCGGCTGCTGCGCGAGGTATGTCTCATAGCGGACACTAGCCAGAAGCTTCGAGTACAGCTGGCGGGGGGAACAAACAATGCTAACGATGACCAGTGCGGCATAAACGACTTCACCTTCTCCGACCTCTACAGACCCACGTACCCGCGCCTTGTAAAAATCTTCTCCTACATCATCAACTTCATCCGCTTCCGCGAATCCCAGACCTCCATCATCGACGAACACTTCAACCGCTCCGAGCAAACGAAGACCCGCATTGAGAAGCTCTACGCTGAGAACCAAACCCTCGAAGACCGCGTCTCCGAGCTCGCGCGCACCAAGCCCACCCTCGACAAAACACTGCGTGACAAGGAGGCCCGCAACGAGGAGCTCAAGACGCGCCTCATCGAGCTGAAGCGTGGGCAGCAGAGCGTGCTGGAGAAGCTGGAGCGCCTCAAAGATGAACAGCGCCGGCTCAAAGCCGTGCTAGAGGAGCGCACAACCGCCGAGCTGACGGTCAAGCAGGAGGTCGCCAAGCTGCGGCCGTACACGCAGCAGAGCCCCGCAGCGCTGGAGACGCAGCTGCGCGAGCTGAGCAGCAGTCTCGGCGCGGATAAAGCCCAGATTGAGGCGCTGGACCGGCGGGCGCGAGCGCTGCAGACGAGTTCCGACACCTTTGGCGTCGTCGGCGCAGATGTAGCCGCGTGTACGAAGCTGCTGGGAGATCTGCAGAACGACTTGGCCAAGGAGGAGGAAGAGCTCGCCAAGGCAGCGAGGCATAGAGACGCGTTGTCGGAACGGTCGAATAATGTGAGGGATGTCGAGAGGCAGGAGCGTTTGCTGCAGAAGCAGTTGGGGAATGTGAATGCGAGGACGGAGAAGCTGAGACGGAATGCGGAGGAGAAGGCGGAGGCGGCGAGGGTGAGGATGGAGGAGCTAAGGGCAGTGCATGAGAAGCTGGGGAAGGAGAGGAGCGAGAAGGGAAGGGAGATGGAAAGGAGGAGGGTTAGGATTGAGCAGACGGAGAAGAAGGTATGTGCTGCTATGCCCTCGGCGTTTAGATGCATTGCTGACTTTGACCCTTAGATGGCCGATCTCAAGGAGAACATCGAGAGTGAGGTCCACTCTGCCCATGCCGAGTACCTCAAGATGGAGTCACACATCAAGCTATACATCACAGAAATGGAGCAGAGCATATAGGCATCGGTTTGCGGGAAACGACCCGATGAGAATACGGCTCCATGTCTGGATCTGGATGGGATCATGTTCGCGGCTGAGGAGTTTTGGTATACCAGGGGCAAGTCACGTTTGTTCTGATTGAATCTGCTTAGTGTTGGCTTGAGAGTCCTTGACTAGGACGGGCTAGTCTGAATCGCATGGGGCAGCTGGTACACATCCATACGGAACACGTTCTCTCCCACTACGACTAGACTAAGATCTTTCTAATCGTAGAACTGATGCGATGATGCGTTCGCACTGCTCAACTACACCTCGCGCTCCAGACTAATACTTCCCTTACAACTGTCCTTGACTTCATCCAATGACCTGCGTGGAGGTATCCATATATCTAGCACGCAATGCATTACTCCCGGCGCATATGTCTTCACCTTCTGGACATGCTCAAGTATAGCCTTCCTTCCCCCCAGCTCGTCCCTTTGCGAGCGATGATCCTCATCGGCGACGCGGTCGACGATACCCTGGATCTCCTCCAGAATCTCCGCCGCCTTCCCCTCAATCTCCTTCATCGCGATGTTCTCATGCACATGAACCCAACCCCCCAGCCCCGGATCCAGCGCCCCCACAGCAGTCTCCCAACTCCCTCTCGAGCTCGGCAGCAGTCCGCAGTTCACATGTCGTATCGGGGGCACCGCCCCCCTCAACCGCTCGATTCTCTCCCCGGCCCGCTCATTCGACTCCCGCCACACCCAAAACACCTCCCCCTCCTCCGTTCCATCCACCTCCTCCCTCTCCATGCCTTGGCCATCCCCTTCCACGACCCTAACACCCCACCCATTCGCCGCCGCCCCCCTCCTCAACCCCTCCACACTCCACCCATTCAGCTCCCAGCACAGCACCCGCCGCACCCCCGCGCGCGCATAGCAGAACGCGAAATACCCGATCCCGGCATACAGGTCGACAGCCGTGGACCCCGCGCCCGCGACCTCGCCCTCCGCGACCGCTTGCGCGATGCTCGGCAGCGTCAGCAGACGGGTCTTCTCGCTGATGTTGCCCCGGCTGAACATCGTGTGCACCGGGGCCCAGGTCTGGAGGATGTTGTTTTGGCGAGTGGAGACCCAGAGGGCGGTGGTTAGGTCGTGAGGGGTGGGTTGGGCGGTTTTGGTCAGGGGGCCGAAGGAGCCGTAGAGGGGTTTGAGGCCGGTGGGACTGCGGAGGATGTTGGCGGTGGTGGGCTGCTTGGTGAGGGGTTGCTCGGAGGCAGGCGGGTCGCGGTCGAGACTTTGGCCGATTGAGGGTGGGATGGGCGCGTTCTGCGCTATGTGGGTGACACGGAGAGCCGTGGCTACGGTGGCGTAGAGGTCGTTTAGTTGGCGAGGGGAGGCTGATGCCAGGAGAGTTTGCCATGAAGAGCTGGCGAAGGTTTTCGACGTGAGGAGGAGCATTGGTGGATATATTGTATATGAATCGGGGAGGTCGGCGAGGAGACGGTCCATAGTGAGACACAGGGATGCTAGGAGCTCCTTCGGCAGCTGCTGCAGACCTTTCCCGAAAGCTTCCTGCAGAGGATTCCTCTGGGCGTCGTACTGCTGGACGTCCGAAGCCTGACGAGAATGGGTTTTGATGATGAAGATGCGATCGTAATACGATTCTAATCCGAGCTCTTTCAAAGCTTGTAGTCTCCCCTCCAGTTGGCTCATAGAATCCGGTAAGATGATTGTGCTCTGTATCAGCATATGGTCGCCGCAGGCATTGATGTAGGCATCGCGTCGATATGGCTGGATTTTGACGCTTCGATCCAGTTTATGTTTCCTTTCCAGATTTGACTTGGCCTGTTTGACGAGAAACTTAGGAACAACAAAGGATACGTAAAAGATGCTAGACTCATCAGAAGTGGCCTGAGCCATGCTGTTTGAGTTCATACAACAGAAGAGGCTGAAGAGTCTGCAAGATATATGCGGAAAAGATATGAAATCCTTGTGGAAGGGCAGAGGCAGCTTGGCGAACTACTTGGGGCCTCTACGTTTTCACAAGTCTTACTTAGTGAACCTACGACAGATTGTGTAGATTGGTCGCATTACACATTCTCAAGCTACCGATGCTCTTCTTCTGTTGATTTGAGCCATAATGTCTTGAATTGTAACGGTTAAACGCCAAAGCCTTATCTCAGCCCTACCTGCCACACTTCCCCACAACCTCGGCACGGCCCCGGATTGAACAAGCCACGCTTCAGATCAAACTCCAGCTCCACAGCTCTCCACAACAACCACGCAGACAGACGTCACTCTCCTGCCCGGCAAGCTCCAATGCTCGACATGCAATGGCAATAATACACCCCCACCGATAGCCTCTTCGGAACACTACGCCCCATACACCCCCACCCTGCCCACCATGGCCTCCCCCAAAACGCCCTCCCCCTCCGCCCCCGACATCTCGATCCTAGGCGACCAAGTAACCCTGCACCCAACCGGCTACGAGGAGCCCACCGGCCGGACGCAGGATGGCGGCGAGCAAGAACAAAACCTCATCTCCGGGTTCTCGCGCTTCCGCTCGTCCCCCTTCGACTTCCTGCGCGAGATCTCGCTGCACGTCTCCGGCACCGGCTGGCGCAGCTACGATCATGCGGTCGGACAGCCCATCTTCCACGCGGGCTTTTCGGAGAACATGAAGAGCGCTGTTATGGGGACGCCGATGCTGCAGGCGAAGATACGGGAGCTGGCGGAGCGGAGGGTTAAGATGGAGGAGGGGGAGGGGCTGCTTCCTAGTGGGGAGGGTGAGATGAGGGAGAAGAGGAGGAAGGAGATTGAGGGCGCGCTGCAGGAGGTCGCGGAAAAGATGGTGGACGATATGATCTGTAAGATGGAGAGTAAGAGGTTTATAAGGGGGGCGTACTATTTTGCGACGCAGTTGCTCACTAGGGCGTATCATCAAGGCAAGTCCGCTCTATACAGTTGCGCAGCATACGTCCCGTCTATTGTTCCCCCTATATCTATGCTCAGCTCAGTGTTGACGCGTATTATAAGGCATCCACGTCTCTAGCGAAGAAGTCCTTCGCCTGCGCTCCGTCGCCGAAAAAGCCGCCAAATCCAAACACTCGATAATCTTCCTGCCCTGCCACAAATCGCACGTCGACTACGTCTCGCTGCAGATCATCTGCTACCGGCTCGGGCTAGCCCTCCCCACCGTCGTCGCAGGCGACAACCTCAACATCCCCCTCTTGGGCTCCTTCCTGCAGCACGCGGGTGCAATGTGGATCCGACGCAGCTTCGGCGACGACCAGCTGTACCAGACCGTGGTGCAGAGCTACATCGACACACTCCTCCAGAACGGCTACAACTTCGAGTGTTTCGTCGAAGGCGGGCGCTCGCGCACAGGGAAGCTGCTCCCCCCGCGCTTCGGCATCCTCAGCTTCCTGCTCGACAGCGTGCTAAGCGGGCGGGTTTCCGACGCCATCGTCTGCCCCGTCAGCACGCAATACGACAAAGTGATCGAAGTCGACTCCTACATCTCCGAGCTGCTGGGCCAACCCAAACCCAAAGAAAACCTGCGCGACTTCCTCTCCGCGTCCTCCGTGCTCTCTCTCAAGCTCGGTCGCGTGGACGTCCGCTTCCACGAGCCCTGGAGCCTGCGCGCCTTCATCCAGACGCAGCAGGACCGCTTCTCCGCCCCGATCCCCGCGCGCATCACGGCGCCCCAACCACCGCAGCAGACCGACATCAAGGTCCGCCTCCTCCGCACGCTCGGCTACAAAGTCCTCTCCGACATCAACGCCGTCTCGGTCATCATGCCCACAGCTCTAATCGGCACGGTCCTCCTCACCCTCCGTGGCCGGGGCGTCGGCCGCTCGGAGCTAATCCGGCGCGTGGACCAACTCAGCGCCCGCGTGCGCTCCCGCGGCGGCCGCGTCGCGCACTTCGCCAGCCAGCCGACCTCGCTGGTCGTGGCGCGCGGCCTCGAGGTGCTCGGCCCAGACCTCGTAGGCACCGTCCCCGGGCTGCCGGAGGAGACGTACTACGCCGTCGACAGGTTCCAGCTGAGCTTCTACCGCAACATGACGATCCATCTGTTCGTGCTGCCGAGCTTGGTGTGCGCGGCGCTGTATACGCGGGTGAAGCTTGGCGGGCCGGCGGAGCATCAGCGGGTTGAGCGCGGGGAGTTGAGGCAGAAGGTCAGGTTTCTGAGCCAGCTGTTTCGGGGGGAGTTTATTTTTCCGACGGAGGGGCTGGAGGCGAATTTGGAGAGGACGATTGAGGGGTTGAGGGTCGAGGGGGTGGTGGAGGTTTCGGATGCGGAGGATGGAAGCGAGTTCGTCGAGCTGAGCGAGCAGGAAAGAGATGGCGGCAGGGAGAACTTTGACTTCTATTGCTTCCTTATCTGGCCGTTTGTCGAGGCTAGTTGGCTGGGCGCGGTGTCGCTGCTGATGCTTACGCCGCCGCCTCCACCACCGCCATCTCAGACCCTCCTCGGAGACGCAAGGCTTACAGCGGCAGCCGCTGCGAGCAACCCGCCACTATCGCCGCCGCGCACCACCCTCCCCCATCTCGACCAAAACAAAGTCCACAACCGCGCCCAGCTGCTCGGCAAGACGCTCTACCACCAAGGCGACCTGTCCTACTTCGAAGCCGTCAACATCTCGACGCTCAAGAACGCCTACACGCAGTTTGAAGAAGAAGGCATCATCGTCGTCGCGAAGACGAAAGCCGGGCCGGCGACGTTGCGGCTGGCGGAGGAGTGGATGCCCGAGAGGGGAGGAAACAGCAACGGTGGCGCGGGGGCTGGGAATGGGAACGGGAACGGAAGCGAGGACGGCGCGCCGGGGAGGATCTTGCCACGCGGCAAGCTTTGGGAGTTCGCGGAGACGATCTCGCAGTTCCGGCGGGAAGGAAAGAACCGGAGAGACGGCCGGACGGTCGTGAGTCGGGTCCTCACGCTGGTCGACGTCGTTGGGCGTGGGTTGTGGGAAGAAGCCGCTGCCTCCGCTGCCGCTTCCGCTCCCGCTCTAGGGGCGGCCGAGGCCGGGGCTCAGACGGACGCGGAGGACGAGAAGCCCGGGAAGAGAAAGAAGAAGCGCAGAAAAACATTGGAGACGCGGGCGCGGCTGTAGACATCTTAGACGATGAGTCATTGTATAGATACACACTGTTTTGGTTGCCCCGACCAGCTAGATGTGGTATACGTCCCCAGCCCAGATTGTTGCCTCAGATCCCTGTCTCCCAAACCCCCAAAATATGCGCCGGCGCAAACAGCAACACGCCCGTCTATATCGTTGCACATGCTTGGATGTCGCTAAGCAGCCGTGATACTCTTTTTGGGCACACAAAACGATGAAAAGCCCAGCGGAAAGTAAGCTGGACGCCGAATTAACTGTAGAGAGAGAGCCATGGAGAGCGATCAAGCAGAGAAAGCGTCTCAGGCCGGGACGAGCTGTACTCCAGCGGAGACGCGCGCATCATAAGCGGAGTGGTACTGTACAAGGCGATGCTTCCATAAGATGATGATCCGAGAGTAACGACAAGGAATGGCGGATTCGCCCGTGTACTGATCCGGTACGGCGGTTACGCCCCATTGATGCGTAGCGCCAAAGCAGAAACGGTCGTGCGGAGGTGTTTCAATACATGTAATGCGTCTGATGCGCGATCGGATTAGGCGCAACGTAGTACGACTGGTACGGATGCTGTGGTAGCGAGAAGTCCGCAGCCGCGTATAAAGGATTCGGTATGCCAGCCGGCGGCCTGCGGGTTAACTGAGGCGCCGGCGCGAGTGCAGTAATCGATGGGGGCTGCAGCGTGACCTGTGGCTGGAGGGGCGCCTGGAACGGCTGCAGAGTTTGGAGGGGCTGCGGCGCCGCCTGCATGATATTCGTAATGTGCTGAGGCTGTTGCGAGGGCGGTGTTTGCAGGGACTGAGGAGGTGGAGGTTGCTGAGGCTCCTCGGGCCAACCCCATTTGTCTTTGAGCTCCTTGTTCAAGAAGCCGACGCGCCAGCCGGTCTCTTGGCGGATCTTCTCGAAGATCTGGAGGACCTCTTCTTGCTCGCGGCGGTTGGTGAGGCATTCGGCGGCGATGGCTAGGCATCGAAGTGCTGCGCTTGCGACGCCCCTGTATTCTTGTTAGTGACAGCCATTCCGTAATCTCAAAAGATAGCCATACCGATCCTTGACGTGAGCAACAATGCCGCAAATTTGATTTGCGTGCTTCTGCTGCATGTCGTTCATCTCCTCGTGGTCGACGGACATGATTGGGTTGATCTGCGCCAGTAAACACAGTGCCGTGTGATAGAAGAGCCGTGCAACGATGGTCGTCCGCTTGATCAGCCATATCTCCGGAAACGCTGACTGAGATATAGTCTGGTAGGGATACAGATACGCCATCGGATGCATCGTCCGGGGTATGTTCTCGTTCCACGCATCGCACCAATCCTTCAGCCTCTTCCATTCATTGTACCGATTTTGCAGCCTTATCTGCTCGTCCCTAGGCGAGTGTTCCGCTGTCCTGGGTACCGACGCTCGGAAGTTGGCAACCTTGGCAACGATGTAGACCATCCGGTAGGTCCAAATCTCCTCGCGGCCAGACTCTGTTTCGCGGGAAAAGTCCATGTCCACGCCCCAGTCATCAGGATGCCATGCCACTTGCCAGTTGAAGTGCAGGCAGCTTAGTAGTTCCATTCCAACATTGAGCCAGAAGCAGGCCGCTCCAATGCCTGTCGATCTCGCATTCCATCCACACTCTTTGATGAGCGCTCTCGCGCCCGCAATGTGATTCATTCGTTGAAGCGCGCGCTCACACATAATTTCGTACACGTTTAAAATTACAGCGGTCGTAGCGCAAATGACAGTGTCTCGGTTCGGGTTCTGTAATGAGTTGAGCAGATATCGCGTCGCGGTGTCGTAGTAGTGCAAAGCTTTGTCTTCGGTATACTTCGCGTTGACCAGCGAAAGATGCCGCGCGCCGCAAGCAAGGAAGGCATTGAGTAGCATGGGTTCCCCAAGTGCGTGGAAAGGTAACAGACGAGAAAACTGCAGATCGTTAGCATTCCAACGCGCCGCAGCTGAGGTGGGCGACACACGTGTTTCATCGGATCCATGCTGTCCATCCATAGACCGACTTCTTCGACAAACACTTGCATGAACAACACCTCCTCCTGCGTATTCAGATAATCTCTGCTTTCTTCCGGTGGTGTTATGTTCGGGTCCTGATTCGTGTACGAAGAACCGTCTGACGCGCCATGCATGTTAGAATTCGTGTGCGAAGAGTCGGCGTATGATTGCTGCTGATGGTGCTGTTCCCGCTGGGGTTCGAACATCATGTTCTGCTGCTCGTCCGAGTATGGATCGGGGAGCATTCCTTGTATCGGCGGTAACGGTTGGTGTGCCAGCGACGGTGCTGAGGGTGCGCTAACAGTAGGATAATCGAAGTTGAGACTCGCGTCTAGCTGTACCGGTGAATCTGCCTCGATTGCTCCGTACTTGGACAGCCCTCCCTTGTACTCCGATGCAATGTCCCGCGACTCGTCCAAAAAGCTGATGTTCCAGTCTTGATTCCGGAGCAGGACAGGCGGAGCTTTGATTTGAGTGTCGATGAAGTTGAGCCTCACACCACGCTTGCAGACTCGGCTCGATTTCCGGCAATTCAGGCAATCGGGCATCGCCTCGTCGCATTTCAGATGCCTCTCTCGACATGTCAGACATCCCGTGCGCACGCGCTTGGGTTTGTTCGCTGCCAGGATCGCCTCCGGGCTAACGTTCTCATCAATCCCAGCCATCGCATTCAAGTGCGGCTGTGTTGCCGCCTGATGGTTGCGCGACCCTTCTGCTTGTGGCCCTTGCTTCAACCTCTTTGCGGGCTGCGTACTCAACTCTGAGGTGTTGGTCCGCTTCGACCCCAGCTGTGGGATCTGATCGCCAACCAGCGTCAGATCTGAAGCTGTAGATGGTGATATACCAGAGTCTTGCGGCATGTAAGTATAAGCGAAACTCAATGCGGGCTGTAGGAACACCGGCTGCTCGTTGATAGCCGCCAGGGTGACTGTTTGCTATCCCACAGCGTCTAGGCGCGGTACGGGTAGGTGTGCTGACGGTCGATTGCCGGTGACTCCAGGACGCGGGACGATTTCAAGGACCCATCCAAGACTTGTATGAAGCCGAGATAGATTCGTCTCAAGTTTCGGGCGACGATGCAGCCAGAGCTAGTGAGCGCAGCGGGCACCGTTGTGCAAGTTGCGCGAGTACAACGATGACGCGCGGGGGGCCTGGCGACGCTCCGCGACGGTTGCGCAGCGCGTGGATTGCGACGGTAAAGGGTGTGTTCCTGCGACACGTCGAATATCGTGAAGCTGGCGGGAGGTGGTATCGTGAAGTGCGAAGTGATGACCGCGGTGTCCGCAGAGAAGCCTGTGCTGATCCAGTCCAGCGGCGTTGACAGGGAAGTGTCCACGCAAAGAGAGTTGGAAAGTCTAGGCGGTCGACGCGGTAAGGGATGCTGCGCCGCGATGCTTGATCAAACCTCAGACCTGCCAACACGACGTCTAGTACACTTGGAAGGTAGATAGGATTCAAGTCAGGGACAAATGTGCGTGTGCAATGGAGCAAGGGGATCGGAAGAGTTTGTTTGTCGAGTCGCTAGGTAATTGAATTGGACGCAATGCGGTAAGCGGCTCCGCCGGGATATTATGAGTAAGGTGTCGGGACGGGGGAGTCTCAGCACTCAATACTCCCTGCAGAGTGATTGCTCCTCGCGGCGATGGGCGAAGTGATTGTTGCTCCGTCTCCCGAGTGAGAAAGCGCGAAACAAGGCAGGCGGGAGCTGGGCCGTCGGTCGACGAGGGGCGGTGCAAGTCGGTGGCAGGACGATAACGCAGAGAATTGCCATCTGTAGCCGACGATCGAAAAGGGCTGCAAGGGGCTGGCAGTGGAGAACTGGCTTGGCCGCAGGTAGAGGAGAGGCGGAATCAGCACGTCATGAGGCGAGAGGCAGCGGAGAACGAAAGAGCAGAGGTGGATGACCGTCGCAACCATTCGGAGGCTTCAGTTCCGCGCACTGCAGCTGGGGTTTGGAGAGCCCATTCGCTACCGAGGCGCCATCTCCATCAGTGTCGCCATTTGGATGTGCAGCTGGGGTAGAGTACGACATTGACACGGGCCTGTATGAGCACCTGCATCCCAGAGAGCCCACTCCGCGCATGTAAAAGACAGAACGGGGAGCCGACCAAGATTCGTGCCTTTCTTGCTCCTTTGCCTCTGGATGAGATTGAAGTTCGCCCATCACCTGTTGACTCCTCTGCAGCTCGCTCTCTGCTCCGCTTCGCACTTGGGTTGGATCAGCATAGTGATCGACGGCGAGGTCAGCGCGCATGAAAATGGCTGTTGGACCCTGGGTAGAACGGCGACCTGGTCGCAGGCAAGGCTTGAAGCCAATCGCAGCGGGCGGCAGCATCTTCCACGGGTGCGGATGCGGGCGCCACACTGCCAGCGCACTCGACTTGTGAACTCTTATGTCCCTCCATCAAGGATCAAGCTCCGGCGTCCCAGAATAGTCGGTGGTGGCGTCACCAAGTGACATTTGCCATTCTAAATACAACACCTTTGAACGTCAGAAATCCGTGGTCAGCGTTTGCCTGACCACAGCTTGCATGCCGAGCATTTATCGTGAAAGGACGGATAACAAACCCATGTAGTTGGTCGACGTCTGACTCGAGCAGCCGTGAAAGGCTCAGCTGGGCTCGGTGAAGACATTCCTCCAGATATGAGCGTCAGTGGAGTGCGGAAGCTATCAAAGGATATACACGGCGTACTGGTACGCAGTCGCAAACACGCCGTACTCGTGCTTCAACTCTATGCTTCTTGTGGGTGAGAGGCGAATCTCCGCGCATCCATCACCGAACGCCTTCAATCTCAAATTGGAGAAACAGCGAACCGTTCATCCATTAGCCACAATATCCTTCGCAGATATGACCTCCCGACGGGAGTAATCTCAGCTAAAAGCTCGGCTTGAAGTCCAGTCTTACTGTAACAACCGAGATTGTTCAGCGTGGGGCTCACACATTGAAGGACGTTGACTCGTCTCGAGTCAGTTTCTACTTCCGTCATGTCATCGACCAGCCCTTCTTCTGGATCACCTCGATATCAGCAGCCTGAGCTACAAACTCAGGTCGCTACTCTACCTCCACCTCAGCCTACATACATTTTTCGCGGCCACAGTGCTCAGATCCATGGGGTGCACTTCTTGCGACAGAACAGCCGCCTGCTGACCGGTGACGCTGATGGATGGGTTGTACTGTGGAATCTTTCTACCAAACGGGCAGTTGCCGTCTGGCGAGCCCATGACGGCGCGATTTTGGGACTGGGAGACTGGGCAGAGGACAAGATCATTACGTAGGTTTAAAACCAATGCCTCATGCGGATGACCTTCTACCACACAATCCGCGTCTCAACACACACCGAAGACCTCTCATAGACACCTTGTCAACAAGGCTCTCCTTCCTTCTGCTTCGGTTTTGCCTCTCTACAAAAGTGATCAATAACTGATTCTGAGACGGAGGTGAAGTCATGGGCGGGACGCGTCGCTCAAAGTATGGCAGCTCCGTACGCAGGACGAGGCCACATTCTCCACCGTGTTACCAGTCGACGATCCAGTCACACATCGTCAGAACCCCTGGTTGTTGCATTCATTGAGCGTGAACACATTGAACTTCTGCTCCTTCTCCTCATGCAAGCAGCAACGGTCAGAGTTGACGCCCATCGATGAAGTGGACGATCTACCTGAACCGCTCGTCATAGCTGTGCCAGGGACAAAAGATTCCCAGGTGGACGTTTTCCAGCTTCCGAGCGAAAGACGAATGTCGACCGTTCCGGAGGTCAAATCTAAGAAGGCAGGTGAGATACCGCCCTGCAGCACATGATCGATACAGACATAGGCTCAATCGCTATATGCTGAGCAGTCTTCAAGAACCTGCCACTGACCGACTTTAGGCATGGTGATGGCCATCAGGATTCTCTACACAAATGATCTCCTCGCTATAACTGGCTACGAAAGCGGGCACGCAGCGATCCACGCGCATAGCTTATCAGACAACACCTGGCAGCTTTTATATCTATGCAATGCTCACACCCAGCCGATTCTCTCCCTGGACGCCTCCCCAGATCTCAAGTGCTTCTTGACTTCCTCGGCAGATGCTGTAATCGGCAAGCACCCCCTAGTTGAATCACCCAAGACACAGTCTGGAGAGCGCAGCGCCGACGGTCCTCTCAAGGCAGTCAACACGGGCCACGCTGGTCAACAAAGCTTGCGTGTCAGGAATGATGGCAAGATCTATGCCACCGCAGGCTGGGACGGGAGGGTGAGGGTGTACTCGACGAAGACGATGAAGGAACTGGCGGTTCTGAAATGGCACAAGGAGGGCATCTACGGTGTAGCGTTTGCCAACATCGATGCACCCCCACACACGGCGGCTTCAGCGCCGGTAGAAGATGACGTAACAGTTGCCTCGACTACTCAGTCGCTGACGCACGCTGCGGGCAGCGTAAGCCAACGAAGGGATGCCAAAGCGAGAACTACACACTGGCTAGCGGCAGGCTCGAAGGACGGAAAGGTCAGTTTGTGGGACATTTACTGAGTATCCAAATCTGCCCGAGTTATGACTTTGGCTTTAAAACGATGTTGTCAATCAACCTGACCGGTACCGCGCCGCCACCGAGTCCGCAATCCTCACCCTCCTGTAGTTCCTCAAGCGGCTTCATCTTGATCGCTCCGCTGAGTATGGCGCCCCTCTTTTCGTCCACCTCCTCCACCTCTTCCAGTGTGTCAGGATCCGCGAGGGAAATGTAATCGACCTCAAACAGCGCTCGCTTCGCCGGCGGTAGATCATCCTGCTCCAGCTTCTTCTGATCTACCACGTCATCCGCTTGCCAAAGGATATCCCCTCTACCCCTCTTTCCCTTCTTATACTGCTCCTCCGCCGCCATCAGCGCCCGCGATAACACCACACCAACCCTCTTCCTGCGCTCCCCCAAATACACATTCCTCGAACTCATCGCCAGCCCATCAGCCTCCCGCTTCGTCGGTCCAACCCGCACCTCAGTATCGACATGAAAGTCCTGCACCATCCTCTTGATCACAACAGTCTGCTGCACGTCCTTCTGGCCAAAGTACACGCGCGTCGGCGTGACGATATTAAACAGCTTCATGCACACCGTCGCAACCCCGCGGAAAAACACAGGCCGGCTCGCGCCCTCCAGCCGACTCGCCAGCGGCGTGATCGTCACGAAGCTGCCCTCGCCCGCAATCTCCGAACTCGGCGGCAGCGTCGGATACATCGTCTTGGTCGTCGGCGCGAACACAGCCGTGATCCTCCCCCTCTGCTTCCCCTCCCGCCACTCCCCTGCCTCCTTGTCTTGAGCGAGCTCCGCGTCCAGCGCCTCCAGCATCGCCATGTCGGACTCCCAGGTTTTCGGGTACGAGTCGAGGTCCTCGTGCACGCCGAATTGCGTCGGGTTCACGTAGATGGAGACGAAGACGTCGGTGTTTTCGGCGGCGGCGAGCCGCACCAGCGACAGGTGGCCGTCGTGTAGGGCGCCCATTGTGGGGACTAGCCCGACGGTGCGGTCGGAGAGGAGGAGCTGTTTGCGGTAGGTGCGGAGGGGCGGCACGGTGCGGAAGATGTGGATTGCCCGGGTGGAGGAACGGGCGTGGAGGAATAAGGACATAGATCTCGAGCGCGTAGCTGTGTTCAAGCTTAGTTTACTTGGCAGCCCGCGAAAGAACGGAGGAGTGTTCACCTCTCGAGGTCCACAGCTTGCTCGCCATGCCTGCGGCGGGCTGATCAGGGAGAGGTTCTCTGCCCGGCTTCCGGAACGGCTACGGAGCGCCTCGCGTTGGGGGTGGTCTTGGTGGATAGAGCTTCAGCGGCCAGTCTGAATCTCGCGGCTACGGCCATAGGGAGCATCTTAGGCGGACGCAATGCATTCTTGTACCAGTTGTTCGTCAATGTGCAGCGAAGATGAAGGCACGGAGGAGCTTGGGCCCCGCCGTTGTTTCGAGGCCGTCCCGCTCTCAGCCCTACGGAGAATTCTTGGCTGGACCCTCGAAAAAGTGCAACACCATCCGCAGCCGAAAGAAAACCTGGGACGCCGTCTCTGTGCATTTGCGACTGAGGACCGGAACCAAAGACCGCACTGCTCGACGCCGAGATCACCTGTATAAGCTGCGTATCCCACGTGAAGACTCGACACGGCAATATGAGGATATAGCTATTACAGAAGCACAACCATCTTAAGCAGCCCTCACCACCTCAGACGCGCCTCGACCCTCCCTCGTCGCCGCATATCTAGGACGACAAGCAACGGAAGTCAACATGGCGGACGATGGCATGCTGCTCAACTTCTCTGTCGGAGACGGGCCTCTGATTGCCAAGCCGAGTTTCAAGGGCGGTAGTTGGAAGGATAGACTAAGCGCAAAGAAAGCAGCTCTGCACCGGCAGAAGAAGCTGACACAGCCTTCGACTGGCCGGCCTGCTGCGTCAGAGAACAAGCCTGCAAGGGAAGAGTCGGACTTTCCGGTTAATAGAGCAGCCAAGCGACAGCGGACCGAAACCGACTTCGCCCCTACACCGCGTGCAGGCGCACCGCGTGGGGCCGGTCAGACAAATGGCGACCGCTCCGAGAGACGGACGGATGGGCCGAAGCAGGTCATCTCCTCGCTGTTCACCTACAATCCCGCCTCCACCTCGAAGGGCGAAGCCAAAATCGCGGAGATACAGGACGTAGACGTAGAGCCCTCCAACGCGCCTCTTTCGGGCGAGCTCGAAACGTTCACCTCCCTAGGCCTCTCGCCCACGATAGCAAGTCATCTGCTGAACAAGCTGGGCATAAAGGCACCAACAGCTATACAGAAGGCTGCCGTCTCTCAGCTACTAAAAGAGGACTCGGATGCCTTCATCCAAGCAGAGACCGGCTCGGGCAAGACGCTGGCATACCTCTTGCCCATAGTGCAGCGGATCATGGCTTTGTCTAAAGCGACGAAGACGGTAGAAGAGTCGAATGAACCCGACGGCGTGCATCGGGACTCGGGGCTATTCGCTATCATACTAGCGCCAACGCGCGAGCTGAGCAAGCAGATATCCGTTGTCTTGGAGAGTCTGCTGCGTTGTGCACACTGGATCGTGGCTGGCACCGTCCAAGGCGGAGAGAAGAAAAAGTCGGAAAAAGCACGCTTGCGGAAGGGACTCAACATTCTAGTCGCCACTCCCGGCCGTCTGGCGGATCACTTGGACAATACGGAGGCCTTGGACGTGAGCAACGTGCGTTGGCTTGTTCTTGACGAGGGAGACCGTCTGATGGAGCTCGGCTTCGAAGATGAGATACAGAAGATTGTCAGCAAGCTGAACATGCGAATGAAAACGGCGCAGCTGTCCAAGACGTCAAGAATACCCGGTCTGCCGGAAAGAAGGACCACCGTGCTATGTTCCGCTACTATGAAGATGAATGTGCAGAGATTGGGAGAGATCAGTCTGAAAGAAGCCGTGCATATCCAGGCTGCTTCCAGCGACAAGCCGGAGGTTGGCACGACACAAGAGACAAAAGAAGATGTGTTCTCGGCTCCGGCGCAGTTGAAGCAGTCGTACGCGGTTGTCCCAGCAAAGCTACGCCTAGTATCTCTCATCGCTCTGCTGAAACGAACCTTCGCCCGGCGAGGTTCGGTGATGAAGGCCATCGTCTTCATCTCCTGCGCCGACTCCGTAGACTTCCACTTCGAGATCCTCAGCCGCGACCAAGCCGACCAGCCCGCCTCCAGCGACGGGCCTCGCCCATCCGCCACAGACGCCACAAACAACGAGAGACCTGCCCCCACCACTCAGAATCAACCAACACGCCCCTCCGACCCCCGCACCTCCGCCCTCGCGCCCTCAATCTCCTCCCCAAACAACCCAATCCAGACCTACCGCCTGCACGGCTCGCTCCCCCAGTCCCTCCGCACCTCAACCCTCAAGTCCTTCGCTACCTCCAAAGACCCGGCCGTCCTCCTCTGCACCGACGTCGCCTCGCGCGGCCTCGACCTTCCCAACGTCGACTTCGTGCTCGAGTACGACCCGGCCTTCTCCAAAGACGACCATCTGCACCGCGTCGGCCGCACCGCGCGCGCCGGGCGGCAGGGCCGCGCGACTGTGTTTTTGATGCCCGGGTGCGAGGAGGGGTATGTGTCCGTGCTGGCAGAGGGAAGACGGGAAGGGGAGAAGGCGCTTAGCCGGCAGGATGCGAACGAGCTTCTCAGAAAGGGCTTTGTCTCGCCCGCGGCGACGGGCACGGAAAAGGAGAAGGAGCGCGGCTGGCAGGACCGCGCGACGGAGTGGCAGCTCGGCGTGGAGCGCTGGGCGCTGGAGCAGCCCGCGCGGCTCGAGATGGCGCGCCGCGCGTTCCAGAGCCATGTCCGCGCGTATGCGACGCATGTTGCGGCTGAGAGAGCGTGTTTTGATATCAAGCAGCTGCATCTGGGACATTTGGCAAAAGCGTTTGCGCTTAGGGATCGCCCGGGCAGGATTGGAGTGCCGGGCATGAGGCCGGGGGTGGATGGTGGGAAGGGCAAAACAGAGCGCAAGGATGCAGCGAAGAGAAAGGGGGTGGTGGCGAGGGGGGAGAAGGGGGATGGTGATGTTGCGGCGGTTGTTACGGATGAGGAGGTCGCGAGAAGGAAGATGAGGGCGATGGCGAGGGCGATGGGTGGAGCGAGTGAGTTCAATCTGGGATGAAAAGGGAGGCATAGAGGTTTGTGTTGGACGATGAGCTACACGCTTTGCCCGTGAGGCTATGAGTATATTACCATCTATATCCAATTACTCTAAGGTCTGCGAGCTGTAGACGGTAGACTTCCAGGTGTGAGAGTCCAGCTCCGCAACATCCCCAGAATCTCATCGTCCCATAGAAAGCGTCCCTTGCCACCATCTTCAACAGCATCTCCGACTACCCCACCCTCCTAAACTTCATCGGAATATTCGCCTCCACCACCCCGCCCTTCCTCTCCCTCTCCTCCAACCGCTCCCTCTCCTCCTCCTCCCTATCATGCTTCTTGAAATGCGCAATATCCTCCGGATGCGTCAGATCCTCCTCCTTGGTATTCTCATCATGGTACTTCTCAAAATGATGGATCTCATATTCATACTCATCGTCCCCATGGTGCCCAGGGCCGAGCCCAAAGTCCGGCAGCTTAAGCCCCTTCTGCGTCACGCCAAGCACATACTCGGCATACGACACCGTCCCCGAGCGATCAGCGTCGAAGATCCGCAGCACCTCGGCCACGACCTCGGCCTTTCTGGACTCGGGGACCTCCTTGGCGCTCTCGTCTTTCAGGCCGTAGGTGCGCTGGATGTCCGTCGGCGACCACGCGCCGCTCGAGTCGTAGTCGTGCAGCGTGAAGAAGGTGCCCGCGTCGAAGGAGCTGATGTGGTGCTCTTCGGCCATGTGCCGCGTTGCCCAGTCCGCGTCGGCGGGGATGGGGGCTTGGTCGTGGGGGCCGTGCGCGTGGGTGGTGGTGAGGAAGGCGAGGAGGAGGGCGGTGAAGGGGAGGGCGGAGGGGGGGTGCATGATGGCGACGGCGAGGGTGTTGGAGCGGAGCGTGGAGGTGGCGATTGGGGGTGTCAATGGCGAGGTATGGAATTGTTGGTGTTGATGGAGGTGGACATGTCACTTTCAGGGGACAAAGCGGACTTTTGGGAGACGCGCCGGGGATTGCCCGATTGGGGATGCCGGTCGCCGGATGCAGCTTTGTGACTTCACGATCTTCTCAACCTTAGGATCGCATTCACCGTCTCATCACCTCGATGGCCTACATGGTTGAGGTTATGCCATGAGATCTTACGCCTGTACTGGAGATATTCCGCAACGTGTCTGCACACGTATACCTGAACACATAGCTCTCAAGCTGTACACACGTCCCAGGTTGCTCAAACTGATTCTACTGACATCTTATTAAATGTGGTCTCATCGTCCGCGGTCTTTCCTTCCAAATCCCTCAATTGGATGTAGGACTAAGGGGCATCTCACTATGCGTGCATACGGCGTGTCTGTACATCAACAACTAAGCATGGGCTGAGTCCTTTCTGTGTAATTCAACAACTACTCGCAACCCCCTGGCTTCTCTTCCCTTTCCTCACATTGGCAAAGAACGACGAATGGCATCGTGCCTGCTCGTCCGCATATGTTCGCGAGTGAAGAGAGACCACAAATTGTATCGGCTATGGATTACCTGTGTGAACCATATCTCCTCCACCATCTTGTGCCTTTCTGATCTCCTGACCCCCCCAAATGCCTTTGCTCCTAAATCTCTGATCTTATCCTCACCGCGGTTTACTTCGCCCGAGCAACCGTGACATCACTGTCGGGTAACTCAGCAGTGAATGAGTAGATCTCACTCACGAGCAGCGCAGCTTGTCTTCTGCGCCTATTCCTTCTCTTTCATCTTCCTTCCACTCAAACTCTTCATAACTTCTCAACACCATTCATACCGCTCAGTTCAAACACCGTCAGCATGCCCCTCTTAGACATTCAGAGCACACTCTTCGCGGTCTTCGCTGCATGGCTTGTCTGCTGCTTCCTGGAGGGCATCCGGCGGCTCTACTTCCACCCGCTTTCGAAATTTCCAGGCCCAAAGCTGGCAGCACTGACTCTCTGGTACGAGTTCTACTACGACATCATCGAGCCTGGCACCTACTTCCGAAAGATCGAGGAGATGCACCGCGAGTACGGTCAGTACAATCTGTCAAACACCCCCGGAAGCTCTTTGAGGACAGCCAGCTCAACTCTCAACAGGACCCATAATTCGTATCAATCCTCACGAGCTCCACATCCGCGATCCTGCCTACTTCGATCATCTTTACGCCGGCGGGAAGCGGGATAAATACAGCTGGTGGACGAACTTCATTGGCTTTGAGCGATCTACATTTGCGACAGTCGGAGACGACCTTCACCGCCTGCGCCGCGGTGCTATGAGCTCCTTCTTCTCCAGGCGCTCTGTGTCCGAGCTGGAGCCAATCATCGTTTCGAGAATCGAGAAGCTATGCTCGCGGTTCGAAGAGTTGGCTGATACGGGAGAGGTGGTTCGACTAGACGTAGCCTTCCTGGCGTTGACAATGGACGTCATCTGCGCCTTCTTCTTCGGCAAAGATCGCGGACACCTCGACAAGCCCGACTTCGAGCTTCTGTGGAAGGAGACACTCCGCGGAACCCTCCAGACCGTGGCGTTGGGTCGAATGTTTCCAGTCCTGACCACCACCATGCTGCACCTCCCTCGCTGGCTTCTCAAGGCGACCAACGCATACTATGTCAGCTACATGTTCAGCCTCCAAGCTGGCATTCGCAAGCAGGTTGCAGCGGTCCTGAACGAGTCAATAGGGAGCACCCCCGGGCGGACCATCTTCCACATGCTACGCGATAGCGACTTACCTCTAGAGGAGAAGTCGATATCGAGACTCTGCGAGGAGGCCAACGTCTTGATCGGTGCGGGAAGCGAGACGAGCGCCAAAGCCTTGACGCACACTATATTCTACCTCTCCACCAATCCGGATATACTCCGACACCTCCGTGAGGAGATCAAAGACGTGATGCCCGATGCTGCCACGGTTCCTCGCTGGTCGGTGCTGGAGCAGCTTCGCTATTTCACTGCGGTCGTGACTGAAGGTTTGCGCTTATCCTACTCCATCACGACACGCCTCCCGCGCACTGCCAACGAGCCTTTGATCTACAAGGAATGGGTTATCCCGCCTGGAACGCCCGTCTCAGAGACTTTGTACTCTGTGCTCGTCGATCCCTCCGTCTTTCCTGAACCCGAGAAGTTCGACCCCGGGCGCTGGTTGGAGCACCCCGAGCTCAGCAAGTACTTCGTGGTGTTCGGCAGGGGCTCGAGATCGTGTGTCGGACTCAAGTAAGTCCCCATTGCGCTTTTGGAAGACTTTGATTGACATCGTTTCTTTAGCTTGGCATATGCGGAGTTGTACCTCGCGGTCGCCGCGCTGGTCCGCCGTTTCGACTTTGAGCTGTTCGAGACGACGATCGAGGATATCGAAGTCAAGCATGACTTCTTCGTTCCGAATGCCGATCTGTCCAGCAAGGGCGTTCGTGCTCGTATCCGGAAGTTGTGAGCCTATGCTTAGGAACCCTGACAGTCTATCTTAGGGAACATGAAGGGAGAGTGATTGCGCTGCGCTTCATGCGAGCAAGTACGGAAAGATTTGAGGATTGGATGGGATTCCTTTGAGGCGTCGACACCCCTGCTTACGGGTTTTCTGCTCTCTTGCTGTAGCCTTGGCTCTTCGAGGTTCCAAGCACAGCAAGAGGACTCCGGCGTTCTCTGCAGCTCATAGTAGCTTTTGATAGTCCAAATTTAAGGCTCACTGGCATAAATATATACCGTTTCCCTGCTGCCCCACTGAAACCTTTATGATGTAACACCCCGTTCTACGCAACGTTCCTGATGCGCCCTTCCTATGCAATATTCAATTCGGACGCCACAATGTGGGTAACACCAGCCCGAAAGATACGGCTAAGATCCTTCGCTCCCCAACGCCACGCTATGCACCCCTCACTGCCAGGACGCCATCGCATGTTCATGAAAGCCAAAGGTTACGCCTCGTTCTTCCCATCAGCCAGGACAGGCTCAGGATACTGCGTCCGAAGCTCCTTGATTACATTCTGCCCAAACACCCTCTCGTCAGCATACCGATCCTGAGGCAAGCAAAGAGCACCGAGGCAATGCTTACGGCCAGCGCTTCAGGATTGACGCCATTTTCGATCAAAGAGACGCAGTAGGACAGCTGCTGGCGGTTGAGATGGGTATTCTACCCAGCCGTCAGTTGGGGGAATACTGGGCGAACCATGTCTATCGTGACTTACCAGCAGTGTCGCTATCTCATGTAGGATGTCAATCACTTCGCGCGCTGCTTGCCGCTTGTCGACCTTTTCTGGCTCTGGAGGCGGCATGTCGTTGTCTGTTGTCGTTTGTACTGTCGATCGCGAACGCGTCGATGTTCTCAAACCCGATGTCACATGACTTGGAGGGGAGTGAGCTTCCCCGCCGGCGGAGAGATCCGCCTGTGACGCTTCGGTGACGTTCACCATCGGAGCTGGGCGAGCTACAGCACGATGATGTACATCCAGGTACCAGTTCCTCCGGCACGAGACCCCACGACCTTCACAATCAATTCCACCAAGTTCCTGAGCAAGCACAATCCCCTCATATCAAACCCTCTCTCAACCACACCTCAAAGCACTCAATCCACCCCGAAAACCCCATCGCCATGGCCTCAGACGACCCCCATACCGGCGGCGACCTCTTCGACATGGCCGCAACCGGCACCAAGATCCCCGGTGACGCCGGCAAAATGAACATCATCCCCTCCGTCCCGCGCCCCGACCAGATCGAAGGCGACCCCAACTTCGCAAAAGAAGGACTCGGGGCCTCCGACACCGCCTCCGCAGCCGACAACGCGACGGATATCCCGCGGCGGAACCAGGACGTTGGCGCCACAGGCGAGGTGATCACAGGAACGGGGGACCAGCTGCCGGCGGTGGTCGAGAGCAAGCGGCTGCATGTTGGGGCCGGTGATCCGAGGGCGAAGGGACATGATAGATATGAGAAGCATGCGCGGCAGAACGAGAGCGAGATTGAGAGGTTGCAGGGACAGGGCCCAGATGTGGAGGCTGCGCCGGGGGAGGAGAGGGATACGCAGGATCAGATTCGGGAGAGGAAGGATGGGAAGGATGTTTAGGGAAAGTTGGAGCGCGGACTTGCTGTGCTTCCACACGTCATACAAGGGGCTATGTGAACCACAGCTTTGCTCGTAAAAGCTACAAGATACTCCAGCTAAAAATGAGAAAGCATTTAGCTTTACCTACCTAGGTAATCTTAATCTTGTGCCATGGCTGTGATATTGTCTGTGATTGGTTGGCGACATTATCATGGCAGACTCATTTCTAAAAGTGATAGATGCAATTCTATCGTGCGGAATGCTGTGCAATTGCTGAACAGAGTCAACTATTCTTGTGAGGTGGTTGACGGGCGTTCAGAAGTGATTTGTTGAATAATTGCTTAAAGGTACCAGTTGTGCCTGAGGCATAAAACCTACGTGGTCTGTGCGTCAAAAATGAACAAGCCTTTGCTCAAAGTTCCACGGGCACCGTCCTGTTTCGTGGAAGCTTGGAGTATTGGATGGTGGCGCACCACCTAGAAAATGGTTTACTACTTTACCAGCAACACCGTGAGCCCTTCGGCCTTCATCTACGTCGGCAAGGACAAGGTCGAGAGTAAGAAGCCCCGAGGCCATGGCCGCAAGTTTCGTGGCGCTGACTGCGGATGACTAGACGAGGAGCTTATCAAGTATGGATGGGAGGAGGATGTGTGGTAGGCCCAGGAATCTTGTTGGCTTCGGGCTTTGTAACTGAGTTTTCTCTGCAGGGTATGATTATATTCATTATTGAACGAGATGTGCATGCCGACTATTTTGTAGTTTCATGTGGACAACTTGTCCAGCGCTCACATCTATGTCCGGCTACAAGAGGGCCAGAGCTGGGACGCCATACCCAAGGCTCTCCTCGAAGACTGCGCACAGCTGACCAAGGCGAACTCCATCGAAGGTCCGTCTTCAGATCCCCCACAGCGGCAAATAACACAGATGCTGATCCTCGATGCAGGGAACAAGAAGGACAACATAACAGTCATCTACACCCCGTGGTCCAATCTCAAAAAAGATGGCAGCATGGCTGTGGGCCAAGTCGGCTTTAAAGATCAGAAAAAGGCAAAGACACAAGCCGCTCCTCCAAGTTCACTAACTGCATAGCTGACCGGCTCAAGCGCAGGTCAAGAAGATCCACGTCGTCCAGCGTGATAACCCCATCGTCAACCGCTTGAACAAGACGAAAGTCGAGAAGTTCCCGGACCTGCGTCAAGAGAAGGATGACAGGCAGAAGGAGCTGAGGCGGAAGGACCGCGCTGCCCAGACTACTAGGGTATGGATTCATCCAGCCGGAACACTCTCTTGCCCCTGTAAGCTTTCTGACTGTGCTAACGCGTCCGCGTCGAATAGCAAAAGGAAGAAGCAAGGATTGCGAAGGAGCGGAAGGAGAAGGCGTGGCAGCGAGACCATGCGTATGACGACTTGCACTCGGAAGATGCTCTTGCTAGCGCGAGCAACCAAGACCGGGATGCGGACTTCCTCGATGACTTCATGTAGTGGCTCTATGAGATTGATTCTTCGCACGGTCCTGCCCACTGCTGCCTGTTCTCTCGCGATGAATGTCGGTTATTCTTGAGCATCTTCCACAAACGGACGTGTTCAGGTGATATAGAGAAGCACATAGGACGGCTCCTCGAAGAAGCACGTGCCGTTGCTGCTGGGAGCTTCAGGCAGTACGATCATCGGATGCACGTTCCCATGCTCTCGTTGAGCATTCTTATAGTGTGATAGAAAGGATCGTATGCTGTTATTTTGATCCTGACTTCGCCCTCCTCGCTGGTAGCTACTTAGCCCTGGCTCAATGCATGGTATCCTGTACGGTAGCTGCTCACCCTTTTGTTCGCGACTCCACCATCTTCGGCTCATGATACCAGACATGAGTGAGATTCTTCACGATCTGGTGCTCCAAGCCCTTCTCGCGAGCTGCGCCGCGGAGGAATTCTAGAGTGTTTTCAATTCGGCGCAGGTCGAGGTCAGCAGGATGGCCGGAGCGGAATTGATGGCGGAGACGGTCGCGGATGGTGTAGCGGGCAGGCTTAGAATACTGGACGGCTCGAAGACAGTGCTTGTACAGCTGGCGGTAGGCTGAGAGTATCTCTCTATTACTCGGTGTTGACATGCTCAGACGTTCCCGTAAGGTGAAGAGCTCCAGGGCTGCAGCGCCTTCAGAGACCAAGGGGACATAGCGAATGGCAGGGATCAACGGGCTAGAGCGCACAGACCAAGGCTTAGCCCGCCTCACTTGCTTTTCGAGGCAGCCGTCGTCCCAACTCTTCATTTCCCACCGTCGCGCCTCCTCTCCCCAGACACAACCGTCATCTGAGAGGTTTGCAGGCCGAGGGAAGCCTCGTTGAACGCGACATACACCGGTAGAAGTCGCGAGGCAAACATCTCTACCTCAACATCGTAGGCTCGTTGTCAGGTTTGTGTGCATATTGCTACTCGACACCCGTAGCTGAGGCAAAAGGCATGAACTGTCAGCAAGACTAGCATGGCCAAAATTTCCCATCGCGCAACTTCAGCGCGTGCGGGCAGGAAGCCCAGCAGAGTTACTAACCACGCGAAGAAAAAGCCGTACAAGGTTGTTCTTGAATCAGTCACTCAGGAGAAGAAAAAGCTTCGCACTTCCGTTTGTTCATCTCCATCTTCACGTTCAGATCTCTTACTCATGGCTTTCAGCTGTCATACAATGCCCAGGCTCCTGTCGGCTACACTTTCGTCCCTGCTGGAACTCCAGATCTTACGGCATACTGCAAGGAAGTCTGCAGGAAGCGGAATTTAAACGTTTTCATCGTCTCAGTTAGTACATCTCTGCATCACAAGTCGCCTGCACGTGTTTATTGTTTTCGTAGGCAGAACCCAGAAAAGCCCGCTCCGATCCCGAAAGGCTGTCGCACCACATTTACCGCATAGGCCACCATTTCCCAAGTCAAGTTGTTGACCAAGGCTGCAACTGGCTGGGATACACTAGGCGTAGAACCAATTTCCGAAAGGAGCTCGACGTACTACCAACCTCGCGTCTCGCTCAGAGCCTAGAAACGCACAGCAAGCGCCTTGGCCTTCAGGAGAACGCGGACACTGTACTGGAAAGTCGAGAGCAAATTGCTGCCGCAATCAGAGATCTCTTCCCCAAAATCCCGGACACGGCTGTCGATGTCATCGTAGAACATGCCTTCCGTGAGGTATGGGTCCGGTGATTATTACATCTTGTCAAGCGCTGACCGCCTGCAGGGCACAAAACGCATTGGTACTGTCGCCGAACTCTCCTTGGCGCGACGCGTGCAGCTTGCCGTCCTAGCTCATATTCGGCACCAATACACCGATTATGACAGACTCTTGAGGTCCGAGGGCTGGTACGAGGCGCGAACCGCAGTGGCGCCAGTCTGCTTGAAGCAGCTGCTGGAGTGGCGAGGCGAAGGTCAAGACGAGCCGGCAGAGCTTGAAGACATCTTCCGCGAGATCATCGTTATTGATGATGACGATGATGTCGATGAGAACGACAATTCCTCGAACGCCGGCAGTGACGATACACTATCCAGTATGGAGATTGTGACCGACCCAGCCGCGGCGCATGATCTTGACGATAGTGATTCGAACGATGTTGAATGGGTTGATGATCCTCGCGCCGACCGCGAACCGAGGAGAGTCACGCTTCTACGTCCTCCACAAATGCAGTACGCTCAACCATCGGCGCACATGCGCTTGCTGACCAACAGCGGGAGTTCCCGTTTGGAGAACGCAACGAGAACTGACCCAGGAGATGGTTACTTGTATCCTCTGCCCACCAAGGCTACAGTCCCACCTGCCGCAACACGTCGCCCAATGCAGCTGCGTAGCTCAGTACGACACTCAAGGGATTACGCCGTTCACAGGTAAGTTTTGAACCGGACTAGGATATGTTGGACATTGCTTACGATCCCAGCCAGCCGGCGTCAAGTTCCGCCAGGCCTCCTGATCGTGGTCAAATGATGCTCCCTGAATCATACAGTTATGGTTCCCAGCAGGTGAGTCTCCCTTCGCCTGGGTCGCAGAACGAAGTCGTGCGGTGTTCAGCGGAGACGAATCCATCCTGGACATTGACTCGTTTACTTGTGTGCTGAACGTGTACAGGTACCGGTTCTGCATCGTGCTGCACCTCGTGAGGTCATGGTAGAGTATTCTCATCCACCGCAAGCTTCGGGACATCCATTGCAAGAAGTTGTGCTAGCTTCGCCACCATTTGCAGGCCATCACCGGGAGCCCCGACGTGCGCTCCCACTTGAGCTGCACAATACTGCTCTGGAACCGGAGCCCCTGCATAGGGATGTAAGGGTGGCCGAACGCCCGCACAGCCAAAAAGATGTTGCCATCCCATCGGTTGAGGGCCCTCACGGTGAGGTCGTAGGTCGCTTGCCGGCGGAACAACGATTTGTTGAACTCGACTCGCGAAGTGTTCCACAACACAGTCGACGAGAATCTTGGACCCGGCCTCAGCCCTGTGCCCTCGAAGCACTCCGATCTACGATAAGCCGCCCAAAAGCTGGTTTAGACTACGGGCATACGGGCAACCTGCGCGGGGGGTTCGTTGAGATGTCTGCGCCCCAAACTCGTACTCCAAGGGCACGTGATCGTGATTACGCTCATCCAGAGACTGTAGACTTGACATTTAGTCCCCCTCAACACATGCATCCTAGATCAGCGGCTTTCAAGACTATCCCCCGCGCATCGGCTGCGCATCACTGGCAGGAGCTTCGACCCACAAGTGAACTCCCCGGAGGGCAGCCGAGAGAAGGTGCCTTTCCGTCTGGTCAGAGATACTCCGTCATCGATCAGCCTGCGCGTGACAGGCATCAGATTATGGTGAATGCTGACCGAACAGTGCACCATGTCATGGATGATCGCGCGCCCTCTGTACCCAGGGCGCATGAGGCCCGCCTCTTTTTACAGAGGCCACCAGCTCAACAGCGAAGATCTGATGGCGAGATCTATGGGACCACCTTCGGCAGCGAAGGCCCCGTACATGATGCTCGTCTCCTTGTATCATCACGTCCAGGCACAGTTGTAGATGACCATGGTCGTGCTGTAGGTCGGTCGCAGCAGACCAATCCCACCGACAGGTCTCGTTATGTCCTACCACTTGAAAGAGGCCCTCTGGAGGGCGCATGGCGCGAACCGCTTGAAGTTCGCTACAGGCCAGTCCATGAAATGCCGCGCGAACCTCGTGAAGTCATTGTTCTCAGCAGCAGCCCTGCTCACGGCCCTTACGCTCATGATACTAGACCAACAACCATGAGAGAGCCCGTCTATCAGACTCAGCCTATCCGCTACTATGCTTCAGGCCATGAGGGTCAGCCCTGACTTCATCATCAGCTCGACTAGCTTTGACTGAAAAGCATCAACCAACTGTTACCCCTCTTCGACGGTAGGAAGTAGAGTTACTGCCACGAATCTCTGCTGACACCTGGTCATAGGGATGGGTCAAGCTTCCATCTGACACCGACGGCTCCGGCACCGCAAAAGCATGCACAACAACCGCACGATGCAAAAACTGTCAACCGTAGCGCACGGGCGCGCCATTTGGAATATCTTATCGTTGTGTAACTACGGCTGTACCCGATTGCCTCGGAACTACATGAGTCTGAAGAGGCACTATTCGCGGATAAGAGCAGTGTGAGTTACCGAGACCGAGACCACTCCGTGCATGAGCATACTGCACATCATCTCGACTACTTGAGGGGATTTCTCATGGCCGCGTGGATCTCCTGACTTGTTGCAGGCAATTGCACTAGACGCGGAAACGACTGGGTACTGACGATGTCGGATGTCACCTCTGTCAGCTGGATACTGGATTTTTGTGAGAAGGGTCCGCGCGCGACCTGTTCGCATAAGCTGGAAGGTTGTGTACCGGAATGGAAGGGACTTTGGGGTCTAGTGTAAGATGAAAATCAGACACATCCCGCGTGACGGAAGTGTTCAGTTGCTTTACACAATAAGTTCGGCCGGCGAGCCCATCATGACTGTAGCATCAGTTTAAACAGCGACATCAAATATGTCTAGCTATTAGAACTTGCTTCGTTGCGCTCTGATAATCCCACTTCAAACAAACCCTCTCCAAGCTTCTTCCTCTCCGCTACGATAGTCCGAAGTTTCCCAATACGCTTGCTGGAAAAGCACGACATGCTCTTTCTAGCACCAATCTATGTGACTGTATGCATCTCTCTCGGTTACTTGAACAGATTTGAGCCGTCCACAATTGATGCGGTCGTAGGCTTATGAACCACACTCAAGCCCGGCCGGTACCACTAGAGTACCTCGTGCTATAGTACCTTATATTTCAATGACCTATACTGTAACACCTTATGCTATAATATATCATACTGTGCGTCACATCTCGCAACACACAGCACTGCCGGCCAACGACTACTCCTGCCTTCGACCACATACATCCAGCCATGACCCGCCTTCCAGAACAGCCCCGCTCGCCAGCACACCCCATCCTGCACGATACCGTTAGGTAACGCCCAGCAATGCATCTCACAACTTCGTCTGCTTCCCCGCTGCAGAGCTCTCCCCGCCGCCTTCGAACACGTACCCCTGAGTCACGGGATTGACGACGCCGCCGCCCCTGTCCATTGGCAGGGGGAAGGGCGGCTTCCGCCACCGCTCTGTGAAGAACACTGGATGCCTCACTGCGCTGTCGTAGTTTGGGCGTGGTTGCGAGGCCGGTTGTTGGGGCGCTCGGGATGGTGGTAGGGCTTCTATCTGGGTCCTCGGAAAGGGGAAGACGAATTGTGCTTGCTGGCCAGTTATCTGTTCCGCGAAACTACGGATTGGCTGCTGTGACAGCGGATTGATGTAGCGCTAGTGACGGTGAGCTTGAGGACACTGGGGAAGCGGTAGACGGAAGTGGCAGTGGGCGCTCTATATCAGCGCGCTTCCATGGAGATGTTTGAAGGCTTTTCCTAAGGCTGACTTGGAGGGGATGATCTTATGAAGCCGATATCTAGAGAGCTACAATGCCAAACAGCTTACCGATACTGGGATTTCTCTTCTGCCAGGCGCTGGCTCCGGCGGAAACTATTCTCAAGTATGAGCACAGCGCAGGCATATCATCAGGCCTACGATCTGCAACTTACTCTTGGTCTATGAGGCTGGAGTGATGGTAGCATTATTACCGTAGCTACGTTATGTAGGCTTCAAGCTATCTGTATAGGTTGTATAGCAAACTCTACAGCTGGATAACTGCCGGAGAGTTGTTGTAGCATCTAGCACTAGAGCTGCCCGCGATCTCCTCCACCTCGGCAGCGGCACAGAACGTCACTTGGCTGCAGCTTCCCGAAGTCGTCCAAAAAAAGTTTCACACCCGACGCGACAACAACATGCTTCGTATCTCGACATGCGCAGGACCCCATCTCTGCTGTATCATGCAAAACCGCGAATAAAGCAACAGTCTCCGCTCATCAACATCTCGAATGCGACTTTTTATCGCCAACACCCGGCATCAGTGGCCCCTGCCGGCCACGATGCGCCCCCGAACCCGCCCCTGTTCCCGGGCCTGACCCTCTCGCTCCCCTCGCACGCCTCACCAAACCAGCACTGGTCCATTCTAAGCCCCTCGTCCTCCGCGCGAACCACCTTTCTGCAAGTCCTGCGCGGCCAACACCTCTGCTTCCCCCCAACCGCGCGCTCGTACCCCTACCTCTCCACCTCCGAAATCGCCGCCAAAGACTCCCGACTCCGCTCTCCCGCAACCGCAATCCAGTATGTGGGTTTCGACGCCGAGAGAGGCGGCCTGGGCGGCTCGAGCACCCAGGGCGCGTACCTGAGCGCGCGGTACGAGAGCCGGAGGGAAGAGACGGATTTCTCGGTCATCGATTACCTGAGGGGAAATACGGAGCTTAATGCTGCAGAGGAGCTGGTGCAGCATCCGCCTGAGGACCTGCTGGAGCGGGTAGTGGGGGACCTCAGGCTGGATGCCCTGGTGGATATGTCTGTGAGCAATCTGAGCAATGGGCTGACGCGGCGGGCGAGGATTGCGAAGGCGTTGTTGGCGAGACCAGAGTTGTTGCTGCTGGATGGGCCGTTCATGGGGTTGGATCCGCCGACGCTGTCGCTACTGTCGGAGCTCCTGCATCGCCTGGCTGAGGCTAACGCACCACGGTTGGTGCTGTCACTGAGGCCGCAAGACATGATACCGGACTGGATTACGCACGTGTTGTATGTGGATGAGAACTACGAAGTTGGGTCTTCGGGGACGAGGGAAGATGTCTTCCGCTACATACGCAGGGAATGGGAAAAAGCCAGCGCGAGCACAGAGATGAGCAAAAAAATATCTTCCATATCAAGTATTATGGACGTGGGTCGCCATCTGCACGCTGCTGGCTTGCTCGACGACAAACCGCTATCTTATGTCGAAGACAAAGACGGGAACTCGGATGTTTCCAGGCTTACTCTAGAGGATGAGAAGGTCTACGAAGAGGCAAAATTCAAGCACAAGACTGGTGTACTGGATATAGAAGCACGACCTCTCACGCATCCAGTGTCAAACAGACTGTCGGTCTCACGAGATGGTTTCGGCGTGGTTGACGAAGCGTCGGTCCCGTTGAGTGATCCATTGGTTGAGATGGAAGGCGTGAACATCAAATACGGACAGCGGTCTGTCCTCGGTGACTGGCGGCAAGAAGTAGATGGCACGTCCCAGGAAGGCCTCTGGTGGAAAGTTCTCCAGGGACAGCGATGGGGAGTCTTTGGTCCGAACGGTAAGTCACGCCATATCAACCACGGCACGCAGGGTACTAAATACAGACAGGATCCGGCAAGACAACCTTGTTATCACTCATCACCTCAGACCATCCGCAAACCTACTCCGCCCCAGTCCGGCTCTTCCAGCGCTCACGACTACCTTCACCCGGCCAGCCCGGCATATCCCTCTTCGACATCCAATCCCGCATCGGCCACTCCTCGCCCGAAGTCCACGCCTTCTTCCCCAAGCGCCTCAGCGTGCGCCGCACCCTCGAGTCCGCCTGGGCCGACGCACCCCTCAGCAAGCCGATCCTGACCTACGAAGCCGACACCAAAGTCGACGCATGCCTGCAATGGTTCCGCGCGGAGCTGAACCCGGCGCTCGGCCTCAGCGAAGCGCAGCGCAAGGAGCAGTATGAGAACTACAGCTGGGCGACCCACGAGGGCAGGAAGGAGAATAAACGCCACAAAGAGCGCGCCGAGGCCCTGCTGCCGGAGGACGAGCAGCTCGACTGGGCGGACGAGATGGTGTTTGGCGAGCTCACGTTCTCGGCGCAGCGGGTCGCGTTGTTCCTGCGCGCGGTGGTCAAAAATCCGGAACTGGTGATCCTGGATGAGGCGTTTAGCGGTATGGATGATGCGGCGAGGGATCGGTGCATCACCTTTCTCACGCATGGCCAGACGAGGGTTATGCGCTATGTCTCGCGGAATGGCCGCCCGCTTAGTGCGGGCCCGAGGCTAATGGAGAGCGATGCGAGCTTCGCGGGACAGGTGAAGGTGCCCGGGTTGCTGCCGAGCCAGGCGCTGCTGGTTGTGAGCCATAACAAGGACGAGGTTCCGGGCTGCGTGAGGGAGTGGATGTGTTTGCCGGAGCCGGGCATGGGCGCGCCGAGGTTTGGAAGATTGGATGGGCCGCTCGAGTTGGATCCAAAGGGGGAGAGATGGGCGGAGATTTGGGGGACTGGCCCGGGACCGAACAAGAAACGGGGTGAGGACTCGCAATCCCCTACGATTTCGCAGGTTTCTGCACCCGAGAAAGAAACGGATGCGAAGCCGGGACTTCTTGCGACCGAACAGCGAGACAAAAGGTCAATCGAACCGGATCCGGCGGCTGAATCTCAGGCTCTGAAGAAGCGCGCCAAACGCCAGTCGAGACCAAGGTCATCAAGGGCGAAGTAGGCTCCCACGCCGCAGAGCGCTGAGGTTCTGCAGTGAGTAACTGCTGCGAACGCACCAATTTGTCCGATGCAAGTCGTCGACGCCTTTAGGCACTGCCAACCCTCGTAGATTCCGGGTACCTCAGTGGTAGGCAATCTGCCAGTCGTGAGATGCTCTTACGTTGACCCGGCAGCCAGCGGTGTCTTGCAATTACTGGTACGTAGCCTGTTAGACTCCTGTCATGAGAGTGTGGTCGATCAAGTGCAGGTCACCTCTGAAATCTTGAGGTGTCGACGGAGTACGCTGGATGGTGGTGGTCAAAAGGCCTTGCCTAAATCGCTTTATGGTATTTGGTAGCGTCATGAGCGTGCATACTTGCAGCATTGTGCAGATTATAGACTCCTAATCACATACGTTCAACCCAAGAAACACTGAGTACCAAGACAGACTCCCCTTGTCCAGTTCGATGGTGGCTGTGCAAACCGCAATGGTCTCCAGTTCGGCTGTTCATGCAGTGTGCACAGCCTCAACCTCGACAGCTCGTCACCCATCCGAGCCCCGTAAACTTCTCGAGCCATGGGAACATTTCAACTTCTTTCTCATGGCATACTAGCCATGGATGCTACGAGTATTGCTCGCATTAGGGGTTCCTACCAGTCGCCAGGAGCTGTTGTCGTCATATGAAGGTCTCCACCTGCGAGCTTCCCGCCGCGCGCAGTGAATATGTCTGGCTCACCCATCCCATTGCAAACACTGCAACCAGCCGCTGGAAGTAGGTCTTGTGTTTCTGTCCCTTGTGCACTTCAATACGATCTCATTCGAAGTCTTCAAAGTCATCTCGTTCGGGGCATGCTCCGTTCATCTAAATCGTCTGTATGCGGGGACTGCCTGAACCGCCCGCACATAGCCAGGCTGTGGAGTTTCAGAGCGGTTCGGGTCCAAATCTAGCCCGGGAACTCCAATCTTACTTAAACACCGATTAATCGAAGCAGCACGTCGTGTGCTCCTAGGCTAACGGGGCAATGTAGCTATCTCTACGGCCGCTCAACCGCCGTCCTCCACGGCACAACAATCATCAAATTCGGGTCCTCAATCATCACAGTTACCTGCGCTACAGCCGTCTATCTCTCGACCGCCGACTCCTACCCCTCAACCGCCTACGCCCACATCGCAAGCCGCAGATCCGGCCTGCCCAACCCCAAGCCTCTTTCAAACATGTTGGAAATTTTCGTCTAGGCTCGGCTGGATCGCAGTATGCATCACCTTGGTCACGACGGTCTTGGCCTTATCTCCTGCGTTCAAAGGCCAGACGATCTCTCAACAAGCTCTTGATTTGGCGAAATGGGACGCACTGAGAGAATTCATTGAGCACTGCGAAGAACTCATTGTATGTCTCTCCACTTGCCTTGGCCAACTCGGTAAAGCCGATGCTTACATATATTGTACAGGCTGCAAGTGAAAACACGCCCCTGCCTGAATGCCAGCAGGCTGTACAGAACGGATTGCCTCCGCCGCCACATGTTAGGCTCAGCCTTGTTGGGCGTGCATTGAACCTCGCGTTCAATCGCCGCACAAATAGTCCTACACCTGGCCAAAAAAGCAGAACAAGTCTTGGGGCTGTTCGTATACTCCTATTGTTGCTCGCCGCATACGCGGTTTGCCTCGCTACTGTCCAGGCAACCCGGATATTGACACACTACCGTCGCTATGTATCCAGGACATTTGGACGCCTCTTCGCCTGGGCCAAGACCCTCATACTACCGTCCACTGAGCATGATGTTGACTTTGGTGTTGTCCGCGGCTTCTGGATCGGTATTTGGCCTATACTCTCTTTCGTACAGAAGCCGATTCGCAGAAAGAACTACAAAACATCACTGTCGGTGGATGTAGGGAATGCCCGCAGCCGTCCTTCCGTATTATCACTAGTACTCGGCGGAACCCCCCTCATTTACGGCCCGCGTTTGAAGAGTGGATTACGCACACGCTTTCATGCCATCCTGGTTCACTACCACCCATAAAGATCGGCGCTTGCGAACATTGTGATTGTTTCTGTAGAAGTGCAGGGCAGTACGCGCGCGAACGTCGACACGACTATCAAGCATGGAGCCACAGGTTGGATCGTCGGGTACTTATTTATGCTGAAGCCCAATCCATGACGAATGAGGACATCGCTACCATTGACATCATTAATTTCCTTTGGTTAAGGGTCAGGGTTGTCGAACTTAAGGCAACAGCTTCAACAAACCCCAGTTTAGTCGCCGATGCCTATACGACTAGTGCTAGATTTGACAACGATGGCTGGCAGCTTCACGATCCCGTCAGGAACAGAAAGCCTTCCAAATTGTTCCATGAACACCGCACGGACAGAACACTGGAAGCGAGCGAAAAATTGAGCAACAAAGAACGGAGCGAGGAAGAGATCAGGGAAAAGTGGAGCAAGGAAAGATGGAAATCGCTGGGTGGCGAACCAACTCCTGGGAGCGAGGAATGGAAATCGCTGCGTGACGAGCCGGCCCCTTGGATCGAACCATAAGAGCTAGACGAAGATTATTCAGAAGATGATTCAACGCGGTTTCCATGTATCGCATTGAGGTTCCATGGTACCCTCGTCAGTACATAAGTGCGTCTCGGTGGTGGTCGACCCCAGAGCTCAGGACCTGGGGAAATCCCACTGCCTTTGCCAACAACAACGCCATGCCAGTCATCAATCATCAAGCGTCGCACACTTCCAAAGTCGCGAAGCCGTTAGGACCCGCAAATTGGTCTCAACCTCTCGCCCTCACCGCCCCCAACAACGCCCCATAACTCCACGTCAGATCTCGCGCGCCGCGCTCAAACCCAGTGAGCCGGTCGAATTGCTCGCTTAGCGCGCCTACGCCGTCTGCGTGCCTCTTCACTACTGCGAGGAAGGAGTCGCCGACTTGTTCTAGCCGGGTCACCGCTGCCGCATAGACTCTAGTGCGGTCGGAAGAAGTGTACATCCTACCCGGCTCCAACTTCACCGCGGCCACAGAAGCTGAAGTAGATCCCGCAAGCAATGCCCTCCAAAACGGCGCACCACGCTCCGTAACCGTAAGCCTCTCCGTCTCAACAAGATGCGTTCGCGCGCGATACAACACCTCCGCCGCCGCCGTCGTGCACAAGAACCACGGGTTCCCACCATTCGGCACCGTGGTGCCGTACCCATCATAAACGTCTTCCGGGTAGCGGCCCAGCCCCGTACCGCGGAGTGCGTCCGCGCCGCCTTCCTCCGGCGTAGGCACCGCGTTGATAGGGAAGCGCGCGTGCTGGTCCCGCACGAGCGCGAGCAACGATACGAGAATCTCGTCCGAGTGCGGCGGATAGAGGTTCGATGTGTTGGTGATAGGGGAGGTGCCGTGGAGGGAGCCGAGGAGGAGACCGCAGTCTAGCCCGCTGCGGGAGCTGTGCAGCGTTTCGATGAGGTGGCCCTTGTGCGCATCCCAAAACTCCGGCATCATGGCCTCAAGCTGGGTGGCTTGTTCGGCGTACCATTTCTCTGCGCCGTGGTCGTCGAACGCGGCGGCTAGTTCAGCGCCTTCGCGCAAGGCGCGCAGCTGCACCATCGCAGTGAAGAAGTGGAGGCCCTGAATCTCTTCCCAGAGGTCAAATCCCGGTTCCCGCCAAAAGTGGCTCACGTACTCCAGATCCGCCTTGATAATGCTGGTCGGCGGCATCGCGGCGTCATAGAACGGGCGGAACCAGGCTCCGCTGCCGCCCTTACTGGTCCACAGCGCCGGGTTGCTGGCGTTGTAGGCGCGTATATACGCCATCAGTGTTAGGGCTCGAAGCGCCGGCCCATCACGTTGTGGTCTTCCCCAAGAGCCTGTGAAGGCGGAGCCGTCGGCGTGGAATTTGGGCTCGCCTAGCCCCGAGAGGTCGGCGAAGGTGCCGGAGGGGTTGGGGATTCGTTGGAGGTGGTATTGGAGGGAGGCGTAGGCGTCGAGGATAGGTACTAGTTTGGAGGACAGTTCGGATGCCGGGTCGTCGGCGTAGGTGTCTACTAGGGTCTGGATCGTTATGGCGGCGTCGCGGATCCCTAGGGTGTCTGTTTAGCTGGAGTGGGGAGGTGGTGGGAGTGCGGCTCTTACATTGGAAGTAATAGTCTGGATGTTCCCGCGAAGGACTCGCTATCACTGAGCCTGGAGCTGCATTCGCGGTGTTGCGGCCTCCTGGGGCAATGTTCGCTAGCAGGCGGTCGAATGCTATCCCCTTCTCTTTGTCTAGCCAAACGTCAAGCGGGATTTTTGTAGGAGCCTCACATGTCTCTTGAGGGGGGAGCGTATGAAGGGGCTGCTGGTCAAGGCTCGAACGATGTGACCATGGAGGGATATGGAAAGCAAAGGCGTAGAGCAGGAAGTAGGCACAAAAAAGGAAGGGCACTAGTAATAGCATTCTGGATAGCGGTGAAAGCGGTCGTAGGTCACGTTTTTGCTCTCGTGGCATGAAAACAAGTCTTGTAGCAATAATTCAAGCAGTTAAAGAGTAAAGGAGCGGGCAGAAGTCAAGACGAAGCTACGAAAGTAAAGGTATGTACAAGAAAGACGGGCATCACGAGCAAGGACGGGTGAGAGAGGAACAGAAAGGGCACATGGCCAACATCACGCTCTTTGTGTAGGCAGGCCAGCTCTTGGTGGCCGAGGCAGGCGCGTTCGCTGACGCTGGTGCTGACGATGAGGCGCGCCATTCTTCAGTCGTTCGCTGATACCTCCCAGCCGCTGGTCCAGTAGCATCGAGAGCTTCACGATGCGGCAGGCGGCAGGTGGACAATCGTGCCGTAAATTTTTCGTAGCCGCATCCGGCAGATGTCCATGTGATCGTGCTGCGGAAGCTGGAAAAAAGCGGTTGACAGCTGCAGCTGCGGCGTGATGGACGCCCAGACATCTCAGCCCGGCGTGTGACGCGCCACGTTCCTGCAGTGCGGATCTGGGGCCGGCTTCCGGAGGATCTCCCGGATCTCGTCCTGCTCGGCTGGGTATGCATCTTCAACGTTATAGATATATTAAACCCTTGAGCCATAAGCGTCGCGAGCACGACGACGTTGAGCCTGATACAGATAGATGTATATAAACAGTGCTATCGAGTGCTTATGGATTTCGTACAGTTTCTGCGTGGCCACGATCTTCCCAGGTGTGCCTTGTGGGTACCGGTACAGTTGATCTGGGCTACTCGCTGCCCGAGAATTATTTTCCGAACAGAAACGCCTTTTGCTCTCGCTTTTGCATGTGTTAGGCATGAAGCTATTCCGTTCATCTTCTTTATCCCGTGTCTTCGCACGTTTTGCGCGTGCAAAACACATTACAGAGAAAAAGAGCCAAAGGTCCTTCTCATCACGCCTTCAGCTCTGCGAGCTCATGGATAGCGGACAAGCCTTAAGGGAGCGCTTCGTTAACGTTCCCGGCAATGCTGAGTGGGCAGAGCTTTACCGCGAGGGAGGCTATCACCCAGTTCACCTTGGCGAAGTATTCGCACATCGATATCGTATCCTTCGCAAGTTGGGCAATGGACGATTTGCCACCATCTGGTTAGCGAAGGATGATAAGTAAGTACGGTCCGGATGAGTGCAATAATTTTAGTCGGAAGCTAATTGCAGGAGGCTCCATCGTTATGTAGCGTTCAAGATCACGGTTGCGAGCGGCGCTCGAGTCCGTCACGAAATCAATGCCCTGAGGAAATCGAATGAAGCAGCAAACGTCGAACGCGATAATAATAAACCTGTGCTCCAACTGCTCGACGAGTTTTCGATTACTGGGTCCAATGGGATGCATAGCATCCTTGTCCTTGAGCCTATGGGACGGAGTCTCCAAGAGCATCTGCTTATCCTTCAGCGGCTAGACCCGAAAGAACTTGACTATCGTCGTGTGGGCTTCATGCGAGAAATCTCCAAGCAGCTGGTGAATGCACTGCATCATTTACATTCCAACGGAATAGTCCACCGAGGTCCGCCTGTACCCCGTCTCAACGTATTGCACACCATTTAACAACCACAATATAGATGTTCAGCCGGGCAACATACTATTTGCCCTGCAATACTCACTAGACCAGTTGGACGAAGAAGCAGTCCAAGCTGACACGAGGATCAGAAAGTCCCAGAATATCTTCTCACTCCATAGGATCGATGGCAACCCTCTGGATGAAACCTCCCCTACGTATGTAGTGGAGCCCAGACCTTTAGACGACGGAGTACAAAACACGTCACCACCACCGGAATTTCGTGTCGTCTATTCAGACTTTGGTGCCGGTACGTCTTTGATCACCAATCGTCAGTTCTTGCCCGAGACTAACCCCATCAGCTTCCACATTCGAAGACGTAAATGACGGAGGCCATGCATATCCCACAAGATTGCGACCCCCGGAATTGCTTTTGCACCAGCCATTATCAGAAAAGGCGGACGTTTGGAGCCTTGGATGTGTGGTATGCGATTCCCTCGTAATTCAAAACCAATGTAGTAACTGTCTAACGTTTGAACTTTGACCTTAAAAGATTTTTCAAACAGTAACGCTCACCAATCTCTTCTTCGTCAACTCTTTCGCCACACCAGCAGAACAAGACAACGAGCATCTCCAGAGTGTGACTGAGGTCCTAGGGCCACTACCTCCGGATATGCTCAAGCTTTGGAAGGACCGTGACTCCTTCGTCAACTCGGATGGTGATTTGCTTGACGAAGTCATTAAAGGAGGGATCAGCGAACCGCTGAATGAACTTATTGCGTTGCAAAAGCCTGCGGGTATGCCATCCGTGGAAGTTCCAATTTTCGAGGACTTTGTACGGTCGATGCTCCGGTACAAACCCGAAGAGCGAGCGTCTACGGCGGATTTACTTCGGCATCCTTGGATAACTCGGAGCTTCCATGAATAGCGATTGTTATGTGATTAGTGGCTCTAGAGTGTGGTTGCGTTACCTAGTTCCAATACACTCTTCGTATACTCGCTGAACGTAATGAGCTTCGCAGATGGTAAAGCTTAGCAATTTCGATTCATGGTTGCGTCGTTATAATCTAAGTGTACTCAGACCTTGTTAACGCACGCAACCTCTATTCGCCCGTCTAGCCGATTGATTACATTATGTCTATCCGTTCCAAACCATTGCACGGCAGATAATGAGCTTTCACTCCCCTTAACAACATCTTCCTCTTCAGATGATTACAAGGACGCCCTCTCGACCCGACGCTCGGTCTCGTCAAAGTTAAGCTTCTTGCCTGTTCGCACGGCTTCTTGAAGGTAAGCGCCGATCTGTACCGCTCGCAAGGCACCGGTGATCTTGAGCGGGAGTTTTGTTCCATCGAGGCATGCGGCTGTGAACTCGTTGGCTTCCTGAAGATTCGACAACGGTCAGCAAATCGCCTCATTCTGAGTCACAAGTTCTCTTGGCCTGACTCACCAATACGAAAGCATGCTCAAACCGGCCATAGTAGTGCGGCGGTATCTCCCTGTTGATCCCAGTCGTTGTGTATGTATTAACTAGATTCGCCTGAGGATTCCCGTTGACCACCAGCTTCCCCTCGGTTCCAATAACCTCGGTGGTGTCTTCCTGCCCATGTGCCATCATGCGCGAGCAGAAGAAGTAGGCGACCTTCCCGTTGTGGAATTCGACGATACCAACCGCATTGTCGTAGTCTTGGTGCTGCTTGAGGCCTGGGGCGACTGCGACGACGCCGGCCGCGGAGACGGACTTGACGAGTGTGTCTTCACCGAAGAACCAGAGAGCGAGGTCGATGTCATGGACTTTGGGCGCGGGCTTTAGTTGCGGAACCACCAAGTTCTTGTGAACTAGGTTCACTTACCGCTCATATCCACAAAGCAGCCACCAGAAAAGGCTGCATAATCCACGAAGAACCCGCTCGGATCGTGCTTGTCGCATGTCTGGGAGCGGATGATCGTTGGTCTACCGATCACGCCCGCGTCCATCTTCTCGTACGCATCACGGTACGAAGCGTCGAAGCGGCGTGAAAAGCCACACATGACTTTGAGATGTGGTTTCGCCTGGGCCGCTTCCACTACCTTCCTCGTCTGCCGAACCACAAACAATTAGTACATGGTCCCACAGGCTACCATCTCATCGCCGAGAGGAGCTGAATCGAGAGGGACACTTACGATCTCTACACTTGTGCTCAATGGTTTCTCACACAACACATGCAGGTTCTTTGCCATAGCCTTCAGCGCCTCCTCAGCATGTACCGTCGTCACAGTCGCGATCACAACCGCCTGCAGCCCTTCCGTCTGCTCGAGCATCGCATCGTAGTCGCTGAACAGCTTCACGCCGTGCGGCTCGAGGTTGAGGCGCGCCCATCGCAACTCGGTCTCGTCTGGAGTGAAAGCTGCGACGAGCTCGGCACGCGGTGTACGGTTGAGGAAGTGCATGGCGTGACGCTTGCCCCTAAACCAAACGTAAGCAGCAGAATAACCATATACTGAGAGGTAGTAACTTAGGGCTACTTTACATTCGGCCGAGGCCTGCGGCTGCGATTTTGAGCTTCTGAACGGCCATCTTGGAGAGAGTGGTGACAGTGAAAACAGGGCGTTAACGAGCGTAGATTTGTCAAATTGCTTTGTCTGAATCGGGACTGCTGAAGAAGTGAGGGCGGAAAGGGAGAGCAAACCACTGCATGCTCTCATCTACTGACTGTGATGGTTGCTCTTTAAAGCAACCAACCATTCAATCGCCACAGCACCATGAGCCGTGATATTTTCCCTTTTCGGCTGTCTGGTGTTCTCAATTACATGCTTGAGGACGGATATCGCTGGAGCGGTGTGAACTTCGATCCGTCACCAACGCTTTCATGGTTCTGTGCAATTACGGTCCGCTATACGGAGACCCTTAGCTGCAGTCTCCTATACTAGTAACGCAGCGTCCGGCACGGCTTTACGCGTTCTGTTTTGATGTGCTGCCTGAAAGGTCTTCGTTGTGAGGGTGGTGTTGCGGGGTAAGTCTCCATTCGGGGAAAGATTCCACTTGCGGAGATAAGCGGTGCTCCACCCCAAAAGACCTGCAAAATGCAGGCGTCAATACAAAAACTCTTCATTAACACCCTGCAGATTCATGCGGGCACAGGTATGCGCTAAAGTGCGATACGGGACTCTGTGTAGTTGTAAGGAAATCCGGCTTGGAATGCACCCGAACTTGGTATTATATTATATCGTGGAAGCAGGCTGGTTGAATACCGGCGTGGGAAGCAACGCGATATGCATCTGCTCCTATACACCTCTCAATGGTGACTGCTCTAAAGTGCTTCTCCTTTCTCGGACCACAAGACTGTGCAGGCATTGGTCCGAGAGACCGCTGACAGAACCAAGCTTCGTCTTAACCATGCTAATAGGCCACGCCAGGCGGGGAAAAGGCCTTTACAGTGAACGTATTAATTCCGAGCTAAATCAATAACAAAGCTCCCTCCATAATCAACTCGATGCTCCTAAAAAGGTCTAAAGAGCCAACTAAAGGCTTGCCCTTCTATTGGTCACTTGTTAGATTTGCTACAGCGGCTGATTGTGGATTATTTTGTGAGAATAACGGTGGATGAGCGCTAGACTAGTGTCGCGATGAGGTTCACTTCCCGCCCAACGTATAGACGTACATCCATAAACCCCTCAAACGATTACAACTGCCATTGCTCCCGCAAATTGCTAATGATATGCGAAGTGTGCCATCCCATCTGCCTCTGCATTCGAGCAAGAAAATCCACCGCACCTTCTCGTTCTATCGGATCCGTGAGATAGGACCCGCCTGCTCGCATTGATCAGCGGATTTCGTGTGCACTGCTGCCAGATAGCTTACAGGTTGAGAGGATATGAGATGCGTGAAACATTGCAGAGCCTACGTCGTCATTGCAGACAGCCAAGCTAATTACCATACGTAGGTTCTTTAAGACTATCGCCTACATAAGAAGTTAGCCTAGAGAGTGGACACGCCCGGGATGAGGGCAGTAACATGACTACAGACCTCTGAGAGCTTTCGGAGTCTGTGACCTTCAAACCCAAGTTTTGATAGTCTTGGGTCATAGATACTCAGTATGATATTAGCCAAGCAATAATACTGCATTCCCACAACTGGTCTAGTCAGCGTTGCGTGCATAGTTCTCTAGGCGCGTGCCTACCTTGCGCATTCTGCGACATCATCACTTCCGGCCACGGTTGATCGCCCGGACTTCCCAGCTCTTCAATCCATAGCGGCGCAAAATCCCACGGTTTCGACGAATTCCATCTCGCCACGTCCGCCTGCAACTCCATCCATTGCTGTAAGGATGGCCCATTCTCAGGCTGGAAGACATGGGTCAGGATACTAGCGAATGTGAAGATTATACGGTTGGCCCAAGCTTCGTCATTCGACTCGTGAAACGCACTCGAGTGTTCGTAGTTGCTGAGATTGATCATAAGCGGTTGTTGCGATGTGAGAGATATGTAGATGTGTTGGCGTAATGAGACCCAGCTGGCAGACTCGCGCAGTCCACCGTCGGAAGCGAAGGACGCAATCAAGTTTAGCAGTCGGGTGCCGCCAAAAAGGTGACACTTTTCATCAACATCTGATAGGGTTATTAAGAGGTAAGGGAAAGCATCGGAAGGCACGTACCCGCCATCTCCTCATGCATCCTCAAAAGCACAACGCCCGCTAACAAGTTCTCGTCCAAATGCCCTAGCGGGTCATCAAGCGTTGGAATAAGAATGTCCAGGCATTTGCCGAGGTATTTTGGGGACTCAGTATCAGTCGAGCCTGAAAGGAGATTGAGATGCCGAGAAGCAGAAGCGAAAATGGCGTTGGTAATGATGGGGCAGTGGGCAGCTCTTCGCGGTAGCTCTGTCCCAAAGTGACGCTGTCGGTCGCAGACGTCTACCTGCAGGTAGAGGTGTCAGCTGAAGCTACTTAGAGGACTGACGCTCGCTGTACCCAGGGTGAGAGATGCCGGATGTAGTGATGGAACAAGCGCGCTTCTTGGGCGTTTTGAAATGGCCAGGCTGGTACGGTTTGAAAGAACGGTGAGACCGGCTCCCAAAAAGTCGGTGGTGAGGTGTCTGGATTATGTGCATGTACGACATCATCTATAGGTGATAGGTAACATGTGGTACCGGAAGTCGTCCTGTTATGTTGTTCAAGCGGACTTTGAGGTATAAGAGGAACTGTTGGAGAGTGATCGCTATATTGGCTTTCCACCAAAGGACCATGAACTAGATCAGGCGTGAAGGTTGCGGAATAAGAAAATGGTACGACGGCCAGCTCCTGAGACCCATGTTGACTCGGCTCTGAGGCGTTGTCGGAAACCGGAGCGTCACTATCAATCTCCTTCTCCCAGCTGTTTTCATCAACAGCCTCAGGGTCAGAGTCAGGAGGTACGAAGCTGACTGGAATACTATGCTTCACCCACACTTGGGACGCGTCATGGCTTATGTTCTGCTTTGCAGTCCGTCCATCATCCAGCTTTGATCTGACGGAAGTGACTGGCCGAAAGCGAACAGAGGACGGACGGATGCACTCGCGGCCGGTCTCTGAGCATCTGCGACATTTTTCTGATTTAGGAACCTTGATGCCTGCAGCACATAGCTCAGCATCAGTCTCCGAGTTGTGAAGTGGGTTCTGGACTTACATCTTAGGTGGCGCTCCCTACAAAATTTGCTGCAAGGATCACAGCGTCAGGAACTATTACGGACGTGAACGAAACGCCTGCAGACTGACCAGCCCGTTCCAGGCCGCATGTCGCGGAGTCTGAGAATCAGGTAGATAGAGATCTAACCAGGACGTCCTGAGTGAACATTTCAGCTGCAACAAAAAGGAAGTGCATACCGCGCGCGGACAATGTTGTCCTCTTTAAGACGGGCAGGGCGAGCTGTTCCCCGCACCTAGGCACGCCTAGTAGCTCCCTAGACTTCTCCACCCGCGCCCGACCAGAGGTCCGTGGGAGCCACGTCGAGCAGGAAAAAAGCCTCCCCGCGAGACTAGAAACTTAGGGCTGCATCAATAACAAAGCTCCCTTTACAATTGTTGCGATGCTCTAAAATATAGTCTAAATAGCTGACTTAAGATTTAACGTCCTATCGTTCACTCTTAGAAGCTTACTTCGGCGGCTGAACGTGAATTCCTTTGTGAAGTTGACGGCGAACGAATGCTGGGCCGCTGTCGCGGTGAGGCCTTTTTCCCGCCCGACGTGGGAGCATCCTCCTTCCGAACGTTCCGCCCCGGACACCCTCCGGGCACAAGTACTTGGATTACCCAACAGATAGGGCATCCGTTCTACTCGTACATGGCCGCGCTGGCGGGCCTCCTCCGCCCGAGGCAAAGTAGTACTATGGCACGCGCAAGGTCAGATGGCCGACGGCTGATGTGCGTGGTGCTGGAGGCAGACAGGGACCGCGGAAGCTCGGCAGGCGTGTCGCTTGAACCTGAACGCCGCCGAGTGCTTCGACTTCGGGACCGGTGGACGGAATTTGAGGCGGAGAAACGGTTTGGAAATTGACCCTTGCATGGGCCCTGGCGCAGATCCTCCGGCCTTGCGTGGAATATTTCCTCTCTGGATTTTCACCGTTTCCAGCGCAGCCTCGCCTTCCACTCCCGCACAAGGTAACTTGGTGGACTGCGCAGTTCTGGGTAGCAAACCAACGAACTCCCAAAGAGCCAGAACAGGTAACATAGGAATGGAGAACTTTCCAATTCCCAAAGAGAATCCTCTGGGGAGCAATGCCGCACACGTGCCGCATGGTACCAATCCACCCCAGAACTCGCACGCTATATCTGGGGGACCTGATCCTGTCTTAGCCACCGAGCCTTACTTTTGGTAACAGTTACTCCTCAGGACTTTGACTTCATTTTCAATATGGCTCAGCATCTGTATGCCGCGGCCCTGGCTGTCGGCCTGCTCGTCTTCTTTGTTGTCTATCCAGTTGTGCAGCACTTTAGAGATCCAAAGGGTATGTAAACTCTAGTCTATCAACGAGCATCCTCTGATGTCAGACAACAGGCCTCCGAAGATTTCAGAATATGAGCACCTTTTCCGGCATATCATCTCTTCCATTCATGATTCTTGCGCACAAGGGTTTCCGGTCAAAGCGCCTCGAAGAGCTCCACCGCAAGCATCCCGTGATCCGTACTGGCCCGAACAGCTTGTCCTACGGCGATGTGCGTGCGATTAAAGATATCTACGGCCACAACACCAAGTGCACCAAGGACGATGCGTACGTCTTGACGGCAGGGACACACTTCCACCTCGCAGATGTAATCGACAAGGGTGACCACGCGCGCAAGCGCAAAGTACTATCCTCGGCGTACGCAATCAAGAACCTCGAGAACTGGGAGCATAAGGTCGCGGACAAGACGGAGCGCCTAATTGCACAGTTCGACCGGCGGTGCACAGCTCCGCTTCCCGCAGGCCAGAACCCCGCGCCTGAGGACCTTACCGTCGACTATCGCGCGTGGACGAACTTCTTTACACTAGATGCCATCGCGGATATCGGGTTGTCAGAACGCCTTGGCTTCCTCGACCAAGGCACCGACCGCTGCTTTGCCCAGCGCGGCGATGGCTCTACCTACGAGGTCAACTTCCGCGACTGCCTCTACGAGACGGCCCACAAGCAGTCGCTTCTCCTCTGGAACTACAATTGGTACCCTGTCATAAATAAACTCACGAACATCATCCCGTTCTACGGGCGTATGGGCCGGCTCGCCCGCGACTGGGACGGCGTCGTGCTGCGCCGCGCTGCCGAGCGCCTGAAACGGTATCAGGCTGGCGAGAAGCTAGACGACTTCTTCCAGGCGCTAATGGAGGACAAGAACGAACACCCGAACAACCTTGAGTGGGGCGAAATCGTGGCGGAGGTCGGCATCATGTTGAACGCGGGGAGTGCAACGACAGCCATCGCGATGGCCAATGTCATGCATCAGCTCCTGAAGCCGGAGCATAGACGCATCCTACAACAGCTTCGCGAGGAGATCGACGCCGTCCTCGACGATGACGACATCATCGCGCCGTATGATAAGGTCAAACATCTTCCTTACCTCCGGGCTTGCCTCGACGAATCCCTCCGCCTCTTCCCACCCACGCCGCAGGGTCTCGGCCGTAAGATTCCCTCAGAGGGGGTGTACATTCTCGGTGATTACATACCTGGTGGGACCTCTGTCAGCGTATCTGCATACGTCGCGCATCGACAAGAATCTGCCTTTCCGCAGGGTGATAAGTTTATCCCCGAACGGTGGCTCGGCGAGCAGGGTAAGGCGCTTCAGCCATATTTCCTCGCATTTTCAGCGGGTGCGAGGGGCTGTATTGGCCGGAATATCTCTTATCTCGAGCAGATGGTTCTGCTGACTAGTTTGTTGCACCGATATGAATTTGCGCTGCCGAGGGGTGACTGGGAGATAGGGAGGTTGGAGACGATGAACTTGTTGTTGGGTGAGATGCCGGTAAAGGTATGGAGGAGACAGCCGGTGAAGGTAAACTGTTAGTGTAGCCGTACGGGGTTTTTCTTAGTATGCACGTCGCGTACGCGCGATCGCAAGGCGTTAAGGCAAGAGGATCATGATATTACGGCGCCGGGCATAGAAGAAGAGCAAGAGGTGCCGAATACGGCTACTGAAAGTTTACCCCAAATATGTGTACTGCGCCTATGGTTTAAGAGTGATGGCGAGTACTAGATGGCGCCCTACTAGGTCTGTGATGATAATATCAGGGTTGACGACGACTGGCATGTTCTCGGCTTGATAGATTGGAGCTGCATCTGCAGCACCAGGAAAAATCGTTGAAGATTTTCCGTTGACTTGTTCAATCACGCCACCTCCTATGGATGTGCCATGCAGTTATATTATAGCTGGAGATTCCGAACGTCCGAAACTTCAGGAATTTGAAAACCAAAAGAACATCATGCACCTGTAAAAGAGGAGAGCAAAGACGAGGGCTGGGTGAGGGCCGTCGTCATCAAAGGCGCTAGAATAAAAAACACGGCACCTACCTATCGGTGCGAGCTTGAACGGAAGAAAGCACGGTGGGATGGTACACGAAGCTGACAAACAGGTTCACTCAGCAAGAAATAATGTAAGGGGAGATGGAAGAGGCTTCCTCACAGGCTAAGTATGGATGTATGTCCCATGGTTACAACAAGCTATCGAACGGATACCAAGATCCACAAAATCGGCGACCTGCTCCATATCCAATTGGACGAATTTTACCGAGTGAGTTAAAGTTGCTTTCACTTCTGGTCTCTTTACTCAGATTCCACTAACGCGAAATGGCTTGCCTCGTGGGATTATCCAACATTTCTATTGCCTCCCGCATGGTCCACTCATCCGTAAGCTTGTCTCCAGTCACTGTTGAGTAGCGAGCTCGCTTACTCCTCGCGAAGTACATCACCGGTTCTAGCGCGAGAAGGATGATGATGGTAATAGTAAAGGCCCACGCCATACCGGCAAGAGCATCCGCTACTTGCCACCTGTTGTAGTCTCAGCTTACGAAACGGATGCAGGACATATCGTGTACTGAATACTTACCCCAGTTGTGCCCAGTGCCCATCCCATCCGCCACCCATGATGTTGGTGAAGCCATCAAGACGGGCAACATCCTTCCTCGCGAAGAAGCCTGTCAAAACCATGCCTACCAAACCTCCAAAACCATGGAAAACGATAATCCCATGGGTATCATCGAGGTCTTCACTGATAGGCGTAAGCTGCGAACAGAACAAGGCGCCGATCACACCAAAGAGCGGAGAGATCTGATGCGGAACGTAGCCAGCAGCCGGTGTTATACAAACAAGACCGACGACTGCGCCGTTGCAGAACTCAAGAATTGACCACCTGAAAACATGGGCATTCCTTGCATGTTCGCCGTCGGAGCTGGGCCAGATATAACCGGAAATTGAACGTAGGAGGCATAGAGTCACACCACCGGCGCAGGCGGAGAGATGGGTTGAAATACACGCGGAGACTGCTCTAAGGTTCGCCCCCAGGGCGGATCCGCCGTTGAAGCCAAGCCATCCGATCCAGAGCAGGAGAGTACCTAGCAAAACGTTTTCTACGTTATGTGAGTCGCCTTTCCCCGGCTGATCCACTTCGCCGGGACTTGCGGGGATACCATTCGGATTGTTCGTTGGCGGCCTTGCTGGATGGCTGGAACTACCCAGGATGCTCTCTAGAAACTCCTCTACCTTAGGGAGGAAACGGTGATACATCGAATGTGCAAACACAGTCGCTCCTGCGCAGATATGCACTGCTGTACCACCAGCGAAGTCGAGAACGCCTCTCTTGTTGGACCATCCTTCAGGGTTCCACGTCCATCGTGCAATCGGGTTATAGACAAAGGTGGTCCAAAGGATGATAAAGACCAGGAATTGGCCGGGACGATCTTTCCAGATTGCCGCACCACTAACCAAGGATGCTCTGCCGGCACGTAGAGCGGTCAGCATCCTATAAACGCAAGCTTCTGGCTGAGAAATAGACACTTACGTAAAGGATGCGAACATGCCCTGGAAGAGGGCATACACTAGTTCTGGAATCACTGGACCCTCGGTCTGCAGGTCTTTACTTGAAGGTACTGGACGTAGGAGTACATTGTGGAGAGCGATGCCGTCTGTGCCGCCCCAGAAAGTGTGCGAGGAAGGCCCGTTTGAGAAAACAATCGAGTAGCCCCAGAGATACCACTAGCGACAGTAGTCAGTATAGGTTACGAAGCTCGATTCTTTCGTCAATAACTAACCTCAAGTCCGACTACGGCGGTAGTCATGATAGGGAGCCACGCCTGCGAGAGCGCAAACTGGCTATTGGAGACGCCCGAATAAAAGAGAGCAATTCCCGGTACCATCAGCAGAACAAGGGCACTGGAAATCATCATCCAGGCGAGATCAGCGCCCTGATCGGGTGTGAGTGTTCGATATTGGAAAGAACGCGATAGCGTATAGTCGTCATACCTGGAAGTATCTGTGTGGAGCTATCGCAATCTGGGAAATCGTAGCGTTCTCTCCAATGGAATACAGCGGCGTAGTATCGAAGAAGTAAATCGGCTCGTCCATCTCCAATAGTGTAGTTGGGTTGCTACGAGAGGTGTTCTGAAGCTCGCAAGTGCGAATAGTGTTCTAAGCGAGGGAAACAGCAAGACGCGGACGGTCCAAGTTTTATGAAGACAGAATATGGGGCGTCTTCAGCTCTAATGAATTACGCGGCTCTAAAACCGTGTAAAGGTCCACAGCCCCGTGGCAGAGTCCAGCTGCATCGAGATAGTATGTCAACTCGGCGTTGTTGGTTTGCTTCGAATGTTCGAGGGTTTTCTCGAGCAGGATGCAGGAACGCTCAAACGTGGAGTTATTCCCAAAGGCAATAGGTATTCCACCAGACCCTTGCTATGGAGGATGGCCTCTGCTATCAAACACAAGCGCAACAACCAAGCAGCTGAACCTGAAACTCTCACCCAGCAGAGTTTGGGTTTCACTGAGCGTAACCTCCTCTTACAAATCGAACAGCATCGCGTATCAAGCCTTAGTTGCTTCCTTGAGCGGAATGGCGCCGCTGGACGGCGATTTCGAAATCTCCGGACAGGGCGGCTGGCTCTGCATGACGAAAGCGCGAACCTAGACACGATCAACGGTACTGCGGAGAACGTATTGCTGCCTGAAATTGCTCCTGCTGGGCCTCTATCCAGAGAATTACCGGGGTAGCCAGACTTTCAAGTAGTGCAAAAGCTGGGCAATAGTAAGGTAGCTACTCCACAGTCTAGCTTGCGAGGGATTGTCGGGAAGACAGCTACGTTGCTCTGAAGATCCTTGTGGCAGACGCATTGCAAACAAGCCATGAAAGCAACATCTTGCGTGCACTCGGTTCCGGCAAGGCCGACCATCCAGGCGAATCTTCGTCTCTTCGCTGCTGGAGGACTTCTTCACAGACGGACCGAGTGACCGTCATCTTTGCATCGTGACCGAGGCTGCTGGATGCAGTGTTGCACGGTCGAAAGAAGCCAGCATTACTTGGAAGTTCCCCCTACACGTCGCCAGGTCCATTTTAGCCCAGTCTACTTGGGCTAGATACGTCCACTCATGTGGTGTAGTCCACACCGGTGAGTTCAGCAGATCAAACACAGGTTTCGAGCTATGAGGCTAACTCGTTGATCAAAAGACTTGCATTCGAACAACGTTCTCTTGCAGCTTCCGAGCCTTGGACATCGGACCCTCGGAGAGCTTTACGGACAGCTTGGAGAGCCTCCGAAGCTACCAGTAGAACGTCTCGACAAGGCTCCGAATGGTCCGGTGGTCTCATTGTATTGCGTCGCGCCCGCTATGATATTTGTATCAAGCGAGGATGTTGCGGACCCAAAAATCACAATCTCCGACTTCGGCGAAGCCTTCTTCGATAATGAGGAAGAACACACAACTCTACGAGCTCCAATCACTCTACTACCCCCGGAATTCTTTTTTCACGAGCGCCTCGGTCCTGCGGTTGACGTGTGGACGCTCGGTTGCACTCTCTGCGAGATTCTTGGCGAGCGGCATTTATTCGAAGGGTTCATGCCGGACCAGGACGACATCATTGCTAAAATACTCAGCACTCTGGGCGACTTACCAAAGCGCTGGTGGGAGCAACGGGAACACAGAAACGACTTCTTGAAGATGATTCATGGAAAGAAGACACGCAACGAAATTATTCGCCATACTCGAGACCCTTGCGTGAGCGCATGTGTATCATGGGGCGAGGAGAGGATCCTGAACCTTGCGAGCTCAGCGCGGAAGAGACGGCAAGCCTTGAACAGCTGTTGAGGGCAATGTTGACCTACGATCCTTCCGAGCATATCACCTCAAGTGAAGCAGTTACTTCAGAATGGATAGAGAGGTGGGCTCGGCTCGAGGTTCAGAAGACACACGATATCAAGTTGTAATTATAGCCGGTTACGAAGGAATCGCTCGATATAACCAACGCGTGAGACCAGGGAGAGACATTGCACAGACCGCCGACTCCTTCAGTCGCCAGTACAAACCATTGGAACGCGTCGACTTCGAAGCCGTTTGGACAGTACTTCATGCTCCAAGATACTACTTTGTGTACGGTACCACCGTACAGCTGCGGCTGGAGGCAGCCGAGAACGTGAGCACGTCTACAGGATCAGTTGAAATCCTTCCGCAGCTCGGCTTCTTAGCAGCAAGAGAGGAAGTCACTTTGAGCGAAATAGCAACGAGGAGCTATGGCAGGAAAGCAGTGTAGGGTACATAAACATTGCGTGCTTAATCAGATTGCAAGTTGGCGGGACACAACCATAACTACTCTCCCCGCCGGAAATTATTGGAATCACGTGACGTAGCACGTGATCCATCACCAAACTCAGCCAGCTCGTTTTGAATGACCTTTTAGTTAACCACCGCCAAACCACCACTAATATACACACAAAACGAGGTCTAGATATTAGTATCCCAATGCGCGCTTATATTGTTACCTTGCGCCTTTTTAGCAAGCTTAGTTATATCGAAATTAAAGCTAGAACCGGTGTTGCAGCATCAACTTACTGCGCAATCTATAAACGCGCCGAACAAGCCTCCCAACCAGCAGCACTCGATATCCACAAGCTTTTATCTCATCTTGACGATAAGCTACACCCTAGCCGGCCACCTATTATAGCCGATAGCTCCGAAGAGTCTGCTGCGGTACGCTCTCGATTTATAGAGTATAATAACGAGTCTTTTAAAGACGCCACTCAGCCAGTTCTTAAAGAGATTGGGCAGCCTCATCTTACACGATCTACTATCGAAAACATAGCCCATAACCACCGCGATCCTGCCCATCCTTATAAGATTATCCGCGGCTACCAGCCTCTCAAACCAATCCTCAAGCCACATCATAAGGAGGACCGGATCGTCCATTGTAACTAGATAGATAAAAAAATTAACGAGGGGGCTATCTTCATATACTCTGACGAGTGTCAAATACCCTTTAGAGGACCAGCTCGCCGCCGTGCTAAGGTCTCTCGTCCAAAAGGTGCCTATCCAGCAGAGTATCCAAGTCATCAACCAGCCAACCCTCGGTTTAGCCTCCAGCTTTCAGCAGCTACTTGCGACAAGAGCGTTATCGAGTTTCCTACCTATATTTAGGAGCCAGAGGATGAAGAGCTTGCCGAGAAGCTTCAGATAGATCTTCAAAAAGACAACGAGATAGGAGAGGCACGGGTTCAACGGCTCCGCGATCAAGCTCTCATCCAGGGCACCCCTGAGTTCAACGCGCTCCGCGATCGCAATGCCGAAATCAAGCACAACAACGATAGCCTCAAAGCCAAGCGTCTTCGCAAGGGCATCCAGCTCCCATTCACCGTTAAGAGGTTCTTCAAACACACCCCGATCGTGAGGCAGCGGGACAAGCCAAAGACGAGAGGCAAGAGCAAGGGCAAGAGCAAGAGTAAGGGGGGGCTTGATGGCTATCACTATGCCAATCGAATCCTCCGCGGTATGCTGATACCCTATTATCAAGCCGTTCAAGCCGAACACCCTAATAAGGAGGTTTATTTGACGCTTAACAATAGCGGCGTCCACGATTATACTCTCAGAATATATAAAGACGTGCTGGAGGAGGCTGGGGTTAAGATAGCTGACTGGCCAGCCCTATCACCAGACCTCCATTCAATTAAGCAGTGCTTTAACGCGCTAAAGGACTATACCGTACTAGAGCGGTGGACCAGCTCTAGCCAAGAGGCTAAAGATGAGGCCAAAGACCTTATCACCAAGAGTTGGAAGCATAACTGCCGTTAAACAATCCAAAAGCTTATATCCAATAAGCGATTCAAGGAAAAATCGCATCTCTGCAGACAAAACGGCGGCGGCAACCACTTTAAGGGCTAGCCATATCTATATATAGATCTCTATTCAATTGCGCGATTGACAAAACACCAGTTTTATTCTATAAACAATGAATACGGCGATTATATACCCTCACCGCGTGGTTTGGTGATGGAGCACGTGCTACGGCACGTGATTCCAATAATTTCCGGCGGGGAGAGTAAGCAGGTCTCTTGCCCGACTCTTGCCCGATCCCTGTCCGACGACCAAGGGCGGGCCAAGCTCTCCCCGCGGAGCCGCCAACTCAACCTTGGAATACACCCATGAACGAAGCCGGGCGATCTGCGTGATCGACAACGTGGATGTCAAACCGGGAGATTTCGGCCCGTGCACTTCACGACCTTCTCCTGTCGAATCTCAAATAGCTCCAGTTTCCCAGCGCAGCCATCGTGTCCATCGTTCACGGAAGCTCACGATCGCCGTTTCAAGCGCCTAGACACACCGGTCAAAGCAAATTGTGTCTCCCGATGAACAGCGCACGTTCGTGATAATCAAGAAACGGTGCTGCGTGGCCGACAGCTGTTTTAGAGCACCTACGCTGGTGGCGCATCCTCCGCGAATCTTCTCGTGGCTAGCGTTGAGCTGCCCTTCCAAATCAATAAACAGCAGCAAGGCTAACCTGCCTCTCTTTGACCGTTCTACGTCACTGATGGCTCGGGCCGCTAATTTTGGGGTAAGGAGCAAGAGGTGAAGTATGATGCGGCGAGCCGAGCGCGGCAAGACTGTTCTGATACATAATCGTTTCTTCTTTCTTCACGTTTCCGAAGTCCACGCAGCCATTCTCTACCGTTGTCGCTGTCTCTCCCAACATGGCAGTCTTGTCTGTACTCGCGCTCGCTCTCCTGTCTACCGGGGCCGCAGCTAAAGTCTGCACTAATGTCACTGTCCCGGTCGATATCAACGCCCGCCAAGGTGTCTTTGATGTCCCCGTTCTGCAGGGCAACCTGGATGCGACGACATTCGCACAGAACTTCACCAACATTGGACGAAATTTCACAGACGATGCTCTGGTAGACTACCAGACAGTAACTGGTCGCTACAACATCAGTGCCAAATTCTGTCGTCCAGATCAAGAAAATGGCACCAACCCCACCGTGCAGGTCTTGACTCACGGCATTGGCTTCGACAAGAGGTAAGACCTCGTAAAGTTTGAAAGTGATAGCTTTCGCTGACCTGACTGCGACCAGTTACTGGGACATCCCCTTTAATGCGTACAACTACAGCTACATCGACGTCGCCGTTGACGACTACGGCTTCAGTACTGTTAGCATTGATCGATTCGGCATTGGGAATTCTTCGAAGGGAGATCCCCTCAACCTCATCCAGGCGCCAGCCGAGGTCTCCGCCCTTTATGAGATCACCAAGATGTTGCGTGCTGGCACCTTCCCAACCGTCGACACTGCGTTCAAGAAGATTGTGCATGTCGGCCACTCCTTCGGATCTGTCCAAAGCTACCTCCTCTCTGCTCTGGATCCCACCGCTACAGACGGACTTGTTCTGACAGGCTGGTCGTTGAATGCTACTTGGCTACCGCTTACCCTCGCAGACTGGAACGTTCACCTCGCTCGTCTCAACCAACCGCTTCGCTTTGGGAACATAAGTACCTCCGCCGTACAGCAGGCGTACTCATACTTGGACAGTTTCGGCGCTGGCAATACCGATCTTGTCGAGATACTCGATCGCGCGCTCGCTCTCGTCGGCATAGACATCAGTCGTCAAGACATCTGGGAGGAGCTGGCGACAACAGAAGTCGGCGATATCGTCAATGGCGTAAACGAAACCGTCACACCGATCCCGCAGGACTTGCCCACCGGCTACCTGACCTGGGTCGATTTCACCGCCAACCAGTTCGCCTTTCTCCTCCCTGGTTTCTATGATCTCGCTCTCGGTCTCTTCAGCGAGCGGACGAAGCAGCCGGTCACCTTGGGCGAAATCTTCACGCTCGGGAATGGTGCGCCCCCTACTACGCCCTTCTCCGGGCCAGTCCAGATTGTCACGGGTCGGCAGGATGTGATATACTGCGGTGGTGACTGTTTGGCGACCGGTGGTGTGGCAGAGAGCATTCCCGCGATGGCACAGATGGCATTCCCTAACGCCAGCGCGTTCGAAGCATACATACAACCCAACACCGGTAAGACATCTGTTTGCTAAAGACATGTGCAGAGCTAACTTCTGTATCAAAAGGCCATGGAATCAATGCCCATTACAATTCGACTGGCGCATATCACGTCATTCAGCAGTGGCTTCTTAGTCAAGGGCTTGGAAGCTCATAGCTGTTGGAGTGCCGTCCCGTAGGAGCAAGTGAAGAGCTGAAGGTCAATGGATGGGGGCGGTGATTGTACATAGCTGGTGGGACGGTCATGTTGTAACTACGTCAAACGACTTAATGATCTTGTACTTAGGAACAGTAGAACGCAGAACGAATCCGGCAAGCCCGTATTCTGCAGAGGTGGCTTTCGCTATCGCCTTCACTATCCAATATATGAGTGAAGCCGTACGAGTCAACACAGTCACAACAACTCTATCCGCAGAATACGCGAAAATTCGAGACACGCTATCATCATACGTAGCGCACAGTTATCATGTTCCTGTAAGGACAAGTCAGCACACACACCAAGACATTAGCACTGCTTGCATTCGAGCGGATTGTCGTTGGTTCAGGATACGTCAGTATCTGTAGTTATAACCTCATTTGAGATCAGTGGGTTGAAGAAGTGGATCATCATGACAACTCGTAAAGCGACAATTGAGCAATGGCAACTTACCTGTGCTTGTTCACAGCGTCGAGTGCAAAGGAGATGAAGGATTAGAGAACGCAGGCGGTGATGCGGAATTCTGCGATTCGGACAATCTTCGGCTGAAAGGCCGAGGAAATTTTGGAAAAGACCCTTCAGACTCCATCTCGATCCGCAACTCGATGCTCTGAACGTCAAATCAGTCCACCACCATGGCTCCTCGACGCAAGAGACAGAGACTTTCCGAAGACGGTACAGCCCTAGAAGTAGGGCAGGCAGAAACCTCCGCCATCGAGCCCAGCGGACCGCAAGCCTCAGCCGAGAAAACCGCACGCAAGGAACAGCAGCATAGACGCTCTCTTTTCGTCCGCTCTTTACCAGCGACTACCACGACCGAGGACTTGACAGAGCTTTTTTCGCAGTCTTATCCAATCAAGCACGCTGTCGCCGTTACGGACCCGGCTACCAAACAATGCAAGGGCTACGGCTTCGTCACATTTGCCGACGCGGAAGACGCTCAGCGGGCGCAGGAAGAGTTTGATAGTTCTGTGCTTCAGGGGCGCAAGATCAGGGTCGAGGTTGCAGAGCCTCGACACCGAGATGAGCAAGATAAGGGTAGCGTGCCGTCCGCAGCAGCAGAAGCCAAGGCCACAAGGGAACAGCGGAAGAAAGAAGCACAGCAGCAACAGCAGCCGCCGAAGCTGATTGTGAGGAATCTGCCTTGGAGTGTCAAGGAGCCGGATCAGCTTGCTGCGCTGTTTAGGAGCTATGGCAAAGTCAAGCATGCGACGATTCCGAAGACGAAGCCGGGACTCTTGGCTGGGTTTGGGTTTGTGGTCATGAGGGGAAGGAAGAATGCGGAGAAGGCTATCGAGGGTGTCAATGGGAAGGAGCTGGACGGGAGGACGGTTGCGGTTGACTGGGCGGTGGATAAGGAGACTTGGCAAAATGAGCGGAAGGATGTTAAGGAGGTTGAGAAGGTTGAGGAGGGAGGGGATGGCAGGGATGAGGAGGACTCACTCAACTCTGATGCGGACAAAGTCACAGACGATCTAGCAGATGGCGATGTCATGTCTGACGAAGAGGCATCAGAAAAGGAAGGTTCGCCGGCCGAGGATGACGATGACGACGACGTTGCCTCGGATGGTAGCGACGAGTCCGACATTGCACAAGCTCAGAAGCAACAGGTTTATTCTGGGACTCTCTTTGTCCGGAACCTGCCATTCACCTGCACAGACGAAGATCTAGAGGAGCACTTCTCGCAATTCGGGCCGATACGTTATGCGAGAATCGTCCTTGACCGAGCGACAGAAAGACCGAAGGGCACCGGCTTCGTATGCTTTGTGCAATCCGAGGATGCTGGCATGTGTGTGAAGGGGGCGCCCAGGCAAGCCCGAAGAGCGCAGGATGCAAAGGATCCGGCCTCTGCGATATCTCATTCCATCCTTCAGAACGAAGAGTCCGACCCAACCGGCAAATACACCATGGACGGCCGAGTATTGCAAGTAACAGCAGCCGTAGACAAATCTGAAGCCAACCGACTTACTGCGGAGGGAGTTACTCACCGCGGTGACCGCGATCGAGACAAGCGTCGTCTATACCTTTTATCCGAAGGCACCATCGCGTCGAACTCTCCGCTTTACCAGATGCTCGCACCCTCAGAGATCACTATCAGAGAGGCTAGTGCAAAGCAACGGAAAGCACTTATCGAGAGCAACCCTTCACTGCACCTCAGTCTGACTCGTCTGTCCATCAGGAATATTCCGCGCAGCGTTACTTCAAAAGATCTCAAAGCTCTTGCGCGAGAGGCTGTGGTCGGCTTTGCGAAGGATGTAAAGGAGGGTAAGCGTCAACGGTTGTCGAAAGAGGAGCTGCAACGAGGTGGTGAGGCAATGCAACAAGCCGAGCAAGAGCGAAAGGCGAAAGCGAAAGGGATCGTGAAGCAAGCAAAGGTGGTTTACGAAGGTCAGGAAGGGTCCAAGGTGGACGAGTCGACCGGAGCTGGCCGCAGTCGAGGCTACGGATTCATCGAATATCACACTCACCGATCAGCACTCATGGGGCTAAGATGGCTCAACGGCCATGCCGTCGGGTACCGGACTCAGGAGAAGCAGGGCAAAAAGGCGTCGAAAGACGACATTCAAGACAAGAAGAAGCGACTCATTGTCGAATTCGCGATCGAGAATGCACAAGTCGTTAGCCGGCGGACGGAGCGCGAGGCGAAGGCCCGCGAGAGATCGAAAGCCGTTACCAAGCAGACGCACCAAGCCAATGGAAGCAACCCTACTAAGGGTGGGTCGTCTAAAGGTGCTGGATCGCGCCCAGAGCAGGGTTCGCGGAAGCGGAAGCGTGCCGTTGATGCGAGCGTTACCAGGTTTCAGCCCAATCCAAACACCGTCAGCTCGCCTCCCGCTTCCAAAGACGATAAGCTGGCCCAACGCCAGAAGATCATAGAAAGGAAGAGGATGATGCGGCGCACACGGAAGAAAGCTGCTGCCTGATGTCTTTCCCTTGGTTCAGTTCACGCCCAACTGAGCCGGGCGTTATTGTTCCAGGCTGATGCTTTTTACGTAGAGGTCTTGTCATGATGGTGCACAAGCACCAGCATTTGACAAGCCATTCACCCTCGATTGGCATATTCTATTCCTTCTACTCAAACGTCTTTGGTTCACCGGCAGGGTTCAACGTGCCCCTGAAAGTCGACTATGCTTATGGCTTGATTTTCACGGCAAGTGCTCAATGACTGCTCATCACATAGCCGTCTCTTCGATCTCTCTACTGATGGCTTTCTGTTGCTCTCAGCCAGCCAACCACACTAATGCAGGCGGGCCGTCTGCCCTACGGGCCGCTACGGCACCACTCGGCTGTAAAACAGTCAAAGGCAGGATGCTGTACTACTGGCGAACGCGCATGCCAAGCCAGCGTGGGGAAGCGGTTTCATCCTTCCGTGCGACTTCAGATACATATATTCTCCGAAAAGCGTGCCTATCGAAAATGTGAGATGTGATCTGCATACCATTCTTGCTGCTTATGGACAGCAGACTTCTTGTGCGATCAAAGCCGGTTGTTCCTATGGCTGAGCTCGTGGTGCACAGGATGACTCGACAGAAAGCCGTTCCCACTTCTTGCACTTTGACATCACCCTTTGCAAGCTCCCACAGTCATCAACTCTATCCATTGCCAATCGCTCATGTGTCATAGGCCGGCGACTGCTGTTCGCCCACGATGAGTTCGCTTTATCTGCTGATTACTCTGTTCGTTTCCTCCCCATCATTGCTTTTGCTGCGGCTCCGCTTCCCTGCAACAGCCACCGATCCTTGTTCATTGTGATGAGTCGCAAGAACAAGCTCCATTCCCATTGCATTCAATCATGTTAAGGGTCTAGGGCTACATACTACTTCACCGGCCACTGATGTGGGCACCACGCGTACTGATTTGACGATGCGATAAAGCGGATATGGAGTAATCAGGCGAGGCTAGTTCTCCTCGTAATACCACTCAGCCCGCGGAACTATCGCGACATCTCTCTACGACATCAACAGATAAATCACGAGAACCGCGGAGACCATCTGTTCTCGCGTCATCATATCGCTTGCTCACAAGTTACCGCTCAGCCTCCCCGAGTCCATCAAAGATCCTCCTTAACGCCCAGATTTGCAGGTACGCTGATTCAAAGGCGCTACAAAGATGCCACATTTCCACCAAGCCGCCGACTGACAGCGCAATAGACACATCGCAATGTGCCATTACGAAAACATCCACTATAGCTGCGCACACACCGTCCGCCGCCTGATCAAGTACTGCCACTTCGCGCGAAACGATCCTCTTCATGAATGCCATGGCGCATGGAGGGTGGTGCGGGAATGGAACTCCGACGACTACTGCCCGGCTTGCGAAGTCATGCTAGCTCGGGGAGCTGCAGTCCACGTTACTGGCTACCGCCGGTAGACTTCCTAAGACTGAACGTTTCAAGCTTGAGCCACTTTGGGGATAAGAGGTTCTTCCAAGACTTACATACGGCGCGGAGATTGTTTGGCATTGGCTTGGAGGAACTCTTGGACTATGTTGCTGTGGCTGGCTCACGTGGATGCTTTGGTCGGTGGTGGCGATCTTGTGGCGGCCGCTCTTGTATTACCGGCATCATGTTCCAGTGTTCCACTGCGCGTTGCCGTGGATGCTTCCATCACGATTGGTTGGGCATGTGTTGTCGGGTAATTCTACTCAGTGGGTAACTGTTAATGATTGGGACTTGCTGTGGGATTTACATCAAGCCAGTAATTAGGTAGGCAGCTTCTGGTGTTTGACGATTCTACTGGCGTTCGGCATTACACGGCTGTCTGCGATCCCATTGGAAGTTTACACTGTAGTTCAATTGAAACCCTCTGACACGTGACTAAAGCCGTACAAGCTGCTGGAACTGCTCGAGTTTTCAGGATCGAGCATTTGTACTTCCATGTCCCTTTGCTTGTGGCAGTACGCAACTCAATCGACCAAGCAATGCCCAACACACACACCCGGCTCCAAATGCACGCAGATATTAAATGGCCATGACTCCAGTTCGTCTAGCTTTCGTACCGCCGCGTTTACACAAACACTTCCTACACGACCTCTTCTCACCGCTACCGGCAACTTCTAAGTCTTCTCATGCCCAATGCTATAAATTTGCAGCGCCCTGAACAACGCCGACGATGTTGTACCGCTTGCTGAAAAAGGTGAACCAGTCATCCAGCACCTTCTTCTCACTATCCGGAAGGTCTTCCCACTCAGGTCTGCAATCCTCTGGCTTCAGAGACGACTTCGCCAGCGCGCGGGATGCGTCTTTACCGGCAAACACTAGTTCTCTCAGTATCGAGTTACCCAACGCGCACAACGGAGAATGATGCCAGGCCGACTACAACGAAAATTGGCTGGAATCGCGTACCATGATAGCCTGCTCCTGGAGTATACGCCTTGTTTCCGCTGACGTCGAATATTGTACCCTAGGACTCGGATTTCAGTCTCGCATAGACTGTTATCGAGTCTCGGATTATCACCTTCATTGCCACATATGTCGGATAGTCCACATTCGTGCCTGACGTAAGAGACGGTTGGCGCATGACACAGAAGAGCATAGTAGCGATTGAAGTCATCAAGTCTTACCATCGCATTTTGAGAGATATTCCGGGCTGATCGGGTCGTTCTTGGGCGGGTCGAGCTGGACAGGCGTCTTCGGCTCGAACTTCTTCGATTGGCTTCCGCTACCGTCTGCCATGCTTGCTCGTTTTGAGATCTATTGAGATAAGGAAGCAGCCGTTAAGATAGCTGATATTGAATCACCAGGGTTGGCCTCGGGACGTTGGAGCCTCATCGGGCGCGATGCCGCATTCGGTTTACTTTCTTTCGGGTACGCTTCGGGTCGCGAGGCGGACCGTTGGCACGACTCTGCTGCAATGCACATGCGATGCTGGTGTTGCACAGCAAACTTGGCGCGTACTCATGCTGGATGCAGCAAGTGAGGGCTTCTGATATCACTTTGTGAGATTTCACGTCTGTTCACCAGTGTTGGGGACGCCCCCACGAGTCGAACGGGCTCATGGGGAATCGTGAGCAGACTTTGGTCTGATAATTTACGCATCTACAATGCGATACTCCGTAATATACATTTTGCATCCTAGGACCTGGCCGTCTTCGTTCTTGTTTCTCGATCGCGTATGTACAGCAAGCCGATGGAATCCAACTTCGGTACCCTCTGAGCACCCAAGACGGCGGAGGTTGATATACCTGCCGATTAGGCATCGACGCGACACATCTCTCTTCTTTCAGGTCTTAACAGGTCGATCGACCATTAGCGTCACAAGCGAGTTGACCACCTCCGCAGCTGCAAGGACCGTTGTTTCTCCCCTGTTGTCGTAGATCGGCGCAACTTCAACTGCGAGGGTAAATCGGTAAGCATGAGTGCATTCGATGAGGACATTGGTCAGTGGAAACCAAAACACAGCATACGTACCAACGTCAGCACCAATTACTTCCAAACCGTTGAGCCCGTCGAGGATTGTGAGAAGCTCTCGGGTGCTCCAGCCCCCGACCTCCGCAGTTCCCGTACCTAGTTTACGCACCCCGTCAGAAGTTTGTAACGAGTCAACAACGCTTGGCGAAGACCTGGGGGCGATATCGGCCCCTCGGACATCATTTGGACCGGCATCAAGTTTCGAGGCGGTTCGTGTGGACCAATCAAGGAAGACTCGAGGTGCCTACGGCTGTGCTCCAAATGCCGCGCACTCAATCAAACCGGACCGTGCAAATGAAATGCACTCACCGGGCGCGAAGGCTGGGTCCAATACGTCTATATCGACGCTGATATAGACGCGTTGTCCGTCGACCCTGTCCTTGATCTTTTCAATGACACCACTCGTACCGATGCGGTCGATGTCTCTCGCCCGCACAATCTCGAAGCCGCATCTGACATCGTTGCGCAAATCACCTTTGGGCCGGACAAGCGGTGCTCTGATACCGGCGTGTATGGAGGAATTGCTGATCAACCCTTCTTCATGCGCAATGTGCAGAAACGTGCCGTGGTTCACGCCACTACGGATTACGCCTTATTAGCGCTAGTTGCTCATGCGGATATCCAGCTTTTTTGTGGCTCGAGAATGACATGCTTACGCATAATGAGATATACCGCCGCCTAAAGTAAATTTAGCAACACCCTGATGCCTCACGATACCAACTGCTTACTTACCGAGCACTTTAGGATCCCATGTGTCTTTTCACCCGGTTGTCAGCTTACGCATGAGTACAGAGGGTTCTCTTTCCCTACCAATATGAGAATCAAAGTGGATGACGCTCACTTGACCCCATCGCTCATGCGTGGATCTCAGCGCCGACAGCGTAGTGGTGTGATCTCCACCCAGGGTGATGATTCTTGGCGTAGTATATGTGCTTGAATTGGTTCTACGCCCTGATATAACCTGTGAGGCGTCCATCAGCATTGGCCGCTGAGCCAACCCGCTCATTGAACGCTCCCCTAAAATACTTGACGCGTTGAAGCCGAGAGTCACACAAAGACTGTTGGCTCACCTTATGAGCCTTATCTAGCTGCCGCAGGGCAGCGGTATTATCCTAGACGCAATCAGCCTATATCTCATTGAGTCATTCATGCAGTACTGCACCAGAAACGTCAGAGGGGCATCGCCGCAATCTACTAGCTTGGCCCAGTCGAGGTATTGATTCTTCCCTGTAGAATGCAGTTGGCTGTTAGCCCTAGATCCGAAACGCTACTACCCGTACAGACGACTTCGCGGCAACGGGAGCGTAAGCGGGAGGGTCGCCGCATGCCGCTTCGGCTGCACAAAGGCTGAATGCCGGAGTCGGAGTGGAAGACAGTTGCAGGGTTGACGGGACTGATTCGGGACGCAGTAGCCGCTTCAAATCTCATAGGATGCCGAGAGTTTCCTTCACGGTTCCCGGATCTGGAGTGACGCGAGGTCGGGCTCTCTAAGATTGCCCTTGATTGTTCATGCGGAAAGAGGCGTCTAATGCAGCCGATGCTGCATCTTCGTGGATGTTGGTCATACCGGTATACACGCTCCATGCTTCGCCCGCAGAGATCCTTCTGGAGCCTTGCCTGATGCCGGTTGGCCCAAAGCGGGCTCCTGGTCGAGCTGTGACACCCTGTACAGCCATGTCAGCTACAGATTTGTTCTGGCCTGCAACTCCACGCTTCGAGGGCTGTCGCCCGGGTAGAGCGTCTTGGATATGAAGCAGTATATGCCCTTGCTCTTATCTCTCATATCGAGCGTAGAGGAAAACGCTGAGGGGTATTTGAAATTCATTTCGGCTAGAGCATAACATCCCTTTATGCACACTAGGGTCCGCGCTGATATGAATCATTGGCCTTAAACATACCGTATCAAATGGTGCACCGAGAAAGGCAATGTCAAATTTCTCAACCTCTCCGTCGGCCAAGCATTTCACAAAGGGGGAGTTCGCAAACGTCGTCAGCCCAGCATAAGCATTTGGCTCCGGAAACTCCGCTATTGCATCGTCGCCACTGGTGACAAACGGACTCTGTACGCCTGATACTGGCGGGAAAACAACGTCGCGCGCCGTAACCGCGAGCGGGAGTAGTAAATGCAGCAATCTTGGATGCATTGTCTCTTAGCGAAAGGACGGACCGACAGCCAGACAACTCGCAGCCGTGCTACTGCGTAAAACAATTGCGAGTTGAGTAGCTATTCACAGTGTATATCTGTCCGAAGGTCGACGCGATCAAGTTAAAGCACAGGTTGGATCGTGAGTCATGTGTAGGAGGCTGCCCAGGCGTTTGGCTCGAATAGGCAGGTCCTTTCCACCCCGCCTAGGCTGCCATACGAGTTTCGCTTCCTCACCGTTTGTTTCAATAATGTGCTGATCCTGTAATCGAGTCGTAACGGAGCTTCTCATAGTTGTTTCACATCTGGTATTTACAATAAAGGTGCTCAGCCTTGAACATCTTCGCAGCTTCGTCACAGCTCCAGAGCACTCTATATACCGATCTAACTAGATTCTCGTGTCGAGCGGACATTCCGTTACGGCAGCATCTAACGGGCTCACATACTCTGGCTTCCCACCATCTTGCTCGGCAACAATGCAGTCGTGACCACACAACCCAAAGTGACACCGCCAGCCAGATACAGCACGGCATTGATATCCCCGGTTCCCCCCTCCGCAGTTCTCGCATAAAGATGCTGAGCAATCAGCGGACTCACAATTCCAAAAAGCCTCCCCCAAAAGCTGGCCACCCCACATGCAGTCCCTCTGATCGGCGCTGGGAAGGCTTCCGGCGTCCAGCCGTAAAGTACGGCATTGAACATGCTCTGGAAGAAGTACTCCATAATGGTCAGACCGACATTGGAAGCTTGGTTGTTCACCGTACTGAAGATGAAGATCGACGCGCCCATTAAGCCGGAGGAGATGACCATAGTCCATTTGCGGCCGATGCGGGGGACACCGTACATCAGCGAGCCGAGAAGGACACCGGCTATGCCTGGGGCGTAGATGTACATGTAGCTGCGGTATGTGTAGCGGAGGGAGAGGCTGATGGCCGCATTCTTGAGTTGCAGGATTTGCGGGAGATAGAAACCTCGAAACAATCAGTACGCTGCGGAAGCTGGGCACGAATGACCGTTTTTGAAGAAACAGCTTACCTGCTACAGTAAAACCCCAAAAGTCGCAAATATAGGTGAGCCACGTCAGGATCGTCAGACGGGTCATCTGCCAACCTGCGAAGAGCATTCCGTATCGACTCAGTTCTAGTCTCAATTTCTCCCCCATGGTAGCCTTCTGTTGCATCGCACCGCTGCCGAGCACAGCGCCACCACGGGATCTCGCGCTATGCATGGAGTTATGATCACGTTCCAGCGCCTCGAAGCTCTCCAACGTCACACTACATACTCTCTTGTTGACCTTCGAGATCTTCTGGAGCACGTCTGCGGCTTTTGCATCCTTGCCGCGGTAGACAAGGAACTTAGGCGACTCGTACATCGTGAATACTACGAAGCGGAGGAAGAACACTAGCAGAGTAACGCCTCCGAGCGTGTACATGAGGTAACGCCAGCCCATGTTGTCCTGCTTTCGACAGCATGGTTGGCCAGGCTCGGTGATCCCGTAAAATGAGCCAATACGGCAAGATGGGAGGCGGTCAGCGCTGGTAAAGTCGGGTTCGCAGATGTAGTTTGGAATGAATCCATAGGCGATAGCGCTGCACACAATGACACCGATGGGTTGAAAGATCGACAGGAGCGCGAGTAAGAAGCGCTTGTCCTGTATCGCATTAGCCCCTTCCCCATCTAAGCTAGATAGCGACGAGAATTCTACTGGCACACGGAATGATAGGGTGGGCAAACTGAGGCTTCAAAGTCTCAAGCAGTTCAGGAAGCCACGAGCTTTGAGAAGTGAATGCTCCTTGTTCATGCAGCGCTCCGTAAAGCAACAATAAGGGCGAAGAAAATCCCATGTTACAAATGATTCGGAAGGCCTCACCTGAGGAATAAATTCCAGAGTGATGGTAGTATCAATAGGAATATTCCCGCCAACACCGAATCCGACAAAGGCCGTGAGCACGAGGAAGGTGATGTACGAGTTGGCTGCACCGAGACAGAGTCCAAATACGGAGCTGACGAGCACTGTCAGGTTGAACGCCCACTGCCGACCTGGTTAACATCATTAGCTTTTCCTATCACATCATGGGAACAACAGTCAGGCCAGAGGACCAACCGATGATGTCGACCAAAAGTCCCCACACGAAGGCCCCTACATCAAAGTCAGCGCCCGGCTATCGAGTGGGCTGGAGGTGTTCCTGTACCTGCTGTCAAACCGGCGGAGAAAGCTGTGGAGATGTTGCCTGATTCGCCAGCTGGGCAAGGTCAGCATTTCCGACTCATAATTGCTGATTCGTGGCCGAAGGAGTACTCGAGAGCAAAACAAGATGATGACAACGTGACTATGGGATGTCTTGTGTAGGTGGTAACACCGCTCAAGTGGTGCATGAATCCAATGCAAGTCCAGCAAATCGGACACCATCCACTCCCTCTTAGCGAATTTGACAGAGCTGAAGAGGTTCTTACGTCCAAATCCCAACTCCTGCTGCAACGGACTCAATACCAGCCCAAATGCTTGCGCCCACAGCAGATCAAGCATATATCCAAACCCGCAGAGGCCCCACGCATACCACTGATACTTGCCCATGCCCATGCTATCAATCTCGCGGTTGATAAGGACGCACTTCTTCTCATACAGGCTCAATCCCTCTGTTTCGAGTGCATCGGTCAAGCTCTTAGAGCGCGGCGTGGCCTCCGTATCGGCGTTGCCATTATCATATGCGTCAAAATCGTCAATTTTCGCTGCAGTCGGCCTGAGCTCCTCGCTGTTGCGCATACTGTGTCTCATGAGGGGCTGCTGGCTGGAAATAGACGAAACTCTGTCGTCTGCAAAGGAAGAAGTCGAGGAGGAGGGGGAGTCCATGAAGGGAGTGGACGCCAATGCCAGCGTACCCTGCTTGACATGAACAAACAGGCAAAGTTGAAGGCCATGTGCGGAGCGAAAGGCCTAAGAGGCCTAGCCGGCCGGCGGCAGAGGCGGTGGAGCATCGCTAGCTCGCTGCGGCCACGGCGATAAGGGTTTGGATAGCCGTTGAGAATTCGTCATGTGTGGGTCTTGAGGTTGCACCCAGTAATTGTTCATCTTGTCGGTTTCAATCCGCCTTCACTAGAGGTACAAGCGGTCCTTGAAGCAGTTGAAGAATTCAAGCGGTCGACGGGTTTACCACTAACATCGAAGTCTATGGCGACAGCAATACCTGGAGGTTGGCTCATCCATCAGCTGAGCGGCAGCTGTCCGTCTTCAGGATCGGCGTTGCATATCACGTGACGCCTTGATGGACGTGTTAGCGGCAGAAGCAAGAACACATGGCTACCCTTGGACGGCTTTTTTGGTGGGCTGTGGTGGCCGCGTATTTTGATACCTTCCCTTATTCCATTTTTCGTCAATATTAACAAGAAGTCCAGATAGAATAGCGGAACTTCATAGCCCTTTCCCATAATGATACGGCTGTGAGAGCAGGGGGACTTCTGACTCGTTCACTCACGGACACTGATGTTGCAAAGAATCGAGGGTACCAAGTAAGCTTTGAGTTAAATCAACGCAGTCGTAATAGCTTCAGGAGGACATGTTGCTACGAGTACCTAAACTTCCAACGAAACAACCAAGCACCAACTAAACGATAAAGGGTATCTTGGATCCAAGCAGACATCATATCGTCCAAACAGGCACACCGTACATCTCCGCCAAACTCAGATTTGTCCTTCGGTCAACGTCAATTCCGATCCCGCTTCTGCGTCAATGCTGAGCGTCCATCACTCGTCACCCTCTACTCTCACCTTTTTCTTCCCCTTCTCCTTCCCCTTCCCATTGCCATTCCCGTTCCCACCCAACCGACCCCTTACATCCTCCAGCATCCCGCCGGCAGCGTCCCCCAAACCCGACGCCCTCCGCTGTACATCATGCTCATCGCACTCCTTCCTCACATCGTCTACAACATCTTTGCCAACGGTAGTACCATGCACCCAATCCAGGACGCCCCAAGGCCCGAAGTTTCCCTTCCCGGCCGACAGCAGGTGGTTATCCGCGCGTCTCGCCATGCCTGCCAGCAGAATCGACGGCAGGGTCGAGTAGCCTGAGTAGGCGAAGCACTCCTCGAGCGAGACGAGCGCGAGCGCGAGGTGGAAGGAGAGGATGTGCGTGCGGCCCGGGAAGAAGAGGGCTGGTGCGTGGAGGGGCAGCCAGCGGCTCAGGATCCAGGGGACGGGATGGTCGTAGTTTGCGACGAAGGCGTAGGGCGCGCGGATGGAGTGGTGCCAGGACTTGTGCCAGTCTGCGGCGCGGCCGCCGGAGGGGGAGTGTAGAAGGTGGCGGTTGATGTAGTAGGTTGAGATCTGTGTTCGGGCCCAAACTCAGCTACAAGGTGGGAAGAGTTGGAAGGCGGAGAGCGCCAAGCATACGTACGCCACGGAACGCGAGAGCGGTCCCCAAGTCAAACAGGATCGAGAAGGGCATCGGCAGCGTCTTGGGAACTTTGAGCGCGCTGCGCATCTGGAAGACTTCGGTATACAGCAGCTCGATGGCAGCTTGGAGCGCGACGCCGAGGCAGACATTGAAGGTACTCCATCCCACCACCTCCAGCACTTTGCGCTTGTCCTTGTCGTTGCGCACGGGTAGCGCGATCTCGCCTTGCGTCTTGATATTGGTCGCTAGCGAGGGTACGGCGCAATCGAGCGCGAGGAAGAGTAGGGACGGGAGTATGTAGAAGATTGCGCGAATGAAGAGACTCCCAAGCACTTCGACGTAGAATTGGTCGTTGGAAACCACGAGCACGAACCAGGTCATGCTGAAGAAGGCGAGGTTGAGAGAGGTGCTCCATGACGAGAAAGTGGGGAGGGCGAGGAAGGATAGCGCTGGGAGGCTGATGAGGGACAGGAGGGAGGACATGGCGATCTCAGTTCTATGCGACTCGAAGTTTGCTGTTTTGGAGGATGTATCCGCACGTTGTTGGGGTCTCTACCGATTGCGACCACGTTGTCTGCCTCGTGTTGACGGGCTTCCAGGTTTATTTGCGATGACGTTCCTCTGGGGGATCTGCGACAGGGCTGAGATGCGACAGCGTGAATGCGACTCTCACGCCTGTGAGGGGTCCCAGCCATTCAGGAATGCTTTCCAGCGTTTCCTCAACGTGGAGGAAAACATTCATTTCCCATTGAACCACAGGCGTCTGGGGGAGAGGGGCCGTCAGCCCTGATGAGCAGTCCGGCACTGTCAGTCGATGTTGGGTTCAATCGGGGAGCTCAACTCCCTGGACGTAAGGCTGTGGAATCCTTTTGCTTCATACTGCTATGCCAGCAGAGCAACCCTTTCCCGCCGTGTCGTCGGCAGGTACACAGTGTAATACAACCCGAGTCTGATTGATGGCAGACGGTGGTTGGTTGTATGGTGTGATGTTGCAATTTGATTCTGGTGCGTGTCGTGGTCTTGACAGCTGAATCGAGGGGACCAAGGACCACGGGGACCCAGAAGCGCACGCCGCCACAGCCTCTACCTACCGTCCCGCTAAACCGTCTAGCGTCGATCATCCTGCGCGGAGGCCGAATGCACATGAAGGGGGCTTGTCCCTTGCACAGGTAACTTAAGTAGGTATGGATAACGTTACCTAGCTATTTCTCCCTGCGAATCCGCCAGTGCCGCAAAAGCGAAACAAGGCCATGCGCCTGTCTCCAAAGTGACAAACGGCTGCTAACATAGCCCTGCCTCAATGCCAATCGAACCCTCTCTCCGCCGTCTATCCACCCCAAACTGCAGACATCCTCGCCCGCTCAGGGATATGGCGAAGATGTGAGGTGGAGCTACGGTAGCTGTCTCGCGAGAGTCTCAAGAAACCTGTCTTCTGGCTTCAGACTTGGGCGACGCGCAAACCCATCACGATGCCCTCAGCCGCCAGCTTGGCTGAACTCGAGCCGCCGATACCACGCCTATCTACCCAGCATCACTCTGGCTCCCCCCGCCCTCGACACGAGCACCGACGCCCCGTAACTCCAGAACCAGGCCCGCGCCCAAGGAAAAGGTCTCAGAACCATGTGCGCCTGCAGCCCGCCTCGCCTGAGGTCATCTCCTCGCTCATAAACTCCCTCACAACAATCTCCCTCACCGCACACAATCACTTCGAAAGTCTCCCTGCCCAGGGGTTAGATGGGACTATATCGCAGCCAGCGACTCCGCCTCCAATTCGAACTGGGTTTGGCAGCACTGTATTCGATACGGATAGCGAAAGAGGTAGTTTCGGGGTGACATATGGCAGTCAGAGATCCAGACGTGAGAGCGAGATCATACTGGAACACGACGACGCAGCTGAGCCACCGGTTATTCGAACATCGAAACCTCCGTCTGGGTTCTCGTCTCTGACTGCGCCGAAAGCTACAAAACGCGAGAGGGACAGCTCTTTGAAGAACTACCTGAGGTCGGCTTCAGTGAGCTCTTTGTCGTTACACTCTTCGAGAGATCGAGATGACTTTGGCACCATTCGCACGATGAGCCCTGAAAATGTACCTCCGCGGGCATCGAACTCAAGCCTCCCTAGATCGTCTGTTGAGAGCAAGCGAAGCGCGCCAGGTCACAGGAGCCTTGCACACATGAGCTCAAGAGGGCGGATGAGGAGCAGGGAGACTGAATGGAGACGACCCACTGTAGCAGCGAAGAATACCCGCGCCAGGTCCGCTACTCCCGAACGGTCTTCAACTCCGAGTTTGAGCGCGCAGCCTTTCCATGATAGGAGATTGTTCCTTGCAGAAAGCCCCATCTTTGAAGAGCCTGTAGTAGCGAGACCCTCGCATCTTCGAATAGGAGGAACACCCGAAGGCAGCGCTAAGCGGAAAGGGAAGCGGCCTTTGCTTAACGGCGAAACCGAAAGTCCGGTCATAGACAGCTCAGTGGTCCCAGAGCGCGGCTCGTCTCTTCGGCATGCCGAAAGCCCTACGCCCCGGAAACATCGTAGGAGGCGGTCGAGCGGGCAATCTTCGTTGCAGAGGACGTCTGTAATCGAGGAAGACGAAGCCGCTGAGGCACCGTCTATACCCAGATATAACGGGAGCGAAGATGCGACCACCAGACGTATCATGGAATTGAGAACACAACAAGATCTCAGAAAGACCGCTGCAGGAGGAACATCCGATATTGATGTGGAAGGACCAGTGAAGAGGCACCGTGTTGCACCTTCCTCAGAATCAGTACTCTGCCAAGGATCCAGCAACTCGAGCCTGTCAGACATACGCCCCGCACCACCCAATCCGGCCGCAAAAGCTCATAGAACCCTTGGGATCACCCCGCCGAGCCCCGTATTTTCCAAACGGCCTCGTCAGATGCGAATAGACGGATTTGACCGCACAGATGGAATCACAGCCACGCGTGACGTTGATCAAACACGCGAGAACGCGAGAAATCATCTCGCAGAGCTTGCCCTTGAGTGCAACGATCCTACGCAGATGCTGGGACGCTTTCACGCCAGTCTAAGCAGCGGAGCTTATAGCAAGGGCGCAACAAGCCAAAGGATATCATCCAAGCCAACACCTACCGTCTTCGGAGGCGAGCCAGCAGCAAGGGAAGGAGCGGCTAGGGATCCTTCGAACGGCAGAACAGCCTACCCATTTCCCGACAGTACTGTGACCCGACTGTCGAGTGACACTCTATCGCCAGCGGCCCTCGTCCCGCCTAATTCTCCTGAATCTTCTCTGCAGCAAGCTGCGCAGACGGTTCCATCAGAAGACAAACCTTCACGTGCTAATTCAAAGCAGAAGCGATGGTCGCATCCTGATCTTCCGTTACTGGCAGATCAGAAATTCAATATCTGGCGTGCCTCCGATACCCATGCCCTCAAAATGCTGAATGAGCCCACCTTAGAGGAACGCCCATCAAGCGCAGACTCAATTGACGAAGATGTCAAGCTCTTCCTCCGGGCTCCGCGCCTCTCACGAAAAGTTCGACATCCTCAGACTGGCCGCATCATCTCCTTTTCTGAGGTTGGAGACCCGCAAGGCTTTGCCGTCATCTGCTGTGTCGGCATGGGGCTGACAAGATATGTGATGGCGTTCTATGACGAGCTCGCCGCGTCTCTGAAACTGCGTCTCATCACACCCGATAGGCCTGGAGTCGGAGAGAGTGAAAGTGATCCGTCTGGGACGCCGTTGAGCTGGCCTGGTGAGTCCATTCCCTTCCGACGCGGCTATACGTTTCGCTAACCACGCCGCGAAGACGACATCCAAATCATTTGCAACTCCCTCGGCATCACCAAGTTCTCTCTACTCGCCCACTCCGCCGGCGCCATCTACGCCCTCGCAACCGCGCTCCGCATGCCACAGCATATCCGCGGCCGAGTGCACCTCCTCGCGCCCTGGATACCGCCAAGCCAGATGTCATCCATCGGCCTGCGACCAGACGCACCGCCGGCGGGCCAGCTGCCCAAGTCGCAGCGCTTCCTACGCGCGCTGCCAACCTCCTTCCTCAAAGTCGCAAACTCAGCATTCATGAGCGGGACCAGCGCCGGCATCTCCCGCAGCAATAGCTCCACCGCAGTCCTCGCCGGCCAGCCAGCCAACAAGCGCCGCAGAAGCCTCATGCTCGGGCGTGGGCTCTTCGAATCTGCGTCTGCGCCTTCGTTCAGCAGTGCTACTTCCACCACCACCACCACTCAGAAACCCGCCGCTGAAGCCTCAAACCGTGATTCCATGCTCCAAATGGACCGCGAGATTCCAACTGGCTCCAGCCTCCCCAACCAACCCTCCTCCGGCACCACCACCACCACCATCCTTTCCGATAGCGAGCTAGCCGCCCGCCGCCGCCTCTACGACGCCCGCCTCACCCTCTCAATCTGGGCCCTCGCCACGCACTCGGCAAACCCGGCGCACGACCTCGTCGTGTGCCTCGAGCGACACCGGCCGATCGGGTTCCGGTACGTGGACATCACGCGCGCGGTGGTGGTGCACCACGGAAGCCGAGACACGCGCGTGCCGCTCGAGAACGTCAAGTGGCTGGGCAGGACGATGCCGAGGTGTGAGGTCAGGGTGCTGGAGGGCGAGGGCCATGGGCTTATGGCTAGTGCGGCCGTTATGGGACGGGTGCTTGAGGAGGTGGGGAGGGAGTGGGGGGAGTGGATGGAGGTTGTTGAGGGGAGGGGGAGGAGGGCTGGGTCGGAGGCGGTGAGGGAGTAGCTAGGATGGAGTGGAATTGAGTGTTTGACGAGTAGGATGGGGTGGAGTGAGTGTTCGATATCGGCGATCCGTTTGAAAGGAGCCGTCGAAGACGTAAGGCTGGCTGGATGTTCTTGGGTGATTTTTCCTTGTATACCCCTTGTCTGTTTCTATCGGCATTTTGGATCTGTTGCTAGGGTTTGGATACATGGGTGGCTTCGATTGGCCAAGGGGCTAATGATTGCGGTGGTTGATTCAAAAGTTTGTGGAAGAGGAGCTGTACAGTGGTCAACCGATAGTCAATCTTGTGAACCTCGACGCTAATGGGCTGTTTTGTGAGATTGATGTTCTTGACGCTACACTTCGCCGATAGACTGTCGCATCAGTCATGCTCGCAAGGGGTTGTGATTTAGCTGCTTGTTACAGAATCTTGCAAGAGGGTAGAGGAAGCCATTCCTAGACATGTCCGCACCCCGATGAAATCGCACTGCTCATGAGGTTGCAGTGAGCCGATAGCCAATAACAACTCCCATCATCCATCCGCACCGTCCGCACCGTCCGTCGCCGTATTGCCCGTCTGCATCTAGAAGACCATCTCGTGTGGCCTGTCGCCTTTCCTTAGGCTGAAGGTCGATCCGAGGTAGCTGAGGAGGAAGGGCTCCTTCTTGAGGTTGGCCAGGAGGGCCTTGTCGACCGATCGCTGGTCCTCGGCGCGGTTGCTGCTGACCTTCTTCGACTCGGGCTTCTCACCCTGTTTGAAGAACTGCTCCTCGCCCTGCTTCTTGCTCTTCTTCTCCCGTGCGAAGTCTGGGCACTCGGTCAGCCAGAGGGCTCGTTGCGTAACTGATTGTGGAACACCTACAGCCCTCGCCGCCAACCTTCTCTACCACGCTGTCGTCGATGCCGTCTAGGTCCACCTTGGTGCTGGTCGCGATGACATATCGGGCGTTGACTCTCCGGAGCGGAACACCGTTGACCTTGTACGGGCCTGTGACGAGGAGCACGCCCTGGGGCAGTTGCTTGAGAAGGACGACACGCTTGCCGCGGAAGCGCCCGGCGAGCAGTCTGCGGTGAACGATTAGCATCCCGGCTTGGGTTGCGTTGCGTTGCGCGGTGGGCCGACTCACATCAGGACGGTGCCTGGCTGCAGGCTTGCCCGAAGCTTCGCTGGCCTGATGGTCTTCCGGACGGTCTTCTTGGCCTGTTGCGCACACAGATGTCAGCTTCAAGCTCCCATGTTTCGCTGTGCGCCTTCGACTGTGTTTATAAACCACAGTGTTCATGTCCGCCGCTTCTGCCGCGACTGTCTGAACAACTGCTCTTCGCCGAAGACAGTCTGCAGAGTTGCAGCTACTGCTTGTCCCAGTAGACTCCCCCAGCAACAGCGTCTGCTGCGAAGAGCTCGCATCCCGGTGTCGCTCCAGTGTACAAGCAAGCTCAGAGATGTCGTACCTTGTCTTCGTCTGCCGGGTAGTACTTCTGGGCCTTTGCGTCCGACATGTCGAGGGTTGGTGAGGGAATCTGGCGGTTGTGGGGGGATTAATTGTCGCTGTCGTCGTCGTCGTCGTCGCGGTGTTGCGTCTCCCAAATTGCAATTGACGATGTTCGAAGTGTGCTCGCTTGTGGTCCAATCGGGTTCTAGCGCCTTGGCGTTTCGCGCGTCAGCTCTAGAGAGCTTCACGTTTCTCGAGCCTCATCAACCACCAAGAGCTTCAACAACACGAATAACCACAACAGTAATCATTCTGCCAGCTCGTCTTCGCCCACGTCTGCTGCACACCGGACACAAGATCAAAAATGTCAATATCGCCCATTCTCACCTTCAAAGCCGGCAGATGCGACATCGACGTGCGTACATGCATCTCATTCTGGCCGCCTAGACACTCACGTTATACTAGACAACCAGCAAGCCCCCCAAGATAAAATGCCTGCCCGACCCCGGCTACATCTACCTCTTTACCGGTGATGGTACCATTGTGCTCCACTCTGTCTCCCATCCCGAGCTAACCCCTCGCCAGAAGAACTCATCCACTTCTGCTGGCGGCCACGCTCCGCTCCCGCCTCCTCCCCAACCCTCGACCTCCTCATGATCCCGACCGACGGCTCCTTCATCCCCTACACGGGCGCCGAGCAGCCCTCCTCCTCCGACGATGTGCGCTCGCCGACCAACGGCCGCATCTTCGTGCTCAAGTTCAACTCGTCCAGCCAGCGACACCTCTTCTGGCTGCAGAGCAAGAGCCAGCACCCGACCGGCGACGCGAACTGGTTCAGCGCAAGGGATCTGAAGATCGGTCAGGTTGTCGATATGCTGCTTGCGGGCGAGGAGATTGATGTGCAGGATGAGCTGAGGGACGTGCAGAATGCGGGTGGTGGGGCGGGAGGATCGAGGCCGGATGGCGATGGTGATGAGCCGATGGAGGACGTGGTTCCGGGGGGTGAGGGGAGCGGTGGGGCTGGAGCGGATGCTACGGGTGGGGATGTCCGGGAAGAGGGAGAGGAGGCGAGGGAGGGTGGAGCGGATGGGGGACGAGCGTAGGTCTTCTCTCTGCTTTCGCATCCTGCGCGAGCATTGAAGGCGTCCACGGCGTGTCATGAGGTGGGATAGAGGGTCTTGGCGTGGAAGAACCTACCTTGTCCCACTCGATAACATCCGTTTGTTGGGCTGGGGTTTTATTGGGAAGAACCATGAGGCGCAGTTGTACTCCAAAACAATTGAGAATGGCCGAACCGGCTGCATCACCTGCTTTTTGCCTATACACAGATCGGACGTACTGGTTCCAAGAGCACTGCTAACGCCTTCTCACCAGTGCATCCGGCTCGGCACCAACCGACGCAACAACCCTCGTCCAAAACTTCCTCAACTCCCTCCAATCCGGCAACACATCCACGCAATCCCGCGCACAGCAACAACAAGACCCCCCCTTCGCCACCCTCCCCGACCTCCTGCCCCCCAGCACCACAATCCCGATAATCGACTCCGCACCCTCCTCCCTCATCGATTCCCTCCTCTCGCACCTTCCGCCGACAATCCTCCTCCTGGCCCAAGAAGCCGACGACGCCTCGACCGTGGATCCAAACTCCGAGACCGCTTCAGCAGCCATCGAAGCCTTGTCGCTTCCGCAGAAACGGGATATCTTGAGGAGAGTACTCCGGAGCCCGCAGATGACGCAGAGTCTGGCTAGCTTGACGATGGCGCTGAGGGAGGGGGGACTGCCTAGTATTGGGGAGGCGTTGAGGTTGAGGGTTGAGAACGGGGGCTTGCTCAAAGGGGGGGCGGTGCCGGTGGGTGGGGATAGGGCTGTTGAGGTTTTCTTGGAGGGGGTGAGGAGGACGGTTGAGGAGGAGGGGAAGGAGGAGGGGGAGGGGAGGATGGAGACGGATTAGATGCAGGCCAAGCATGGAGTGCTGAGGGGGATGCGGCGACTGTATGGGAGTGACCGAGGTCAGATTCATCAGTCGAACATACTCTGAAGCCAACAGGGCGTGGTATATACTGCCGTCAACTCCAAATGACTATGGATGAGTTACGTTGCCCGCGCTAGTCGCAGTGCCATCTGTAGCCCCCTTGACAAGCTACAACGTGACCACGAGCGATATCATCGAGGATCACAGCGTCGGAAACCTCTTGCCAAGTTTATGAGCCTTTGGACATTTCATGGACCCGCCCCGTCGTGAATGCCTCGTCATGGACAACAATACGTACTGGCACGTCATGATCGATGCGTATGCTTGGTGATCCCTCTGACTCTTCATGACCAACTTGATATACACGTATGGGCAAGACAGAGCAAACTTGTGATGACGCCTCGTTGACCCGAGCTGCCAAGGCTTCGCCGCGATGAATAGAAAAACTCAAACACAGATGCTGTCCTCTGGTGACATGCGCCGTCAGACTGCGCATTGTTTTCCACAAGACAATGAACGGTAGGTGACGATAATCGACCCCGAGAATACGTGGCCACCAGTTGCATGAGCAGGCGCAGGCGCTAAGTGAGTCGATGAACGATTCGAAGAAAGACAACTACTTATGCCTGCTGTTCATCCCCAACTGCCTCCTCTGTATTTTTCAGTTCAGAACATTCTACGAAACCGATCGAACCGTCACCTACGATTACTTCCAAGCTTCCTTAACGTCAGGAGCTCGATCTCTTCCCGAATCAGACCCTTCGCTAGACACGCCTTGCTCTACCTATCGGGAACATGTGCCACCAAGACTGGGCAAAGTTCTCTTGTGGTCATGCCGACTGCGACCCGACGCAGCGTTGCGTCAAGAGATACCTCAAACTCGGCGGTTATTGCAGTACGGTCGTTGAAAGCTGGAAGACTGTGGACCGAGTTTGTCTTTCTTGCCTGGACGAAGTGAAGAGACTCAACGAGGCGGAGAAGGCCAGGTTCGCTCGTCATGGTGTATAGCCCACAGTGTGCGGCAAAGACCGGTAGCAGGATGTCGACGAGAGACTGTCGTGCTGTTGGTTGGCAAGGGTATGACCTGGCATTGCTCTTTTGGGATTGATTGGCCAATGTTAATGGGGACGCTGCTGGACAGCGGGCTCCGCGATGTTCATGCATACTATCAGTAGACTCCACATGTTCCTTGAACAACGAGAGCGGTCGTGCCCTCTAACAACTTCCAAGGGGCATGATGTGTTGTCCAGTATGTATCAGCCTGAGTTGACAACACGATCGAGAGCTGAAGATTAAGGGAAGCATCGAGACAGCAAAACTCAGTGGAAACGGCTAGAAGACCATGCGTTGAGTTGTGGTGATGAACCCATGCATTGCCAACCGAACAGCGGTGGCAGTGGCCGCGTCGCCGGACAACGCGCCTAGGAAAGGATACAAAAGCAGCCCTAGCTGCGCAGTTTTCTCATCCGGCTTATCCATAGCATTCTCGAAGTACCCCCTCTTGTGACTGCCACCAAACACGACCTCAACAGCCAAAACACCGAAAGCCAAAATCGAGGTGGACTTCGACTTTCCCAAGATGTGCCTCGTATGGCTTGTGAGGTACACGTGCGGGTGCGTGGCAGTGACCCAGTGGGAACGGTGTCCCAATCCAGATTGCCGTTCAATGCTCTATATGCCCACAAGCAGCGCAGGACATCCTTGCCCGGCGCATCGGGTCCCAAATGGATACCCAGGAGGAACTTGACAATGGGGCGGAGCGGTTGAAGGCGAGGCGCTCAGATGGCTTCCTTGATCCAGTTCCTGATTCCCGCTCGTCGTCTCCTGAACGATGGGACTGTCCAAATGTATCTGGGTTGGACAATTTTGGTAACACTTCGGACCGTAGAGTGCTCCCTTCTGGTGCGGAGTCCCCATCTTGTCAGGCGTAGATAGCGGATCATCTTGAAACGCCACTCCTCCCGCTCGTCTCTATCCTGTTTGGGCTTGGCTGAGATATGAAACGATGTTTTTCTCGTCTCACCCTCCTGGGCGACGGCAAGTAGAGAGTGACATGATCTATTCCGATGCACGAGATGAAAACTCAAATTGACTGCTGATTATATAATATAACTATGCGAATGAAGGTAGAACAGCCACGGACTGGGACACTTCATGCAGACCGCGCAGACCAAGGGTGATCCGAAGAGTCGGTTGCCGCATGGAAAGCTACTTGTAGCCCTGGAGGCGGATAGGCCTCAAGCACGATCTATGGGTCAAAGCGACCTTTGGTGATCAACGTGTGCAAGAGCTAACCTGTTGAACACATTATTTGCTTTCCACTACGTGTAGTTGGCCAGCTGCTCTATAGTTGACACGATCAAGAGCCCAGTTTGATCGCGAGTTTGGTATTGAACAAGCTGGAGCAAAGATGCGGCAACGACGTTTCGGATGGCCCTTGATACATTATCAAGAGGCGTTGTGGAATGCTCAGATGATTGTCAACGTTCAAGTAAGCTCCTCTTAACAAAAAGATTCGGAGGGTTACATGTATTTGCAGCAGTCTTGGCAGAAGGGACAGTAAATCTAGTGAAGCGGGGATCCGCTCGATGTCATGCATGAAGCTGGTGTGGCCGCCCAGAAACCGGCTCACGAGCATGCAGCATCTACAGGGATCGATGCTCGTGACAGATGCCGCCTCGAGGTTGCTGCATCGTGTCTGTCATCCGCCAGTTGCTTCAAGCCAGAGATGGCTTTGGAGGAGAAGATTGTAGGATGAGCAACGAAGACTGTCATTGCACGATGCTGTAAGAAGCCGTGAGGCTGAAAGGCCACGGGCTTCTCAGCAGGTATCGATATGTAACCGGTCGCTATGGGCCAGCACAGATCAGCAATAACTTAGAGTAAATAGTCTCCCCAGTTTCAAGTCTGCAAGAAAATCCAGAAACGGCTCAATTGCAGAACACAACCTTCGAAAACCAAAGACCAGTTTCCTGTCGTCATTAAAACTCCTACCAATCCCATTTCTCAACGCGTGGAGTGGTGTGTCGTGAGGGAACTAGCTCGCCGAGGCTACTCTGCAAGGTGGTTGGGCGAGAGGCTGGGAAAGCGACGTCGACTGCGATAAACCACCCACCCCATCTCAGAAATTCCACTTCCCTCGCTATTCTACCCGCACACACTCGCGATCCTATTTATCGTTCGTTCACTGACTTTTGCGCTCTTTTCTCGCCGTTGCTGCGTCGCATTCCAGCGGATAAGGCAGAGTAGTACAGACGGAGAGCATCGCCCAGAGTTCCCCGCCGAAGCTCACACACCGACTTCTTGCGAACGACATCCACATTCTTCAACACCACGAAGCTCGCCAGCCTCGACCGAACACATTCCACGGCCAATTCGGGCCTCGCCCATGATGCGCTTCCTTCTTGCGCCCTCGACACTTCTCTACACCACCCTCCTCATCGCATCACGGAAAGCGTTTGCAAAGCCATACCCTCGCAGCGCCGACACGGAAGATGTCATACAGCTCCAAAACAGCACGCTCGCCGCACGCCAGAACTGCGCGAACCCGTGTGGCTATTCAGGCCACCTGTGCTGCGCCGCCGACCAATACTGCTACACAGACGCGAACCAGCAAGCGCAGTGCGGCAGCAACGCGGTGACAGCAGCCGGCGGTTACTGGCAATACTACACCAGCACGTTTGTCCAAACCGGCCTCGTCACTCGGACAGAAGTCTACAGTACCTACATCGTCGGTGGGGTCGTCGCTGCCGCTCCAACCACGACCGCGCCGGCGCAGGCCCCGGCCTGCAAGTACTACCTCAACGAGACCCCTTGTGGAACCATCTGCTGCGCCGGGGGACAATATTGCTTAAGGGAGGGACAATGCGCGGCTAGCGGGGCTGGCAGCTCAGGAGGTGGTGTGTTCATCACGCCCGTCTATTCGGCCCCGGTTCGACCCACGTCCTCGACGCTGATCGTTGTCACAGCGACCGTCTCGCCAACTACGACTGTTCCCTTCGAGACGCCTATTGCGACGGGCGCCAATGCGACAATTAGCACGACGAGTGCGCAGGCGTCTACCAGTCTCAGTGGCGGTGCCATTGCTGGCATCGTCATCGGCGTCATCGCAGGCATTCTCTTGCTCACTCTCCTGTGCCTCGCCCTCTGCGCCCGTAGTGCACTCGGTGCCTTAGGAGGCCTCTTTGGCGGAGGGAAGAAGAAAGGACGACGAGAAGAGGAGGTATACATCGAAGAGCACCATCACCACGCCGGCGGCGCATCAGGGGCCGGAGGTCGAAGATGGTACGGTGACCGCCCAGGCCGCGTTGAGAGGCCGCCCCCGAAGAAGAAGAGTAGCGGATTCGGCAACTTAGGCGCCATTGCGGCTGGTTTAGGCGGCCTCGCGGTGGCATTGGGTTTGAAGAGGAAGTACGATAGACGACACGATGAGAAGAGTAGTGCGGGCACTTACAGCGAGTATACCTACAGCAGCGATTACACAAGTTCAAGTGAGTAACAACTGCGTATTGGAAATCGAAGGGTCATTTGCTGACAGAGACTGCAGGCAGCGAAAGCTCTGATAGGAGAACACGAGATACGCGACGCTCGTCTGGTCGGAGATAGGCTACCCACGATTGTACATACAGTGTTCACGAAATCAGTCTCGAGACTCGGGTGGAAGATAGTGTGTCGTTTTCAGCGAGCATAATGGGTCTACCTGTACTGGGGGCCTTGGCGTTTGGGGATCATTGCTAGTCAGTATGTCAAGGGCCGCAGTCGCTTTACGTGTGGGAAGATGCACTGAAGGGTGTTGTCTTATTACGCCTGATGATTGTTAGCTGGATGAGTGGTGAGCGCTGGAACGCAGATATACATAGAGGGAATGGCAGCGCACAGCGACGGCAGCTACGAATGGCATGGACCTTCCATCTCAATTACCGAATCTTAGTGCAAACGTGTCTTTGCCGATGAACTGACAACACCAACCCTTCTGACCGACCATTTCTCCACGTTGGACTGCCATTGACCCGGGCACAACCTCACGTCGACATCTGAAACGCTTGTCTCTCAGCCGTCGGTCCGTGTGCCCGCCTCCCGTTTCTTGGCACCACCATCATCCAACATCACCACCACCGCGCGCCCAACCGCTCCCGTCCCTCCACGCACCAAAACGGCCACTTCTCCCAGCAACACCCTCTCCACCTCCCCCAAACCATACCGCCTCACCCAACAATGGCCACCCTCCGCACCCTCCGCGCAATAACCACCTCGCGCACCACCTTCCTCGCCGCCCGCACAGCACCGCAATCACGGGCTCTGTCAACATCGCAAGCCCTCCGCTCCGCCAGCCACGGTGACCACTACGATCCCCCGACCGGCTGGCTGTGGGGCGTGCCCCCCGGAACGAAGCCGGAGAAGGAGGGCTGGGAGACGATCTGGGTGTGGGGGTTTTTTGGGAGCTTGGGGCTGGGGGTTGTTGCGTATGCTTATAAGCCGGATACGAGGTAGGTTCTTGCGGTTTCTGGAGCCGGGGGTGGGGGTGAGGGCGGGGTTAGGGATTGGAGATTGGGGATTGAGAGACTTGTTCGTAGGGGGTGTGGAGGGAGTTGAAGCAGGGATGTTGAAGGGAGGAGATGGAGGACTGATGGTGCTAGAGGCTTGAAGAGAACAGCAGACAGGGTTGTTCGACGTAGAGTGGATGCTGACGAGCGAGCAGTATACAGACATGGGCCCTCGAGGAGGCGCGGAGGCGATTGGAAGCTGAGGGCATTCTCACGGACCCGGGATTGAAGAAGGGGGACGTCAAAGCACAGAACACTGAGTAAATGGAAGAAGAACGAACGAGTACGGAGTGTTGGACCACGCAGCCGGAACCAGTGCTGCCAGCTGTTTTGGGCGTGGCTCTTGAAAATGTCGCAAAGATAAGCTGGTCGGTTGTATATATTTTTTGCGTCGATGCGGAATATGGTTTCCTTGTTTGGGATGAGAAACACCCTTCGTCCTTCCTTCTTACTTCTGCGCCTCGCTTTTAGCCTCTTAGGTTTGCCTTCGAAATGAGAGTTCTGCGCCGATATGGCCGGCCAAGTACTAAAAAGCGAGTACCCTTACCCGTAGCCTTGAGGAGCTCTTACGCCCGGTCAATTTACCGGTTTTACAAGTGCTGAGTGTATCTAAAAGTCAACCGGCACATTCGTAAGTCTATAGTTATGCTTTAACCGCGTTGCAAAATAGCTTCAACTATATATTGTAAGAGTATCCTCAAGCTTACTGTAGCCTCAGTCTTTCCACGCACTGTGTCCCGTTTCTACCTGATGATAAGGTACAACATCAATGCTCTGTCCTCGCTTCTGTTCATTGTAGACATCACGCAATTCGGCAACTAAGAATCAGCGTTGAACCAGAAAGACCGCCGGCATGGGCCACTCGACCGGTGATGTGGATACACAAGGGTATACAGCTCGGATTGTAAAGTCTCTACCATCCAAACCCAGGCTCAAGAGCCATACCGGACCTTGTGGGGAAGGAGCGGGGATTGAGAGATTAATCGTACAAACATTAACAGCGACTGAAAATCACGTGGCGGAAATACTTATCGCACAATTGCCAGACAGTAGGCCTCCGTTGTACAATACTTCATCAACTGCTAGATCAGCTTGGCATGCTCTTCGGTTCTGCCTTGTTCCGCTTGTCAGCGTCCTTGCTGTAACGAGTATTGGGGCAACAGCTTATCCTTGGAAGCCTGACGGGAGAGATATCGACTACAACGGAAGGGGAACAAGCCGTACGAGCAAGAGCGACTCGTCGAACATATTTGCACCAAACCTAGCTGGCCAACATTCACCAACTACACCACAGGGTAGTAAAAAATAGTGGAGTTTTGTGGCGTTCCTGAACTGCAGTAATACCACATCCTACGGGGGAATATAGAGACAGATTACACAAACGATCCGTTACACCTGGCAGACTCAACGATGATACGTCAAAACCCGGATACCATACGCCATGTCATCATCGTGGTCTTGCCGTTCTAATCTACTTCAACGACTCAACGAAGAGCTCCCTCATGCCTTTCAAGAAGGCGCTCAGATCTCGACTCTCATTCAATCTTTCCAGCACGCGATCCACCTCTTCGCGCTCCACTTTCGGCCGGTACGACAAGACCTCATACTCGCGCTTCCTCATATCCAGCTCAAACCACGCTTCCCGCTCCCAGTCCCTCTCATCTACATTCGTGTACACAAACTTCAGCCGATCGTCCTGCCCGGCGCCTTCGATCCGCAGACCCAGATATTCTTGCCAGAATTCCAGCTCCGGGATGTTATGCCGTGCCTGGCTGTCTAGATATCTCGCGTGCTTGTGCTGCGCTTCGCGCCGCGCCGCGATCTGTTTTTGGACTTCTGCGATCTGTGCTTTGACAGCGTCGCGTGCTGATGCGCGCTCATCGCGCTGCGTTGTAAGCGTCTTGATCGCCGCATGCATCTCGGCCGTCTCTTGGCTCTCTTTCGCGACGGCCTGCTCGTGGGAGGTGGTCTTTAGGGAGTAGACTTCGATGTCGCGCTTTCGCATGCGTTGATCCTCTAATGTGCATGTAGCATGTTAGCTACAGCAATCCTGGCGCATAGTCTTATGTACTCGCTATTCAGCGTGGGAGAAGCCCTTACCCTGCAGCTCGGTCACGTTCGATCTGAACTGGTTGCGCTCTTCCATGACGCGCTTTCTCCCCTTCTCGATAAACTCATCGAAGCGCGTTGTGAAGCGCGCCATGCGCTCGCGTAGGTCGTCGAAGCCGAAGTTGATACTGGGGAGAGAGTCGGCCATTGAGGGCGCGTCGGCGGAGGAGAGAGGCGGGCGCATCATGCTGGTGGAGAGGGAAGGCTCAAACATAGTCGCCATGGTGTAGAGAGTCTGTTTGACTCGTGACTAACTTCACCGGAGCTTGAAATATGTGTATTCGGACTGATCGTAGCACCTGGTGCTTCTAGACGCTGAGTTACGGTAGTGGTTGGGGCTGAGCGGTCCAAGGATGTGTGGTGGTTTTGGTTGTGTTATGATTTACGCCAAAGCGGAATAGCGCCAGAGTTTTGGCTCTCTAATCACCGACCGCCCAGTGACTTTGCTCACATTTTCACTTCGCGGGTACCGACAGAGTGAATCTTCAACTTTGACTTTGCTGGATGGCGAACGCGTCTTGAACTCACTCGAGCTTGTGCCGACATGAGCCACGCGCCGCCAGTCAAGATCCGCCTGAAGCCGAATGGCTGATTCCTCGGTCAACGACCTCATATATGGTCACTTTGGACAGGCCGTATATGACCCGGACTCGAGGACATGGCTCTTCAACCGGCAACCTGGGAGACGCAAAGTCCTGAACTTGCTGGGCGAACCCAGGACGTGTATTGCTCCTAGCATTCGACAGCTTCATCCACGCCTACCTACGTCGCATCGGAGTACATTCTTCGACCGTGGCTGCCAACAGCTTATCCGTCAGATACCAGAACTCGGGCTGGGCTCTGATAGTGAGCTTCTCTCCAATGCCGCGATAACATCCGGGGCGGTCATCTCTGCTGTAGAACAGTACGACCCAGTCAAAGGTGACCTTCTAGCTTACGGGAAGGCCGCCGACATCGACAACGGGGGTGGAAAGGGCAAGATACGAATTGCAGCAGTTGCGGGAGGCGCAGCCGGCGAAGCATTGCGCCTGATACAGGTCAGAAAGAAGCGCCAAGGCTGGGACCAGGACTACAGCATCTCTCTCGAGGTGCCCGACTTGGAGTCTGGCGATACTGGGTGGTGGGCCGGTGATAGTGCGCCCATTCAGCAGGTGTGCTTTTCGCATTCGAACGACGACAAGAGCAACTTCCTTGCAGTTCGGACACTCAGAGCTACACACATCCTCCGGCCTCAGTACTACCGAGAGCTGGTCCCCCCTGTAGTGCGGCATGGTGTAAGCTCACGTTATCCGCCATCAAGGGTGAACGCGAATCCCATATTGTCCTTACCGGCCCACGCGATAGATGTATCACATGCCGATGTTGGATTCAACCCTTGGTATCAGCGACAGTTCGCGATAGTTGACAGGGATGGGGAATGGAGCGTGTATGATGTCGAGGGCACACGGCGGGCTTCTTCGTACAAGGCGGTACCCTTCCGCTCTGGCGTACTGTTTGATGATCCGAAGCTACATGGCGGAGAGCCTGGTCCCGTAGCGCGGGAAGACGGCTGGATGCGTGTAGTGTTTGCTGATGTTAATCATATTCTTGTGTGCAGTCGGAGACAGTTTGCTATCTTCGACCTGAGAGTAGAGTCTGTTCGGTTAAAAGGCCCGGGATTTGGCTTGGAGCGCAGTCCGGACTGGTTTCTGGACGTCAGGCGGGACCCCGCGAACGACGGGTATTTCGTTGTTCTAACGTCCACTCATCTGTTCCTGGTTTGCCTGGATAGCCTTAGTTTAGGGGGTAGTAGCCTGTCCGCTCCCGAGGCCATGATTGTCTTGTCCTGGCGGCATTTTCGGGACGCTGAAGACATTACCATGCAATTGTCTGTACTCGCTGATGATGAAGGTAAGAGACACCCCTTGGTCATGCCGATTCCAATAGTTCTAATCTGACGGACACAGATACCCTTGTACTACTGTATTCCAGACTTAACAGTATTGTCACTTGTTTCAGATTTCTTGTACCACCAGATCAGCCTGCGCTTCCATCGTCTTCATCAGACCCTACGTCAATGCAATTACCGTTAGGTTTCACCCCAGAACACAGCTCGACGAGAACTTTGCTGAACCTGTCGTTGCGGTCGTTAGACTATCGCGAAGATCTAAATCCGCATCTTCGCCGGACCGGGCCTGGACACGGCTATAGGGATGATGAGATCCAGTTCTACTGCTTAACTTTTTTGTACAACGATCTTAGCATCAGCGAATGTTTCGCATATAAACAAGACCGGAAGGATCCGGTCCATGCACCCTCGCGTCAAGTTCGTTCGATAGAAGCGCCTAGCTGGACACGGCAGTATCCGGCGAAGAGCACCACGAAGGTCTCTGACGAGGATTTCATAGTTCATGATTCCGCTGATGCTACAGTACCTCGTCCCAAGGCTCCCAGGTATTCTCGGCTGTTTCCCAAGCGCCTCAGTCGCCCAAAGCTTGGCTCTGAGGAATGGCTGCAATGGATTACTGTGGATGAGGACTTGTGTGATCTTGTTGAGGAGCAGCTGCAGAGGGGCGAAGAGAAGGCTCAAGAAACGTTCGACTCCGTCCTAGAAACGATCAGGACTAGGATGGTTGTAGCAGACGACGAACCAGAGCCCCCGAGAGGAACCTTGCTTGAGGTCGCTGGCGTTTCGCTCAAGATCGGAGAAGTCGATATTGCATCAGAAACTTTCGAAGAGGTCAAGAATACCTTTGCTACTTCGAGGCTACCAGAGGAGTCTGGACGTATTGTTATCCCACTAGCGTCACCTGAGATGATGGGCCTCGATGTATCCCCTTCGCGCTCATCAGATACGAATCTACAGCAGCCGTCTGAGGATGATGGTAGCGCTCACTTAACGCTGTCCAATGTCTACGGTCGCATGCTGGAACAGTGGTTATCGCCTTTGCCGAGCAACATACCCGCCAGGCACCGGTTTGGATCTGCACGAACAGCCAAGAATATCGCAGCGGAGCTATGCCTCGCCAGCGCAAGGGCGGATCTACAGGAACATCCTCCGGCAGAATCAGAATCTTCGCCCTTGGAGAGCAGGATCGCATCTCAATTGAGCGGACCCTCCTCATACCCTCGGCTCGCAACAGCGTTGCCGACTCCTGAAGCCACGCCGTCTCTCCAATCAGCGTCGTTCTCTACATCTACGTTGTCATCGCTTCAGGATCCCACTCAGAAGTATCTGAGTCAATACCTGCATGCTGGCCAACCGTTGCCGCTTCCAACCGGAGTAACGTCACGCCTCCAAGCCCACTGGACCCTCGGCGCGGACCCAAATACCTACAGTTACACCGCGACGAACCTCGCCTTACAAGAGGCAGATGAATCTGAAGGCGGGGGCCTATCAGCCAAACAGCGGGCCCGGTTGAAGCGCCGCGCTGAAAAGCATCTCCAGCGACAGCGGAGAGAAACGGCTAAAGCAGCATCATCCTCCCAACCGATTCCCTCTCTAAGGATCATGAGCTCGCCCGGCCCACCTGCTAGAGGTCCAGGCGTGGGGAGCAGTCAGATGGTGTCATCGCAAATGCCTATGGCTTCGCAGGTCATGCCAGGGGCGTTTGGCGGGAGACCGGCGAAGAGGAAGAAAGCTAGGCAGGCGGGATTTTGAATGGATTTGGGGCGTTCATGGAGTGCCGTGCTTACACATCGCGGCGTACACATGTAGGGGGATATTGTGTGTTTTATACACTGTACAGCTTCGGGTTTCCTGGCCAGGTTTAGAAGGCCGTGGAATGGCGTTATAATGCAGGCCATGCTGGCCATACAGGAGTTTTGACGAATGGTGGATAGTAGATTAAGAGACAATGTGTTTATAGTATCAAACAGAGGGACTGTACTGCGTGGAAGTTTGTGTCCAGCCATCCTCGGCATCCAAATCAACTGTCGTACGTGCTCTGCACCTTCACCTTTCCGTAACGAGGGCGTCTCGAAGATGTGTCTTGATGCCTTGATGCCTTTATGCCTTGATGCCTGAAGCGCGTCAAAGTTGATCCGCGGAGGTTCTGCAGGGGTAGGTACATGAGACATTGCATCAGCAGTGGTTGACGGCTTGTCACGCAACTGCTACGCGAATCTTCCATGGGCGGCGACATCCTGTTTCAAATCACTTGTCAGCTCCTGCTGCTTTCTATCAAGCTTTGCCCACCCGCACTCGCACCATCATTCCGTACAAACCCTCCCGAGCACCAGTAACCTCTATCAAACTGCGCCGCCACAATTCGCAAGCATAGCATACCAGGTGCCTGAGGGCGCAGGCAAGCTGGGGAAGCGAAGGATCTCTAGCGGGGACTCGGATAGTCCAAACAAAAGAATCATGAAGGTATGTGGTACAGGATCTCGCGGTGTACCTGATTGTTTGATTGTATTGCCGCTGGATGTACAGTGCGGAAACTGACTGTTTACTCAGGACGTCAACATGGACAGCCCGGCTGCGGCTGTCGAGCAGCTCAAAGACGGGAATGGCGAAATCGATGAGTCCCTTTACAGCCGGCAGCTGTACGTGCTAGGGCACGAAGCCATGAGGCGCATGGGCTCTTCCAACATTCTAATCGTTGGCCTCCGAGGGCTCGGTGTTGAGATCGCGAAGAACATTGCTCTGGCTGGTGTCAAGAGCCTCACACTCTACGATCCAAGGCCAGCCACGCTATCAGATCTCTCTTCGCAGTTCTTCCTGACTCCCAACGACATTGGGCAGCCCCGCGCCGCTGTTACCGCGCCGCGCGTTTCCGAGCTCAATCCATACACACCCGTGTCTGTACATCCTTCGAACAATCTCACCTCGGACCTGAGCCAGCTCCAAAAGTACCAAGTCGTGGTCCTGACCGACACGCCCCTTCGCGACCAGCTTACGATCGCCGACTACTGCCACGAGAACGGCATCTACGTCGTGATCACGGACACGTTCGGTCTGTTTGGATCGATATTCACAGACTTTGGTCCAAGTTTCACCTGCGGTGATCCCACTGGCGAGAATGTGCTCAGCGGCATTGTGGCAGACATCGACTCCGACGGCCTGGTATCTGCGCTGGATGAGACAAGGCATGGTCTAGAAGATGGGGACTTTGTGACATTCGCAGAAGTCGAAGGCATGGAGGAACTGAACGGCTGTGCGCCGCGCAAGATTACGGTCAAAGGTCCATACACCTTCTCGATTGGCGACGTATCGGGGCTGGGCGAATACAAGCGCGGCGGACTTTACACACAGGTTAAGATGCCGAAGATCATGGATTTCGAGCCCCTGAGCAAGCAGCTGAAGAAGCCGGAGCTCTTGATGTCCGATTTCGCCAAGTTCGATCGACCGCAGCAATTGCACGCTGGCTTCCAAGCGCTGCAGTCATTTGCGGAGCAACACAATGGCGAGTTCCCAAGAGCGCACAACGACGAAGACGCCGCGGAGGTACTGAGCCTTGCGCAAGGCTTCGCCGGCGAAGGCGAGGACAAAATTGAGCTGGATGAGAAGCTGATCAAAGAGCTGAGCTACCAGGCGCGCGGGGATGTTGCCCCGATGGCAGCTTTCTTTGGAGGTCTGGCCGCGCAAGAGGTGCTGAAATCTGTCTCTGGGAAATTCCACCCGATTGTACAGTGGCTCTACTTCGATTCTCTCGAATCGCTGCCAACATCCATCAAGCGATCTGAGGAATTATGTCAGCCGAGAGGTACCCGCTACGACGGACAGATAGCGGTCTTCGGCAGTGAGTACCAACACAAGCTCGCCAACACCAAGCAGTTCCTCGTCGGCGCTGGCGCCATTGGCTGCGAGATGCTGAAGAACTGGGCGATGATGGGCTTGGGGACTGGACCAGAGGGCAAGATTTGGGTTACGGATATGGATCAGATCGAGAAGAGCAACTTGAACCGGCAGTTCCTTTTCCGGCCAAAGGATGTTGGCAAGCTGAAGAGTGACTGTGCAGCGGAAGCTGTACAAGCCATGAACCCAGACCTGCAAGGAAAGATCGTCGCTCTAAAAGATCGTGTGGGCCAAGACACGGAGCACGTTTTCAACGAGGACTTCTGGGAAGGACTGGACGGCGTCACCAACGCCTTGGACAACGTAGAAGCCCGGACGTACGTCGACCGACGGTGCGTCTTCTTCAAGAAGCCTCTCCTGGACAGCGGAACGCTTGGAACAAAGGGCAATACGCAAGTCGTGCTGCCCAACATCACAGAATCCTATTCGAGCTCCCAGGATCCGCCAGAACAGTCATTCCCGATGTGCACACTGCGGAGCTTCCCGAACCGAATCGAGCACACAATCGCTTGGGCAAAGGATCTGTTCCATTCCTACTTTGCCGGACCGGCAGAGATCGTCAACATGTACCTCACCCAGCCAAACTATCTCGGCAGTGCGCTGAAGCAGTCGGGCAATGAGAAGCAGACGCTCGAGACGCTGCGCGATTTTTTGGTGACTGAGAAGCCACTAAGTTTCGATGACTGCATCATATGGGCCCGGCACCAGTTCGAGAAGCAGTACAACAACGCCATCGCGCAGCTGCTGTACAATTTCCCAAAAGACGCAAAGACCTCCAGCGGGCAGCCGTTCTGGTCAGGACCAAAGCGAGCGCCGGACCCACTCAAGTTCGACCCATCGAACCCAACCCACTTCACCTTCACCGAGGCTGCAGCGAACTTACACGCCTTCAACTACAACATCAATCCCAAAGGCGTGACACGTGATCACTACCTCAAAGTCCTCGATGACATGATAATTCCCGACTTCAAACCCGACCCGGGCGTGAAGATCCAAGCTAGCGACGCAGAGCCCGATCCCAACGCGCAGCCCTCCGCGCACTTCGACGACAACGCCGAGCTGCAGAAGCTGGCCGAGTCCCTGCCGCCACCTAAGTCCCTCGCGGGCTTCAAGCTCGAGCCCGTCGAGTTCGAAAAGGATGACGACAGCAACCACCACATCGACTTCATCGCCGCGGCCAGTAATCTGCGCGCCGAGAACTACAAGATCCCGCCTGCGGATAGGCACAAGACAAAGTTCATCGCGGGGAAGATCATCCCGGCCATCGCGACCACGACGGCGCTGGTTACGGGGCTGGTGAATCTCGAGCTGTATAAGCTCGTGGATGGGAAGACGGATATCGAGCAGTACAAAAACGGCTTCGTGAATCTGGCCCTGCCGTTCTTTGGGTTTAGCGAGCCGATTGCGAGTCCAAAGGGCACGTACATGGGGACTGATGGCGAGGTGACGATCGATAAGCTGTGGGATCGGTTCGAGATTGAGGATGTGCCGCTCAGGGAGTTCTTGGACGACTTTAAGAAGAAGGGGCTCGATATCACGATGTTGAGCTCGGGCGTCAGTCTGCTGTATGCGAGCTTCTATCCGCCGGCGAAGCTGAAGGATCGGTTGCCGTTGAAGTGAGTCCGCCCGCTCCTCTTGTGTGGAGGTGAACATCAGCCTTGCTAACAGACGGAAACAGGATGAGCGAGCTCGTCGAGACAATCTCGAAGAAGAAGATCCCGGAACACCAGCGCTATGTCATCTTCGAGGTCACGGCCGAGGACCAGACGGAGGAGGACGTCGAGATCCCGTACGTGATGCTCAGGCTCAGGAAGTAGACTTTGCTCCCGTGGAGAGCTGGCCGTCTGGCGGTTCCGTGTTGTTACGGGTGGGGGACGGCGTACGTAGCATAACATAGATTAGCATGAGGCGTTTGGCATAGAATGTCAATGATGCAATGATAGTGGTCCAGCCCTGTATCCAGACAAGCGTGAGGATCGTGTTATGATGTTTCAAAAGTCCCTCCCTCCCCTGCACAGAACGGGCGTTGTCGCGTTATCGGTCTGTTCCATGTCGAGGTCTCCGCTTGAAAATTTATGGGAACTTCAAGGCGCACTGTGCGCGCATGACAAGTGTTACTGTGTGCCAGCAGCAGAAGACTGAGAGTTTGAGACTCCAGTCACCTTTACGTGACAAGTAGTGCGTTTGCAGTTCCGTCAGGTCTCCACGACGATGGGGACGTCTGGATCTCAGTACATTGATAAATTAAGTTTTCGTTTCTCATGCAGCCCGAAGCTCCAAGATCAGTCCAGTCACTATATACAATTTCCGCATCGACCAGCACTAAATGGCTCGGATCAGCAGGATTCGAAGTCATAGCACATAGCACATTACTCTTCATCAACAGCCGAAGATCCCTCCCCCCTCCACCGCTTCCCACACCCCCTCCCCCTATCCTTACCTCACAGAACACACCCATCCGCACACTCCGGGTCCGTAGAATTGTACGCCAGCTGCACGACCCGCTCGCCCGGCTCCGTGCTCGGATCCACGGCAATCTGATGGATGCGCGCATCCACCGGCGCCGTGACGGTCTGCAGCACGTCCCCAAACACATTCCTAATATTCGCCAGTTGCTGGCCTGCCGTGACGTGCTGATCCACGCCCACGAGCGGCTCCACAAAGCCGCCGAAGTTGGACGCCAGCCCCTCGAACGTCGTGATGATGTACGTCTGGCTCAGGTCCGGGACGTATGCGGCACCTCCGCTGGCGCTGCTGGCAGGGAGGATAGCCAGGTCTTCCATGACGCGGCCGATGAAGTCGACGGCGCGGTTGATGAGGCTCACGCGCCATTCTTTGGCCGCGCCCATCTCGACGGTGATGGAGGGGATGCCGGCGGAGACGAAGGTCGTTTCGATGGAGCCGGGCTCGCCCGGGTCGATCTTGATCGTGTTGGGCTGCAGCAGCTTGGCCAGGCGCTCGACGTAGGGGAGGCGGAAGTCGGCGTAGCACCAGAGGGAGGAGTTGGAGCCGGTTGAGAGGGTGTCTGGAGGGGGGGTGTTAGTGGGGGGTGGTTCTTCCTTCTTTCCGTTTTTCTTGGTGTCGGGTGGGGGGGCGGGAGGGCCTGGAGAGAAGCAGAGCCACTTACGCAGATCAATACCCACGTCTACCTGGCTGGTGTTCCCCCAGAGTCCGTTCCAGACATTGTACGCGAGCAGCTGTGGTCCGCTGGCGCCGTCCTCGGGTGCCACGCCGGGGAAGACGCGGTTCACGTTTGTCAGGAAGCCCGAACTGCTCGCTGTGAAATAGTTGCGCTGGTTGAGGTAGATGCCTGGCGGGTTGACCGTCGGGATGCCGATTACTTTGCACCACGTTGTCAGCCAGTGCACTAGGAGGGGCTAAGAAAGCCCAGAGGCCGAGAGATAGAGCTTGAAATCCAGATATCGGACTACTGGGGGAAAAGCTTGATGACGCTGAGAAGACGTCTCAGCTAAACAGACCGACTCACCCGTCCCGTTCAGAGTCCCCACCACGCTCTCCAACCCCTCAAACACCCGCTGCACGACCCTCACCCCGTTGAGCTCATCCCCGTGAATCGCAGCTGATAAACTAAGCTTCTTCCCCGTTGCGAGCGTCTCCGGCGGTCCGCGCGCGACAAAAACCGGGAGATGCAAAGGGAGTCCACCGTTCAGCTCGCCGACGCGGAGATAGTATCTTGTCACGGCATTGGACGGGACATCGGCGAGGTCGAGGAAGGAGACGACCTGGGCGCCTTGGAGGACGTCGCCGGTGAAATTGGTCTGGGCGGATGCGAGGCCGACGAGGGCGGCCGCGAGGGACTGGCGTGAGAGCTTCATGTTGCTGCTGGTATGGAGAAGCTCGATCTAATCCTCAACTCCTCGGCTTACAGAGTGGAGGAGCATTCGGGTATTTATTGCCGGGTTATGGAGAGCTCTGCTTTCGGGCAGCTCCAGCGCTAGACTCGTCATCGTGGGTGTCGCGGTACAGCTCCAAGCTCGATGGAGCTTGGCCCTGCACATTCGAGGGTAAAAGAGGAAGGTGGTTGCGGTAACTTATCGCGTGGTGGGAGCGGGGGGAGGGGAAAGCGCGTGGAGGTGACGATGCCCAGAGCTGTGGATGCAGGTCCGGCGGCATCAACACCATGCTAATTCTCCCTAGCTCTCTAGCGAATTATCAATTCTCGGGACTGTGGACAAAACACTGAGTCAGTTGTGACCGCTCCTCGGTTCATTCGAGCTTTGGAGCTCAGCCTCGATCTCTTCATACAAGGAAACGGTGAGGTTGATGCTCGGGTTCGTAAGGTCGTCGTGTCCGAAAAGGGCAAAGCGTGTGCCTACGTGGAACGTCGCAGTCTGAGGAGCGACCTCTTCTTGAGTTGCGAGAAAGAGACTGATGCGAGCCCCCGGTAAGGGTATGGCATGTTGGTAGAGCCTGGTTTGGCGGCCAAGGAGTATCCTGCACGGAAGTCACGGAGGACTATCGGTGCTAAAACCAGGCTCAGGTTTCTTGCTGAAAGTCAGTCAACGCGCGATTCAGCTCAGATTGCAGGTCGTGTCTGGCATCGGCAGGCGCGTGAGTCCAGCCACGTTTTTGGAACTGCTTCGGCTGCCGCTGGAACGCTTCTTCGGTCATCGCGTAGCCCACACGGCTAACTGTTACCAAGCAGGCGAACTGATGGAAAGCGGGAAGACACTCTGTCTCATGAAGTACCTGTGATGTCGTTGATACTCTAGATGCAAAGATAGCCCCAACGTCATAAGGATCCAGATGCAAACAATACATTTCCGTTTCAACTAGAAGGCACCACCGAGCATAACACGTAGATCGCATCCGCCATCCTCCAGTACCAGTGGCGGCTCGATGGCGCTCATATTGCACCGGCCAAACAGCCAGATCCACCGGTGCGGATACACGAACTAGGGAGTGGACACAGACGAAAGTAAAGCCACGGTCTGGAGGATGGGCAAGCGCTGTTGGAGGGCGCAATGGCTATGATAGTAACGCTACAGTTTACCCATCAAGAGATGTACCCGTATACTCGGCCCAAAGACCTGAGGCAGGGGTGCTTTGCCAGAGAAGCTCGGAATCTTCCTTGTCGGTCTCTACGCTGAAGTTCAATACTGAAGGAAGGACCCTCACAGGGCGGACCGTGAGAGGGAGAACAACATCCGGCATGATGACTCTACGAGTCCGGCACGAGGAACAGTCAATTCTACAAAGGAACCAAGACAGCTTTTCTACTCGACTGCTCGTAACCCAGCGCGGAAGTCCATTCCGAAGAGCCCGGTGAAGCAAATATCAGGCCACATGCGCTCTTGAATACAGCACGCGTAGCGTGACGTGAAAGTCCCGAAGCCTCGACCTCGACATTAAAACCCGTACCTGTCCTACAGCCTCGACTGAAACACAATGAGGGTATCATGAAAAAGCGTGAACGCAAGTGAACGATCCCAGCGACCTTGAGGGGCGTTACTTTCAAACCCCTACCACGTCTCCCCCTGGTTCTTGTAAGCCAGCGCATCCAGCGCCGGAATACTAAACCCATACCCCTCCGTCCTACCCTGCGGATCACTCGGCGAGATCTCCACCCTCAGTGTGACATCCAGCCCATCCGCACCGCACAGCCTCGTGCACGCCGTGCCAGTTGCCGCAGGATGCGTGGTCCCCGCGTCCATCTCGCCGGCATGGATCGGTTTCCGCGGGTTCGGCTTGCCGCCTCCGAGGATGGAGGATGAGTTCTGAGCATTACTGCTGTTGCCCTTGTCGTGGCCATTCACGGCGTTGGTGGTGCCATTGGCAGCATGGTGATGATGCGGCGGCGTCCACCCGTCGTGGCTTTCGGCGATGATGGCATAGTTGCGCGAGGGCATCGTGCAGTGATTCCCATCGCTCGTTTTCTTGCTGACCTCCTTCCCGTTCACGTGGCCGTTACTATTCGGTTTGCCGTCCGGCCCTAGGCCTGGATCACGGTCAAAGATCTCGAGCAGCGTCTCATCGGTATCGTGGTCGAGGTGATGGATTTTATTCCGGCGGGCCAGGAGATTCGCGACTGCGGCCGGAGGCGGCTTGTTGGTGATGGCGCTTGAGATGATGTTGGGCATGTAGCGCCAATCGCGCTCGGCAGGCAGGGCGAGCTTGGGGTTCGAGTAGAAGCGGCCGATGGCCCCAAGGTGGACGTCGCCGCCTAGAATTGTGATCCGGACGCTGTGCTGTTTCGCCAGGGCTTGCAGGCGCATCATCAGGCCCTTGCGTTCACGCTTGTGCTGGTGCGCGGTGTAATGATCGTCAAGATCGTCGAGGAGATCTACCTTTCCGTCGAATTGATTGAAGAAGTTGCCTGCGAGGCCGAAGCGCTTGTTCAAGAAGCGGATGGGGCCGATGATAGGGCTCTGCAGGATCTGCTCGAGCCACTGGAGGCGCGGGTATGCGATTGGTACGCCCAGGAGCAAGATCAGATGCTTGATGTTCTGGTTCGCGGCGAGCTCTTTAGAGACCCGGTCGAAGAGGAGGTTGTATGTCTCAGGGTAGTTGATCTGCCGGCGTGTGCGCTCTGTCCTGGCATCAATGCCCAGAAATGCGACGCGTGCCCCCAACTGACAGAACAGACTCCTACTTCGTTCTTCGACGTATGGGCCGGGCTTAGGTCCGATAATGTAGGATGGATCCTCATCCTTCTCAACCATGACGAACGTATCCTTCATCTGCACCGGATCAGCCGGCGTGCCGTTCATCCCAGCGTGCATCGTCTTCGGAGCGTCGGTGGTAAAGGTACTCTTCGGCGGAGCGATGTGATGCTGGAACAGGAGGTAGTACTTGTGTGCAACTCCACCAATTCCCCGAAATACGGCGCATCTCATGAAGTGATCCGTGTACGATCCAAAGCCGTCGATAATATCATGATCGTCCCAGATGTTCAGCTGAGGGATCTGTCCGTTGGCAGTAGAGAAAGGTTCGTGGTTGTACCACCTAATGTAGTTGTTGAAGTAGTATGAATCACACCTCTGGCGCAACTCCTCGTTAAAGGGGAAGTCCCGCCTCTTCTTCGGATTGGCAATATTCGTCCATGACCGCAACGGCCCGTCCACGCGTACGCCATCGTTGTAGATCTGATCCCCGCCTCCAATCATGACATGGAAAGGCCTGTCGGCGTGCACGCGGAGAACGTCGTTCCAGAGGGCGGGTCCTGACCAAGCATCAACATCGGTGCCGACGCTGAAGCCATTACATGAGTGGAAGAGGATCCGCATTGATGCAGTCTTGGAAGGGACGACGAATTGCGTCGCCTGGTCGCCGTTCCTCGAGTCGGGCATGCGTAAGCGGTGAACCTGATACTCCCATTTTGCTTCGGAGTCCTGTATGGGCAGGTCGATCCTGAAGCGCCAGAACATCTTCTTCGGATCGGCATAGAGCTTCTCGCCATGGAAAGACCTGGGCGACTTTCCCGCGCTCGTGTCGCTGCTGCCATTCAGGAGCTCAAGACATCGCAAGCTCAGCTGCGGATCTGCCTGGCCTGGCTTGGTCACGACCAGAACGCTTCCATGCCATATCGGACTGTCGTCTTGCGCATTGCTCATGCGCTTGTAGTTGAGTAGCGGACCGCAGATGACCTCCAACGCGTCCGATGTATCGATGTCCTGTGGACCAGTGCCAACGCCCTGAACCCCGTCCTGGCGCATGTGTGGCGGTTCTCCTTCAGTTGAATTCGGGTCCACTGCATGCTGCTCGTATTCAGGGTAATGGTGTCCATCGCGAAGGGTGTTTCCTATAGCAGCTGTAGCTGCTCCGCCTACTGTTCGATGGCCGGCCTGCGGACCCCAGTGCCCGCCGGCTGCCCGTCGTTGATCTGGTGTCTGGTTCTGCTGATGCTCCCATGAGTCATCGTATTGTCGTACTTGCTGAGAGTCCATGTTCGGTAGGCTCGTTGTACAAAGGCCAAACGCAGAGGTCGGCGACGAAGGGTAGAATCAGAGCTGTGCAACGAGATAGGGGTATCACTGAAATGCGCACGACGACAACGTGCGTAAGAGTACTAGAAGGAGGAGCTCATGAACGGCGATACTAAGAACGAGCGACGGCGAACATAAGAGCGGTGGTGCGAAGCCTTGCTCGGGCGCAAGCAGCAGGTTTACTGATCGCAACGCGCGCAGCAGCTGACGCCAAGCCTGAGCTACCCTGAAGCTGACCGGAATGACGGAGATCTGCGCCGCTAAAGAGTCTCCATCGCTTCGAAATGGAATTGGCGCGAGTGCTAGCTGCTTGAGTGGGTTAATGCAGGATGAATTAGGCAAAGGGCATCAAGGAGGAGCGTCCGAGCTGTCCGATGCGGATTGGTACGTTGGTCACGTGGGCGTTGCAGCACGTTTAACCATCTTGTCTGGCCTTGGGAGGAATGCGCAAAGGTTGACAGCTTAATTACCACTTTCCCATCGGACACAGACATACAGCATTCGTGTAGCGCCTCGAAGGAAAGTCCCCATGGTGATTTATATTCCCAACGATACTAAATGTGTGACATATGGACCAATTCGGTGATCGTGGAGCAGAACGAACGCCCAAAGCCATGAATATACAGCATTTTAGTGGGCTGGCCACGCCCAGCGCTTGACGTGACCCTAAGCAGGGCAGTCGAAGCTGCAGCCGGCGTTCGCCAAGAGTGCCGCTGTGTTGAGTTCTGCATAGTCGTTCTGGATCTTGTGCGTCTTCGGGTGAAGCTCCAGCACGTCCACGCCGATTAGTGGGTAAGGCCTTGTCCGCGAGATCCAGCGAAACGAGATTGTGTGGCAGCTGTGCCAAATGTTCAGCGGCTCGAAGGGTTCGCCGGGCCCGGTGGCCGCCTGGACAGCTTGCCAGGTAGCAAGAAATTCTGCTTTCGAGGTGTGAACCGGTGCTCCAGGCTGAACGTGCGTTAGCGACAGCAGTGGCTAGCACATGATAAATACGAAACAGGCGAGGTTACAGAAAGCGGCTGAAGGTTAAGAGGTCGACAATGTGGGGACTAGCCATGTGTGATAGAGTATCTTTTATGGTTCGGACTACAAAAAAGTGTCTAACATGCAGTCATGCCAGCGCCCACATTCGCACTAAGGCGGCAAAACATATACAGATAGTGTCACCTACTGGTTTAGTAGCGTTGAAGATTATCCAGTTTACACTGTCGGAGTACTCGTGGAAGTCGTCCGTCAATATTTCGTCAGCAACAGCTTGATCGGCGAAGCGATACAGCTCTTGAAATCTGGGGACCAGGGCTGCAGCCTCTCTGTCGGTGACGCAGTGGTGTTTGTGTCCACGCCAATCTGGATCGCCATCAGGGGAAGGGCTGCCGGCCACGAACGGCACCAGCAAAAGAGATGCGAGAGCGACGAGTAGAGATAGCATGGTGGGAGATAGAGTAGTAGCCGCCCAGCTACCCAATTCGTAAATGTTTACTATTAAGGGGCGCTAAGTGGTAGAGCTGAAAGGTTAATAGCTTGACAAGCGAAGAGCGCAGCCAGCCGCATTCTTATGATCTTTCTTGGAGTTATAGCATCAGAGCTGAACATCAGAGTAAGCGCGGGATTCACAGAAGCCAGCAGGGTGTTCGTGTAAGCTCAAAAGGTTCCCAGGGTTGCGATCATCTTCAATCCTATGTAAGATCCTCAACCATGTGTAAGATTCTACTGCCTACACAGGCGGATGTGGCTCAAGTGTGCAATTGGTATTATTGCACCTCCGGCTCGAACACGGAAGTGATGTTTAGAAGTGTACGTAAGAGAAACCAGAAGCGACGATGTCATGGTGAGATTTGAGGGGATGCTACAAGATTCGTGTGACTTGAAATTTTTAGAGCAGCTCTCTACCACAAGTTCTGAGGATTAGATATCCGAAATGCTTTGGCAGGAGGTGTTCAGAGGAGAGATAGTACACGAGTAGGTGCTAGAGGTTAGGATTAATAAACGTATAGCCACCAGTTTCGTAGTTACTCTCAAGGTATTGAGGTTGATGGCTGGTCCTAAAAGACACGACGGAAGTATCTGCGAGTGATGGGTGTCCGTTCAGCTGAAGGGCTAGGCGCTTACTCGCCCAGTGATCACATGATCCATAGATTTTGTGGATCGGCAGATGTGTTACGCAATCCATAGGGCTGACATACCAAGCACGGCAAGTCTAGGTGCCAGGTGTGTATCACACCTCAGGAACATCGACACTCCATTGCGGCAGGGTAAGGAACACTTTAATTCGAGCGAAGGTGATAACAGTACGGGGAAGCGCTGGCTATAGCATCGATTATTAATCTTCTTGGATCTTACAAACTTCACTTACGAGAGCAGGATAGTTCTCCAACACTAGCGAATGCCATGCGCCACATATGCTCCTGCTTTGACAAAATGGCGCCTTCTTCCTCAGGCTCTCGCCATGCCGTGCCACCTCTGTCCTTCAGAGGATCTTGTTCTTCGACCCCATCAAAGCAGCATACTCTTTCATGCTTGACCGCCGTCCTGCTCCTCTGCTCTCCAGTTCTCCGGATTGCACCACCCCTCTTCAGAGTAGCGCTGATATCCAAGCTAGAAAAGGCGCCAAATCCCTGCTTCGCCAGCAGTCGAAGATGTGGTGTTCCCGCTCTTCCTTTGTAGCTTGGACGCGCCTCGTCCACTGTTTCAAGAGCGTCCAGGGAATGGGACGCCTTTCCTCGAGCAGATGAGCCGCCCTCAATTACCTGGCAACACCTCCTCAACGTCCAACCCTAACTCCCTCCCCACGGCCTGCACGACACCCATCAGAGCCTGCCCTGTCGGCGTGTCCCCAAACTGCTCCAAGAAGCTCTCCCCATAGTCGCAGCTCTTCCCGATCCGCGGGTCCAGCGGCACGGCGCCCAGGAATGGAATTCCTTCCTCCTTTGCTAACTTCCTCGCGCCGCCTGTTGTCGCCCTGAAGATCTGGCTCTGATGCTTGCAGTTCGGGCACACGAACCCGCTCATATTCTCCACGATGCCGAGCACCCTGAGCCCAGCCTTGCGGCAGAAATCCAGCTCTTTCCGCACGTCGAGCAACGACACCTCCTGCGGCGTCGACACTAGTACCGCGCCGCTAACACCGGCCTCTTTTAGGAACGACGTGACAGACAAATGCTCATCGCTTGTCCCCGGTGGCGTATCCACAACCAAGAAGTCCAAGTCGCCCCATTCGACATCTTTCAGGAACTTCTTAATCAATCCGTTCTTCTTCGGTCCTCGCCAAATGACCGCATCATCTCTATTCGGCAGCATGAACTGCACGCTCATGACCCCCAGGTTCTCAGCCACCCAGACCGGACTCCAGCCCTCACCGCTAACGTGAATCGTCTCGTCCTCCACGCCCATCATCTTCGGGATGCTCGGCCCGCATATGTCGGTGTCCATCAGTCCAACAACGTGGTCCGGGTTCGATGCGAAGCCCCAGGCCAGCGCGGAGCTGAAGGTCGACTTGCCCACGCCGCCTTTGCCGGAGAGGACGAGGATCTTGTGGCGCACGCCTGAGAGCCGGGAGGTTATGAGCGGGATGTCGGGGTCGGGGCCTTTGGGCGCGGTGGCGCAGATTGTTTGGTTCGGGCAGCCGGCGCAGGCGGGGTTGAGGCCTGCTTGTTTGGACTCGGGGCCGGGGCAGTGTTCTGGTTTACTTTTGGTCAGTTAATGCTGGCTGAGATTGGGTCAAGGGATGAAGGGAACACGTACCTGGCTCTGGCGCAACCAGTTTCGGCGCGGCGTGGAGAGGGGCGTCAAGGTCTACTTGCGTTGACGCTTCTGCCTCGAGCGTGGGCGCCATGTTGGATACTGGTGGTTTCGCAGGCGGGTGCTGCGGAGAATGCAAGGACGACACTCACGGATCTTGTAAGGAGAGTCAGGTGGTTGGGAGAAGTGAAAAGTTCAACATAAGATGTCACTTTTGACATCCATGGATGCCCCAGAAAAGTGGCTTGGTAATCGGAGCCGTAGGGCTGACAGGGATCTCACACCCCGCCAAATGCACGGATCCTCAGCGCAGCGGCCATCGCGACCTACGATAGAGACCAGCATGAACTGAAGCGCCGACAGGTGAACAGTCTTATTGATACGAGACTCTAAGTCAGGTAGCTGTCTGCTGTAGCGACTATCACCAGCAGGTATGTTTGAGAACGAGACCCCGTTACAAACGCGCAAGTCGCGTGCTCTGACCCGCAATGATGTTGTGGTGGTGATGTGATTATGATGCCGATGGGATCGTCGAGCTCTTTCCCATCATGAATCCCATCCTTAAATTCCATCCCGTTCCTCCAACACATCTAGTTCTCGGCATCGTTTGAAAAGTCCTCCTCTCTACTCTGTCCACCTCAACTCTACTGCCTAGCCTTAATCACAATGGACGAGAAATCCTCATACCCACCGTTCCCAAAGGTCTCCTTTGGCCAAGCTCTCGGCATCGGCCTCGCCGCTGGATTCGCAGGAGTGGCCGCGTAAGAAGTTTCTCAGCTGCCTACAGCTACACCACCACCGCTGTATTACTAACATTCCACCAGCCTGACGGTCTCGAACAAGCTCGAGCAGCTCATCACCCATCGCCCGAACTCCTACGTGCCCGGCCACACAACCGGCAACCTTCTCGGCCTCTCTCGCGACCGACATCCGGACGTGCTGAACCACTTCCACCACTGGGGCACGGGCATCATCGCCGGGCCCGTCCGCGCGCTGATGTCGTACTATGGCATCATCGGCCCCTTTGCCTCCTACGTCTTCACCTTCATCCGTCTCGGGCTAGATCAGACGCTCGAGAACACGGCGGGGACGAGCGCGCCGCCGTGGACGTGGCCGATCAACGAGCAGGTCATTGATCTGCTGCATAAGGGGATTTATGCCCTGGTGACGGGGTATATTACTGATAGGCTGGTGAGAGGGGTTACGTACTTCAACAACTCGGACTGGTGAGGAAGAGGGGAAAGAACAGCATCGGGGAAACAGTGTTTATTATGTACAGGACGCCGGTGGTTGAAGCTCCTAATTAGCCGGCCGAAGGCAACACGGTTGTGCTTAAAGCAGCACAATACATGACGGTTATGGAGTTCGGAATAGCTTGAATTGGAAAAGTGGTGTTCATATGGATGCTTATACTTGAGATGGCTAAAAGTGATGATTGAGATAGTCTGTAGCGTATTGTGAGATCGAATGCCGCTGCCTCAACTGCCCGGCAGTTCATTAGCAGCTCGGTTTTGCTAATCAGCCACGCTGAACTCGCATCGTAATGCTTTGTCGACCGCATAAGGCTGTATGGACGTGTAAGAGGTCGACAACAGTGCAAGCCAGTTATCAAATCGGAGAGTTCTGCAAAATGAGAAGACATGATACTACTTACCTCACGTGATCATCTGCCTCCATCGCCGGCCTCAGCCCATTTGCAAGCCTGCTGCAGATTTCTACGATGACTCGCTCCTCAGCTTCTGCGAATTGCTCTGTGTCTCATCTTACTGAAAAAATGTATAGAGGCTGAGTAATACTATTGCGGTACATTTACAGCACGGGGACTCCCGGCTCGACGACCAGTTTACCAGGCAAGAGCAAACCGATATCGTCCGGTATCGGTAGCCACGGTGGAGGCTGAAGCTCTCTCCGGTGCTCAGAATAGCGCGAGCTCGACTGAAAGTTCAGACCTTGTGTTGTGGGCAAGCTGAAATGGTGAGTTTTGCGACTGGTCTTGCGACCAGCCCCAAGGACGATGTTCAGCCCGGGTCAGCGACCTCAGCCCTTTCAGCAGCTCTCGAATGGAACAGCGATGATCGTCTGCTAAGCTTCCCGCTTGTACTGATTAAGACGAGCGAGTTTCTTGCTTCTTAGGGCTGAGCACAGCCGTCAGACGGCATGCAGAAACCACGAGACTGCGCCCTGGACTCCGCCTCGACGCCGAGCTCAGAGCTGAACCTCAGCTGTCAAGCCCATCGAAACTCGTGATGCTAATATTATAGCAAGAAGCTTCTGAAGTAGTATATAGTAGGTGTCGCTCGCTGCTGGTTCTTGTTTTCTTCATCTCATTAGCAATCAGTACAGTTTCCTTATTTCCTTCCATCTTCAATTCCCTACAACTTTCGTTCCAGAGTAATTCGATAGCTTTCATTGCTACGCTCACTCTTCAACTGCTCTACTTTTCTTCGAACATCTTACCATAAAGATCCGGTCAATTTACTTCTCCACAATCAAAATGAAGTTTACCTCCTCTGCCATCGCCGCCGTCCTCGGCTTCACCTCCAGCGCCTTTGCTGCTCCGACCCCAAATAACAACACCGGTGCGCCTGCGCCGCAATCTGGCTCCTCCTACACCACCATCAATCCTACCGCCACCTCCCTCTACGAAGTCTGGACCGGCGCAGTCCACCACGGTGTCTACTACGGCAAGATCTACAAGTCCGGCCAGACCACCGACATCACTACCCTCGCGTCCTTTGACATCCCGGCCTGGGCCGAGGGCCACACCTGCCAGTTCGTCTTCGAGCTTGACGAGCACGCGACTCTCAAGGGCTCCAAGCGCTTTCAAGTCTTCACCAGCCAGAAGCCTGCGACGCAGAGCAGCGCCTCCTGGCCCTCGGGCAACCTCCGCGACCAGCATCTTGGCTTGATGGAAGCCACCAAGCCGGGCCGGGCTGCCATTGTTGACGGTCCCGCACGCAGCACCTACTTCCCTTGCCCTGGTGGCTATACCATTGCTGGGGAGTTGGTTGGCCAGAATGACCAGGTCCACATTGAGTGGAATACCTATGCTGCTGGTCCGAAGATTCTGATTTACTAAGTACGGGCTGGGTCTGGAGTGTCTGATGCATAGCAGCTGGAGTCTGAAGCGTTCATTACATAGCGACGGCGTTCTCAAGAGGATCTTGGTTTACCTGTTTTGACTTGCTTTTTGACCTTTGTATACTTCTCCTGTCTTTACTTGATATAAAAATATCTTGAGAACCTCCGACTCTACTCCTACACGAATACGTGCCACTGATCAAACCGGCTTACCTGATTAGGATGTGGTCCGGAGCAAGCTACCCCTCCTGGCCCCGCCATCGCGACATGATACACCGAAACAGTCCCAACAACCTCCATGATATCTCAAGCTTCCTTCGCGTCGACATTTTGAAGCAAAAGCCAAAATGCCTCTCACGCAACTTGACTATCTGCGCACTAGGTCCTCTGTCGACTGCGACACCCTCGACGCAAGCGTCGCCGCAGAGCTTGGCCCTTTCGTCGACTGCACCTCGAATCAGGTCAGGCAAGCATTCCCTCCCCCCCGACCTCTACCTTCATCATACGCGTAATCCGAAGCGCTATCAATACTATCTGCGCAAGCGTCTCTCTAACACCGCCCAGGCCATCGCCGCCGCCGAACTCCTCCACACCAAACATGCCACCCTAATCAGCACCTCCGCCTCGCGCGCTCGATCCCTCGCACCCCAATACCCAGAAACCCAGGCTATCGGGCTAACGGTCGAGCTGCTGATGATTTCGCTCTCCCTCCTCATCGCCCCACACGTCACGGGCAGACTACACACGCAAACAAACCCTCACTATTCCTTCTCGACGCCCAAAACCGTCGCCAACGCCCGCCGCATTGTTGCGCTCTATGCGCACCTCGATCCCAATATTACAAGAGAGCGCATCTGTATCAAGATCCCCGCGACGTGGGAAGGGCTGGAGGCGTGTCGCGTCCTAGAAGCCGAGGGCATCGCGACGCTCGCGACCACGCTATTCACGCTGCCGCAGGCGGCGCAGGCCGCGGAGGTTGGGTGTACATACATCGCACCGTACGTGAATCGGCTGGCCGTGCATTTCACCCCCGAGCTGGTGGATGACATGCCCGGGTTTGACGTCTGTGTTGCTGCGCAGAGCTATTTTAGAAAATTGGGGTACAAGACCAAGTGTCTGCCGGCAAGTCTGGTATCAACGGAGGAGGTGCTGAGGTTGGCGGGGGCGGATCATATCACGGTTGCGCCGGGGTTGTTGAGGAGGTTGGCGGCGGAGGCGTATCCGGAGGGGAAGGGGGTGGTGTCGGATTTTGATGCTGCCGAGGCGCAGGAGTCTGAGCAGATAGAGAGGATGGTTATGGATGAGGAGACATTTAGAATGGCGGTGAATAGGAGTAGAGGTGGAGTTGACGCTGGGAAGCTTGTTGAGGTGAGTTTTCTCTGGACGGATGTCTTGACTGTGGGCAATCTGGGTACTGATCGATTATCTGTATAGGCGATAAATATCTTCTCGGAGATGCAAGAGAAGCTGGAGGCTATTGCTGCGGAGGCACTGGCAAAGTTGGACTGAGGCAAGGTAGCAATTGGGTTCCTGGAGAATCTTGATCAGTCCTCAGCCCACGCGGTCCGTGAGCAGAATGCCTACAATAGCTTTATCCACATCGCTTCTCTGTTCTTGTGAGTGAACGAATGCTCCCGGATGCGAGAAGTACATGTATAAGCTTTACTAACCTAATATGGTTGGACCTCGAGCGTAGCCGCGACTTACCGCGGTGATCGTCCGGCTGGAAAGGGTTGCCTCAGATACGTGTGTGTTGAAGTCATTACATCGTTAGAGTTTGCCCGGAAGCCCACTGAACTGTACGATGTAATGTTATATGGGTATCCTCCTCATTTCCTCCAGCGTCCAGTACTTCCTCATATTCTCCGCTCCCAGCTGCCTGACCTCGTCATCAAGATGCTGCCACAGCACCGCCCCCCACTTATCCATGATCTCCCTCAGCTCGTCCAGCCTCAGCTCCTTCTCCCCCGTCTTGCACGCCTCCAAATACGCCGACATCTCATCCATGCCCTTGTGTATCTGCTTGTGCTGCGTCAACAGCTCCAGCTCCTTCCGGAATGCGGGCATCTTGCGCGCTAAGATCGGGAAGACGTGCTGCTCCTCGATCGAGTGGTGCACTTCGAGGTGGTGGCAGAAGTCGATGCCGGCGCCGAGGAACTGGCGGAGAGACATACCGCTTGGGCGCTTGTTGGTGGTGCAGGCGTTGTAGAGCATGTTCCAGGTCCGCCTGAAGTTTTCGTGCTGGTTGGGAGTTAGTTGCGATACTCGGTTCATAGGGTGGGGAGGGTCTACGCACAAACATATCCATATGCTCCGCCATCCTGTTGTACATCCTGAACTCTGTCACGCTCAGCTTTGGGAGCTTGGGCTCTGCATCTATGGGGGGAGTTGCTCCATTATCAAGGGGTGGTTGCGGCACTTGCGGGTCGACGTCGGCCATGGTGGAGTAGAGATACTGTGTTCGCGGAACCCAGATAGTGTTGTATCTATGGAGAGAGATGGTTTTTGTACGGGTGAACCTCCCGAAAAGACTGCGACGCATTATCCGCCTCCATGGTTGTGGTGGTGACAGAGTTAGTAATGCTGTTGCCGCCGGCAAATCTGGCTCCCGACGGCATGGATCCTCGTAGGGCTGAGATCTGGCCCGAGCGATCTCCATGCCCTTGGCATGCCCCTCCACCGAAATTTTGATCAGTGCCCGCTTCGAGGTTCAAGATCATAACCCGCACTGTTACCTGAGATTTCAACAAGCGCACATCGGCATAGCAGCAGACATGGCGCCCTCAGCGATTGACACACACACCGACATACCTGATACGACCGTCGCCCCTCTCCGCAAGATCCTCACCTCTGAAACGCAGCCTCTCGCCCTCCGCTTCCGCGCCCTCTTTTCTCTTAAGCACCTAGCCTCACAGTCTCCGCCCACTTCGCAAACCGTCCCGGCAATCGATGCCATCGCCGCCGCATTCACGTCTCCATCTGCGCTACTCAAGCACGAACTCGCGTATTGCCTGGGCCAGTCGGGCAATGGCCATGCCGTGGCCTACCTGAGGGCGGTGTTAGAGGATAAAAAGGAGGATTCGATGTGCCGGCACGAGGCGGCGGAAGCACTGGGAGCGCTGGGCGACGCGGGAAGCTTGGCGCTGCTCAAGGAGTTGAGAGATAGCGCAGAGGAGCCTAAGGTGGTGCGGGAGACGTGCGAGATCGCTGTCGACCGGATAGAATGGGAGCACTCGGAGGCGCGACAGGCGGAGAAGCTCAAGAAGAGGTACAGCAAAGCGGAGTCATGACACTTCCTATGGGCACAGGCAGCTAACACAATGGCCGCAGTGATTTTACATCCATCGACCCTGCTCCACCATTGCCCCAGACAGACGCTTCGCAGAAATCATCGATACCAGAATTACAAGCGACGCTACTAGATACTAGTCTTCCCCTCTTCCAGCGCTATCGAGCCATGTTCGCCCTCCGCGACCTAGCCTCTCCTCCAGACCTACCGACAGCCGTCCTAGCCGTCCAGGCTCTATCGCGCGGGTTCGGCGACCCCTCGGCGCTGTTCAGACATGAGATAGCGTTCGTCTTCGGGCAATTGTCGCATCCGGCTTCGATACCGAGTTTGGTGGAGACGTTAAGCAACACCGAGGAAGCGAGCATGGTGAGACATGAGGCGGCGGAAGCTCTGGGCAGTCTAGGTGATGAGGAGGGTGTTGAAGACATCTTGAAGCAGTTCTTGGACGATCCCGAGCAAGTTGTAAGAGATAGCGTTGTTGTTGCGTTGGATATGGCGGAGTTTGAGAAGAATGGTGAGGTGGAGTATGCGACTATTCCAGGAACTGGGCGGCCAGTAGAGGTATAGCTGGTCCTCGCCTGACAAGTCGTGTGACCTGCGGCATCTGGGTGCATATTTGGCGTTTCGTGCAGACGAAGAAAGCATCGGACGAGAGGGTGGCGTCGTCAATTGTTCGTATTCCATCTAAACGGTGTCAGCAAACAGAGGCTGAGGCATAGACGAAGGAAGATCATACTTGTGACCGCATTCGCATGTGTAGAACACCGTACTACCTTCGTCGGCGCTCCGGAGCTGTAGTGTATAGTACTTGACTTCCTCTCGGCCGCACTTCTCGCATGGTTGACGGATGGTGGCTTCAGTCTGCATATCCTCTTCTCCAAGCGTCTGAACTTCAGAGCGTTTCGCCCTCAGGGAAGAGGGGAATGCCGAAGGCTTTGACCGAGTGACAACAACTTTGGATGAGGTGTCTGCGCAGAGAAATGTCAGACTTTGCGTGATATCGCGTCCTCAGCCTCCAGTGACTACGACAAGGCGACAAGTGACATGCAACATTTGCACAGAACAGGGTCTTCACTCCCTGAAAGACCAACGGCTTCCTACCCCCTGGCCTAGGGGACTGAAGAAAAGACTGAATCAAAGGCGCCGCATGCACGCAAACTTTCAGCAAAGTCGAGCGAAGTGAAGTGAAACCGGGAGCGAGCATACAACGAAGGAAAATGGACAGTGAGAGAGATACGACGAGATCTGATGGAGACCATGCCTGGAGCTTACCTTTGTTGGAGGCGCCGCAAACACCGCAGATGAGGACGGCTTTTTCGTCGCCGGTACTACCGTCGAGCAGGTTACCGCAGTCGGTGCAGAAGACAAGAGAGCCTATTGCAGACATGGTACCGTGATATCCGTAACGACACCAACGAGTCAAGGCGTGCACTGCAATATCAAAGGGACTTCTGGATGAAGTGGTGGAAAAATTAAGTTCCCCACCAGGGCCCGCGCGTGCAGGGTTACTTTAGCGCTGTAGGGCTGCCGCGGCGCGCTAAGCAGGGGCCAATATCGACTTCACGCTCTGGAGACCTGTGCCTGGCCGACATTGCACGCTGTCGCATTCGCGGAGATGACACTCTCATAAGGTCCAAAGGCGACAATCAACACTGTCTCTACCGGCAGTATTCCCAGGCCTAGCATGCCGCTCGACCAACCCACGACGGCCTCTATACAGCTCCTAGGACATCCTCAGAGACCTACAGAGCTTCCCCCTCCGCGCCGGTAGTACAGGTTCTCCAGCACAACAAGCGGATATGAACGGTCACACTGGTACCAACGGTGTAGACCATCTCCGCCATGGAGTTGATCTCCCGTTTCGTCCTCCTACGGTGGACGAGGCGCTGCGCATCTCCCCACTAAGCTCCATAGTCCCCTTCAATCCCGGTTCGTTCTCCGCCCTCACCTCCACCATCACCTCCACCTCATGAGAGGCACCCTCCTCCAACATATCGCTTCACTTATTAACACATCCTCAAGACATCATTCCTATTCCCTCCGCCGGCCCTCCTACTATATCCGCTATCTCTGTCAGTCCAGAAGAACGCCGTACATCAAAGAAGACCTTGGACTCTCTCAACGCGGAGGCTTCAACATATGGAAGCACGTCCATGCGGCTACAAAAAACTCTGGAAGATCTGCAGCGGCTTCTGAACGCAGACGATTTGACTCAACTGTATGAACTCTACCATGTTGTCAGCTTTATCGAACATGTTAGCAGGAGCTGACCTCCCATCAGCGTTTTCAAGCGGCCTGCTGCATCGACAGATAAAGCGGAATTATCTCCGAGCCATCCAACTCCGGCGAATGGTGCCAATCTCTCTCCGGGAGCAAATCTTCTCCTAAGCCCATTCGCCAAGATGGTGTTGAACTCCACCGACATTTCGTATCGATGTATGTGGTAGCCTTCTACGAAAACGGTTTTTGTTAACACAAGGCAGATCCCACGCCTGTCTCCCCTAAACCTCCCCCGCAGAAGAAGCCTTCCCGAAAAGGAGCTCCCGTTGCCGACCCCCCGCAGCAAGCCCAGCATCTTGCAGCTTCGCCGTCTCGCCCTCACGCTCAAGCACAACCTCGCGCTCATGTTCACATCGACTCCCAGCCTCAGGCGTTGCCGCGTCCGCAAGCCAGCGCCCAAACTAGCAACGACGTTGCCGCTCGGCAGAACGCAGGGGTACAGGTCGTGATTCCCAAGTCTACACCGCTGAAGAAGACACTTGTACCTGCCGTTGTCATCCCTGGGTTGCCACCCTCCTCACAACGCACTGACTATGAGCAGTTCCCGGAAGTTGATGAGGAGGTCCGCGGCGGAGACGTTAGCCCATCGAAGAAGCGCAAGCGGGAAAGTCGGGCCGAGGAAGCCCCTGCGATCAGCTTTGACCAGCGGGAAAAATCAGACGCGGCTTCGCGCAGCTTGCAAGGCTTGATTGCTGATATCTTCGAAGCGGAAGATCAGCTGCAGCCTGATACCTCTGGAGTTGTCTCATCGCACACCACTAAGCTCTTTGTATCAGGCACTGTCGGCGAATCGGAAGTTCCCATTCTCGAGCCGTCTGTCCAGTTGCGCCTGGATTCTGCAGTACAAAAGGCCATATCTGTTGGTCGCTTTTCCGACGTTCCAGCAGAACATCTGGCTAGAGTGCAGAAGCTTTGCGAAGCAGCAGCCAGTGCAGTGGATAGCGCATCGCTCATAGTCGGTAATGGGTGGAGCGAAGGCGATGTTGAAGAATGGGCCTCACGCCTAGACGGTACTACAAATGGCTTACAAGCTGCGAAGACCTTGGTTCGCATCATGGCAGCGGGTCGGGAAGAAAGACAGCTTTACTCAGAAGACCTTCTGCAAAGTGTTCTGAATGCACTCAAGCATGTGCTCGACAGCTGCGTCATACCAGTGGCGGAGGCTCGGCAATCCGACGCCGACAGCGACTTGTTCAAGACCTATTCGGCACAGAAGAAGTCTTTGACCACGTTGGTACAGGGTTTCGGGAGAGTCCTGAAACTCCTTGGCGACTTACTCACCAAAGTCGATGTTTCCGAGAGCGCTGTTACGGCTGTTGAGTTCGTCTCCACAAGGCTCATATTCGTTGAAAATGCCCATAGTGAGAAGGATTCAATCCTCGGTGTTCAGCGATTTGAGACCCTCCGGCGCACCGCAATGGACGCTTTAGCCCAAATATTCGCTCGTTACTCCGATCAGAGGACCTTTATATTCGACGAGATTCTAACATCACTCGAGAAGCTGCCGGTTACCCGCCAAAGCGCGCGGCAGTTCAAGCTGGTGGAGAACAAGCCAATCCAGCTAGTCTCGGCTTTGCTCATGCGATTGATCCAGACTAGTGCTTCGCCATCAATTAAGAAGAGGCAGAAGAGCGGCAACGAAGCTACGGCTACGGATGGCGACGATGACGATGAATGTGGCTCTGAAGCCGATCCAACTTCACTGTGTAAGAAAGTTCAAGCGACAAAAGCGGACGCCGCGAACATGGACGCCGACACCGCAATCCAGGAGCTTGCAGACGTCGTGAAGCCGCTGTACGATGGCGCACAACAAAATGCTCACTATCTTGTCAAATTTATGACGCAGCGAGCGCTGAGTGCCACGAAGACCGGCGATCAGCCTTACCGTAACTTGCTTGACATTTTCACTGAGGATTTCATCAATGTCTTGGGCTCCACTGATTGGCCAGCTGCAGAAATGTTTCTGCGTACCCTACTCTCGCACCTGATCGGAATCATGGAGAACGAGAAGAGTACCGCTCCTGCTAAGAACATGGCACTCGACTTGATGGGCCTAATGGGCTCTGGTATATCGGATCTCCAGATCCACGTTCGGCAATCCGTTCGTAGCCTGAATATCAATGAGTCGGAGCTGTCCGCCAATCTCGTACCACTCGTAGATGATATACTCGACGACAAACCGGCTGAAATGGATATGTTAGATTTTGCCGGACCGCGTCGTGCAGTTGTAGAGTACCTTCAATCTAGGGATGTCGACGATCTCCAACTGCAGAGCGCCCGTGGCTACGTCATTACCCAGTGGGCAAGGGACCTTCTGTCAGCCTATGAGACCAGTGACGACGAGGATGCGGAATGGTTTAAGGAGCTTGCAATCAAGCTGAGGAATATGGTAGTCGATTCAAAGTGGTTGGAAGCTGAATAGTGAGCATGCATCGAGTTATTCTTGAAAGACTTTCTGCTAACATACTTGTCGCAGTGACTTTGAGCCAGTAACAACAGTGCAAGGCCGCGTATCCTCAGCATTGATCGCACTGTCTCTACCTCTGTCTAAGGCCTTCAAGCGCATATTCAGTATTCTGTTGACGTCAATGAGCAGCGATCAAGCTACGGTGAAGAGCAGGGCGTTGAAGAGCGTTGTTCAACTGCTTGAGAAAGACCCTTCTATTCTCGACCGAGGAACCTATGTACTCAGCCATATCCTCCGTTGTGCTGCCGATAGCTCTCCACTCGTCCGAGATTCAGCTTTGGGTCTCCTCTCAAAGTGCTTGACACTCAGGCCTTCGTTGGAAGACGAGGTGTATGAGAGAGTAGTTGCGCGGTCAGCGGATGCTGCGATTGGGGTCCGTAAACGCGCAATGAAAGTTTTGAGGGAGATTTACCTTCGGAATCAGAGCAAGGAGATCAAGTCAGCCGTTGCAGACGCACTGCTCCAGCGAATCAAAGATACCGATGAGAGCGTCGCCGACCTGGCTCGTCAAACTTTTGAAGAAATGTGGATGTCACCCTTCCACGCCATGCTGATTGTCAAGGACGATGTTCAGGCTAAGCTTGCTCTCAAGGGCCAGGTGGCACTCATTGTCAAGACAGCAACACGTGGCGAAAGTGTCCTCTCGGTGCTCCATGCTTTACTCCAGAGCGTTCTATCCAACGACTCCAAGAACGCGGCGGCCAACTTCCAGGTTTGCAAAGCGATGGTCGCCATGCTCTTCGACGCTATCATCGACAACGACGAACTACCCGATAAGCCGTCACAGAAAGACATCTTACAGACATTGACTGTCTTCGCCAAAGCAAATGCCAAGCTGTTCACTGGAGAGCAGCTGGAACTACTCGAGCCTTACGTCAAGAATCTTTCCAACACTGACGACTTACTAGTCTACCGCTCCGTAATCGCAATCTTCCGCCACGTACTACCATCACTGTCGTCCTTCCAGAATACCTTTCTTCAGGCGGTGCAGAATGCACTACTGAGCAACGTAGCAAAACTTGGGAAGAAGGAGCTCAGCGAAGTCGCGTCGTGCTTGTGGATCATTGACAGCGTCCTTAAGAATACGGATCGCCTTGTTCGCCTGATGGTATCGGTACTACATGGCATCTACAGCGCCAAAGACACCGACTTTGCAGATGCAAACCAGACGCCTGCTCTGAACAGAGTGAAGCGATACGCCATGATTGCAGGGTATCTTGGGAGAGCCTGCAATCTCGACGATCATCCGGATGCGTTCAAGACTAAATTTCCGTGGTGGAAGGGCACTTCGATTGCTGGCTTGGTTGTGGACATCCTGTGTCCGCTCACGCGACAGAGCCAACCCCACAGCTTGCGAGAGATCGTGCTCGAGAGCATTGCCATGGTCTGTCAAGCCTGGCCGAAGCAATATCTTCGTACCGACGTTACCACCGCCTTCGAACTCGTTTTCCACAATCGCGATGCTCGGTTGGAGCATGTGGTCCTAGCAGGCTTCAAGGGCTTCTTTGACCAAGAGGAAACCCGCTCAGAGACCGGTGCTGAGATCGCCGTTGGAGCGGGTACTGCTACAGGCACGGACAGGCTAGCGGTATCGTACGCTGTGACCGACAATGACGGCGCATCCCCAAGCATTGCGCAGCGATTCCTACAATACATTTTGCGGATAGCTCTGGAGACTACCGATGATGTTGCGCTTGCCGCAACGCAAGTCATTGCAAGCATCAACAGGCAAGGTCTGGTGCATCCCAAAGAGTGCGGCCCGTCACTCGTGGCACTTGAGACGTCCCCAAACACCGCCATCGCCAACATCGCCTTCATGGAGCACCGGACATTGCATCACAAGCATGAGACGATGTTCGAAAAGGAGTACATGAGGGCTGTACACCAGGCTTTCCTCTATCAGAGAGACATTGTTCACAGCCCCGAGGGCGCCAAAACACAGCCGTTCGCTTCAAAGCTAGCTCCACTCTTCGAAGTTCTTAGGACGGGCAATGCTAAGGTACGAAAGAGGTTCCTTGCCAACCTTTGCTCGCGAATTGATCTTGATATGTCAAAACTCGACGCTACCGGCGATCATCCAACGCAGCTGTTGTTCGCTCGCTTCTGCGTGGAGAACCTCGCCTTCTTTGAGTACGATCGCCTGGATGACATCCTTCACACAGTCACATGTATAGAGAAGATCGTTACTACTACAGGTGCTCCGGTGGCTCATGCTATCGAGACTGAGGTTTTGAAGGTCCAACTTGAAGCGGAAAAGAACGCCGAAGGGTCTCAGATGCTAAACGGACAAGCCTACCAACAGGGCACTGTAGGACCTGATCACTTAATGTATCCTCCACCTGGCGCCGCTCAATTGCCAGGCGCTCTTCCTGCACCCATCAACCATACTCGCCTGCGCGAGCTCGCTCTCGCATCCACGATCCTCACCATGCTCTGGGAAACCCGCACTTACCTCCGCCGCCAGTGGGGGCTCCAGAGAGCAGTCACCGCCAACGCCGCGAACAGCAAGGCCAAGACAGCCGCCAAAGACATGAAGAAAGCCCCGACCAAAGCCTCCGGCGTGACAGGGGCTGGCTACCACGACAACGTCCTCAAACTCATGACCTCCCTCTCAGCACTGGACTCGATGCTCGAGCGCTGCACCTCCTTCGTGGAGCTCCTCGCCATCGACAACGAAGTCAAAGTCGCCTCAGACGACGACGAAGAGGCGGAACTGCTGAAGAAGGCAGCGGGTTACGACACACCCGCCGAGGACGACGAGAAGATGAGCCATACCGGCAGTGTGGCGGCTAGTGGTGGCGGCAGAGGACGCAAGAGGAAGGGAAGTATGAGCGTTGAGAACACGCCGAAGAAGCGAAGGGGACGGCTGCCGGGAAGCGTGAAGGCGAAGAAAGGGAGAAAGGGGAGGGCGAGGAGTGGGAGCGGGGGAAGTGCGGATGCGGATGGGGATTGGGAGTAAGCAGGAGGGGAATGAATGGCGTTGCTGGGTCTTACGCATTGATGGGCTGCCAAATGGACGGATTGCAATAAGATGGGGCGTTGGCTTTTCAGAGATTTGGCTAGTAATGCGGTCGCATTGAGCGTGCCGTATAGAAAGCGCTGCGGGGAAAGCTCCGAAAGGTTTGAGGGCTCTGGCGCTCCGCAGAGGCGCAGAAGCATCGTTGCATACACGTCACGTAGCTCGATGGTAGGCTCGATGGTCCTCGTCAAAGCGCATATATATCAAAGCATATTTTCGAAAGCTCAGACGAGCCGTAGCCATGTACAAGGCTCCAGAACTCTGAATGAGGACTAGGATCAGCAGAAACTGATCAGGCGGGCAGACCAGCCGGAACGGGGAACGTGTAACTCTTGGTTTTGCGGCCTTGCCTGCCATGAATCTCCGCTCTATGACGCTGTTTGTATAGCTTCATCTAGTGCCAGCAGCCTTCCATGCAGCTTTTAGGGGCAGGGTGGTGTGTCGGTGCCGCACGGATCTCTGCACTTTCCCTTGGTCTCGGGCACTCCGACGCTGGAGCTAGAAACATTGCTATCCCAAGCCACAGCTGAAATTTTCGCTACAGCAGCATGGATGATAACGTCTTGGTTCGAAAGCTTATGAGCGCGATCAACAACCACGTTCAGGGAATTTGCCAGGGTGATCGGACCTCCTTCATGCAGGTACCCGTGCGCCGCTCCAGACTCTAATCTCGAGCAGCTTCCTCTATCCCGGCTATCAGCCCAGCACATTCAACACGGGCCCTCTGGATGAACCATTGGACTCCATCGCCGTATCCTGAGGATCTCGGTGTCCGGCCCGGTCGATCGTCGATAGGACCTGGATGCCGGGCACGCAGCTCGGACTCCCAATCTCTCAAGGTCCAGACAGCGTTGCCGCCTTGTGGCTACCGTTTGGCTGTCGCGCAACAAGCTGATGTCGAATCTGATAGCACCATGAAGGTCCACATTGAAGGAGAGACCAAGCATTTAAGCGATAATCACCTCGACTTGATCAATTTGAGCCTTGATTTACGCTCAGGATAGTCCGACAGGGTTCGCTGGGGCCACAAACCAACAGCCGGCTGGGCGAACTCTCCTCTCTCAGATCTCTTCTTCTCCAAAAGGCGACGATAGTGTTGCGCATCGGGATAGAAGGCCGTGTCCCTATGGCTCAGCTATGGTCAGAAGAGAACGGAAAACATCCCGTCGTCCCATATTCAGCCAGATGTGATGTCCGATCTAGGTCTGTCTATGGATGCGGTCTGAACAGCTGGTCGACCTCAATGGGCGTTAAGCCTTTCGCGACACCCACGTTTTAGCCGGCGAATTGTACATATCTCAGCCAGCCATAGACAGCCGAAGCCGACGAGTTGTTAAAATCTGATTTTAAGGCCTGTGCTCCAAGCCATTGCTGCCGCACATGTCAATAGATATTGTAGGTATTCCAAATGGTGTCTCCAGAGGAAGAGAACTTATATACACCCTCTGTTTTTCGTCTTCCACAGTCCATCTTAAGTATCACCTTGTCCTATTCTCTTTCAAATTCCATCATATCTGGCTTCTAGAGCTTTCGCTCGAAGCATTCCACTCGTTTCGCAATGCGTACCACCTTCCTTTGGGTAGCACTTGGTGCTGTAACCGGAACAATGGCTCAAATCCCTTGGGACGTTGTTGACGCTGCGCCGGCGCCTCCTTCCCCGACTATCGCGATTGGCGTTGCGGCGCAAACAATCGAGTACAAGCCTGAGGAGGCATCTGCATCAGTCGAAGCTGAGATCCTCGCCCATCCTATCGCTACGGAGGCCGCGTCTACCACTCCTCTTCCTACGGAAACTGGATCAGCCGTCGAGAAGCGAGACCTGTCGAAGCGAGCTTGCGAGGCTCAAGCAATTGGTGCTGGGCCTGTGCCTTCGCCAGATACCGCCAGTGCCTTCCTTGCTCACAGTGCGTTTGCCGCTACTGCAACAGCTGCTCCCGTACCCTCAGGGTATACGAACACTTTCACAAACTTGAAAGCTTCCAACAATGCCTATGGTAAGGCATCCTTGTAGAGTGTTCGTGTATCAACGGGTTGTTAACGACCTCAGGTTACATGGGCTTCACTACGCTAAAAACATACGACTCCAACGTCTGTGCCTCGAAATGCAACGCCATTATGGGATGTGCTGCGTTCAATCTTTGTAAGTGTATCCTGATAATATGTTGCGTCCTTACATGCTGATGCTTCCTCAGATTTTGAACGCAATCCTATCCAGGCAGTAAGTCTAGCGACGAGGGTCTATCAACGTACACACCTGACATTCTGTTAGCCCGGCGATGGTTGCAAGAACCCGCCCAGCTCAACCCACATCAAATGCGTCTTCTGGGGCGGTCCAGTCTCCACAGAGAATGCCAAGAATTTCGGGCAATGGCGCCGAGACTTCCAAGTCGTTATAGCTGGGTCAAACGGTAAGCTCTGATCTCCTGTATCGACATACTCTTGACTTACTCGAATCAGGATACGTGAGCAACAGCATAAAGCCCATCGAAGGCTACACTGGCCCAAATTACTTAGGCAAAGCTTCAATAAATGCTCCGCTTGACTGCTCGGGAAGTGATACTTTCGTCGGAGCCACAATGTTCACCGCGGGTCCTTTCGATGCTGGTCTTTGCGCTAGCGCTTGTGCAGCACACAATGAGTACGCGCGCAACGCGGCAGTCAAACCAAGAACCTGCCATTTCTTCAATACGTATCTGTTACTCAAGAACGGCATCAGCACAGGTTAGTCGCTGAAGATATGAAGACTCAGAGTTTACTGCTGACGCTTGTGCAGGGCAGGTATGTGTCATGTACAGCAAGTCATGGGATGCTAGCTACGCGAAGAACACCGGAGAGACGCGCGGTTCCGACAAATACACAATCGCGTTTTCCTACTCCTTTGTCGACTCCCAAGACCCAGGAAAGCCGGCCATCCCGTGCGATGTCGCAGCTGCAACATCACTTATCAAGACTTCATCTCTCGAGCCGTTCTGCACCGGGCTTTTAGGCTATGCAGCACCAACCGTGACCGTCTCGCATACAGTCACCACGACTCTGCCAGTCACTGCCTTCGAAACTTTCGGTGTTGTCACCGCTACGTTCACGACCAGCGCCTTTACCACCGTCACTAAAAAACAATGGCGCAAGAGGGGAGTAGTCACACCAGAGGCGCTTGCAACCATCTCGCCAAGCGTCGTGAGCGCCGCCTGCAGCCTCCAAGCCAGCAAAGTAACCACGACAGACACCGTCTCTGAAACAGCCTCCGCCACTGACCTCGTCACCGAGTACATCACTGTCCCATCAGCAACCGTCACCGAGACAACCACGGCTATGCAAACGGCCGCGTCCTGGTGCGGCGGCCCAGCTCCCGCGAACATCGGTTTTGAGTCCGGCTTGTCCGGTTGGACGCCCGATTACTACCGCAACGGCGGGCCCGCCACTGTCGAAGCTCAGGGTGGCGGATCAATCCACGCATGGTGCCGCTCCGACGTCGGATGGGACTTTGCGAAGGCAGGCGTCCACAAGGTTCTCGAGACGTGCCCGGGCACGACGTACAAGCTTGTTTTCAGCTACAAGCAGGACATGGGTTACTCGAACTCGAACAACTACTTCATCCTCATTGCGAATTCGAGGGAGGTTTTCAACATGCGCGGTGGCTACGGTAATCATTTCGGCGTCCAGCCCGGGAACTGGGATAGGAGGGAGTTGACATTCACGGCGACACAGACGACGACATGGTTGTCGTGGTGGTTGGTGTGTGGCGGGTACAACCAGATTGGGTATTCATTTGATATCCTGGAGTTGCGGTCGGTTTGATCGAACGGTTGCCGGCGGAGCTTGTGTCATAGCAGTTGCGGTTGGTAATGTTTAATAGAATTGATGCATCTCGTCTTTGAATCCTGCGGTAGAGTGTCGGGTAGTTGATCAAAACATACCGATTGCCCGTCTGTTGGATAGCCAATACTTCAAGCCATCTTGTGTTAGCTGTGGAGAAGAAAACGCTTAAGCTTCTTTGCGTGCGCAAAATAGGAGAGGTTCGAAGACTTTGGCTAAGATCTTGATAACGCTGTTCCAGGCCCTGCCCGCTCGCTGCAGCAACAGGCGGGAGACCTGATAATGCTGCATACAGTAGCTGCACTAGAAGCACTGATGCTCATACTTTTGACACGGCGTCGTTCTGTCGGCCGGCCGATAAGTTCTCTCTTCTTGCTGACTTCCACAATGCTTATGTAAAGTACGAAACGTCAACGAATGAGTTGATTGACAGGCCCAGGACCGAGTGTTTTACAGAGTACCTGGCTACCTACGAAGGCGGTAATAAAGCTGAGTAGTAAGAAGCTGTAATGTGTTGTAGCAGCTCCAATGACGCATCCGAACAGACTCGCCGTGATCTATGGGCAACAATGGAAGGTGGCATGGACGCAAGAAACCTCATTTAGTTATACAGCCAGTGATAAGAGTTACCTCTTTGACGTGTAGCGAGGAGGATTACCGCGGCCAACTGATTCCGCACTTGCATGACAGATGGATCTCAATAGACCTCTTATACATCAGCCACACACGCGAGCCTTGCATCGAACCACAACTCACGCTTCAACACAGCTGGAGGATGAGTTCAGGCCAATTCCACCTCAATCAACTTCTTCGGAGCCTCGCCACAGTCCTAGATCTCCACTATCGTCAACCCGACACTCCCCAACAAGTCTCTCCAACCTTTCTCCCTACGTTCGGCAGCCGAGTGTACGGTCATCATGAGCATATCAACGCTTGTTGCAAACCAACCGGCTCCAGTTTCCGGGATCACGATCTCAATGATCAAGATCTTGCTGTACCCTCGGTCCATCGCAGGTTTGAGATTGCTGAGGATCTCGCGGCACTGCACGTCGGGCCAGTCGTGGAGCACCATCTTCATATAGTAAGCCTTCGCTCCCTTGACTGGCTAGGGGGTGAAGAAGTCGTGGGCCCCGGCTTCGATGGGCTCAAGCTTGGCGGCATCCAGGCTCTGGATTGTTGTAGGTAGATCCTGGAGAATGAGTTGGCCAGGCAGGTTCGGATGCGCCCTGTGGAATCCGAGGATGTCGTGACCAGTATTTTCACCGACGTCAACTAGGAGGACAGCGGAAGCATCGGACGGTGTTCCAAAGATCTCGTCCACGGGGACGGTTTCGTACCACTTCCTGGCCGTGGTCTTGAACTTCATGTGGTTATGGAACGCTTCTGCTTGGGTTTCGTTGCCCGGTTGGAAGATCCACTCGAAATAATGGAGATTCGTGTTCGCGGCATATTTGAAAGCGCTGACGTCCTTGTCCGTGGGGTTCTTGTATCCCGTCTTCTTGAGGAACTCAGGTAACTTGGAATTGACCAGTTTGAGGCCATCGTGGCTAGGTAGCGAGGGAATGGTTAGTACGTGTCTAAACTCTACGTGTCACTCAAAAACTCACCAATTAACAACCATTCCAGCGGCTTCGGGGGGCTGCCAGGAGCTTCGTCACATCAGTAGCGACATACTCGTCGGGCCCTGTCTCTTTGACGATGTCCGCAGTGGCCAGGTGTTTGAGAAATTGTTCTTATTTCTTGTTAGCGCCCTTTCGATCGTAGTAGACACAACCGTCGGCTGACTGTACCTAGGAGTCTTGGATCCGATCTTGTCATATCCGCAAGCTGTGTAGCGCTCTTTGGGCTTGCATTGTCTTCCATCAGTTTGCCAAAAAGGTTCAGGTCGATTCCTACCCGGACGGCCGCTGCTACCGTTGGCTGTTTCCGGAGCGTATGTTTAACAGTTATGTGCCGAACCCACTGCTTGACTTGCCTCGTGCCAGCTCATCCGCACAACTCTCTTAGCGGGCGTCTCGAGCGCAGAAATCAAGGCGCGCGCTGCCGACAATAGAGCTTGTCGTTCAATCTCATCATCAGGTACAACATATTGTCCCTTCTGCTGGATCTATTGAAGTAAAGGAAGGAGATCTTGAATAGACATTGTGACACGCTTTGAGTATACACGAACAACAAGAAAACGCAAGACTCTGGATGAACGGAGTCTAAGTAGTTATTTAGACACTCAATAGAGCATATTCACAGTTATACTGGGAGGGGTAGTAAGGGCCAGCCCTTGGGTTTCGAGGGTAAGTGCGGTATAGCGTGCCATGATGAAGAATTCGGTGGCGTTCAAGTGCCGGCCAGCTGAAGGATTATGAGTTGAACGACTTTGCAAGCTAAATGAGCTGAAAGCAGCTGAAGAAGTCGCAGGAGCTGAGCAACTGATGTACGGCTTATCATTTAGGTAAGCGATATAACGCCCATGGTGAGTAAATGCCATCGAGGGACTCAACATCTCAAATCTTCACGATTGTTGCTGATGTATCTGCGGCCCGTTAGGGCTTAGTCTCACTTACGTCATCACCGACCTCCATCAAAGTTCCAGTGAGCTTCCTTCAACTACAACGTCGATATCACGAAACTTCTCCGCTCTAAGCCATAGATCTGCGACACAAACAGCGCAAGCTACGCGTGACGGCCGGACCAACCATTCAGGAACTCGATCCGAAAGATACACAAACCGACTGCGTGAGAACTAGGGCGCAACCCGGAGTACCTCAGCTAGCAACTCAAGCAGTAACCCAGCTCTTACTCGCCACACTTACCCAATCCTCCATAACAACACATCATGGGCTCCGTCGTCCTCCCCCACCTCGTCACAGGCTGGCACGTCGACCAAGCCATAATGTCCGAAGAAGAGCGACTGGTCATAATCCGTTTCGGGCGCGACTGGGACCCCGAATGCATGCGACAAGACGAAGTCCTTTACCGCATCGCGGACCGCGTCAAGAACTTTGCCGTAATCTACGTCTGCGACCTGGACCAAGTCCCGGACTTCAAGCAGATGTACGAGCTGTACGACCCGGTCACGCTCATGTTCTTCTTCAGGAACAAGCACATGATGTGCGATTTTGGGACTGGCAATAACAACAAGCTGAATTGGGTGCTCGAGGACAAGCAGGAGTTGATCGATATTATTGAAACGATTTATAGGGGCGCGAAGAAGGGGAGGGGGTTGGTGGTTAGTCCGAAGGATTATTCGACGAGGTATCGGTATTGAGTGTGGCCTAATTTGGGAGTGGCACCTACTGGACGATAGGAGGACGAGGGGCTTTGGTGACGATGCACTGAGAACAACGGACATGGCTGGGGAAGCATGGAACAGCGGCATGATGATATAAGAAGCTGGACGGACACGATATACCGCTTCGATGGCATGGGAGTTTGGGCTTGGATATGGTTAGTTCCACTTTGCTTTGCAGTCCTGCATCATAGACAGATTGCTAATGCGAGTCATTTAAAAGCCGATTGCTCACCATCACTCATGAGTGAAACAACTGTGCTTTGCCAAGGCGATAAAAATGCCTCGGTTTTCCTCGAATAACTTGCCGGCGCTTGCATCGCATAGATTGGCACAAACCAGAGTCTTAGGGCTGTGTGTGCTCTGTAGTCCATATATGGAGCTCTCCTATGGATATCTCGTTACCTACGCCAGCTCTCTGGCCAACCCACGCTCTCCCCTGGAAGAAATGCAACTCCGACCATACTCCAAAGCCCATTCGTGACCCATCGCCACCCCTGTTTCCAGACGCCTATACTACCCCGCAAATGCTGCCCAAAAGAAGCCTCTAAGTGCCTCAAGCCTCTCACTTCAACGAAAAGAAATGGTGCTTCTTCTTCTTCTCCTTCTCCGGCGGCGCAGCCGACGCCTTCCCACTCGCAGCCGCCAAATGACTCCCCTGCCCGTTCTGCGTCGGCCTCGGCGTACCGCCTCCCAGGCTCACATTCGCCATCGCCTGCGTCGGCGGGGCCGTCGGCTTCGGCAGCACCTGCTTCTGCTGCTGCTGCTGCTGCGAGGGCGACGGTTTAGGTTCCTCCTCGCGCTCAGAGATCCACGCCGGCGCCTTCCGCGGAGGCTGCTCAGCCGGGATACCCAACCTCCTCTTATCCACACTCAGATCGCCCAGCTGGCGCATAAAAAATTCCGGCGTTAGCATATGCGACGTGACTAGAAACACATCCCTGCTCGTGTCGCGCGAGACTTCGTAGCAGGCCCTGCTCTCACTGTACGTCGCGCCACCGGCCATGAACACGATGACGCGTTGGCGGGGCTCGACGGACGAGAGGCGGGATTTTGCCCAGGTGGGCTTCGCAGAGCGCAGGGAGGCGGAGGAGATGGGAGCGTTTGAGGAGTCGTCGGAGGCGTCGAGGTGCGGCTTCGTGTAGGGGAAGAGGGACTGGTCGAGGGTGCCGTGGACGTGGTTTTCGAGCATGAGCTTTAGGTTTGTTTCGAAGCGGGACAGGGCGTATTCTTCCCAGCCGTTGGGCGGAGGGGGTTTTTGGGCGAACAGGGGCGGGGGTGGTTGGGTTTGGTCTTTGAGGGGTTTGGCGACACGTGCGCCGAGCAATTCGAGGTTAGAGATCATTTCGGCGTCTTGCTGCGGTAGCTGGGCGTGTGCGAGGAGCTTGGAGAGGTCGGCGGGGAGCAGGCCGTTGCGGTACAGGAGATAGAGCGTTATGAGGCGAAGGCGATCGGGGCGGCGAACCGCTTCTTCGTCGAGGGTGCGGATGAGGGTTTCGGAGAGCGCTTTTGGTTTTCGGCCGTCTTCGTCAAGGCCGGTCGCAAGCGTCTGCTGCTGAGTGAGTAGTTGATGCGAAAATTAGGGCGGCAAGCTACGCACCTGCTCTAAAGATGCCACATCAGGGAGTTTGTGGTGCTCAAAGATGTTCATGCAGTCTTGCGCCATACTTAGGTTTAGTGTGTAAGCTTCTTTCATCTCCTGAAACTGCGGAAGGCCAGCTATCATGTCTTTTATGGCGTTTATGCTAGACGCATTGCCATCGGCGTTGTTGAAGTGCGGGTTCTCGTCGAGGAAGCGCTGAAAATCGCCCATGAGTTTCTGTATAGTATCCACCATGTGTCGATGCCGGTTCTCAACCCATATCTTGTCTTTCTCGCTAATGATCATCTCTTTCTCCTCCTGATCTGGCCGGCCTTCGTTGACTATTACTTTATATATGACCTTGTCGCCGCTGTCCTTGATTGGCAGCAAATCGTGCGCCATGGCTTGGTAGGTGAACTCATGCAGAAATGGCGCGGATAGATCCATAGACCGATCGGTAATGTACAATGCGCCTCGCGGACGGTTGGTCTGCGGCGGAAAGTCTTGGTGGAACTTGGCATACATGTCTATCTCATCTTGCACGAAGCGAGCGAGATGCGTACAGAGGACACTGGCTTCGTGCGTTGGATTGCGCGGCCGGTAGTAGCGTATAGTTGGGTACTCTCCGAGAGATATGCACACCGCGGCAATCTGCAGATTGGTTCCGTCAGCTGGGCTGCTGTATCAAAGCACTCACGCCCATACCTTTCTCGCCAGCGCCTCCATATGATCACGGACTAGGCCGTTACAGGCTGGATGGAAGAGCACCGGAAAGCTCCATGGATCTCTGAAAGTGACCAGATGTGATTCCCGAGGGTAGAAGTCCATCTCTACCACCTTGAGTAGTGCTATCCGGTCGGCATATTTATCCAACCGCTCCCGAAGAGCTGGGTGTGGTACTGCCAATGTTTCAGCGATTGCCCCGTCCTTAGATTCCGCATTGCGCCTCACTTGATGTCCATATCAGGAACGGTCTTCGATAGCGGCGGCGCTCGATATCCGCAAGGAAGCAATCAACGACGTATGGCTGGGGGGACAATATGTATATGGCATCCATTTCCCGGTTCATGGGCCGCTTGTTCTCGATCTGCTCAATGTCTGGAAGTAAGTCAGGCGCCGCGTACGAAGGTCACGGACGGGTGTGCCGTACTCGTGATATTTTGACTGAGTATCTCATCCTCCTTCACGACATTGTCTATGAGCTTTCGGCTCATCTCGTCCACTACAAACACCATCCACTGTGGTCAAGGCTGATCAGACTGGACTTCAAATGCGCGCGGACGGGCAGCTTACTTCTCCACGAGCGGTCTGCTGAATGGTCTTGAGGATGGCTAGAAGTGAGATTAGCATATATGTACACAGCAGCCGGCAGGGAACCGCATACTCTCCCGCAGGGTGTCTATTGTCGACACACCCATGGTGGGCGGTAATGGCTGACAATATGTAGCTTCCTCGGACTAAACTATCCAGGTCGCGGGAGGCTAGGTCACAATTTCAGTGCCCTCGCCTTCGCGACACTGGTAATGCTTTTTGCGCAGCGGAACAGCAACTGCTAACACTGGAGGCTGCTTATTGGAGTAAGTTAGCAGGGGGAGTGGGGGAGCAGGAGGGGTGGTTCGTGTCCATGCGGCGAACTTCGGGAGTCTTGGTGTCTTGCTGTGCACGCATCGACACTGCAAGCACTCAACTGAATCTTTTGCGGCAACCATCTCTCACCCTTCACTCCATCACCACCCTCGCCATTGGCACCCTCCGCCTCCCGTGCGCTAGCTTCTCCACCGCAGACTGAAGCATCATCGCCGCTATCGCCTCCCTATAATTCTCGCGTCCGGGCATGCAAAGGCGGAAAAGGATACCAGGCCAGTGCATCTTCTGCGCCTTCAGATCTCAGACATGGCTCCCTCGACAACAGCCCCGAGGAGCAGCGGCGGCTTTTTCGACGACCGCTTCTCTACGCGCATTCCGGAAACTACAGCTCACCAAACTCGACCTCCCAGAAAATCCTCGAAGCGTTATTCGCCCGCTTTTCCTCGATCCAGAGAAACGCCGCCGTGACGCTGGGTTCAGAAGGAATCTCCTCCTGGATATAGCAGACCCGCAGAAGAAGTCCCTTGCGCGTCGTCGAGGCGAGATTAGTCTGAAGGGGCAGGTCCGGGGTCGAGCCGGCCGGGTGACAGTGAGAGGCATGAAGAACCTCATACTCGAGCGATTAGAAGCTCTCGAGGAGGAGATGCGGCAATCAGAGCTACGGCAAACGCTCAAGGTGGATGATGTATCTTTCGGAAAGCTCTATGGAGCCTTTCGAAGACAGATCGCCGAATCAATCACGTACACGAGTATCGCGCCGCCCGAAGATGAGGAGCAGCCGCTGTTCACGAGCTTGATGGACGCATTCATAAAGAGGGGCCAGGATGAGCTCGATGCCCAGCTAAGACATATTTGCTACGGGCACTTGGTGGGCTCGAAGTTCACAAAGACGGATATTGAAAACCAAAAAGTGTTAGCAGATTTGAGATACCCTACAGAATGGTTTCCCAAAGCCAGAACCATGCAACGGCAGATACATGTCCATGTTGGGCCGACCAATTCCGGGAAGACTTATCATGCGCTCAAGAGACTGGAGCAAGCGGAGAGTGGCTGTTATGCTGGACCCCTGCGGTTGCTCGCCCACGAAGTCTTCACGCGCCTGAACGCCAAGGGCAAGCGCTGCGCCCTGATCACGGGCGAGGAGCGCAGGTACCCTGATGAAGAGACAGATCTGCCTTTTATGTCCAGCTGTACGGTCGAGATGGTACCTCTGGGGGCTGACCTCGACGTCGCCGTCATCGACGAGATCCAGATGCTCGGCTCTGAGGAGCGCGGCTGGGCATGGACACAGGCGTTTCTCGGTCTGCAGGCTAAGGAAGTGCACTTGTGCGGCGAGGAGCGCACAGTTCCTTTGATCAAGCAGCTGGCAGCAATGACAGGCGACAAGGTTGAAATACACCACTACAAGCGTCTGAGCCCCCTTCAGATGTCGTCGGAGAGCTTGAAGGGCAGGCTGGGAAAGTTGCAGAAGGGGGACTGCATAGTCGTCTTTTCGGTCATGGGTATTCATGCTATGAGGAAGGAGATTGAGAGGGCGACAGGCAAGAAGGTGGCGATAGTATACGGGAGCTTGCCGCCGGAGACAAGGGCTCAGCAGGCAAGACTATTCAACGACCCAAACAATGACTACGACTATCTGGTGGCCAGCGATGCCATTGGCATGGGTCTCAATCTGTAAGTGACACCTACATCACGTCGTACACAGCGTTAACAGAGACCCGTAGGAGCATCAAGCGTGTCATCTTCGAATCTGCACAGAAGAACAACGGCTACCAAATGGTCACCCTCAAGACTGCCGACATAAAGCAGATTGCCGGCCGGGCCGGCCGTTACCGTACTGCCGCCCAAGCCACCGAACCCGCGCAAGTCCCTCCAGTCGTCGATGTTGACGACGGGGCCTCACCAGCAAGAGAGCCTGCCGTTGATACCGCGAACCCTCCAGCACCTGCACCCCCAACTGACAACACAAACATAGGTTATGTAACTACACTGGAGGAATTCGACTTCCCCACGGTTGCGAAGGCCATGCTCTCAGAAGCCGAGCCCATCCGCACCGCCGGCATCATCCCCCCAGCCTCTATCATCGAGCGGTTCAGCTCCTACTTTCCACCCGGGACGCCGTTCAGCTACATCCTGCTCCGTCTCTCGGAGATCTCTCAGACATCTGGCCGCTTTCACATGTGCGGACTTAGAGATCAACTCGCCATAGCTGATACCATCCAGCCCGTCACAGGCCTTACGACGGTCGACCGCATCATCTTCTGCGCCGCACCCGCCTCAAAGCGGGACAAAGGCATGCACAAGTTGCTGCGAGCTCTAGCGGAATGTGTGGCCGAGCAGCGGGCCGGCAGCCTCCTCGACATCGCCGAGTTCAATCTCGAAGTCCTCGACCAGGAACCGGATCCTTCGAGGCGCTACCTCAGCGAGCTGGAAACTCTGCACAAAGGGTTGGTACTTTATCTCTGGCTCTCGTACAGGTTCAGCGGAGTCTTCACCACGAGGGCTTTGTGCTTCCATGTTAAGGAACTCGTGGAGAACAAGATCGAAGAGTGTCTAAGGAACTTCGCATTCACGCCGGAGATGCGGCAGAAGATCCGTGCGAAGCGGGAGAGAGAGATTTTGGAGGCGTTGCAGGAGAACTTTGGGCTGCCTGAGGAGGACGCGGCGGAAAGGACGCGGCAAGTTCGACACGAGGGCATGTTCACTATCAACCCGGCAAGAGTAGCAGTCCCGGATGCTGGCTTGGAGGGTCCAACAACCAATGAAGGAGCTGAGGAAGGGGATAGGCAGGCCGGGGAGCCAGCGCTGGATAGAGAACCCCTATCCGAAGAGGTAGCGCGGATGCTCCAGGATAAAGACGTCGACCTGACGGAGCATGGAGTGGAAGCTGAAGAGATTGATGAGGAGCAGACTCCGGAGCTTGCAGAAACGAGCGAAGTGCAGGCTACAGGGACAAGTGCCCTAAACGAGACTGCAGGTGGAGCCACAGATGATATACCTCCGGTAGCACCCTTTATCCGGCGCGTACACGGAAGCCTTCCTCCATCCATAGAACAAACCGCTGGGAATACAGCAGCCGGCGAGCATGCACTCAATCTTCAGAACGAAGCCGACGCCAAAGCTACTCCCACCACGACGACGGTTCAAGGAATCGATCATCAATCCTCTACTCCCCGTCTCGCCGAAATCAACTTAGAGTCTGACGACATCGCTCCCCGCAAAAATACTACGCCGCCGCTTCCCTATGATGAAGACGGCGCGAAAGGCACACCATATGCAAGTTATCACATCTAGACCAGCAAGGGATTGCCGCAGTTCCTTCTGGATGAGGTCACTGTAGAGCACGGCACGCACGCGGATGTAGAGCAGGATATGTACACATGTGCCATTTAGAGGGCGCAGGCTTGCTGGGTTAAGCGCTTGTATCATATCAAGGCGTTGAAACAGCGTGGGCGCCGGGCTGGAGCCCAGAAGAAAGCATTTGTAGATCACGCATTGGAGTAGTATTAGTTACTGGAACTATGACTCCCAGCCCTGCCCGTGAGAGCGAGAAGCTGGTCAACCTGACATATAATATCTTATAGTCGCGGTAATGGAGACATTGCAGAGCCACAATGACACGCAAGCTGTTGCATAGACGCTGCTGAGTAATCACCGGCCTTGCAGTGAGATTGAAGACGACAAATTCCGACACCTCTGAAACGCATCACCACCAAAAACGAGCAGCGTCAACGTTCTGCTGACTCGTTGCGCGCCTCTACATTCCGTATTTCACCTTCGCTGCAGCCTTCTGGATTGAGCTACATTGCCTACACACGGGACGAACAGCGCTGCTCACCTCCCTCCACCATGGCGCGACCAGCCTTCCTCGAGATACCTCGCCCTAAAGTATGCGCCTAATTATGGTCTTCTGTAGCTATAATCCCATGCTAACCCTCATTCTAGACCTTCCTCTACCTAATGTCCCTCCGCACTGGCACCGAGCTCATAACCACGACCGTCCTCATCAACAAAATCTCCGGCCTGTACGGCATCCTCGCCCTGCTGACCGGCCAACACCTCTCCCCACTGCAACTCTCCATGTACATCTACTCCATCCTCGCCGTTCTCCTGACACTCTACCTCATGCCGCACATCCGGGCGCAATCTCCGCTCCAATGCCTCGCCCTCGCCTGGTTCTACGCCATCGACTCCGCCATCAACGCCGCATACACCGCTGCCTTCGGCGTCGCATGGTTCCTAGTCTTAGCTACCCACCCCGACGACACAGGCAAGAAAGCGCCAGGCGGCAGCACCATCGACGAGCACTCCGGCTTCACGAGCCCCAAATACAACGTCAGCCACGTCGACATCGTCGCCGCCCCCGCCGCCGGCCTGAGCCAAGACGCCGCGGCTGTAGGCTCAGGGCCCGGCACCCATGCGCCAGCCGGCCTCGGCAACGCGGTATTCCAGAGCGGCAGCATCGCGAGCATCACCATCATCTCCGCGCTGTGGGCGCTGCGACTCTACTTCGTACTCGTCATGCTGGCATATGCGAGGGCTGTGCTCAGACAGCACATCGCGCAGAACAGCCACACGTATCCCACGGCGTCGGATGCGGAGTTGGCCGAGAACCCGTTCGCGGAGGGCAAAGAGGAGGGGCAGGGGTGGCAGGGCAGGCTCGGGCGGCTCATGGTCCGTGTGGGCAAGAAGTACTGGCTAGGAAAGGATGAGGATCAGACGTGGGTCCAGGCGATGGGCGGGAGGTTCAATCGGAAGAGCAATGCTCCGGCTGTGGATCCGGCGGGCGTGTTTGAGCGGGAGAGGCGGAGGAGAAGCGGGACGGGGCCGCCGCCTCCGCTGCAGATTCCGAAGTTTGGCGGGCAGGGTGTTTCACCGCAGTGAGCGTCGGGTCTGTAGCAGAGAGCAGCGGGATGTTAAGCTGTCTGCGGTGAGCGTGATAACTCTACTCGCGCTGTAACGGCGGAGAGAGCTTGTACTACGATGTTACAGCGACTGAGCTTGGATCATTCTTGCATCTTTCATCACGGAGCGTTTTCGAGATTATCATGGGATGCACTCCTCGTACTTAGAGCCCTATCCACCTAGTTTTCCTGTCACAAACAACCTAATCATATCAAGGTTCTCTCCGTCGCTGTGTTTGATGGCTTCACGGTGTCCAGCCCATGGTCCTTGCCAGCCTCAGAGGTCTCCTCAATAATTCCGATGTTGTGGTAAACTACCTAACCCGTTCAAGTTTCTCTTATTGCGGGTTGGATCTTAATGCAGGGACTGCGTAGGTACGTACTTACGCCATAATCATCACATTCACGTCTTGGGGGGACGTCATGGGAGCGTCACACAACTTCATAAATTCAAAGAAGCCTCGAACTTCTAGAAAAAGACCATCTATCTCCTCCTACGAAATCCTCTCGAGTCACTGAGCTACTATAACTCATCCAAGCAAGCTCTGAGCCAACACAAAACCCGATTTCTATCTTTCGAGTTTTCCACCAACTTCAACCACAGCGATGTCCGACAGCCGTGAAATAATCCCCCATCCCGAACAACACTCTGATACACCAGAGTCACCTGAAGAAAGGCAGCGTCATGCCACCGAAGTCATTCCCGAAATCATTGGTGAGAGCAGCCCCTTCTTGCATGCCCGGAAACCCTTCTCCTCGCCACATCTCTAACGAACGATCGCTTCCAACAATCACTGACATGCCGCAGACCCAGACAGAAAGCCCGGCGGGGACATCGACAAACCGGTAGACCCTGACCTGCGTAACTATCGCAAGGCCGCGGATGAGTCTGACTGACTGACTGACTGACTGACTTCTTAGATGCTAAAATTTGGCGCGGTTCTAGGTACCTTTTCTAAAGCCAACGTAGCTCAAGCTAATCTAGCCTATAATGAGATGTTCGCACGGGGCGGAATATTCTGTCACTAACAGCTATTAACGTTGGATTCACCGTCATGAGATAGGATCACTTTATACACCTGAAAACCTTGAACATTTGCTAACACTATCAAACAAATATAAGTTTCCTTCTTGAGTGATGTAGCCTTCGATGGCTGCGGCATCACCTAAATGCTCAGATTGCCAAAATGGCACGTTATCCTGGTGGCTTGTAGGTGTGATGTCGCCACTCGAGGCGTGAAGTGCACGTACGCAATCTAGATTGCAGGTGTAGATATTGATCTTCTTCACTAAGCTCCGCAACTTTCCGCTATTGAAAGTGTTTCGAAACATGCGAGCGTCGTAATCAATATCATTAGGCGCTCGCACGCGCGCTCGAGGCGCACTCTCAGTGTCTTCATCGGAGACCACACTCTCGCACCACTACGCATGAAGCGGTACAGCTGCAAAGTATGTTCCAAGAGCGAGGTCGCCGAGAGCGTGGTTCACCAGCCGAAGGTTGGCGAGATCAGCCCGGACGTGGACGTAGGAGATGATGCGGTCGAGAAGCTCGGTAGGTAAAGAAGCCAGCGAAGTCATTATCACCGTGGAGGCGGAGCGACAGAGATCAGATATATCTAACGTAGATGACGATATCTACATTCGCTGAAATAGGACGCATAATGTGAAGGAGTTGCAGCCTTGCAGCGATATTTAAGATCGGCGGCAACCGATGTGGCTGGTACGCCCCACATGGCCCCTTCCTCACTAGGCAAAGGGCCACCCAATCTCCCCAAAATCCAACCAGCCCCCCTCAATCTCGGTCTTTCTCTCCTTTAGCTCTTCAACATCCCAATTGCTCCACACAAACTTCCCCTTCAGAAACGCCGCCTCCGGACTAGCCAGCCACACACAAAAGGCCGCCGGCAATCCTACGTCATCCGCCAACTTCATCATCTCCTTCTTTTCCGGCGTCATCTCTTCCCCTCCAAAGCCTACCTCCTTCGCCGAATCCGTCAGCACCGTGCCGGGTTGCAGATTGTAAATGGTCAGCTCCGGATGCTCGTTGGCAAGTGCGTGGAAAAACCGCAGACTGGCGGCTTTGGCGGTACCGTAGGAGGAGGTGGCGCCGTTAATGTTGATGTGCCATACGGCTGAGGAAACATTGATTACGACAGCTCCGGGTGCAGCGTGACTGAGAAAAGATTGGGCCACTGTGAATGAGCCCTTGACGTTGGTCTCTATGCCGGAGAACCATTCGTCAACGTTCGCGTCCTTGATGGGCGACTGAAGGCCAAAGATTCCTGCGTTACTGACGAGGACATCAATCTTGCCGCCCTTGCAAAACTCGGCGAATGCAGCCTCGATTTCGGTCTTTTTGGTGGTGTCGGCCGGCGCACAAGAGATTTTGACGCTGGGGGATTCTTCGCTGATCGACGCCTTAGTCGAGAGGAGAGGCGCCTCTCTGCGGCCGAGGATGAGAATTCGAGATGCACCTGCTTTGGCGAAGTAACGCGCAATCTCTGCGCCAATACCGGTACCGCCGCCAGTGACGACAATGCTTTTCCCCTCGGCTGACAGTTCGGGACGGATTGGATCGATTGCTGGGTAGGGTTTGTGGTGATATGTCGCTGTGGGGGCTGGGAAGGACATGCTGAGTGAGGATGGCGAAGCTCAAAGTTGAGGCTTGAATCACTTTGTGTACGTTGATTTATAGGATGGTGAACGACGATGCCTGATGGTATGCTGTCTTATATACTATTCAAAATCTACCACGAAAAGCGAATCGCCCCGATACACTCAATTGAACGGACCCGTACACAGCTCAAACTCTAAGCAGCTTTAACGCTCCATGTCCCATCTCGATAAATTGAACTTGGGTCATGGGTTATCAATTCCTTCATTCGACCTAGCGCGACTAGAAAGTCTCCCGTTCCGACGCCTCGCGCGACGGATAACAAGGTCCGATGCTGACAAATTACTAAAAATCTCGGGCGTCTACAGCTTCCCTCACTACCTCTGCATACCACGGGACGGTCAAATTCATAATGGAAAGTTGGAGATTCGATATAGGTGAGCACAGCTTATACCGTGGGTATATCTGAGACTAACTAGCTATCATTTAGAGGCTTCACTAAAAAGATATAGGTACTATTGTCGGAAACGTAGAGGGGAGAACCGTCCGGATCTACCTCGATTATGCGTACCGTGTGCGCGGTCGAAGATCCGCTGCGATAGACTTGCTTCTAAGTGCTTAAAGTGCGTAACGAAGAATCTCGACTGCCGCTATCCGGTCAATAGTACCCGGAATACTGAATTGGAGACCCAGTAGGTTCAGGACTAGGACAACGTGGAAACGACTCCACTGGAAACTTTAAATCTCTCGGAACCCAACACGTTAGATCCACAGTGTATAGATGCATTGCGCTCTGAACTTATTAATAATGCAACATATATACTCGATCTTCCGGATGTACGGAACGAGACTTTTGAGTGGAACCTTCTGAACACCCCACCTGTGGTCTATCTGGCGCAGGAGGCATTGCCATTCGAAGGAATCTAAACTACACTGCCTATCGCCTTTAGCGCCTCATCAACCCCTAGAGGAGTTGATACCGCCTCACTGCAGAATTTCATTATCGATGATCAGCTTATAACCTACGCAACTGACAACACTCCGGTTCCTCGCCATCCAACCTTCAACATCCGCTTCTTGCGGACTCGGCCAAAGTTAAAAGCCGGTGCGCAAATCACAGCGAACAACATGGCGAGAATCCTATGTTCCTACCTAAAAATGATGCTCGACTACAACGCTCTTCCACCATTCATTCATCTATATTGGATCTCTGCATCCAGCTCGAAAGAATTTCTCGAGCCCCTCGCGAACTGCATGAGTCTCCTAGGCATGCTCGGTACCCGCGCAAGAGGGACCGCGAGCCTCTTCTGGCGCAACGTTCGAATGGAATGCGATCATCTCTCATCTACCTACACCACCTTCAACAAATACGGCATGATCGCCGCTACCCAGGCGCTTCTCATATACATGCTCGTCCGAGTAGCAGAAGGAGAAACCGAGAATAATAACCATGACGCCGCACTCCTCGGTACAGTTACCTTGATGTTAGGAGAACTGAGAAGACAGCTCCAATGCGAGTCGGTCGACATGGAATCGGTCGACATGCCGTATATGTATTTCGTATAAGGTTGGAGCAGTTGGATCTTGGAGGAAAGCAGACGCAGGGTGGCGACTGTTTTTCGTATAATTAATATGCTAGTCTGCATGTCGCCGGCAACGACTTGCGAATTGCAGCCTAGGCTTCTCCTTGCGCCCCTTCCGGCTCGCAAACAACCCTGGGAGGCTGCAGGCGAGGAATAGTAGATAAATGAGTTGTAGAGAGCACCGGTGGCTAATAGTGCCTTTAGACTAGCGAAGAGTGGTGATTTGATTGGACTGGATAAGTATTAGATGAAGTTGTTAACTGTACCTGAATCGGTGGAGCAATGCACGAGTTCGAAGAGTAAAGATAATTGGGAGGCGTGGTATGCGGGTATAGTAAGAATGTCCATGTACGAACTTCACGTGAGATATACACTGACTGATTGACTGACTGACTGACTGACTGACTGACTGGTACTGCATGCCCTTTTTGTTCTAGCCCTCCTCCTAATTGTCTGACCCTCCTATTAGCTGCATCACCCTAACCCTACCCGCACCGAACTGCTTAACGCTAACACTAACTACCCGCCCTAGCGGAATAATATAATCCCCCACCTCCGGAATTCTATACCGCTAGGCCTATCTATAAAAGCCTTCGTCTACCCACTCTTCTCCTTACACAGCCCTAACTAAATTATAGCCGCGCTAACGCGAACACGAATATAGATACGTCTAGTAACTACCACGCGTTACTAGGCTACCCTACGCGTCCTCCTACCTCTATATATCCTATCTACTGCCCCTCGCCTACACCTTTCCCCCCTTTCTCTATACGCCTTAATATCCCATCTATAGCACCATAAATCTAGATCTATTTAACTACCTCTTAGACCTTAAGGTCCTTATCTACTAACTATATAAGCGCGCCATCGCTCCATCCTATATCTAGACCCACCTAAAGAACCACTATAAGAGCCATTTATCTATATAGCTTCCCTCCGCTATAGGCCTAGCCGTGGCCGCCCTCCTTAAGTAGTATCCGCTCGCCGACCCTAAGGCGGACTCCTTTAAGCTCCTAGCCCTATTCGCCCCCGCTATCCTAGATATTCTAATCTTTAAGGACAGCCTACTATACCTATAATGCCCCTTTATAGGGCGGAAGTAGGAGACCCTATAGGGGCACTTCCGCGTCTAGTATAAGGTAGGCTTCGGCTATAGGGGCCGGCCTACTAAGCGGGTAAAGAACACGGCCGCTAAGCCTCTACTATAGACTATCTACTACTAGCGCCTCTTTACTACTAGCTATACTAGCGGCTATTTCGCCGTGCTATCGCCCGCCTAATAATAGTAGTAGAAGAAGGAGAAGGAGGGGAGAAAGGTTTAGACTTAGTAACTAGGGGCCTGGATGGTCCCTCTAGCGGATCTTATTAGGGTCTAGGTGGACCGGGTGCTAGAGGGAGGCCTTACTAATACGGAGGTGGAGAGTAGTATAATCTAGGAAAGCTTTTCTAGAATAGAGGTGTCCCCCTAGCTCGAGATAACCTAGTAGCCCCGCTATCTATAGAGCTATAGTATAGTAGATATCGCGCAGCTCGCTAAGGCCCCTAACCCTATTAGTAAGTCTATACTAGAACTTATTAGATAGAGCCTTAAGTAGTTAGTTAAAAAGGTATAGTAGTTAATTAGCGATAGGAAGATTAACGCCTTTAACTAGACTAAGATTAATAGCCTTTTCTAATAGGCTTAGGTATAGGACTAGCTGCTACTTATAAAGCTGTAGAAGTGCACCTATAGAATATATATTAGTATATAGAAGTGGCTGCTCTACTTCGCCTACTAGACCGCCGCCCCGGCGTAGCCTATTAGGCTCCTCTACCACTTTACTATAGGCTAGTAGTTCTACCTTGACGAAATGCTCCTAGCTATAGAGGCGCTATACTTACTATAGCGCCTACTACGGCGCTATTAGCAAGAGGGTCGCCTAGATAGTAGTATCCTCCTAGGTGTAGTAAGCGAGGGGGAGCTATAATATTATCTAGACCGGGTAACCCTACTATTTTATATTAAGGTGCTTAACTAAAAGCTTAGGGGCGATCTCTTTAAGAGCGTTACTATTAGCTTTCTCGCCGCGCTAGCTATAGAGCTAGAGAAGAGCATCTTTAGGGATATATATAGCTACACGCCTTACCTATCTAGATTTATTAAGATTATTTAGATGCTTATTATATAGCGGGCTATTATAATAGCTAATAATAGCTATATTAACTACTTAGGCGATATTTTTAATAAGATGTATAGTTACTTTCTAGTCTATAGCACCTAGTCCCTATTTAACTAGGCGCTATAGATGCGCTTATATAGAAAGGCGATCCGGAATAATACTATAGTAGTTAGCTATATTAGCTAGTTAGACGATCGGGAGAAGCTCTTATATAAGGGGCTAGAGCTATATATAGTAGACTTTAAGGACTTTATAAGTAACTAGCTATAGCTAGTATAGTCGTAGCTAAAAGACCTCCTACTTATATACTAAAAGGAAGAGAAGGAAGATATTATACCCTAGCTTTAGCTTAGCGACCTTAAGGACGACCCGTTATAGAATAAGAAGAGGTAGAGCTTTCTAAAGAATATCTAGAATAGCCGCGTCCTAGCGCCGGGTAAGCACTAGCTACTAGACTATATTCTAAAGAACGACTAGCTATAGAATGAGTTTCTTAAGGTGGATTAGTGTAGTGCTATAGCTACTTAGAAAAAGGACGCAGTAGTAGGGTATATCTCTTAAATTAATGCCTTCCTTAAGCGGCTCCTACTAATTATTCACGTAACCTCCAGCTAGCCGGCTTAGGGGATAGAGATACTAAGCCTATAGCACCTAAATATAGTTTATAGGTACCACTAGAGTATCTTTATTAAGAATAGCTTACTTAACACTATAATAATATACTATAAGAGCTATAGTATCACGAGCTCTACTAAGATTATCTATTATTATCTACTAAGGGAGGTTGGTAAGCTAGTAGTATACTACCTCTAGCTTGTTCTACTATTCTAGTAGTAGCTAGACATTCTTACACTATTTAGGGTAAAACTCATCTCGCTATTCCTATAGCCCTCGCCTAAGGTGTAGGGTAGCTAGAATAGCACCTAGTTAATAAAGGTGCTCTAGAGGGAGGCTATTAAGCGCCTTAAAACCCACCTTAATATTATAACCTATTAGCACACTACTATTATAATCTCGCGTGTCCACCTTAAGTGCAGAGGCTTTAAGAGAGACTATAGTATAGATAAGTTAAGGGTTAATAACTAGACAGCCCACACCTTATAGATAGCCGGGACCGTCTACACTTAAGGGCTCTAAAAGGCGCCTAGGTATATAGAAGCTAAAAAGGCGGAGTATTAAGTAGTAAGTAGGAAGTAGCACACCTTTCTAGGGTTCTACGCTTCTCTACCCGCTAGAAAGAGGCCGCTTAGCGAGCTAGATAATAGGAGGAGCTAACTAAGTAAGAGGTTAAAGTGAAGGTGATAGGAGAATATAAAGATAAGTAAGGAAGAGAGGACGGTAGTATAGGACTAGAATAATTAGCGTAAGAGGCGCTAGAGCGGAGGTATAAAAGGAACCTTCTATAGAAGGCTTTATTAAAATAGCTAAAGGAGGCTACTACCGCTATAGCCTCTCTATAGTAACTATCTTTAATAATAGTAGAAAGGGCGGCCTTTATTAACTAGGGGCCTCCTATTAAAGGCTTCCTTAACTAACCCTATAGGGGCACTATAGTAATAGCTAGGTAATAGTAGGGAAGAGGCTTAGTTCTACTTTATACCCTGCGGCCCGTCCCGCGCTAGCGTCGCGCTAAAATGTCTTAGTACTAAAAATATAATAACCTTATTTTCTAATATCACCTTAAAGTTTCACTTTATATTTCACTTCACATTTTAATCTACTAAACTAATATTAAGATTCATATTTAATTTATAGCTAGATAGTATTTATAAGCGTAAAGCTTATATAATAGCGCTAAGCCCTATTATTTATCTCTACTCTCTTACCTCCCTCTACTCTACATTTCACCTTTAACCTCTTATTTAAATTGCTTAGAAGGCTCTAATAGAACACCCCTACCCTTATTAACGCCCTAGCCCTATAAATTCCTATACTATATAAGTATAACTACTTTAATACCTCTAAAGCGAGCTGGTGCCCCTAAGGCTAATAAAACTAACACCTCCAAGTAGCCTAAGGTTCTAAAGAAGCTTAAGGCTACTCCTAAGTAGTCTAATACCGCTAAGAAGATAAAGCGAACTCTACCTAATAATATAGATAATAATAACTAAGATAATAAAGCTAATAATACAAACCCGCCTAGTAAGAAGAAGGCTATATAGGCTATAACACCTAAATAGGATCTTAGGGACAATATTATAGAGCCTCTTAAGAGCGCTAATATAGAGTAACCTGTCCCCTCTATAGGCGGATCTAGCGAAGCCTTCTATAGTATCCCTCTATCTAGAGATCCCTTCTATAACTCTACTCTACTACCCGCCACTCCTAAGCTGGGCTCTAGGTTAAAGCTAAATCCCCCCTAGAAACTAGCGCCTAACCCTATCGCAGTTCTAGATATTATTAAGAAGGAAGAGCATAACCCTCTTAAGGACCCTACCCTAGATAATAACAATTATAACCTATTTATAGTTCCTACTAATAACTAGGCGATAGTACCTAAACCGCTTAGCTAGCTAGCAGATATAAGTATCACGCAAGATACTATACTATAGCGAAATATAAGTAAGCTCGCGTAGTATATATAGTTATTAGTAGCTAAGCTTAAGGCTATTCTAGCGGGCTAGAAGTTCTAGAAGATTTATAATAAGCTAAATACACGCTACTTTAAGCTAGCCCGAGAGTAGGTAAAGAAGAATAGTATAGCGCGGCCTTATATAATAGATCTACTAATAGTCGAGATAGCCCTTATAAAAGAAGAAGTAAATAGTACCTAAGTCTACTCTAACCCTAACTTTAACTAGATAGCTAAATAGACTACTATAGA